TGACCACATTCCCACTGGTATATATTGCAAATTTTCTTTCAGGGCGGACCACTGAATCTGCCGATCATCAAAAGAATTATGACAATAGCCCAGCACAAGCAATGACCTGGTCATGGCACCAAACAGTGCCTTGTACTACAGACCAAAGCTGTACCAAAACGAACTGAAGAGAAGAGAAAAAAGAAAGGCGAAATTGCTCGCTTTATATAGACATTTTTCTCGTTCGGGACTTCAAATCCCCGTGAATTCTCATTGGCCCAGATAACGGGTTGCGTATCAACTTGTGGGTTGCCTACTATGGCATAACAAAAGATACAGCACCAAAGGAAATGAAAGGAGGAGTGGTACCTGATGGTCAAGTAGACAAGCGTGCTTCGGCGGTAGTGGTACGTGTCTCTCACCCTGGGCTGCTGTACCTCCGATGCTGTCGCCGCTTGGTTGTGAGGGGGTCCGTGCACGGCACCGTGTCAAGCGAAAACAAAGACACGAATGTGAATGAGCATGTAGATTCACGGAAGAAATGCTTTTCTGTGAGCAATAAAATGGCAATATAGAATTGTCCGACAAGGTAAACGACTTAACAGATTCTACGGCATCAGTTGCTTAGTAAATATCAAGGACACGATCCTCCCAGCAGCCAGTTTCCATTTCACCCAACAAGATAAACAGTATAAAGCGTAGTCCACAGACGATTCCATTTTGCTAGTATCTTTTGACTGCATGTGCGGTGTGCGGGAATAGATACAACACACACTTGACTCCAACGCTGCAGTGTATCAAAGATCGTTATCTTTTATTGTGAAGCGTGCTTGTCTACTGTTGCTTTATAATTTTCGCCATCCGCCAACAGTTCTCTGAACTACGCCGTGAAACCTCCCTCCATCCATTCCGAATTCATACTCTATCCAAGTATGTATGTGCTGCCGCAGATAAGCTGTCCGCTCATGGTAAGTATACGCTGCCGCTAGTGAAGTTGACTCACCCTTCACTGGCTTTCATTGCTGCTGATAAAGTTCTTTTTGAGCAGCGTTCAAAATCCATTGGGACGATCAGGAGAGTAACATTATAAGCAATGACTTCCTACTGTACATCTTTTGACCCTTTTGCGCGTAACTCGTTGCTCCATTGATCACCTTGTTCACCCGCCATTCCTTTGTGCACTTTGAGTACCAAGTAAATTGGCCAAATCGTTGCGTAACAATGCGCTTTCACTCTACGGAGTTTTCGTTTCAAGGGAAAGCTGTTGGAACGTTCGAGGTTTGACACACGCATCACTTGTCACTATCCAAAGAAGAAAGATATGTGTTGCGCTCTTCCTGAGCTCCTCGTTCCTAGACTACCTTTGCTTCCTGCTGACTCACGTCAGTAAATGCTTGTCACAAGTGTGGGTTGATTCAGTCATGGTTGCCTTTTGCATATTACTTTTCAATAATTCGTTTGCATCTCTTTTTTTCTTTCTTTGAGAGTAAGGAAGACTGAACTAGCTTTTGCTCTCTATGTTGCTATTGCCAGGATGACTTTAGTTATATAATCTAGACATCCTGAATGCTGTTGTTTATTCGTTACCGCATCTGCAGGGTATTACAATGCTATCCAATCCATTGAGCGGAGTTGGGATCCAGGAAGCTTACTAGGGTGATGTTTATATCTTGGTTGACAGCACACAGTAGCACTCCAGCGTCTTGTATCAGGCTTGCCTTTTCTCTGGCGTTTTGAGCTTGCTATCGTATTGTTGTTCGTTTGGTAAGCATCAAGCTTAAGACACTGGGTTCATTTACTGAACAACTGCTCATGAGTTTGTTACATATAGAGTTTAAACAGACAAAGTACTGTAGTTAGAATTTGCCCAGAAAATATGAGGAACACTTTCCGGGAATCGCTATATTTCAAGATGTTCTTGATCCCGTATATATCCTAGCATGTGGAAGATGATAATGTTCCCGCTTACCATAAATATTGACCTTTGTCAGTAAACTTGACTCCAATAAGTCCTCTGCGTAGTATAACTCTCAAAGCGGTTCGAGTATAGTTGCAGCAGCACGTTGGCCAATAAATGTTGTTTTGAGCGGTGGTTGGATGTATTTCCTGTGAGTGTATGTTCTCCTTTTCATTCATACCTATTATTCGCTCAGATCCAATATATTTTCCTTGAAACTTATCATTTCCAGCAGATTCACACGGATTGCGCTTCATTTGAATCCTGTTGTACTTTCAAGTATGATGGAGCAGCAATCCTTCACGTCTGAGGGCAGTTTTAGGTCAGTATGTATAGGTACCTTCCAAACGTACTCTTTTTATTATGTATATAAAAGTTTCCTTGCAAGTATTGCATATAGAAAATGGCAGCAGCGACTTGCACGTTGTCAACAGCAAGAAGCAACAAATCTCCCCTAAGCGCGATGCCATCGAATGAGTTTTTTCTTGGGACAACCAGACATAAGATGCTGAAGACCATGACTTGCGGCAAGATAATTTTCGGTGAAGCCTACAGAATCAAAGGTTATCCTGGTCGACCAAAAACTTTTGAATTCTCTCTTCGTGATAAAGTCGACCGGGAGGTTGTTACCAAAGTTTTCGGATTTAAGTTTTAGCACAGCTTGCGTCCGAGGTGTAGCTTCTAGTGAGCACCAGCAATATGATCGTCTATTGCAACGTTTGGTTGGTTGTTCTGTAAGCTGAAAAAAATAAGCAATAAGGGGGTTCCCTTCGTGAGAACACTGTCGTTTCGAAAGTAATATAACACCATTGTTGTACTCAGTGACAATAAAGAAATAGAAATGATTATGGTCTTTGCTGTTTGGGAACGAAGATATAAAGCAAGGAGCTCAGTCTGTGTTGTAAGGTATCCTGGATAAAAAAAGCCATTCAACGGTCTTTAACGAACAATGAGTTAGAACTTACACAATGGACCCGAGAGCTACATCCATCCGAATTATTGATCTTAATGGCCATAATAGCACAATGCACTTATCTGAAAAGGGTATTCTAGGTACGTCCAACAGGCGATGCACTTATCAATATATCATCGAGTTGACTTCAAACGTAGCTCGCCTGTGAAAATGCCTGAAACGTACAATCCAGCGATATTACGGCTGATCTGGAATGGAGAACCGTAACCTCTCAAACCAGTTAAAAAAGCCTGGGCCAGTGCCAACCTTAATTATTGATCATACTATATTACTCCAAAATATGTATGATGCAGATCGTGCCTTTATAATCAAGCAAGCGCAGGAACGGCACCATGAGTACTTCCATGTTCATTATGAGAAGCGGGCTACAAAAGCATCTTGTGAAGCACTGTGGGCTTACGATGAAGAAAGCATGTAAGCCCACGGAGTACTGAGTCTCTCTTTGGAGTCATTAGACGTTAGTTCTCAAACTCAGAAGATAAACTGTCAGTGCGTTTTTATTGATGAAACAAGTGGATTCAAATTGTACTTGAAACGAGCTTTCGGGTGATTGAAAAGAGGCACTCTTATCAAGGCAGTAGTCACTATAAACCGTGGTGTCAACATATTTATCCTGGGTGTTATTGCTAAAGAAGGTGTGGTATTCCCTTGTTATAGAACTTACAGTCAGTGAAAGGGGACTCTAAGAAAAGAAAGTAAGACGACGGTGAACACCGCTTGGTTGCCAAAGCTGGTACAAAGAGCGGGGTCAAACATTTTTCGTCTTCCCTTTTGACCCTTTCGCTGATACGTATTACCACTTTTACACTGAATAATACCCCTTCGTTCCCTTCCGTCACCCATCATAGCCACAAAACATAACACGATGCACGCCAATGTATTAGCTACCGCAACTTTTGAAGAAATTTTGGACGACCTTTCAAGGTTAGTAGACGTGTACATTGTGCATATCCATAAACAGTCAAGTAGTAAATACGAAAACGACCACGACGACGAAAGACGACGTATTCAAGAAACTGACGTTAATTCGTTTCCCATTCGTTTTCCTTGTCAATAAATTAGTCGTTTTATTATCAATGTTCCTGAAGCCGAACAACAATCACCTGAACGCATCTGTTTCCAAGTTGAACAAGCTCATTGGTTTTATGAAGATTTCGTTCGTTTGTTACAGCCCAGCTTGCCGTCATTCCAACTCAAGACTTTTTCAGAGAAAAATATCCTTTTCTAAAAAGAGTTACATAAAAACACTAATGAGAGCGCAATCAATTCTTAACCAAATCGGGTTGTATTTTATCTACTTTTCAAGCATTGTCCCCTCATGGAGCAATGGGCACATCAACATGAACGAGCATATGCTAATTTTATGCAGTACAGATTCCGAATCCCAGTATGTGGCGCCATCTTATTAAACGAAACACTCGACCAGTGTGTTTTGGTCAAAGGTTGGAGCTCAAAGTCGGGCTGGAGTTTTCCGAGAGGCAAGATTAATCAGGACGAAGAATTTGATCATTGTGCAGTTCGTGAGGTATGTCGTTCAAGAAGGGAAAGGGGATATTTCATTGCCTTCGTTACGGAAAACGTCGTGGCATGGTACATGTTGTACAGAAGTGTACATATACATTTGTATATTCTGATAATGGGCTGCTGGTGGATAATTAACAGGTATTCGAGGAAACCGGATATGATATAAGCCCATTGATCAAAGACACGTACCTTGAAGCAACGATAAGAGAACAATCAATTCGGTTGTACATTATCTGTGGCGTTCCGGAAGACACCGAATTCCGGCCGCAAACGCGTAAAGAAATCAGTGTAATGTTACTTTTTTAGAGACCAACGACCAAGACAAAAAATTGGGGGAAGCAATTTCGAGGACAAGATAAATTGACTTTATGTGTCTATCATTTATAGCAAGTGGAATGGTTCAAGTTGGATGAATTACCTGGTATCAAGCCTGGAACTAAAGCCACCGGTCGATTTTATATGGTTGTTCCATTCGTATGGTAAATTGAGAACAAGCGAAAAAAAAAACAAAAAGAGAAATAGAAGGGGAAAAGGGAAGTTTCTTGCACAAGAAGGTTATTAAGTCTTTGAGTTAGCAAACTTAAATCCGCATTGCCGTTGATTCGCAAGGAGTATTATCGATCTAAAGGAGGAAAACCACCAAGAAATCATAACAATAATAACAGCAACAGCAACCACCATCATCAACAACAACAACAACAACAGCGAGATCATCATCATCCAAAAGCCTCCCGCAATAACAATAAGAAATCCAACAACGGCAAAAAGGCAGCGCCGACGTCAATGGTACCGCCTCCTTCACCTCCGCAAGATACTACGGCTGCCACCACTAGTAGTAGCAGCAACAGCAGTAATGCTACCCCTGAACCTTCAGTTGCCTTAAAGTCTCTTTTGGGCATATCCGCCGGTATTGGTGGTAGCAATAGCAGTAGCAGCAGCACCCCCGTCGCCGCGAACGCCAAGATTAATGCAACGTCGCCTCTCCCACCAGCTAATAAAGCTGCATCTTCTGCTGCTGCTGCTGCAACGGCAGTAGTAAATAAAGAAGAACAGCAAGAACAGCAATCAAAGGTAGCAGCAGCACCCGAGCCGTCAGTGGCCCTAAAATCGTTGCTGGGAATCCAAAAGCCAAGTTCTCCTGACGCATCGCGATCGGCAAGTAGCACGAGCACGAGCACGACGCCCGAACAGTCCGCGTCGACAGAAAACACGTTGCTTCAAATGTTACAACGTGCACAGCCACTTACTGCGCCTCCGCCTTCTTCTGATGCTTCTGCTACTACTCAGGAAAAACAGCAAGAATTACATCCATTGTTACAAGTGTTCAAAGATGCAGGACACGAGATCAAAAACCTCAATCCATCACAACCACTTTCAACGCCATCAAAAATCCCGGCACCAGTAGCAACAGCAGCATCACCTTCTACTACTACCAATGCAGCAGAATTGCACCCATTGATTGCGCTGCTGAAGAGTGCAGAAGTCAAAACCGAGGAACAGACGATTGTGTCAACACCTTAAATCTCGATTATTTGAAGATTTGTTACACGGCATTAAACCAGAAAAGGACTATATCTTCCCCACCATCCTCATTCCATCCCCCAACTCTATTTTCTATCACCACTACATCGTTACTGACTGTTAGCATTACAACTCTCCCAAACTTAAAGGGTCGTTCAAAACACACCCCTCAGTGATAGTATGATGTTACATGTATTTTATATACTTTGTATGTGTTTAGTACATGTAGATGTTTCCATCGAATATACGCTGTCCGAGAATACAATACATATATTATTTATGAAATACCAACAGAAATAAAGACGAGGGATGGTTTCTATATTTAAAAAACAGCTGGCAGGCGTGTGATCTGTGTGTTACGTTTGACAAGGTTATGCATGAGTATATTAGCGTGTCCGTGTGTGGTTGCCCATCGTATGTGATACCATACAACCATACTTAGCCTAGCTTTCTCTCTCTCCATCGGTGCCAATATCATACTGATCCATACCGTCGTACATTTATGCCGATCATTGACTTTTTGTTCGATTATTAATTGACCAAGGGTAGCGTGCAACGCGCGTAGTGCTCACAGTGTACCAACAAGCAGAAAGGTCTCGATTTCGAGAAAAAATTAAATTTGGACTTTTTAGAATTATTGCAAGATGCTGATCATCGATCCCCCAATTCCAATCTTTATGCTTATGGTGATGTTTAGTGTTATAATGGGCCGTAGGATCACTGACGAGGCTTGTCGATGTCTTGTTGCGCGATTTCAGGAGGGAGCGATATCAAGATTTGTTTATAATATACAGCAAAAAAAGTTAAACTTCATGCAAGGCGATTAATTATCATAGAGCAAAGCAAGAAGCGAGGAGCAAATGCTCGGGCGTAAATAGTATGTATGTGGCTGTGTAATGAGTAGACGTGGTTTACAATACAGCAATAGAAGGATTCTTCAATACTTTATATGGCGATAAACAAGTTATTCGTCAGTGACACCTCGCAGCTTGTAACAGTTGTCATCAAGCCTGCCATTCATACTTAGGGTTACACACCGAACTTACTTGCCCATAGCAATATACAGTATGCAACAACCCTTGGGGGGAGGGGTGGAGACACGATATTTTGGGTCAATTTGGTTTAGCACGTTTGAATTGTCTAATCCCTTATGATGATGAGATGGGGTTCGTCAACAATCGCGTCGTGTATAAATAGACCGTCTTTTTTCGCTAGACGGCCGATTGTTTTTTCTTCATTATATTAACTTTTGCTCCCGTCAACAGCAGCTTACTCTATACAACAAGATGACTGTCTCTGAAACTCCTGCTTCTTCTGGATACGAAATCACTGGATTCAAGACCACGTAAGTCTATTTTCTTTTGCTTTTGTGAATATAATCTATTTTAAAAGGGTGAATAAAAAGAACGCATCATGATAACACGCGTAATTTAGTGAAAAGCTTTTTGAATTCAAAAAGTTCGTACACCATGAAAAGCCATTGACCGAACACCAAGTCTATGTCAAGATCAAGGCTTGTGGTGTCTGCCACACCGACATGGATTATGCTCCTGTCCCCAATACTGTCTTGGGTCATGAAGCCGTCGGCGAAATCGTTCATGTTGGATCTAGCGTCAAGAGCGTCAAGCCCGGAGATCTGGTTGGTTTTGCCTACTTGAAGAATTCCTGCAACGACTGCTTGTTGTGCCATTCGGGTGACGATATCATGTGCCGCAAGCGTGTCATGTTCCCCGAAGGTTTGAACAATGGTTATGCCTATAGTGCTGTATGCGATGGTCGTTACGTTTACAAGATTCCCGATGGTATTGAAGCCAAGCATGCTGGTCCTTTGATGTGTGCCGGTGCCACCGTTTTCTCGGCAATGTATAACATCAACTTGAGCCCTACTGCTCGTATTGCTATTGTCGGTATCGGAGGCCTTGGTCATCTTGGTTTGCAATTCGCTCGCGCTTGGGGTTGTCATGTCGTCGCAATCTCTACTTCCAGGGTAAATGTTCTGATATGGTCAAGAATTTTCAAAGAGGAAGAGAAAAAAACAGCGGAGTCATGTGTATGCCGTGAGAGGGAGAAGAGATACTAATTCGCCGGAAAACCCTTTGGGGATGTTCGCGACTGCAGGATAAAGAAGAAGAAGCTCTCAAGTTTGGTGCACATGAATACTGGTGCTCCAAGGACTTTACTCCCGAATTTATCGAAAAGGCTGAAAAGTTCGATATGATCTTGAACACTGTCGCTGTCAATTTGGATTATCAAACCTATCTGGACTTGTTGGCTCCGTAAGTTGTTTTTCTTTTCTGGGTTTTAGGAGAGGCACTTTGTGTGACACTGTCAAAAAGATCAATGAGAGGCAGAGGGATGCTGTGAAAGATAAAATAAGAGTATAATAAACTAACTCACTTTGCATCCTTCCATAACGTATAATACAGTAACGGTGATCTTAGAATGGTGGGCATTCCTCAGGGTGAGATCAAGTTTGGACCTATCCTTCCTTTCTTGCTGGATCAAAAGAAGTTTACGGGTGCCATCTTGGGTGGTAGAAAACTGAACACTCTGATGCTTCGCTTTGCCGCCCGCCACAAGATCCGTCCGCAGATTGAAGAGTTCCCCATGGTATGTACAAACAGAAACAATCATTTATCTCTCTTGCTGGTTATAATGATTCTGCACTTAATACTATAAGGCTAATGATATATTCTGCATCTTTTGATAATACCAGACCGAAGAAGGTATCCAAACCGCCATCCACCACCTTCGTGATGGCAAACCGCGATACCGTGGTGTTCTCATTACTCCTGAAGAGGACAAGCAGTGTGACGATGCTCAGCGCTGACTCTCTTATCCCACACTCTCGACACTCTCCCTCTCCGTCTTCCTCTTTCTTTCTCTCCTACTCTCTTTTGTTTAAAGCCCAATTATACGATCCATTAACATCATCTTTCTATTACATTCTTCAATTCTTCTGCTCCCGCATTTTTGACAATCAGCATACATCCAAAATAAATAAAACACCGGATGGTATTTGGAGTGGCGCAATTAAATTATATCGTTTTGACATCCACACGGTTACCTTTTCTGAGCAAGCGACCGCCTATTATATATGTCGTTGTGTTGATCCTTTCTTCGTGTAACAGTTTGGATTTACGTAACATTTTAGCACCCGCAGTGGGACTTTGCTAGGTGAAGTATATGCGATAATAACTTGGCTCAAACGTTGCCCTTGACTGATTACGCGCAGCTTGGACTCAGTTTCAGTATCAGTAAGATTACTTTCAGTCGGATTGCTGTGTTCAGATATTACCAAGGACAACGTTCCTGGAATTGATCGTCAATACATACAAATCTCGCATATCAATAACATAGCGCAAGCAGCTCCCAATGTACAGTTTTACGGAAAATGGTTTGGAACTGTGGTAATACATTCATAATTATTTGTAATACAATGGCACATACGAAAGCCATGGTGGTTGTGGTATAAAAGTGTTGCTAAATAACCGAATAGGAAACTATTTAGCGTCGCTCAACAAAAACTTGAAGACCAGACTTCATTGGCATTGTGAGCGAGATCATATAGGTAATTTCCTGATCATGTGCGAGCGAGAACTTGTATCTTCTAAGCAACATGACGATAGCAACGATTGCCTCCAGCGTCGCGAGTTGTTGCTACATTGATTAAAATGAACACGGCAATGTCATCCATTATATGTATCAGCTAAGCGAAAAAAATTGTCCGAAGATGAGTAAATAGTATCTTACGCCTAAGCAGATTCTTGGTCCCGCATGAAAAGCTGGCCATTGACCAGCAGACTCTCGACGTAAATTGCCGTGTTCATCTAACCACCGTTCAGGCTTGAAATCCTTGGCATCGGGACCCCAAACCTTCGTCGAACGACCTTGACTATAAGGTGACCAAACCACAGAGTCTCCTTTGCGAACATGCGTTCCGTCAGGCCAGACGTCGTCTTCAAGTGCTACTTTGATGTTGGACGGGACTGAAGGATACAACCGAAGGACCTCATAAAACCTAAAGCACAAATGATGGTGAGCCCGTTGATATAGCAATGCATTTTACTCTCAAGTGGCTGTATGATATTGCTGTTGCTGGGGCAACATTAGCTACTATGACAACATACACTGCATGGGCATAGGTCAGGGTGCCAATAACACTATACAAGGCTGGGGTATCCAGTTCATGTTCATCCCGGACTTTTTCATTAATTTCCTGAAGCAGTTTGGCTTCCACACGTGGATGTAACATTAAATTGTAAAACGTCCAAGATAATGCCTGGGCTGTCGTGTCTTTTTTTGAAAGAAATGTTAGTTTCCAAGCAAGTATGGCAGTATGTTTAAAAGAAGTATATCTAACTGTAAAGCTTACCACGACCCGCAATGATGAAATTAAGTACAGTATCCCGTAACTCTTTATCATTCAATGTTTTGCCATTTTCATTCCTGGCACTCATGAAACGGGACAAAAGATCCTTAAAATCATCGCCACCTTGGTCAATTTGTTTACGACGTTCGCCAATAATTTTGTATGCAAAATTATCAACCACCTTCAAATGACCACGAACCGATCGCGTGCGTGGATGTAAAATAGGTTGTAAACGTTCAATAATAGGCATAAAGGGGTTGATGAATCGATCCATGCAGTTAGCTTGACATTGGTCAAATGAATCTGCAAAAGACACTTTATCCTTGCTGGCAAGCGCGTTAAGTTGGACACCAAAACCGATTTCGACAAACGAGTCCAAAGTAAACTTGTACATGACGTCATGGAAATCAACAGGTTTGCCATTATCCGCCTTCTTGTCAAAAATACGGCTTGTCATTACAAAGACTTCCTTAACAAACACATCAACGAAATGGTCCTTGAAGTTCTTGACGTTAAAGATCAAACTGGCTGCTTTTCTTTGGTATCGCCATTGGTCACCGTTCGCGACGAAGATACCGTGTCCAAAAAGATCGCCCATTGCATCTCTACGACAAATATATAAATGCAAAACATATTAATAATAGATGATACAACAATAAGATGTTGTGCAACCGTTCCGCACGACAGCATTATACACATTTGGATAAGACGTTTTTTATACCTCATTTGCTGGCCCTTGATATAATTTCCGAAGTTTGCTAGAGTAATCACATGAAATGAATATATGTGGTATCAGCGATCCTTTTCAGAAACCCAAGTGGGGGTAAAGCGGAGGAGGGTGTGCTCCTCGTTAGTTCCGTACTCTTTAAAAAGTGTTCCACATTAGCTGGAGATAATGTCGTAATGGATGGTGGAAGACCGAACGCAGACTCCGTGCTGTTTGATGCCGTCGTTGTCAAGGGTGATATATATCATAATGAATCTACGCACATTAGTAACAAACGAAGTTGCATGTACGAAAACAAGAGAAGCCTATTTTTTGTCACATACGCTGTTAAAGTATCTAATCTTTCCAACGTATACGTTTGATATTCATAGAGCTGGTCTTTATTACGCAGTTGCATGCCAAGAGTACCAATTAAAGGCTCTCCGGTGATGAAAGGAAGGTCTGTACGTCTTTCATCAAAGATAGCACGGTCGTTATACTTGATAGCAAGCAAGCCGAGCATTCCTACTGCTGCGCTGGTCGTTATGGCAGCAATTTGTGGTACATTTTTCGTATCAATAATTGGAGTCATAGTTCTAGTGGAAGTGGAACGAATGGGAGGGGAACAGGTGGGAGGAGAAGAGGGAGAATGGGGAAAAAAGCAAAAACACGGACAGCAATACAACTTGAAGGATCGCTGCAAATTTATTTGGGACAGCGCTCTTTATTTTAACTTTTTGTGAAACAACGCTAATGATAGTAATACCGCGACGCGTTGTACACCATACACCACTGCACTGGGTGTGTTTCGGTTATCCATGTCAACAGCTTGATCACAGAGCTCTCTGGTAAACCTTTTCCGGGTCAACAAACAGTCTCATCATTTATGATATTGGTATTGAAGCAATACACGAATATTTATACAGGACACAAAGATAACAAAGGATAATTATCAGCTCTTTGCATATCCCATTAAGACCCATCCAGCACCGTTGTTCACTAAAAACTTATTCATTGACAAATCTCCAGTAGCGTTATCTGAAGATAAAAAATACTCAAAAACCGATATGGGTAGTATTTCCATACATGTTTTAAACCAACTTATCTTTGACGTAGGTATCATATCCGTACGGTAACTCGCTATTTATGCCTTCGAGTGTTGAATTTGCTGTGCAGTCTGCCGTGCATCCTTCAAGGTCCCTTGAGATATTTCAGCGTCGTGCTGATACGACACATAAGTCGAAGAAGCCCGAAGAACCCTTTGAAAAGAGTGGGGCAATTCTCACTCGGTCTGATTGTTTGTGCAGTGGGAATCACAAATCTCTGTAACAACCTTGTTGGTGTAAGCCGTACAACCGCTTTTACTGTACTAGGGTCAACCTCCTCGGTTAATGCACTGCAATGTCCTCACAAAATTGCAAATAATGATCGGGTTTACCGTTATCCATAAACATTAAAACGAAAAAAAAATACAGAACGAAATCCTCACAAGTTTGCAATTAAAACTATGTTATTCTTCATAAGAAACCCCAAATACAGGACTTTCCTGATGGTTGGCAGAGCGTTTTTTTACATCATGGCGCCTGAAAGGCGTGAGGGAAATTTCAGTGGCAGATATAATTATGGCAGAATTACAGTAACAAAATCTAATCGCGGCTGTAGATCGTAACTCTCGTCTTCCCTGCACTCTAAAAGAGATGCAAATAGAGAATGTTTGTAGGATCGAATGTCGATTAAATTTATTATTAGAATGTATTGTGACTTACAATCAGGCTTATATATATTTTGGTACGCAATCCACAGATACTGTATGTGATTTAAGCTTAACAAGGTGCTTTTACAAAAAGTACACACAAAGGTAATTTTGCTCATAAGAATCATAAAAGTTGGCATATATCATGTCTCTAATATGGAGCACACAAAAAAGCAAATATAATATTGTATAGTTAGCATCCATGTGTGGGGATCGTCTTCATTGCATTAACATTTACTATAGCTTTGTATTACATGATGCATCTATATACTTGTACGTTAAAAGATATTTAAGTTTGGAACCTTCACCCAAGAAGTCTTATAACACAATAGTAAAACCTTTCTTCATTGTAACAGTAAAACTTTAAGGTTTTTGTTTGTTTTTAGACGCTGGCCTAACAGTTAAAGTTGACCGAAATGCTGGAATATGTGCGTATGTAAAACTATGTAATGTTTATAAAATGTGCTAGTCTCTACTACATCTGTTGCATAACGGCTACACTTGGTGACAGTCGGCACAGCTGTATCATACATAGGTTGGTGGGGGGGAAGAAGGAGGATGGATATCGTTACTGTTGCTGTTGGTGAACTTTGTGCTGGATGGGTAAAACGCCACAAGACAATGGTGACGATGATGACGTATATATAGTAGCTAGCTAAGGACTGAAAGTATTGTTCTCCTCCTTTTCATCCCAGGGCTCTTGTGATTTTACTGCTTGCCCTGGATGCATATGAAGGAGGGGTTTTTTCAAGGGCTTTGAAATATAGTTCGAATAACTAGAAAGATCCTGTGCCAAGAAACATAGTGATCACCTGTCGTCCCGTTTCTTCTAGACATTAAAGTATTATATATCACTAGATGAAAAAAATAGGAGCGAAAATGTACGATGATATATACAGGTTATCGGGAAACCTTGGAGTAAGTTTATATAGCAGGGTTCCGCTTATACACACTTGCGCGGTTATACTTTTGATTTTATTCGGTCTTTTGACTATACCACACGTACAGACAGAGAGCGAGAGAGAAATTGAGGATACATTAGCAGTATCATCAGCACCGTTGTCGATCCAACAGTCAAGTGAACTCATGCACGTTTAGCCACGTTTATATTCGAAAGTGTTAAATGTAAAAAAGGTCGAGGGAAAACTTTAGATTTTCCTTAATAAGACGAATCAATGCACTGTGCATGTCTGTTATTGACAGCACAAATCAACGGTAGAAGAAGAAAAGCACTTTCTTCGACTGTAATGAAATTTCAAGATTCGTCAGCACTTGTTTTTTGGAATAAAGTGTAGCGACATCCACATAGAAAAGACAGTAAACATTTGAATTTATCCAGCAAGCGAGCAAAGCCAACGTTCGGGCGTTTGCGGAGAAACTCAATCCTTGATGGCCGGCTTGCAGAGAAAAGCCCCAAGAATAGGTTGCAAAGAAACCCTCATGCATAACATTGCAGTTGTTGGGAATTTCTTGCTCAGATTGTGGCTCTATGATTTATTACAAATGCAGTATATCTCTCAAACATTGCGCGCGTGCGGAAAAGAGAGAGAAAAACTTTTTTTTTAAAAAATTGCGTCCCCTTTATTTGTGTGTGTGTTTTGTGTATCTTTCTTTCTCCTTCTTCTACCATTTTTGCCATCGTCGTCGTCGTACCTCTTCGTTCAACACTACATATTAAAGAAAAACGAAATCATCATCATGAATGCCGCTGTAGCCATGCAACACTCTACAACACATCGAGCATTCATCGGAGGCGCTATTAGCATTACAGCCGGCCTGGTATTCGGTACAGCCAGTTTCCTTGGTTTTGGGGACAGTGCTGCCCAGGTCCTCACAAAGTGCATGTCGGCATGGATGGGTAAATAACGTTCCCGTTCATCGTTGTTTCAAGCAGCTATACAACAAGCAGCATGATATGATTGCTAAGAAGAAAAGGATTGCTTTTTAAAGATTCATTAGGTCACCATCATCGGACAGGGTTTCCTAAGCTTCTCATGGAATCAGCAGCATCCCATCCAAACGGTCCCTTGGATCATCTCCGGTTGCTCAATAACGCACCCGAATCATTATCTACACTCTCAACATCAGCACCATCAAGACGTTTGTTCGTCCATACTCGATGCGCATAAAAGGAAACAAGAAAGAAAATTTATTATACTTCATCAACAACTCCTCCCGATCCCGCCTCTCGTCAACAGCAACTGTCACTAATCCCTCCTTATTTCTCCTCTGATGAGTTCGTACACTGGTTAAACCGCTCCCCTATATATAATATCCTACTGCTGGTGGTAGTGGTGGTGGTGGCAATCCCACGAGTATTCAATATAACAAAATGATTGTGGCTGATCAAAAAAGGAAAGCCAAGTTCAAGGAGTCGTCACTGTAGGAACTTGAACATACCATGTATACGACATCCATGGCTGCTGTTTCTGCTGCTGCTGCTGCTGCTGCTGCTATTGCAGCCAACTCTCTATCTTTTATCCGTGCAAACCAGTATAGTTTATCCCCTCGTTCCCCTTCTTTTCTGTCTTTCTTTCTTGTATATTTTTGTTTCTTAACCCCGCCTCGTCTCGTCTCCTTGCATGTATTTTATATTCAACAGTACAAGTACTATCTCCATTATATATTTATATTTACATTGACCTAATGCATTCTTCATCATATAATATACTTTACTTTAACCTAACATTATACGTGACTTACAGCGTTTAAAAAAAATTGTTTCGTGGGGTGCAACGCACTGGTCAGCTGGTTTCTTTTCCATATATGTGTGAGCCGCTATAAATGGACCATTGTTTTGATCCTAATCACATAATTGTACATAAAGGATGCTTAAATGTCACTGCTGCATGCTGCAGATCACTCAGCTAATTTTTAAATATATTACCCTCCATCCCGCGGGAGAGAGTTCCTCTTGCTTGTCGCAATGAAGTACACCTTGAGAAATTCGATAAATATATCTTGTGTTCGTAGTAGTGACAGTGAACATCTTTCCTTCAATTTTACTGTTTTTATAAGTGAGTACCACTAGATCAATTTGAGACTGCTTAGCAGTTGTATGCAAGCGGTATGGGTCAGTAAGTAAGAGCGATTGCTTACTGGTGGCAATGAGATATACAATCATCTTCCAGATTTACCTATCAAACTATGCTTTCCAAGATACCACCCGTGGACAAAATTCTGGCCTTAAAACGTAATAGCCAAAAAAAGAACGTATAAATTTATTCCTTTCAATCCTTCCAACTGTACGTTCTTCTTAGGGATAGATGCTTTACTGAAAGATGTCTTGGTTATACACTGTATCTATAAGTTTTATCAAATATATCTGTTCGCTATCTGAAAATACATAGTGATGATGATCTAAACTAATGATGTTAAACAAGGTGGTTGTATTCAGCAAAAGCGCGAATAATATTTCAAAGAGGACATTGTAGAAAAGACAAGTGAGCAACTTTCTGCCATTGTATCTATTCAGGCTCTACGTAATAAATATACACTTAAGAAATTCCGCTATCTAATATTCTCCTTCAGTTATTCAAGTGCTACAATGGCGTTTAGCAAGTACTCTTATGTTAAGTGCAGCGATATGTGGATGTCCTATCTAGACTGGTTTATCATCTAATGCACACTTATCAACTTCCATTGGTATGTATTAGCAATTTATCGACGACCTGTGTGAGAGAAAATATCTTGGTATCTTTTATTTAGGGGCTCTCCTGATGATTTTCATCTAATTCAAGCTCATTCTTACTAATATAATACCATCAACCTCCTCACTCCAGCCACATCACCCGACGTCAACATTGCATGGTCCAACTTCTGGCAGATCCCAACAGAACACCAAGGCCGCAACATTTGGTACCGTCTACTTCACAACCACCTACCGACAGCCTCGAGAGTCCACCGCATAGCACCAGCTTTTCTTCCCTCACCAAGCTGTCGCTTGTGCCTTGCGCCCGTCGAAGATACTAATCACTTCCTGTATTATTGCCCAAAAAAAGAACTAGTGTGGCGACTGGCTTGGGCACCGTTCCACTATGCCGATCCACACCTGCCGGCTATCGCACATGCGATGAAGACTGCTATCTTCGCACGCCGCTCTTGCTCCCAACCCAAAACCGCTCTTCTCTGCATCGCCATCATTCAAGCGATCTGGTCAGCACATTGGTCTTTCATATTCGACGACCATCCTTTCATTCCGCAGGCAGTCGCTGCTCATGCCACTGCCATCTACCACCGCACATATAAATAGTTTTCTCTTTCCGTCACTTCTCTGTTCCTCATTTTCTCATACATGTATTCACACCCAATAGTCAGTCACTCCTCTGTACACTCTGTTGGAAATAAAATTTTGCTTCCAGGCCATAAAAAAAAAAAATATATAATACCATCAATGGAGACCGCGATGGACCTCCCCTACTGTTTGGTGTGACACGAGTTGACATTTGGCGCTGGTGGTTAGGGATCGCAACCAACCCACGTATTGAGGCTTGTGCTGGTATGTATTGTAAGGTTTTTCTGCTTGGCTGTTTCTTTAAACAGTGTACCAAAGCAAAACCAAACTAGGGCTACGGTGCACCTAGAGCAAAAGCTCATCAACCGTTTTGGGCTCTCACGGAACCTATATTCTAGTACTCCAAGAATGCTATGATATTTCATATACTGGAGAGTTCCGCGTTGTAGAGAGTGTGGAACAACATCCAAATAAAACTTTGTTTGAATCGACGGGAAAACAATGTGCTTTTCCTTGATATCATATAGTCCTTTACTACCTGTAGCTAATACTCTAGTGTTGTCGTAAGTTTATTCATTTTTCCCCTAACGAAGTTATCGCCTTCTACAGGAAAATGCTCAAAGATGTGTTGGTACGCGACTGTACGCAGTAATTCTACAGGTGCTCATATCGCAGCTGTTGCATAGAGTTGGATTGTGTGCATCAATAGACCGCCGAGCGCCGCCAAAGGGTTCTGCTGATAATAGTATATTTACTTTAATGGTCAAGGTCTCCGAACAAACAATGGCGTGTCCAGATCTGACAGGACTCCTGTTATGGCAAATGGTCGTTGATCGCTACTACACAGCATCGATTTGCCTCAAGACGGACCTTTGTTCCATATTGCGGACACCTACTACGATCAGCTCGAAGAGTCGCCACGAATTCTAGAATATGATAGCACAAAGTTGTAAATGACAGGGGCGCCCAAGCTGTCTCGGAATTCGTGTGGAACGCCAAGCCTATGGATATCAAGAAAGGTTTCAAAGAGTTAGATCATTACGCGGATAGAGCTGATCTTTTTTAGAGGGCGTGTACTTTGATGTACCTATGAGAGGTCTTTTCAAGATAGCTCCATTTATATAAGAACCTTGAAATACATACAACAATAGTGTTAATGATAGATGATGACTTGCCGATCCTGTTTATCAACAAATGCGCATAGTACCTTTTTGAACAAAGTTCCCGCCTCAAAATGGATCTTATTCAGTTTGTAAACTCCTTTGATGCTTCATACGAGAGAACATTGTAGAAAGAAGACCATTTGATTTTGTGTTTTTACTCATCGTCTTCATGGAAATACATAACATCCAAATATCATTTACACGTGTCTCAGCTATCATTGGTACCTCCTAACAAATAAAAACACCTTCACAATCACTAAAAGTTACAAACTGCGTTTAATTATTTCATTATATTTTTGATTATCAAGAGATGGTTGAAGAAAAGAAGAAAGAAGTGTTCGAGATGAAATGGAACATATTGCAGGGAGACGACAGAAATGAGGAATGCTAATGCTCAGTGGAGAAGAAAAGAGGGATGGATATGTGTTTATGTTTTTACGAATACCGTATTACTATGCTACTAATTCACCATTTAACTGTCCTTGACGAGTCGAGCAACCAAATCTCCCGAGGAGAGCGAATCGCCTTCCTGAATTGGCACCGTCTCGACCTTACCAGCCACTGGCGTTGTCACGACCGTTTCCATCTTCATGGCACTCAATACACAAACAGGGTCACCTGCCTTGAGATGAGCGCCTTCCTTGGCACGTACTTCGATAACGACGCCCGACATGGGTGCACCGACATCACCTGGGTTGGATGACTTGGCCTTCTCGCGCGTCACCTTTTCAATAGCAGCACTCTTGTCGGTGATACTGATGGCACGCGCCTCACCGTTCAATTCAAAGTAGACATCACGCTTGCCGTCACCGCTGATGGATCCGACTGCCAACAGCTTGATAATCAACGTCTTGCCTTCCTCGATCTCAATGTGGAATTCTTCACCGACTTCAGGCTTGCGCAGGAAATAGCGGGTAGGAATCACCGACATGTCGCCGTGCTGTTGGACCATCTCGCGGTAATCGGCAAAGACCTTGGGGTACAACGCAGCGGAAAGAACATCATAGTCGCGGATACCGCTGCCGTATTTTTCGACCAGTTCGTCCTTGAGTTTGGCCAGATCCATGGGTGGCATGGATGCGCCAGGTCGCCCGTCAATGCGTGGTAAGTCGCGGATAATGTTGGAACGCAAAGGTTCAGGGAAACCACCATAAGGCTGTCCAAGATAGCCCTGGAAGAACTCGACGACCGAAGTAGGGAATGACAAGCTACGTGCACGCTCCTCAACATCCTTGCCAGTCAGGCTGTTGGTCACCATAAACTGAGCAAGATCGCCAACGACCTTACTGGATGGAGTAACCTTGACGACATCACCGCACAATTGGTTGGCTTCTTCATAGGCAATCTTGATCTGTCGCCATTGGGTGCCCAAGCCGAGCTGCTGTGCTTGGAACATCAGGTTGGTGTATTGACCGCCAGGCATTTCGTGGTCATACACTCCAGAGTCTGCCGCCTTGACATTGGCTTCAAAACAAGAATACAGGAGACGGGCCTGTTCCCAATACGAATTCAATGCTTGGATATCCTCCATGCGAATCCCGGTGCCCATGTTGGTCTGTTCGAGCGCAGCGACTAAAGCACCCATAGCAGGCTGCGAGGTCATGCCAGACATGGCATCGAGGGCAGCATCGACAACATCAGCACCTGCAGCAGCAGCTGCCAGCATACTAGCAACACCCGTACCGGCCGTGTCGTGCGTGTGGACATGGATAGGCAAATCAGGGAACTTTGCACGGATGGCACCGACCAACGTCTTTGCTGCCTCCGGCTTCAACAGACCAGCCATATCCTTGATACCCAAAATATGGATGCCCTCATTAACCAGTTCTTGGGTCAGCTGAAGATAGTAATCCAAGGTGTATTTCTTTTTCTCCGGGTTCGAGACATCGCCGGAATAACAGATGGCTGCTTCGACGACACCACCGGCCTTTTTGACTGCATCAATGCCGAGCTTCATGTTTTCGACATAGTTGAGCGAGTCAAAGACTCGGAAAATGTCCATGCCGGCTTGGACGGATTTGGCGCAAAAGTCGTAAACAACATTGTCCGGGTATGACGTGTAGCCTACGGCATTGGCGCCACGCAGAAGCATCTGGAATGGAACGTTGGGCACGGCTTCACGAAGTTTGATCAGACGGTCCCAAGGATCCTCGTGCAAGAAGCGCATCGCGACATCAAAGGTGGCACCGCCCCACATTTCCAAGGAGAAGGCATTGGCAAGAGCGTGGGTAGTGGCAGGCGCAATACGCAGTAAATCTAGCAAAAGTGGTTTAGCAGTTTAGCAACCTCCCCGCACCACGATGATGAAATAGTATAGAAGAAGTTGGGGATGTTTTGTAAACAATGTACCGATAGTGCGCACACGTGTTGCCAGCAAACTTTGGTGAGCATCGCGCCACGTGGTGTCCATGATAAGCACACCAGGGTATTTTCTCACCGCCTTGGCAAAGGCCTCGGGTCCTTCCTCGACCAGAATCTTGCGCCAGCCATCCTTTAATGGAGCCGAAGCATCGCCATGACCCTTGCTATGGTTGTTGCGCAAGACAGGCACCTCGATTTCATGATGCAACTGCGGGTCACCCAACTGGCCCTTGATCTGCGATCCGTTGACAACAACGTCGCCGAGATACCCGAGCATGCGCTGGGCACGGTTCTGGTAGCGGACCAGACGGAACAGATCCGGGGTGTCATCAATGAACGTGGTCCAGCAGTTTCCATTGATAAACGTGTCATGCGTCAGCAGTCGTTGCAAGAACGGAATGTTTGTTTTGACGCCTCGGATACGGAATTCGACAAGTGCGCGGACAATCTTGCGTCGAGCCACTTCATAGGTCGAGCCAGAGCAGGTGCACTTTACGAGGAGCGAGTCATAGTGCGGCGTAATGATCGCACCGGCATAGCCTGCACCACCATCCAAACGTACACCATTACCGCCAGAGGACCGGTACACTTCGATCTTGCCAGTATCCGGTTGGAAATTGAGCTCTGGATCCTCGGTCGTGACGCGACACTGGATAGCAAATCCGCGTTGACGGATCCGTTGTTGGGTCAATCCAAGTTGGGGCAACAAAGCACCGGCAGCAATTTGTATCTGGGCTGCGACGATATCGATGCCTGTGATTTCTTCGGTGATCGTATGCTCGACCTGGATACGTGGATTGATTTCAATGAAATAGTGTCGGTTCTGGTTATCGACCAAGAATTCAGCCGTGCCCGCATTCTTGTACTTGACGTGCTTGGCAATCTTGACCGCGTCGTTCAGGATGGCTTCACGCACGGTGTTGTCGAGGTTCTTGGCAGGCGCGATCTCGACGACTTTTTGGTGACGTCGTTGGACCGAACAGTCGCGCTCAAACAGGTGGACGACGTTGCCGGCACGATCGGCCAGAATCTGTACTTCAATGTGGCGCGGCTTGTCCACAAAACGCTCAATGAACACAGTGCCGTCGCCAAAGGCAGAAAGTGCTTCGGATTTGGCGCGTGTGAATGCGTCTTCCAACGATGCCTCGTCACGCACAACACGCATACCACGACCACCACCGCCCATGGCTGCCTTGATGATGATAGGGAATCCATGCTCCTTGATAAAGGTGACAGCTTCCGAGTATTCGCTAACAGGACCAGGCGTACCAGGCACCACAGGTACTTGACATTCCATTGCTACATGGGATACAGTTACATGAGTTTTTTTCTTCTTCGAGATTTAAGGTTATGTGTTGAAGCTCTATAGGGTTGTTTATGCGCGAACCCCGTATGTGTATGTGTGTGCATACTTCTGCACGGGGCGTGGGTGTACACAAGTGTTTCATCCTTCCCCCCTCCTATCCTTTCCCAATCTCTCTTTGTTGAAACTTTACCGATTTGTCTAGCCTTTGTCTTGTCACCCAAACTTTCAATCACATTGGCAGCCGGGCCAATGAATGTGATCCCAGCAGCCTCGACCTTGCGTGCGAACGCTGCATTCTCGGACAAAAAGCCATAGCCTGGATGGATCATGGCAACACCATGTTCTTTGGCAATACGCACAATTTCATCCTGTGCCAAGTAGGCAGCCACAGGGGTAAACTGACCTAGTTTGCCCACTTGATAGGATTCGTCGGCCTTTTTTTTTTTTTAGAATTCCCGCTTGGTTAATGCAAAAGATCTCATTGTCGCGTATTTCGGAATGAGTTACCTTGTATCGATGCATGGACAATCGATCTTCATATGAGAAAATGGCGATCGTACGCATGGACAGTTCATGGGCTGTACGGAAAACGCGGATGGCAATTTCCTAGTATTCGCAAAACAACGTGTCCGTGTCAAAAAGGTTCTGTATGTGTCATGATCTTGAGAGGGGCAAGGAACTTACACCACGATTGACAACCATCAGCTTCCGAAGGCTGCCCATGACCTCGCTACTGCGACGGATGGTTTCTACAGAGTGTTCGCGGTGAGGCATATTCTAGAAACGGGAGTGGGAGAGCGTGTAGTAAAAGAAAAAAAGAAAGATGGAAACAAAAAGAAGAGGAAGGGAACCGTTTTGAGGTTGTTGGAGCTTGTAGAAAAAGAAAATAGAAAAAAAACGTCGGGAAAATGCTGGTAAAAGATGGGGATTATCTCGAACGTTCATTGGTCCAAAATAGCCCTACTTTCCTTTTACTGCCCCAAAGATAAGATGAAAAATGCACGATTGATGATAACAATAATAATCGATGATGATGATAAATGAAATGCTTCTTTATTTGAAACGTGGGACAACAGCAGCAGCAGCAGGAGTAGTACCACCACCCACCTCTGACGCCGTAGTGGCGGTCATCAAATTGGAATGATCTAACAAGAACATCTCAAGATCTTGCCAGCCCCCACCTACGCGCACCAAAACCTTGTTCTGTGGCGGATGCGCTGCTTTGCTCCTTCTTTGTGTGTTGTTCTCGTACGTCATTAATTTACAAGTGTACAGTTTCTTGCCCCCGCCCACCGATGGGCTCAGTTCGTTGCCAAAAAAGTACCGCCCGCCGCCCAACGGTCCCTTTTGGCATTTCACAGAGATTGGACTCGCGTTGACGATGCGCGCAACTTCCATGTCTAATGGATCCCTTGGATTGGGCGTATACACTTCATGATGTTGATGATGCTGATTGTTACTGCGTGGATGGTGTCCCCGTATCAGCGAGAAATCACCGCCATGGATGCCGTCTCTGCCACCACCATGACCGTCTTCGGAAAGCCGTCGTCGTCGATACTGTGGTGACGGTGCGCGCATGGGAACATGCGTCATTCGAAAGGGCGACGTAGTACGATGCATCAACGCGGGCATCGACTGTTTCTTTTTCAACGATGGTTGTTGCTGCTGTTGATATTGGTCTTGATAAAAGGATGCTGGTATGGGCGGTATAGGAGGAGGAGGAGAAGGATGGTGTTGTTGCATCGATGACCGTGGCCGTGGAATCAAACTCGGTGATTCGCATCGCATTGCACTTGAGCTGGGCGTCTTTGGCCGTGGGATCAGGGATGGTGTCATGGTACGACGCGGAATGGGTGACATGGATCGATCCAGTTCATAATCATTGCTTTTATTGGGTACTGTCAGTTGCTGCTGTTGACGACCGAGACTACTCTTGGGTCGACTCGGGACGTTCGGTGTCGTCGATTTCCGCCGTGTATAGCCTGGATTAGGTGTCTTGGATCGCTGGACCGGCGTCTTGGGTCTGCTCGGTGATTCGGATCGTCGCATGCCTTGGTCCACACTTTGTGCGCGTCGTGCTGTTCGCAACAGCGTGCTCTTTGTCGGCTTCATCCATGTCGCCTCTTCTTTGTCTTCCCCATTGCGTCCAGGTACACGGCTCTTGCGACACGTGGCAGTAGTCGCAAACGACCTTGACTCGTGGTGGCTCGTGCCAATGGGCGTCATTGTCTTGCGTCCTGGTACTGGGTAAGAATCAATGGACGAAGACTCTGAAGCACTCGGTCGTATATCGCGAGCATATGCCATGGAGCTCGCTGCGCGTGGTGGATGGTACTGATGATGCTGCTGCTGTTGTGTGACCTTGCTATGGAACATACGGCCACCGCTAGGTGTTACACTACGAACACCTGCCGTACGACGATAGTCTTCCTGTTCCTGATGGTGATGATAGTGATTAGTGTTGTTGTTGTAACCACGAACAGCAAAATTGGTTTTAGGCAACGTGTTGTTGTTGCTGTGGGCACTTTTTGCCCGCAAAAGTGCTTCGCCTTGTTGATGATGACTAGGCTCTGGACTCTTGTACCGTATGCTTTTCCAGCCACCCGGACTTTTGGGCGTATGCATGAGTTCGGATAGCATCCGTTCCGTCTCTGGCAAATCCTTGTTGCGCAAGGTATCCATCGACGTTTTCAGTGTTGTCCATCGCTGCATCATGGACGCATGTCGCTTGCTCGTGCCATTGTTGTGTGCCACGCGAGACACGATACCGCTGCCCAGCATGTGAAGCATTTTACCGATCGATGGCGTATAGTACTTATTCTTGGCCTCAAAGTTCTTTTCCACGGATCGGAACTTTTCCGGATCCATTGGCGGTGGCATTGCTGTCGCTGTCGTTGATGATGATGATGTAGTATTTGCCGTCGTTGTCGAAGATGAAGAGTGATGACGAGGAAAGCTTCGCATGATTGATTTGGAAAAACGATTAAAGGCGTTCCCCTGAGATGATTGTTGTTGTTGATATGTTGCATGATACCACTCGCGCACCTGGTCAATGATTGTGTAACACTGAGTAACGGTCTTGTCAAGACCGTCAATCATTACATCCACTTGATCTGCAACTTGGCGGAACACCGTGAGCCACCGGTCTTCCTTGAGCTCTTCTTTGAGGTCATCAATTTCGATACGCAGTGCCTCCCATCGATGCTGGACCATGTGGTGCTTTCGTGTGAGCATCCCGGACGGGTCCTCAGGTGGTGAAGGGGACGTCATGCTGGCATAAATTCGTTGGACGTCGTTGAACAATGGTTCTACCTTGCTATCAATTTCTGCCAGAATATGCTCGTCTCGTGGTGCCTGTGCTGCTGATGATGACGACAGTGGTTCATTGCTATGGATGCTGCTAACAACGCTGGTAGCAGCTGTTGTTCCAGTAGCTGTAGTGGTAGTCGTGGTCGTGGAAGGAGAAAACAAACTGCTGGTAGTGCTAATCGGTGAGCCCATGACGTCGTTCTGAGTATCCAAATTATAAGCAATACCATTGGCAGTAGCAGCTGTGATTGCAGTGGTAGTGGCAGCGGCAGCAGCAGCAGCATGCCGCTTCTCCTGAAATTGGAACATCATAATCGACAAGTCATCAATTTGCTGCAGCACGTTCTCCATGAGCAGCGTGAGCTCCTTTTTCTCATTCATCGTATCCAGTTGTTTAAGCACCGACGACATGAAATGCTGCAGACCAGACCATTCGCTTTGGACTTTGGTAATCGCCATGCGCGTGTGCATCTTTTTGGTATTAGCACCGCTCGTCCCAACACCGCCACCGCCATTATAATCGTCCCCTTCCATGTCGAGTTTGTCTTCGAGGATGTGACCCACTTCGACCAAAATCGAAATAAGTGGCTCCATCCTACCAAAAGCCAGTTCTAAAAGATGATCGTTTTCATAGTCGTCATAGTAGTGTTGGAGTAGTTCGTTGTTGTTGTTGTTGTTGTTACTGCCGCCTTCCTTGAGCTGTAGTTCCAATGTAAATACAGCCATTTGAGCTGTTTCAAGCCATCGTGTCATTTTGTCCATACATGCATCAAAGTGTATGAGGACTTGGCTGAGTGACAAGTTTTCATGCAGGTTGAGGATGGCATTGATTTCCTTGTCGGGCAGTGGGGTTGCACCAAGTCGAGAAAAGACGGAATCTTCCGATTGCATCGATATCGAGGGTTTCACGGACAGAGGTGGGAGGAGCTGTTGTTGTTGTTGCTGTTGCTGTTGTTGTTGTGTTTGATGTCGAGTTGAAGAGGATGCTGTTTTAGTTGTAGTAGTTGTAGTAGTAGTGACAGCTGTAGCGGTGGTAAAAGTAGTAGCAGTTGCCATGATTGCTTTTTTGGATTATATTTACATGCTGGATAATACAGGTTTTTATTATCAATAATTATAAAGGCACACACATTCGACAAAAAAAACCATACAAAGGAAAGAAACCAAGGGTAGCTTACCAAAAGGAAAAAGAAATAGAGGAAATGGGTTCGGGGGTATCAACAATGCAATAGGGATTAACAGAAAAAGAAGTAGTTAATTGAAATGGAAAATGAAAAATGAGGATGAGATGCAAATGATTTAAAACAGCATGAGCCAAAAGGAAAAAGAAGTGAAAGAAAACAAGAAGACAAAAAAAAGACTTTTTTTTTTTGTGGGCCGCGTGTGGGGGTTTGTTGCCTTGATAGTCTCTCTCTTTCTGGGCCCAATGCTGCTTGGTATAACACAAAGCAGCAGCATGTATACGTGATGATGCTCACACACAACACCAGTTGTGCGCGCTTACTGCAATCATGTGATACGAATAGCTTGGAACGCCATCAACGTTCCAACATATACGAAGAAAAAGGCCCTCCCCTTATTTTTTTCTTCTTATTAGCGAGAACACCGATTCGTCAGTACAGCCTCCTATTTTCCTACTTTTGTGTGTGTGTGTGTATGTGCGATTGATTACTTTTACAAAGGAAGATCTTCCCCCTTAAGCAAAACCTCCATTTCTGTATCCTCCGCCGCGGGTTTTCCGTCCCTCCTGATGGTGACACGAGCACCTTTGCCCACGGAGGACCGGTTCCGTTGGCCTGACCCCAGTATTATCATCCATCATCCTATAGAGCCAATGCTCTCTCTCTCTCTCTGTCTCTCTTGTATCATATCAAACAAAACATGGTTGTTTATACCTGGTACATATCCAACACCCTCTTACTTACTACATTTCTATTTGTGTGTGTCATACACACATATGGCTATATTTTTTATTTATTTATGTGTATGTTTTTTTTTGACAGATTCAAACAGTCCCAGTTCGTAGAGTGTTTTAACCCTGCAGCAATTTGAGTTTGACAGTTCATTGCGGTTTTGGGGGGGAAGGTGTATATATATATATAAGTGTGTCGATGATTGAAGGAAGGGGAGAGTGGGGGTGGAGGATTGTGTATGGCTTGCGTGGTGGATAACCAACGTCGGTTCTTTTTTTCAAGAAGGATGAAGTTTAATGGGGAGAATAGGAGCTCAACTGTCGTAGCACGATATGATTGTGCTGCTGCTTGTTGGATCATCTATAATACATGATTGAGCAGCGCTGCACTGACCAATTTACTCAACAGACACACACACACACACACACACATAGATCATCTTGGAATTATAAGACAACTGTTGCTGATGATTATATGGATGCTGCTGCTGCATAGAAAGTGTAGCACACACACGCACACAAATATGCATATTGGCTGATTTGGGTTAAAAAAACAATGCGTGCGGGCGTCGTCGTTGATGCATTTTAGAACAGTTCTGATTCATCAGATACTATAGACACCGCAAAACAACGAAAGCTTTTCGGCTTTTGTGCGTTTTTTCAATTGTTTGCTGTCATGTTGTTTATATATATCTTCTTAGCGAGCAAACATGCGTAAATGACCGGCTTTTCTTTTTTTTTTTTTTACTTGGAGTTCTTCCTGTCGCGCACTCCTGAAAAAAAAAGTAAATAATATTAATCGGATCTTCTCCTGTACGCCCCCCTCTCCTCCCCATATGGTAGACTCGAACAACAGAAAAAAAAAGACAAAGAGAAAATAATGATGATGCTTTGCTGTATGTGAGTGGCTTTATTGTTTGATCGCCTTTTTGCAAATATCTCCCTAATTTTTGGCTCTAATACACATGCTTATTCTCTCTGTCTTTTTTTCACTCATTTTCTCGATCAAAAACTGGTTTTCTCTCTTTGTTGATCTCATTGTATCATTGTTTTCTTAAATGTCATTAAAAAAACTTATTTTTAACCTTGCTGTCATGACAACAAAAGGCCATATTTAATTATATCGTCATGGCAACAGTTTCCACAGGACAAGTTCTCATCCGAAAAAGGCAAGCGAGAGAAAGAGAGAAAGAGCTGAGTGTCAAACCAGATGACGTGAATCGGGCCTTGTTGTTTTTTGTGTCGTTTTTACCCAGCTCATCGACTTGTTAGTGCAACCCTAAAAACTACCTTGACTACACAAAAAAGAATGTTGGCCAGAGCATTTGTACGATCCTCGAGACTTACACGTCCAACCTTAATGCGCCGTGGTGGTGGTGGTGGTACCCCCTCATGGAACGAACCTGGAGGTTACCTTTTAAATGAAAAGGTAAATTTGTGTGTTTTATTTATTCCTACCATTGGGGCAGCGATTCCAGGTTTAATGAGTGGGACACGACAACAATACGACGACGACGACGACGACGACGACCGATACATGAAAACCACGAAACAACTCAGAACGAAATTGCTTTATATTGAGAGAAAAAAAAAACCTTCAATGTATATTTATTTTAGACCCGCGTCAAGGAAGATTGGGAAAGCATGTACTACTGGGGCATGGGTGGCGGTTTCGCTTTGACCGCCGTTTTCTTGTACTATAAGCCTGATACCAGGTAAAAAAAAAAGAAGGACTAATATAAATAATAGGAGAGAGTTGGAGATAAGAGAGAGGAGAAAAGAAAGATTCACTCATCATTTCTAAAATTTAATGTTCCTTTAGCGTTACCACCTGGGCAACCAAGGAAGCCGAGAAGACTTTGAAGGAGAAGGGTATCAAGCTCGACTTTGAAAAGACCGCTTAAACAATACAACCCCAATCTTTGTAGACAGAGCACCAACCAGCACCACTACCCAACCCAACATCAACAATAACCCACCGAATCACACATAATAAAATAAACCCCACATTTATATATACAGAGGGAACTCAAAACTTTGAAAAATGTATAAAGGGGAATGCTTTGGAGGTTTGGGATGGAAGCGGTGGTATAAATATCATCTTGTTCCTTTCTTCTCTTTCATATCTCCAAAAGAATTAGTGGTTATTATTATGATTGCTCCAAACATGGAGAGTGAAGATGGTGTTGATTTACAATAGTACGACTCTTGGGTCTTGAGGATAAGGATGAAGATGATGCTGAGGTTAAGGGAGGCCGTGACGGTCGTGATAAAGTATCGGATGCAACAGCATGATGATGATGGAGATGACGACTGTTCCTATTACTGCCTGGAGATACTGAACGTAGACTCGCCTTTTTAACAGCCTTGTCGCGTTCAACAAGATATTCGGTATAGGTTCGCCAAAGTTTGCGTGGAAATAAGATAACTGTTCGACCCCATTTTAGACCGCAGATAATGATCCAGACAAGAAGTGCGAATACTAAGATACGGAGAGCATTGTTGAGTTCCATGTTCATCCTTTTGCTCATAATGTAATGTAAAGGATTTAAAAACTCACATGTGAGCAGATAGGATAGTAAGGCATAACCAGTATCAAGCCATGGGTTTTTGGCACGATTGGCAAGAATAGATTCCACATCGACTTCAAGTTTTTTAAGCTGCTTCACATTTAGTTTTTTTTTTTTTTCACAGAGACAGAGAGAGGAGATATATACATGAAAACGGGAAAAATATAAGGACTTACAGCAGAGTAATGTGTTTCTGGGATATCTTTTATGTACAAGGACATGCGTTGTCGGGTATCGTTGATATCGATTTGTATATCGCGTATGAGATCTTGCGTCCCTTGTAATTCACGTTTAAAATCGGTCATTTCACTCTCGAGTGCACATACGCCCAATCGCACTTCTTCTTGCCGATAATCAAATGGATTGACAGACCCATAAGGTAAATTATGGGGATCAAGCAGGAGGGAGGAAGGAACACGACGAATGGATGATGAATAGTGTCTTTGCTGTCCTCCTCCTGTTAGCGATGATGATGATGATGTTGTTGTTGTAGTGCTCGAGGAAGTTGTATTGAGTGAAAATGCCGATCGTTTCTTTTTGATTTCTTCTGCTGCTGCGGCAGCGGCAGCTACTTCTTTGATACTATGGATGCTTTTGCTCGATGGTTGACGACTGCTGTTGGCTGGACTCGGCCATGGTGAATACTGGGATGACTCGTTCCCTTCATCGTCAAATGCGAGTGCGTCCAGGGCTTCTTTATTATCTTCCATAAATTGCTAAACAAAACACCTCTATTGGATAAGTCCTCCATTCATGCGCCAAAAAACAACACAAGGAAATCTCGCTTACCTTGGCGTCTTGTGCTAAATGCTGTAACGTTTCAATTCTACGATCCACTTTTTGCAACAATATCTGGATATCCTCGCTATGATTTTCTCTACATGAATAGCGTTGCGTTAGTTCCAAGTTAAAACACAGAAAATAATAAACAGAAACAAACGTAAAGAAAGTGTTTAGAAACTTACTCTTCATCTTCTGCTTCACTGCCCAACATGGATACGTGCAAATCCAACAGGTAACCTTAATATGGAAAAAAAAGGGCAATCGTGTAAATTTTTCTATTAACTCGTATTTAAAGAAGCATAAGCTTACCATTTCTCATTGAGTTGCCGTCTGTTAGATGAACCAATTTGACGAATTCAGCCTTGTCTGAACGACTTGCTTGTACCATAGCAATCCTTTTCGAGACAATCGAGCTCGTACCATCATCAACAGGGTTAGTGTCGTCGCCACTGGTATGACAGTGAGCAGTCGTTGAAACGAGTTCTGATGCATCAATCACATCTTCATCATCAACTTCTTCTTCTTCTTCCTCGTCGTCATCGGTACGTTTATAATACGTTTTAACGCGTCGTTCTTCCACTTGCATTTTGCCTTGCTTTTCATATTTACGCAGCAAGCCCAAAACTTCTGCGGGTAATGTATCGTAATCCAGCATTAACTGTTTTACATTTTCTTGCTGCTTCTGCTGCTGTTGTTGTTGTTCTGGTTGTTCGTCGTTATCATCGTCGTCACTCGTTGCTGCTTCAGATCCCATGCCACTACTGCTACCACCCAATGATTTCTTGGCAAGAATATTATCGTCACCACTGAGATCTGTTTCGTCAAGATGTGTCAAGTCGGATCCCAAGACATTGTTGTTGCTGGTTTGTTCTCCCGAGATAGGCTAGAGAAACATCCATTGCAAAAAAAAAAAAAGGTAAATTGTATCAGTGTCTCCCCTCTCCCTCTCCAAAAAAAAAATTGTTTGTTCGAGAGATTACCTCAGGAGTGGAAAACAAAGGTACTGGAGGATGTATCGAACCGCCTGGAGCTTGAGCAGAAGCGACAGTAGCAGCAGCAGCAGCATCATAATCATCGGGTGCTCGTATACTATCCAACGAATGTCTTCGTTGAAACTTTAGGTTGCTCGACCGTCTTTTCGGTACTCGTGTTGCTGCAGAAGGCGCTCGATTGAGTGGAGATTCAGAGGATGTCCGTCGATGTGATCGTAGCTTTATCAACGATGACGTTGAAAACTTCTTGTTGTTACCACCTTCCTCTGAACTGGATTCACTTGTCGTCGTAGTAGTAATAACGCTCATAGGGTGATGGTGTGCAGACATGAACAGTTTCAAGGGATCGCCAACAGCAGCAATTGAACTACCCGTATTCGTCGTCAAAGCACTATTATTACTGCTGCTATGATGACTACCATCTCGTATCATAGACGCTGATGATGTTGTAGTTGGTTGTTGTTGCTGTGTTTCGTTGATATCCATACGTCCTTTGCCTTTATCTCTTCCTTTGATAAAATGCTTATACCATGATCGTCGATGCTCGTTGTTACTGCCGCTGCTACTGTTACTATTGTTGTTGATTTTGTTTCTATTCGATGGTGACGGGGTCGATAAGGATGGCCGAGTAAGTGATGGGTATACATTGTTGCTGCTACTGCTGCTATTATTGTTATTGTTTGTTGAAACAGAAGAAGGCAAGTGCTCGGTACTGGCAAACGTGCGCTCCTTCTTGGCGGGTTTATTGTTACGATGATCGTGATGATATTTTTTGCTGTTGTTGTTATTATTGCTATTACCGCCTCCAGTACGGTCCGGAAGCTGGGCTGTCATTTTTGTCAGGTTAAGAATATCTTCGTTCGATACAGCTAGCAATTCTTTGACTTTTTCGTATTAAAAAAAAGTATTATGTGAATACAACAGTGTCTCCTTTCTCGAATCGACTACTTATTTTTTCATGCACACAATAATAAGCAAGCTGACCTTTCTTTTGTTGCGAGTCACCATGGGTTCGGTTTGCAGCACTCGTTGCAGCAGCAGCAGCAGCAGTAGACGAAGACGACGCATTATTGCGTTTATCTTTTGTTTTCGTTCCTGCACCTGTTGCCAAAGTCATGCTGCTTGTTCCTGCTTCGGATACAGGTGCATATTCTAACCACCCGCGAGACCCTTCGACAGCAAAAGGGTCTGCTGCTGCTGCTGCTGCTGGTGACGTTTTCCCTGTTTCTACCGCAGCGCTACTAGCAGATTTCATGGTGGGAGATAATGGCGGTGACGAAGGATGCGGTCGTTGTGCAACGGTTCTCCAATGATCCAACTCATTAAAGTAGCGATGGGGTTGCATCCAGTAAGTTTTATGCGAAGTGGAATTAAAGAAAAGAAGGGAAGGAGAAAGAGGACGTCTTTGAATAAATTTAACACACAGATAAGAGAAAAGGAATTTAAAAGTAAGCAAACGATTGTTATGAACAATGATGGAGTTGTATTGTTTTCTTTTATTATTATTATTATTATTGTTGTTGTCGTTGTTGTAATAGTATCATTGAATATATGTACAGTGGTATCATAATATTATCGTTTTGGCTAGAGAATGCTTCCAATAAACCTATTGCACCCATTAGTAAAAGCTGCTTGATCAAAACCAACATGGCACATAATGAGATCGAAACATACCAGTTAACAAGGCTGTGATAATGAAAGAGCCCCATTCACCTCGGCCGGCCGAAGTAACATAATGTGATGCACTGCTGATACCGAGCAGAGCGGATGCGTACATGATCAGCACCGAGCTCACGTACACAGCAATCACAAAGGCTATGGTGCCTTCTATCGTTTTCTTTGTACCGGGCCATCGATATCGTCCAAACTTCTTGCCAACAAGTGATGCCTATTTGGAAAAAAAATACATTCCGTTTTGGCCACCCGTGAGTGTTTTCTTTCCATGTGATTCCGGTTTTGGAAAACTTACAGCTGCGTCACCAAATCCAAGTGCTACTATGCCAGACAATGAAGCTAATAGGTTTGAGCTGAAACATAGATATCAAAATGAGTATAAACTTGTCTCTGTCCGAACAACTCCCTCCCTCATCCTCTTCACTTATATATAGTGCCACGTTTCCACATTGCGAATAAACGACTTACCCTCCAAGCCAAACCGGTGCAGCGCATCCAAGTAATAGATAGATGTGGCTCAAAATGACTGGACCCAAATCACGGCTATCAATAAACTCTGTCAAGAACATATGGATGCTTTTGCCATAGGGCCATATGGCAAAGTAACGTAGATATTCCAGATAGATGAATACACCCAAGGCAACACCGAATGCTAATTGTAGAAATGATCGCTGAAAAAACAAAAATAAAGATTGGCATATGTCACGTATGCATGGGGTCACGTTGGCGGATTATCTCGTAATAGATACCTCGAAAAGCACACCAGGTGTAAACATAATGACAGCCAATGCATGGAACAACTTGCGTTTCTTGTTGAGTGCGCTCGTCAACACTTTGGCCTCGACAGGTCCATCCGACACGCCGAAATCCAACACAAGCACCCACACAATGACCGTTGCTGCGACGGCCAATGCCCAATAGACGCACAAAAACAAACGTTGCGGCGACAAGAACACAAAGGATAGTGTCCACACAAACGGATCCTGCTGGTTCATGATGGTTCTGCAGAGAGGAGCAATGGCAAAGACGACAATGCCGACAGAGATTCCGTAGGCTGCAAAAGCAATAATGATCCGTTTGCGCTGGATATCGGACCATGTTTGGGAAGAAGGAGATGATGTTGATCGCCAGTAAGGCTGTTGTGCTAACCGTCTGGATCGTTTCAAGAGTGGATATGTGATGGCCCCAATAAAGAGCATACCCAAGAGGACGGCGTGGAGTAGCACGGACACGGGATCGACTTCTTGTTCTTTTAAGAATGCGGGTATACGGTCCGGGAACATCTAATAATGATGGGTTATCATAGACTTTAAAAACTGTAGCTAAACCCAGTATATGATTTAGACTTACTGCAATGAAAACGTATTCCAATGCACCATAGACAAGGATCGCTACGGCTTCGGACAAAATACACATTTCGCCCAGAGTGAAACATCGTTTCAAAGCAACTGTGCATGTGTAGAGTGCCCATTGGAACGCAGTGATAGGCACAGCAATCATACTGATTGGCATTCGGCTCAATACCGGCGTGAGTGGAGAGAGTCGACTGACGCCATGCGTGAAAGCGATCGAAACAATCATGCTGGACACGAAGAGGCCGCGCTTACGAATTATGCGTCGCATCGGTTGAAGGAATCGGTTGGTTAGTACCAAGATCAAAAAGACCAGGGTCATCAGCAGGACAAGCTCCAACTTGCCATGCATACGCGCTAGTAGAATTGGATTTGTATTTTGTCAGAGGGTGAAATTGATGCATTCTCGACAAAAGTAAGTAAAGGGGGGGGGAGCGCTTTTCTCTCATCTTCCATACATATCCCATATACATTACCATTCCGGCCTGCTTCTTCCATCTCAGTGGTTGCCACGTCAGTCATTTTCGCTATACCAACCATTGGCATCAGAAATACACCACATAGCAATCCATCATCGGCATCACCTCTAACAACAACAACAAGTTGGTCAGTGCGCGGGGTCTTTCTTTTTGTATCATCGTCATAATTTTACATGTCAAATCGACGATATATATATATATATATATACCTGTACGAGCTTTTGCCAGCACCAAAGAGACCAAGACAGCTATTGTATGTCGCTTCATGTAGCTGTTGTTCTTTCTTTCGTTTCTTCAATTCACCCATTCTGTACGTTGGTGGATAAGGTGATGTTTCTGATTCAAGCGTATCAGATGATGTGGTTGTGGTTGTAAAATGGTGATCACGGTGATCCGTATACATTTTTGACAAGTCGTCTTTGACTCGACGGACGCGTGCTGTCTTGTGTACTAATATCAAGCCTAGTGCCAATATCACAGTCCACACTATACACATAACATATAACAAACAGAAAAATAAATAAATATGGAACAAAGGACTTTTTTTCTTTTTTAAAAAACCACACACACATATAAAGATGTCATTTACCTGCAAATACAGTTGGAGAGGACGCTAAAAGTGCTCTACCTCGCCACATTGCCCAAGCGAACGAACCGATCCAAAGGACTCGTTCGAACGGTGCTGCCGTGACATTGGTAGCCGAATAATCTTGTTGTTGTTGGTGTTGGTATTGAGCTGTCGTCATTCCATGAGAGGGTTGTGTTGTGTTTGTTGCTGTTGAAGATGAAGATGCTCCTATTCGTTTGGATTGTCGCTGTGCCCGCTTACGTCGTATAATTTCGACTGTCAAATCCCCTTCTTCCACCGACGACGATGAAGCGAACCCTTCGTCTTCCACCTGTTTGTTCAATTTCCTGTTTTTGCTCGTGATTGGCAGCTGTTGTTGTTGTTGTTTTTTGCGAGTACCAGAAACAAAGGTGCTGGTAGTAATCGTGTCGTCGTCGTCGTCGTTGTCGTCGTTGTCGTTGTTCTTGCTGCTGTTGTTATTGTCGTTGTTATAGAGTGCTTCAAAAACAAAAAGCACCAGCGAAAATAAGAGTGCTACACCTCGGGAACCAAAATTATCGTGATTTTCCTTGTCGGCCGCTTGTATCAATGAAGGTGACACAGGCCGTCGATTTTCTTGTGATATGATGTTGTTGTCGTTGATGGTCATGGAACACTACTTTGGTGTGCTTTTACATAGGAAAGTAACAAATAGTAGAAAATCCACAGCTTTTTTTCTTTATTCAATGTCTAAAAGGCTTTCTGCAAGGTAGTGTTCTTGAAGTGGTTCAATAACTCTGGAAAGACCGTCACCAGAAAGAATGGGTTCCAGTTCATACAGGGTCAAATTGATGCGATGGTCCGTCACCCGGTTCTATCAAGTTGTTGTTGTTATAAACAAGGGAGAGCCCATCAGTTGGGGTTGTGCAGATACATGTATATTCTTTTTTCACATGAAACCCTAATATTTTTTTCCTTATGAGAAATAGGTTAGCACAAACCTGAGGAAAATTGTATGTACGGATCTTTTCTGATCGATCGCCACTGCCGATTTGCTTATTGCGAGAATTGCGTCGTGCCGAATCTGTCTTTTCGCGCTCCATTTCATAAATTTTGGCTCTCAAGACTTTGAGTGCCTTGGCTTTATTCTGTAGAGTGGCATCGATGGCTCAGCAACATGGAAACAAAAATAAACCCCACCCATTGTTGTTGTTGTTGTTGTTGTTGTTGTTCTTGCTGTGTGAAGAAAAAGAAAAACACAAACAAACCTTATGCTGGGACCGTTCATCTTGCATGGCTACTACTAGTCCAGAAGGTATATGCGTTATTCGGACCGCACTATCCGTTGTGTTCACATGCTGGCCGCCTGCACCAGATGCACGGTATACATCAACCCGCAGATCGGAGTCTCGTATTTGGATATCCACCTAAGAAATAAAACCAAAACCTGTCAAAAGCCAATTGACAAAAGGCAGAGAATCCTGTAGAAAGAAACTTTTACTTCGGTTGGTTGTGGCAAAATAGCTACTGTGATTGTTGATGTATGGATGCGTCCTTGTGATTCTGTCGCAGGCACACGCTGTACGCTACAATCAAAGAAAACCAAGTCACTATAGAAATGTTCTGGTGGTCGAAACAGCCATCACTTTTCTCTGCTTACCGATGCACGCCCGATTCATATTTCAATAATCCAAACACATTTCGTCCTGCTATATTCACTGTGATATCCTAAATAACTAATTTTAAAATCCCCTTTTCTTTTTTCATCACACATGGCGATAAATCCGTATCCACGGGTAATGATGAAAGGAGCTTTTATCTTTACCTTTACGCCTTTCAACCCGATATCTTCTGATTTAGCCAACACCTCCCACTTCCAACGCTGCAACTGGGCGAAGCGTTCATACATGCGTGCCATTTCTGCCGAGAACAATGCAGCCTCGTCACCACCTGCACCTGCTCTGATTTCCAAAATGGCACTTGCTTCATCAGCCGCATCTTTAGGTGCCAGCTCTGTGATCATTTCCTTCTCCAGGCCTGTCAATCGTTCTGTGATCTCTGTATATTCTTCTTTGGCCAACTCGAGCATTTCTTCATCATTGGCATCGGCATTGCTATTATTTTGTTGGCTGGCTAACAGATCGCGTAATTGGAGGAGATCGTGTGTGCCCTTTTGCCAATCGCCAAACAAGGTGTGAATCGCAGACAGACTGGCAAGCTCTTTGGAAGCTTCGGTCAAATCTTTGCTGCTTAACGTATTGTCATTGAGTCGATTCAATAGTGAATCGTGTCGTTCTGTTAATCGTGTAAGGCGGTTCTCGAGTGGCTCGGTGATTCGTGTGGAAGGAAGGACAGACGCTGCAGCTGTTTTATTTTTTTTTATAAAGGTGTTGTCGTGTGTGTTGTTAGTTGCTCGGTACGCTGTTAACAAGATAGAAAGAAAAGAAAGAGAGACTTTACCTCGTGCGGTCGAGTATCTTCGTGAGTTGACAACAAACGTTTGACGAATAAGTTTGAAAAGCATTGCAGACGTAGGGTGCTGAATTCAATTCGCTCGAAAAGTATCAAATAAATGGCTCATGGATTGAAACGGTGACAATAGTTCCGACCATGGTCAACATCTAAAAGAGCGCAGTATGGATAGCCTTGAACTAGTATACCTGGATCGCTCTCTTATTCTGTTTGGTACTTCTTTAGAAAATGTGGTTGCTAACAAACGACATGATCCATACTTTTATCATGGTTCTTGTCAAAGCAATTCATAAAAGTTTGCCGTTTCTTTGCCATCTAAGAAAACGATACGCTTTGCTATTTGAACATTCCCTATTCAAGATAAAAAGATATACTATGTATGAATTACTCTACAGCCTTTTAAACCAGCATTCACTTCTACACATGGCTCGTTCGCACACCTGCTATGAATGTGGTTCCCAGCTCTTTTGGTGAATGAGGGATACTGTGCGCTGTCAACAGTTTCGGTAGCAAAAATACTCAACCGCCTTAAAAAGAAAAATATTTACCTTCAATCAATCGTATCTTCGTTCGCGGGAAACAAACAACAAGCGCATACGGTACAGCTGGTCTAGGGATGGCCGTATGAAAGCACCTGGCAAAGTCTCGACTACTTGTTGTTTGTTTCAAAGCTATGAAAGAAAACAGTCTGGGTACTGCTGAAGTAGCCGCGTACTAGACCTGGCGTACAGGCACACAGTTTAGCTTGCCAAAGTAAACTATGCCTCCAAAAGTACCCACGGCCGACATTGAAGCAGCCAATGGTCGCCATAGAAAAAGTTAGTTTCAGTCATATTAACCAACCATTATCAGTATCATGAATACACAACCGCCTCAAAATAATAGTAAGGACTGACCAATGAGAAAGGCACATCAAGCAAGTGAACAGCAAGGACCGTTCTCGTAGTATACGGCACAACAATAAAAACCCATAGTTGTACATACCCTGCTATTGCACCACATTCGCATGTATACTGTCGCTCGTCAGGATCGGCTTGTCTCACGGTTGAGCTCTTTTCAAATATAGACAAGTAACTCTTGAAAAGTTTTCTTTCTACGATTTTACGTCGACTCATCTGCGCATCAAAATAGATATTTACGCTCGAGAGAATGGGGGTTGTCCTTTGTCTACCCAGACTGAGCAGTAATAGCCCTCTCTGAAGAAAAACGGTCCACGTTCAGTGCAGTCAAATGACGTTCAAAATAAATGTAATTGCAATTGTACTCACTTTTGACAGACAGAACCCGTCGTATAAACTGCCGTCTGCTTAAAAGGGAAAAGCTAGAGCAAATCATCCACCTTTGGCTTTTCTGGAGCGTAACAGCAAGGAGGACTGTAATTGCTGTAGTGCTCTTTTCTCTGTCATTTTTTTTTGGTGTTGGAGACAAGGCACCAGGTCAATTTAAACCGTAGACGAATGGTGTTCGCCTCAGAACGAGAGTACTCACAGAGAACCTTTGCATGAAACGGTTTGTCCCTGGTGAAACATGCAATTGATTTTCTCGTTATCTTCTTGTAAAGAAAATCGTCAATGAGCTCGTTGGCGGTGTTGATGTGCTGTATGATATCGCCAATGATAGCCGCTTTGCCGTCCAGATGATTGCCTTTATCCTAGTGCTAGGTTCAATGCTCTACATTTCTTCCGGTGCTCTTGTTTCTGCCGACGTTGTTGGGCCCTGCTGAGCTCCTTGTCTTTCGTTATCATTACTTTTCCTGGGTAGCTCGCTTATGATTTTCTGTCATGATAGTAACGAGAGTAAGAGGAGAAGAGTAAGTAGATGAAGGCGGTGCTGACCGTGGCTGTGATGGTGGTAGAAGCGAGTTTGAAGGAGCCATACCGGTGGTGATAGGGACAGTAGTCATAAGGGTCGCTGTCGATGATGATGATGGTGCTGGTGTGCAGATGGGTCCAATAGCCACAACAGTTGGTATGTTTTCGTTGCTGTTAGGAGGAGCGGGTCGTCGCTGCTGCTGTTGATATTGCGGAGGAATCTGATTAGCTACTGTCCCCATCGTCATATTATTTGCACCGCAGTATAGCTGCGCTGATGTGTTGCATGGAGGTGGGATAAAATGATTGACTACGGGACCATTGGAAGGACAAAATGATGCGCAACTAGGCAATACGGGTGCTATCGCTTGTTGTTGAATGAATAAAGGTCGTATAGCACATGTGAAAGGGTGATGTGGTGTCTGTTGTTGCATGCAAGTAAACATATTGCTCGGCAACCCATTAGCGTTTATTTGAAGCATTCCGGGTAATGTCTTTTCGAAGGTTGAGCTCGTAGAAGCAGGAGATCTTGTTGGCGTCATAGGGCTGGTAGCAGTAGCAGCAGTAGTGGAAGCCTCTTCTATCTTTAGGATGTTGACAGACTGTTGCTCTGAAATTCCAATAGCCTCTTGGTTATCACAATGCTGACACGACATTGAGGTCTATTTCAATGTTTTGGAAAGGTGTTTTGATAGATTCTTAACTCGTAAGACGTCGCAGGCGAGTATTTACACACAATATCCTCATCGGCTATCACTATACGTAATAGTAAATGATTAGTTCTGGTCTCTGTACACAGTACAGCATTTTAAGTAAATAGCTAATAGCGTAACACAATCCGTAATGAAGTTGCATTGTCCATAAAATTGATGAGAGGTGTTTTTTTAAACACTTCATAAATGAGGGTTTATCCAGTAACTTGAGTATTTCTGGACGATGTTAGTTCTGACCGTGAGAAAACAAAGGAGGCTTTGATTCAGTGCACATGCTGTTAATGACAAACGAATCTACTGACCTTGTGTAAACGGTTGTCTTCTTGAACGTGGGGCCCGAATTAACCCGCAAGCCTCGAGCCACGCACGACCCCATATTGTGTGTATACGCTTGACATATGTTACTATCATTCATCACTTTATGCTATGCATTTGATGGTCTCCTTTCGTCAACGGTCTTGATTCATTGGGAGTTTACAGACCATAAGCACCACACATACTTTCTCCATTAACAATAAAGAGTGCAATAAGCAAGGATAAAGAAATATCATCGGTTTTAACCTGTTTTTACGGTACTTCTTCTTTATTCTTTGAGAATATAATGACTCTCTACATATTTTTTATCACATGTTGCGAAATCTCAGCAGATCCGTGAGAGATTAATGGAGGTTTTTCCAAAAACAAACAGTACTGTACAATGCCCTGAAAATGTTCAGTTTATTACTATTTTGAACAAAGAGAGCCATTATCCTCCCTCGATAAGTAGCGGATCTTTTGCATGAACGATGTACAGTGGTTCCCCGTTTGATTTCACTCTCAATAATTCCATATCCCCTTTAAGCATGAAACATTGCTTGGATACTCTCGTTTTTTGTGTCAGCCCTCAGTAGTTTCAACACTTTATAGACCCTCCTTAAGGTTGAAAATAAACGGGGAACCACTGTACTACAGTACAGTGTATATTCAAGGTGAAGGAACTAGCACATTGAAAAAATGTCTCTTCTGTGGAATAGTCATAGATACAACAGAAGTTCTGTTTAGCCTCTCGCTTTTACATATCGACGGAAAGAGAAGGTTAGGGAAAATATAAAATGTTAAGCCAAGGTTGCTTAGGCTTCCCGCAAAGCTGATAGACATCATAAGATATAAAATGGGAAAGCGTACACGCTCAAAAGTAAACATGGTGTGAGTGGCAAGAGCCTTACAACCATCTCTCTTCTTGTCAAGTTATCTATGGTGACCCAGTTTCATGATAAAAGAGCTCGGTCGGAGAGGCTGGCTGGCTGGTTCATGCATCGAAAACAATCTCCTCACGTAATGCACGAGGCAGTAGTCTTTATTACAGCAACGGTTGTTGAAGCAACGGGATGGACAAGGTTGTTAATTAGAGTTCCTTTTCCCATTTATCCATCTAGCCTATTGTGCGTGTTTCTTTTAGTGTCGGTATTATATAGATCGCCCCCGTCCTTTGTAGTGCCCTTCGGTAAAATGGCACGACCGCGGCTCTTGTCATTGCAGCCCTCTATTGAGTACTCTTTATCTCGTTTTGGCGTTTCCCGTCCATCCGTTTATACTCTCTTTCTCTCCCACGCCCTTTCATCAGCCCCAAAGATGTGGTTTTTCCTTTTTTTTTAAAAAAAATATATTTATTATATACAAAGAACGAGGAAGGGAAAGAGGATGACTTAATGGTTCATGGAACGCTGTTGGAATGAAGGGTTGTAGTTGGGGCCTCTTCCCATCATAGAGCCGGCGTTGTTCTTGGGATTGTAAGCGTTCATTGAAGGAGACTGACCACGCATTTGTTCGGCTTGCATTTCACGAAGAGATCTATCATGCTCAAACTCTGCTTGCTTGGTTTCGTCCGTTTCTTCTTCTTCCTGTTCAGCATGGTGCTCTTCCTTGTCCCTAATAACCATTTTACAATGATGTGTGTGAGTTACAGTTATTGCAGTTTCTTTCTTTCTTTTTCATGGTGTGGTCCAATGATATGTTACGTACTCGGCCTTCAAGGGAACGCGATGGTCATTTGGAGCCTTGACACGCATGCCACCGACCTTCTCTAAATAGAGTGGACATCATGTTTTTAATGCTTCCTTTCATATTACTAGTACACTAAATAATACGTACGTGCAGGAAGAATTTTTTCTGAATGTTCGTTACCCATGTTGTTGAAAAGAGAAAAGAATGGTAAGAAATGTGCGAGAAGCCTTGGTCCTTTATAATTTTTTTTTTTTTTTTTTTTTGGGCAGGGTTTTTTGGGATCAACATGACGTTACAAGCCCTGTCATAGCGGCATTTCTTTCGATGTGTTTCAAAGCAGCATGACGATTTCATCTGGTTTCCCAAAAAAAGCAAGCGAGTCAAGTGACACAACGCTCATGACCTCACAGGGCTCCCTGCCCGAGCAGACGTAATTCGGGGGGCAAATCCAGGAGATTTGCATTTTTCTTTTTCTTTTCTTTGTCGGAAACCCACACAAAAGTTTCGTTTTTATATTCCTTACTTTTTTACTGCGCCGGACTAGTTAATGACAAGTGTTGAAGAGCTGAACGCACCTTTTGGTAAGTCAACTTTGGAATAGATATTACGTACAAGTCCTGACTTGACTTTATTTTTCAACAGATCCTTTTGCCGAAGTAGAAGAGGAAAAGAGTCCCAAACAAGCCAACCATATCCGTAAGTATTGTAATAGTGGTGGTGGATGTTGCCTTTTCTTTCGAATTGAAAAGAGGTCTCAGTGACATTATCTCTTGACTGAAAAAAAAACAAACAACCAACTCTTTTTTCTTTTCTTCGGATGGGGATTGTTAATTAGACTTGCGCATTCAGCAACGAAACGGTCGAAAGACGCTCACAACACTTCAAGGTCTTCCCAAGCAATATGACAACAAGAAAATCCTGAAAACGTTCAAGAAAGTTTTTGCCTGCAACGGCACCATCGTTGATGACGATGAACTTGGTGAAGTGCTCCAACTCTCAGGCGATCAGCGCTTGAAGATTGCCGAGTTCCTCGTCAAGGAGGAGATTGTTAAAAAGTCAGAGATTAAGGTCCATGGCTTTTAAAAGAGATAAAATTTGAAAAGGATACCCAGGGAAAAGCACACTATGATTGCTTTATCGATTTTTTTACTCCCTCCTTTCTTACTTTTTTTTTTCTTACAACACACACAATATCTCTCCTCTTTCTTAAAGCCTAACCCACACCCTTTCAGTACTTGTATATTCACCACTATCTCGTGAATGCAATGTATAGCAGTTTTTTCTTTTTTTTTATATTAAAGGATACCAACTGAAAAAAAAAGCTATCAAGGTGCAGAACAGAGGAAAAAGTTGGCAGCAACTAGCTCTAACTGGTTCTCTGTGACAAAGTGTTTGAGATCAAAGTTACGGCGATCGGGCTTCTCTTCATGCGCCATAGGTGCAAAGGTGGAGTTAGGTTGCGCTTGCTTGTAGAGTAAGAACAGATAACGGTGGACGCCGGTACCGGGGCCAGGACCAGGGCCAATGTAGGGCGTATGATGCTGCGCCACGTTTGATGGATCGTTGCCTAATATAACGTCATTCTTTCAATATGCAACCTATTTAATCTTTTGTTCAGAATCACAATACCTGGCACATTTACGGCTATCCAGTGGCGCCATGGCCCAAACTTATGATCCGTTGCTGAAGGGGCATCGGGGTCGGTCATGACGATGGTGTATGCAGCCGATTCTTCGGGCGGAACAAAGGTCACTGTCGGTTGCTCGGCAGCATCGCTCGGTGTCAATGTGTTGCCCAGCAACACTTCCTTGTCGCCAGGATACGTGATCTGCAACAACGATGATGCAGTGAAGCTGGCGTCAACCACTAACAGTAGCAGTAGCGGTAGTAGAATATAGAATCATCATCAATCATGGACCGGTTCGCGATATATGTATGTATGTATGTATGTAAACGAATCAACAAAGCGACTTACGTTCGGGAATCAGGTTCACCTTTTTCAAGGCACCAGCAATGTTCATATCCGTTGTCAATAGTGGCATAACAAGAGAAGACGAGGAGAAATGGAGAAGAGAAGAAAAGAAACAAACAAGAAGAAAAATCTCACGCGCACACATTTAAAAAAAAAGAAGCAAACAACTACTTTTATATGTATTGCCCTTTCGGAAGCATTTGAATTCCCCGAATCCGGCAGATTTTATGTGTTGCCACTATCAGTTCTGTTCACAGAATCACATGTACTACCACGACGTAGTGTGGATTCATGTACATACAGTACATGAGAAGCAACAGCAAAGCATTAAGAATAAATAGCTTTGACTTTTTGTACAATTGGACATGGTATATGTCATACAATTCACCGATAATATCGAATCAATAGATACTCAATGCCCGATGTCTTTCATAGAAACGTCATGTGTGTGTACCTTAAGAGGCAACAGCCATGACCTCTTATGGTAAAGGCTGCTTACAAAAGCGGATAGTCCGAGGCATATACATGGCCCGATAGAAATGACATATGAGAAAAAGAAGTACATATTTCAAAAAGAGAGATCTATAGCTGTTGCTGTGTATAAGATAGGAATGATGCATAAAAGAAGAAAAAGTAATAAATGAAGTAAGTGTAGAATGGAATGGTCTTGGAGGGGAGAGGGGGCGGCTGTCAAAAAGCAATAATGATAATAAACAACAACAAAAAATCAAAAATCTAATCTATTCTCTAGAGATATCGCGACCCAGGATGGTCTTCTTCAACCAGTCAGTGATGACCAGCGTACGGTTACGGGTGGAAAAGAGGTTGGAGATGTAAGCAGAGCGCCAGAATGCGTAGGTTGCTACACCACCGGAAGCGACGTTACCAGGACCGAAGGGAAGATCGGCAATGGCCTTATCGGAACCAATGTAACTAAAAGAGAGAAATGACATCGTGGATGAATTTTTTACTCATCTATTACTACTGATACGCCTCCCAACAACAACAACAATAACAAACAGAAAGAGATACGTTACCACAAGGATCCTTGATGCGAGTAATGGAAAGGCTTAATGTCCTTTGCCTTTTGCAGCTTACGCATCTTCTTGGCCTTTTCATCCTCACTGGTAGCAGCAGCCACTTCAGCCTCCAGAGTTTCTTGGGACGCAAGCTGTGCAAACACACGAGCAAGGTACTTGCCCTGTTGAGCAGCAACCTGGGCGGTGGGAGCATACTTTGTAGCACTGGCATCGCCGAGGGCAAAGATTTCCTTGGTACCTTCCATGCAGAGCCAGTCATCCACCGCCAGACCACGACGGATGTTTTGGTGTTCGGGGTATCTGGCCATCAGATTACGGACAAGGGGTCGGGTGGTATTGCCAGTAGCCCACACAAGCAATCCATAAGGGATCGTGTCCTTGGTTCCGTCGGGTCGCTGCACAACAATTTCCTTTTCACACACTTCCTTGACCATCGTCTTGGTGTGGATGTTGATGTTTTGCTCCTTGAATGTGGATTCGGTGTAGTCGATCAATTGCTTGGAGAAGGCAGGAAGAACGTTGGGCAGAGCCTCGACCAAGGTAATCTTGACCTTACCAGCCAATTCTATATTACGTATTCCCCCCCCCGAATCCCAGCATTTTGTTTAATAAAGTATCCTCCTCGTTCGTAGCCCTTCTCTCACCCTACACCACTTTGCTACACGCTATTACCTGGGTACCACGCGGTCAAATCATCCACCAAAAAGTCGTGGAGTTCGGCGGCATATTCGATACCGGTTGGACCACCACCGACGACAACCATGTGCAACAAACGCTCGATTTCTTCAGAGGACTGGCCAGGGAAGGCGGCAGTCTCGATACAATCCATTACCTTGGTACGGATCTTTTGTGCATCCCAGACCTCCTTCAAGAAACAACCGTACTGCTCGACACCCTTGATACCAAAAGTCTGGTTCATGGCGCCAACGCCGACAATCAAGTAATCATAAGAAAGCTCGCTCGTGGAAGCTTGACCCTTAATATCGGAATTATCTATGGCACAAAAAGGGATTGAGTGTCAGACCTTTGTCTTATTTTTGCCCCATGGACTATTTCCATCCCCTTTCTCTTTCGACTATCGAGTCGTTTTACCTGTAATAGTGATGACCTTGCGCTCAGGATCCACATCGGTACATTCAGCCTCCACGACGCGGACTTGTCTTGACTTGTGACGAGTGATGAAGCGAATAGGCTCGACGAGGGAGCGGACATCAATGGTGCCCACGGTACAACTGGGCAAAAGAGGAGTGAACAAAAAGTAGTTCCGCGGAGACACAACGACGACATTGTACTGCTCCGTATCGATGGCTTTCAAGAACGATGTGGATGCCCAACCACTGCCCAACACAACAATCGTCTTTTTGCTGGGATCGATTTCGCCTTGTTGTTCTGGAGGATGACGCTGGTCGTACATGGCTAAAGAAAAATTTCTTTTTAGTGATTGGGGAGGGGGGAATCATCGCAATCTCTTTATCTCCTCCTTCTGATACTACTACTATTACTACTTTTAAAAGTAATACTTACTGTAAGTACCGTAGGCAACACTAGCAACCAAACCATACTTGACTACATTCTTTAACGCGCGCCACTTGGAGAAAGGCTTCTTGGTGGCAGCGGCTGTTTGTGAATCCGTAGTGTTGAAACGCAATTGCTGTTGCATCACAGGACGTGCTCGAAACGCGGATCGAGCACCCAAACGACATGTCGAACCTTATCACAACAATAACCCCCACCCACCCCCGAAAGCGGCAATAAGTTTTCTTGATCTCTTTCTTTCTCTCTCCAATTGCATGGTGCAAAAGTCACAATCAATGTCAGAAAGACCTACCTCGAGCCACGCGTGTTGTTGCTGCTTGCATGGTTGTTTGTATTTGAGAGAGAGAGAGAGAGAGAGAAAGGAGGGGAGTGAAAAAAAGAGAGAGAGAGAGAGAGAGGTAAGAAAAAAAAAACGAGTAATATTATCAACTCCATTCCCCACACAGCTCAGTCTGTCGGAGTGACTTGCAGGCGTGCGTGCGTGCGTGCGTGTGTGGGCCGTGTCTCCGGGCAGTGGCTCATGAATTCAGGTGCTTTTTAGCCATTCTTCCCGTCGTTTTCGCACGTTTTCCCGACGATTTGCTTGTTGTTCCACTGTCCGCACACGAAAAAAAAAAAAAAAAAAAAGAGGGGGGCGGCAAGAAAATAGAAACACAGAGAGATCGGCCCTCGCAGCATCTGTTATCTTTGAAAGGGCCATTGCGATACACGACATCATGGGAGCTTAGAGGGACGACCCTATTAAAGTCAAAGAATAATCCGATGGGGGGGGGGCGCTTAGGACATCCCCCTCCCCTCCCCCCAAAATCACAACTACTACTGCTGTTGTTGTGCACACACAAAGACCCACGTTGTTTTGGTGAATGAATGTACCTTATTTTCAAATTTGGGAAATTGCCCGATGATGATTCTGTGTATTTATTACAGCATAAGCAGCATGTTACAGTGCATAATAGTAGTAGTAGCACTTGTTGCATAGCAACCATTCCCCTTCCCCCCCCCCCCTTTGATTTCGGTCAGTGTCGGATTTTCCTAGCCCAAGGAATGCTACTTTCGACAGTGTGATTTTCACAACACCCCGCGGGATTTCGTGTCTTCCAGCGTGTTATAGATACTTTGAAGACTATCCGAGACTCTGGGGTTGTGTTGTTACACATTCCCATGAACAAAACGTCAGCAGCAGCAGCAGCAGCAGCAGTGGAAAAAGATCGACCCTGTTTTTTCAAAAAAATGAGAGAGGCGGGAAAACACAGGGAATAAGTTGTTATAAATACACGCCTCTCTCTCTCCTTTGGCTCTGGTTTAGAAAAAAAAATATAATCAATGCCCCGATTAGTCCGTTCAAAGTCGGAAAAAAAACTTAATCTTCATAAGCAATGCCAGTCATTGGCGGACGGAGTTGGTCCTCGTAGAAAGTGTCAAAAGGGGTGCCAGCCTAGGCCTTTTACACCAACCTGACAGCTATATGATGGCTTTATTGTCTAATCGTACCGAAACGATCGTCATCCAAGGCAGCTGTCGACCCTACTTTCAAGCATCTGCTTACATAAAGAAAGAGGCATCTCTTGATAGTATACAAGAGTGAACCAGTTACAGCTATCGATTAATTCACCTTGTTGACAAGGGAAATGGTATCCTGTGGTGATCATGGCACACACTTACATGCTCAGTCAAGTAGCCTGACATTCCTGGTGGACTGAGATTTGATTCTTCCCGGTCTGCTATCACATCAACTACATGTGTTGGACGAAAAAGTGATTGGGATGTACAGCTTATATGCACACCAAATTGCCTTCATGTAATATACTACGGTACGATGTTGAAAGAACTAGAAACAAGCATTTGTGTGTATTTTACAGTATTAAACACGACGGTTCGGTTATGCACTGTCGGGGGCAAAACCTTATTACAAAAGAAGTATTATGAGTGGTCCGACCACTCAATCTTGATTTGCCCTCTTTTTCAAAATTTGCCATTGAGACCTTCGATCGGGTCTAGTAGTTGTTGACCACTGCTACACCTACTATAAATACACGCCTAAAAGCTAGTGCGATCCATCAAAATATACCTTTCCTTCTCTTTTTCTTTTCTCCACTTCTTACTATTCGCTCCCGCAGCATCGATCGAAATCCTTCCCTTTTGTAAAGTGATCAACTCAACGGCAGACATCCAAATCATACCAATTACTGTTTCGACCTTTTGAGAGTTTGCAGGGTTTTGGAAGGTCAGTTTAAGTATATGAAAGGCTACAAACGGCAATTTTTCGGATGGAACATACAAAAGTAGAAACCCGCAATAACCGTATATATATTGCAAAGTACAATACAAGTTCACTCATACACTCTCCTTCTTCCACGATAAGAGGACGCTGACAAGATCTTCTATTCAAGAAGCCGCAAAAGCCTTTCGCACCAAACATTTATTACGTGCTCATGCGTTTAATCATAAAGCAAATCAAACAAAGATAGAGCGTGCATTCGCTGTGTCGTGTTGTTCATAGATGAGACACGAGGTGGAATTTCCACGATGACAAGTAAAAGAGGCCACGAGTAATACTCTGAAAAAGACAACGTTATAATACTTTTTAAAAAAGTTTAATACTCAGTAAACACGACGTCCAAAATCAAATCCATCGAACTACACTGCTAACAAAAAGAACATAAAGAACAGGACGCGCATACAGATATCAACAGAGACACAATTATTCTGGCCGTTTCTTACCAACTTCAAAAAGGCACTCGAATGTGCCTAATGAGACATCCGTAACACTCAGAAACTTTTTGAAAACTTGCCAGATTCATGTCGAATTGCGATACTCTCAAACTTCATTGCTTTGCATAGAGATTTTACTCTTTTTCGCGCATCAAAAGAGTCGTGAGCATTAAGAAAGCGACAAGCCTTGGAGGTGGGATTGAAAGTCGCGAGCCGTACGTGCTGGCAGCGATCATGTCCTAAACACTTGTGGACTCTTTTTGTCTGCTTGATCAAAGCGGAAACGCAAAACCACCATAAATGTTAAAGTATTTCTCTCTTCGACTATTTTAAAAAAACGTTAAACACAATGGCGCGAAGCAATAATGAAATTACGTACAATTAGGAAACCTACTATAGAGGGCAGCGAGAACGGATGTTCTCACAGATATCTGCATGACGACGACGCATTTTGCTGTATTATCTTTGTAAAATGAATTCTTCAGCCAAGCAATTCTATGTGAAGTAAGACTTGTTTTGTATATATGCAGACGCACACACACACATTAGTCGAATAAGGGAGGCGCTTGCTTCCATTGCAGCTCTAATTTAGTTGGACATGGTGTTGTACATACCTCCTCCTATAATTAATGATTCAGTGCCAGAACCAGATCCGAACGTTGAAGGTCAATAATGCACAAAAGCAAGAAGAGCTTGGAAGACAAAAGAGATACTCCAGCGATGACAACGGCGTGGACAAATCAACAAAGGTCAGAAAGCAACGTTCCAGGGAATACCGACCAAAAATTGATCAACGACGCAACAATCAATAACTGCAGTCTCTGTTGTAGGTGTGGAGTATGCTTAAGTTTCTGGTTGAGTTCCTCTGTCGCTCATTAAGCAAGGGCTGAATAAAAATAATCATGCTTCGACGGTACCAGATTTGCTTGTTCTGGTCAGAAGGGCCTTGCCGTTGGTTTTACTATATACCTGCTGCATCAGGAGCCTGTTGTCATCGCCACACGGAAAGATGCGCTCGTTAGAACAAACAAGAACGATAACTTCATATGTCTTTCAAGAGACATTGAGCGTAAATACAAAAAAAAAACGATATTTGCTCATTTTTTTCTATGATGCGTATAAAAACAGCAAAGCCTTAACCACACTTTCCTCATTTGAACATGCACACCCCGTCAAATCGGTATTTTCAGATGAAAAGAAGCCCCTAAATTGAATCATCCATGATATGTTAGGTTGAAGAAGAATAGTGATGGTTTTACAGGTTCAGTGCTGTGTATGTACACTGATAAACTAGCGAAAGAAAAATGTTAGTGAGCGACTTTATAAAGAAAAACAAATTGCTGGAGGAAATTGTTCCGCGCGCGTAATGTCCCTTTTTGAATGGAATGATGGGCGCTATTTTTGGGCAAGATACTACATTGCCTCAACACACTAGTGGTAACGTGTGATCGATCGCGCGATATAATATATGAGTATGCCGGAAAATCATCGCGCATGCATGATCATAAAAATACAGGCTTTGAAAAAGACTAAAACCTTTGTTTGACAGTAAAATATCATATTCTTAAGCGTAAGGCGCGAAGGTGGACTGTAAACTGTGTCATACTACGTCGATATTATGGGTCCATATACGAAGCAAGGATACCTTGTATCATAAGTAGGCAGACAATCGTAAAAAAAAAGAGCTACAAGATTTTGGAAAGAATAAGAGCAACAGTAGCAAAAGATTTTTAATACACTGCCCACGGTCTTGAAAAACTATCTCTTGTATTTAAAATTAGATACGGCAATTACAGATGAGAATTATGAAGAAAACGTAGCCCATCCTGGGAAAGAGAGATATTGACCTCATTCACGATTTGCCCCTCTGCGTTGTCTCGCTGCTGTCATGATTTCAAACCACACTGCTAAGAAGAACAAGGGTGATACTAGAAGGTGATAATAGTAATCGATGATGATGAGCGAAACGAAGAAGGATACGATTTACAAAGCGATGAACAAACAAATGACATGTACTACAGTGTTTGAAATGATATTAACAGAGGAAATCATCACAATAATGGCTATTTACCCTTCAATTCAGAAAGCGAAACAATGAGCAGGAGAAAAACCAAACATTCCCCCCAATCACATTGTAGAAAGCCACACAAAAACCACGAGCAACAGTACAAAGGAAAAACATGTCTTTCAAGCAACAGGAAATAGTGGCAACACTGCGAACCGCCAAGATATGAGATCCCCGATGGCAGTGATATGCATAACAGCGACCATCAAGATACATTCCATTATCCATCACAAAGAAATAATAAGCGATTGAATATCCGGAAACAGCTACTTACGAGGTTTGCAAATTGTTGGCATATGATAAGTAATGCGCTACAGTAAAAAGGTGTCAACCATCACTGAAAACGGTATTCTTGTTGCAACGGCAATTTGTAACTTTCGGATGCCAAGTCGATTGAGGGCTGCGACGACGACAGCAAAGCGACAACAGTGTAGTTTGTGTCAATCGACACGCTTTTTAAAGGTTGGTGGGCTTGGTTTAGGCTTGGTAAGGCAGGAAAGATATCTTTAATTTTTCCAGTGTATGATATGAGCATTGACAACACGAAAGCAGCGCTCCTCCTTACATACCTTCTTCGTATTGATGCGCTCCAGAGCAAGGTTTCCTCTACGCGCTTGTTGATGAGCTATACCCAATTTATCTCTTGTCGACGGTATGACCATAATTTCTGGTGAGAGATGAGAAAACTGTGGAGAAGCCAGCTGGAGGTTCTTTTCTTAGTAATTATTGATCTCCTTGACAGCACCCTACAATATATACTGTACACTTAGTACTTTCTACCCCTATATAAGTAATATAGTGTGCGTCCGGTTCAATGCCTCGGATAGTAGCTAGTGTGAGTTACGTGCTCCATATGATGTTAACTTCTTCCTTAGCCTAGTTATTCCGTGAAACACCAAGATGTCGAGATGTCCGCACATGTGAGGTAATGAAGGAAATAACTGCAATCGTTGATGGCGGATATGTGTTATTGATCATGTTGGACACCCATTTTTGAGGATTACTATGTACACCCGCTGCAATATTTGAAGCGACTCGAATGAACATCACAGGGAACATACAATCCACATCCTTTTTGTAATACGTAAATGGTTGGTAATTGAGCTTTAAACAACATTGTATGATACAGTAAGGACGTTCAAGTTTGTACTGAGATAATCCGGTTTGTGTAGCCTTACCGTAACAGTTGTTTGCCGGTATACGTGCTCAAAAGATACAACCTTACGCACTACTAAGTCTTTTTTGTAGAAGGGACCATTGTACTGAACCATATAATGGTCTAAAGCGCATAGTATATGAACAGAAATTACTCATCGAAACTCGCTCTTTAATAAAATCCCTCACAATGCAGCTATTGTATGTAGTATCAAGCAAATGCGTATAGTTTTTGTAAGCACATATTTGCAAAAGAAATTGTCGTTAAATAAGTCGATTAGGTCTTTCAAAAATTGGTTATATGGATCATTGGGGCCAGATGCAATTCCGCCGTCAAGATAAGCATCCAAATCAGGATATCTTGGCTGTCCCTGGTGGTCCCGTGATGGCTCAATAATTGTAGTTGCCAAGATTCTTACCCAGAAGTAAAACATCTCTACATCCGCCTATATCATGTTCAGTATAGAATGTCAGTTTTATCATCCATCGTCATACTTATAATTATTATCTAAGTGATATACCATATGAACTCCGGGACACGTTCGCCTTGTTTAAGGAAAAAAAAAAGTTTGAGTATCATATTAAAAAAAGAGGTTTCATTTTTGGTGTGAGCTTCTTATCATCATGATAATACCTTTCCCAGCCAAACATGAATTGGTCCCGTGAAGCACTTGAGTTTACTGAAGCAGCTAATGTTCGCTGATCCTTCATATAACGTATCGGAACAAATTCTTTCGGCTTGTCATAGAATGCTTCGCTCGAGTTTAAAGTATAAGCATTAGCTATAATCACGGCACCTTTGTGTATCAGGTATCCTTGATATTCGACTTTTTGTATATTCTTCCCAGTCAGTAATTTTTAAAGGCATCAATTTTTTTTCGCCAATAACCCTGCAATTTTTGTACTTACAGTCTTCCGTTACTTCGTGTGGAATACCTAATGGAACCGCCGTTCGATAACGCATACATTCTTTCTGCAAAGAGATCAATAAAGGGAAGTTATCCCTTTCTTCGTACTCTGGCAGTCGGCCATGCTCAGCAATAAATTTGTCGATCTCGGCATGGAGTTCCTTTTGGAGGTCTTTATAATGCGATAATATGACGAAAGCCCACGATAGTGTCATTGCTGTTGTGTCTATTCCAGCCTCGATTATATCGACTAGTTGGAACAAACAAAGTCAATGTTATACGAAGCTGCTATTCACTAGCGTCTTTAACATATGATAAACATCATCATGTATCACTCTCTCACCAATAAATAGTAAAATGTCGTCATCTTCCAGTTCATTCTCGTCCTTAACTTCGTATAAACTCTTGACAAAACTATCTGCATCGCTCTCAAGTGCTTCTCTGATTAGGCGCCAATATACCGGGCCCCGTTTGTCGTAAACAAACTCGTGCATCTCCTTCTCGTTACTCTTAAACCGCGGGCCAAGTAAAGCTGATATTCCAGGCAAAAATGTCGGCAAATCTTGATCAGGTGCACTGAGATTGATAGACATCCGAGTGAGATCAATAATAGTTCTTGCTAGGGGGTCGTTCAATGACGTTGCTCTTTTTGCAAACAATGTTTGCATGACGACATTTAATGTGCTGACTTGCAAGGACTCGAGTAAATTGACGTGCCCATTTTCGATTGTGTTCTACAACAGCATATCCGTAATCCATTCTGCTTCTTGCTAAAAATTGCGAACTTTAGTCGACACTCCCTTGGGTCCAAAGAGACTTTGTGCTGTCATTAAGAGGAAAAAGAACGCGAATGGAATAGTCTTAGGCTATAGCAATGTAAACGTAACTTGTAATTTGTATTTTGTAGCGCAACTTACCGATCGCACGATTTCGTTTCCATCGCTTATTCGCGTCAGCCATCACAAGCCCTCTAGGAAAAATTACATAGAAAGTTATATCACTATATCCACTCTTTCTTCATGCACTTTATACAATAATAGAGAAATTGAAACTGCTTACCTTTTCCCAAGTGACGAAATTTGAGTTGCAAAAAGATGAAAAGGACGACCAGAAGTAATCGCACCTCTCACTTTGAGGATGTCGTTCGCAATATCGCAATCACCGATGATAATCCATGACTTGACACCCATGTTTATACGAATCAAAGGTCCTATCGCATACAGCCGGATACTATAGTAGTGAGTGATGATGCACCCAGAAATACGAGCTAAAGTTTAGGAGTTCACGACTACGACTACTGCTATTGAAAGTACTGACCGTATTTTTTATGCCATTCATCAAATTTTACAGCAGGAATTTCGCTTGGGAGCTGGAATATATGACCTATTGTTCGACATGAAGTGAAAATAAAAGGCTGGCGGTTAAGCTTCTTCGTATTTGATGTTTGTAAATAATGGAACAAGAGGGAGAAAATTTCTTAATTACCAAAATATGGTAGACCGCCAGGTACGAGAGGAACTTCTTGTAGCACCTTTTGACTAGTTATTCCGTCCTCGTTATGTTGTTCCTGTTGACAACGTGTTATAGAGATATATACCGTAGAGACTTAATTTTGTAGCTATAGCAATGGACACGACATGATATGGTGATGTCTGGTATTCTCTGGAAAAAGTATTTGTAAGCGTAATCATCGCTAAGAATTTCTAAAAACTCGAAACGAAGAAAGAAGATAATAGAGAAACATAAAACAGAAGAACAGGGTGAAAAGAAGAAAAAAACCGCGGCTTGTAACAATGGCGAACATGCTTTTCCTTACACATGCATGCATGATCATGGTTCGTGCATCATGTGCTAAAGTGCAGTGCAAAAAGTGAATATTTGCAAGTTGCGGGGTAAACAATTATGCTCGAAATAAACGCTGAATAGATCATCCTGTGAACACAACGTTGTTGTTTATCTGTCAGAGACAATGTACGATATGATACATTCTGTGGTAATTTGTGCCTCCATTCTACTGGCCAGTCACCTACCAGCTGGTAATTTATTTTTTCGATAATGCATAATTTTCTTTGTACATTTATCATGCAGTAACCACGTCTTGATTAGACGCAAAGCGTGCTTCTGTCAACGGATATTGCACAAACCGAAGCTTTTTGCACCGCTGTATGTAACGTGCAAATCGTGTCAATGTATTTGCAAGTTATAATTATGCTAATCTATAGATAGGACCAAATTGATGGCGGTATGGTCTGCCTCGTTTGGTTCTTTATTAATGTATGACTATTTACCTTATACTTAGATGAATTGATTTCATCATATTATAAATTGACGAGAATTTAACAAGCAGCGAAAGAAAGCTACAGCAAGTATAATGTAAGTGAAAGAGCACTAATGCAATCAAATTCTATAACAGTCGGTATATATGCACAGTGTAGTAAATAGTCTGTTAGGTGCTTGTTTATTTTCGCAAATACGATGCATATACTTGCTTGCCTTAAGCAAGTAAGGGGCTTGATAACATATCATCACTTCAGCCAACGTAGCAAGCCTTGGATTTTATAATACAATGTCCTTTCTTTTTATGACAGCAACTGCGATGAGTGCAAACGTGCGCAAAACCTGGTTTCATGAAACTCTGGATATATATAAGTAAGAATATATTGATTTATGTAATGCTTGCTCTAAAAATAAGTGCTTTGTTCTCCCTGCAGCTACTTCTGCATGTGCCTTGACTTAGGAATGGATTAGCCGAAAGGGCAATCTTTACGAACGTGAAAAGCTGGGTGTCATGAACAGTTCTTTTTTTTCTACTTTCACCATCAACTAACTTCGATTTGAAACTTTCTACTGCATACTAGATACCATAATTACCAGTACTTTTGCAAACGAGTCTACTTATGATTATGGACGGCCAAAAAGATGATAATAGTTCCAATGCATTCGTGTGTTACTTGAAGTCACGGTTTACAATCCATCCTCCGGTAGATAAGGATCCTCGGTTATTAAGCTCCTTATCCAAAAACACCATCTTGATAATTGCAGCATTGGCAGCAGCAATCACTGGATTTTCAAGCACAATTTACTTTCCAGGTAATAAACAAGAAGCAAAAGGCATAGCACCCTTAGTCTTCTAGTACTTGTTTTTAATAACGATGATTTAGGTATCCCCGCCATTAACGAAGAGTTAAACGCTCCTCCTCTTGCCACAACATTGGCAGCTTCAATTTTCGTTTTGTTTTTGGGTTTCGCACCAATAATATGGAGCGCAATATCCGATTTTTACGAAATACGTCGCTTCCTTATAATGTTTTCAATGGTTCTCTTCGCTTGCTCGTCACTTGGAGCTGCCCTTGTTAATAACATCTGGGCCTTGGTCGCACTTCGATGCGGCCAGGCTATCGGTGCTGCATCTGCAGGTCCTGTTGGCGGCGGTATCCTTACCGACTTGTATACTGTCGAAGAACGCGGTACTGCGTTTGGAAAGCTATTTCTTGGAATGTTCCTTGGTCCCATCGTCGGTAAAGCGATTCTACTGCTCACCCTCAGAACGATGAAAAAAAGCTTACCAATATCATATTTTATTGGATGATTTTACTATGTATTAGGTCCTACTATTGGCGGATTTTTGACTATCAGCAATAGCACTTGGCGCGCCGCTTTCTGGTTCTGCTTTGCTTTTGGTGCCTTTGTCGTTATCGTTGCATTCATTTTCTTGCCAGAAACATTTCGTGACAGCGAAAAGTTTAGTGTGGAGGAAAAGCTCCCTACAACAGCAATAACATCATCAACTATAATAGCACCAGAGACGTCATCGGTGGACACAGCAACTGCGGGTATCGACAAAGTTATAGCCCACCATGAAGAAAACCAAGCAAGGAAGAAGAAAAAGGTGGTTAACCCGCTCCGTCCATTTTTACTGTTATTCTACCCGAACATTTTGTTGACCTCTCTGGCCAGCGGCATCGCATTCGCGAGTATGTTTACACTCGATACTCTTCTTTCCCCAATTTTTGAGCAAAAGTATCAGTTTAACGCTTGGCAAGTAGGTTTGTATTACATACAAATCGTACGATTTTTCATTTGCGCATATGAAAGAGAGAGTGTAATTACGCGGCAAAGACATTACTAAACCACTTATATGTAATATATGATCCAGGCTTAAGCTATCTAGGTGCAGGTTGCGGTCACTTACTTGGTACCTTTACCAATGGTCAACTTTCGGATCGTTTGCTAATGTCGTCACGAGCCAAACGTGGTGGACGACACAAAGTGGAAGATCGCATCACAATTAATTTGTGGCCGTGTTTCTTAATATTTATGCCTGGCGGAGTACTACTGTTCGGTTGGAGCATCAATAATAATCTCACCTACTGGGCACCCATCATTGGTTATGGCATCCAGTGTTTCGGTGTAAGCCAAATCATGTCCGCTTTAGGTGCCTATTGGTCTGATGCGATACATCCTAGCCAGGCGGCTTCAGTCAATGCAGCAGGCATCTTTTGCTCGATGGTACTTGGCTGCTGTTTAAGCCTTACTGCTCCTCCAATGGTTGAAAAAATTGGTATTGGGTACTACTCAGTTTTCCTCGCCGGACTTAGTTGGCTCTCGGCTGGCCTCTTACTTATAGTCAAGCTGAACGGGCAAAGAATCCGTCGTCATCTCGGTTATGAACAAGATACAGAACGAAATGATTGAATACTCTTTTTATATACAACTATGTCCTTTATATCCGAATTACTCACTGAGAAAGTGAAACCCTTACTTGAATATGTACTCTATTTTACACGTTGTTGTTGTATGCGACTTTATCTTGTGTGCATCACTCTCATATGGGGCTTTGTTTGGCATAGCTCGCTTACACATAGAAAAAGTAAAAATGCGGATACAATGGTAATAAATGCAGGTGTGGCTTCTTGGAAAAATGATCTTATACATGCACCTCTACCAGCGTTTAGACAAATGTAACGGTGCTTATAAAAGTCTCAATTTGAGAAGCTGTTGAGTCACGCGTAATAATCGGGTTGACACGAGGCGTCGCCCGACAGGAATGCTTAAAAATTCCCATCTTTACATTTGCGTATACGATGCCTGTCAACTTAGCATGCTTAGTTCGTCATCTAGCAGCGAATCATCAAAATACCGGAATAACAGGGACGTTTAAACGGCAGCTGCATTAATGATACGCCTACTGTATTAAGTAACAATTGCTAGAAAATCTGGATGCCGATGTACGTCGAACCATCGTCTAAAATTTGAAACTGTAATCTCACGCATGTTGAAGCCTTCCAAGACATTGATAAGCATCAAATTTAAACATGATTTTCCGAACGATATACATGCCACTTACGCATCCGTTTACAGTAGATGTGCAGGAAATTGTAATAGCGAGATGCTTGCCATTTGGGCCAGAAGTAGTGTTAAAACACTAAATCTAAGACTTTAGTAAAGTATGTCTCTCGAGTCAAGTGTAATACCGTATGATATGTACATAGTTGTTCTATCTAGCAAATGTATGATATCACCATTTGTTTTGAGTTCAGACCTTCATTCACATCCCTCGCATAATTCCAATTTGATGGGGCAACATACTTTCAAGCAATAAGACAGCGTCTGAGCACTTGCAGTCTTCTATCCTCTCTTCTTTCTACTTGAACACACACACACACAGAGAGAGAAACAGATCACTTTTGCAAATAGTGAGGGTATAAGCGACGTCACTGCGCGGAAAAGTAATCATCACCTTCTTCGAGAACATGGTGATATCTGTCCACCACCAGTTTATGTATGTCTGATCATATTTTGTGTTTATTTGGAGAATAATGTGCGACTGAGTTGTGTATAATATGTGGTGGGATGAATTGTATGTGAGTATAATTATGATTTAAAAGTTGTTTTGTTCACTTGGCTAATATAATGAAACGCAGAGAAAAATTAGACCAGTTAGTGGAATGTATAACACTCAATTTCCCCACTCAGTCAATGCAGAATGAAACAATCGGCTTTACCAAATTGCAAATCCCAAGTGTTAAGAAGTTTGTGTTGAATCACTTGTTCTACGGTCATGCCCGGTGAGCCATATGTCAACGGTGACAGGAACACAAACATGCCAGCCTGACCGGCAAGAATAAGGAACGCGGCCAGGTACGAATACTTGGATGGATGGGCAACCATCAATAATGGATTGAACCGCCGATATTTTGTGTTTGTGGTGCCTTCCAAGGCAGAGACAGGCGAATCGACACCATCGATAAACATGAACTGGAATACAGCACCCAAGAGCAAATAGTTACATGTCGCTGCCGGTAAATAGTGGTGCAAAAATAATGATCGTCCCATGGCGAAGAACGGTAAATAGTGTGCAAGCCATAAGATTAAAAACATGCCAGCCGAGGATATAAATCTGTGTCGTAGAGCTAACAGTGATGTTAATAAATGTGAATGTATTGGAGAGAGAAGCCAGTGGGAACCTTTTTTTTCTCATTCTCACAGACAACTGATCCGCTCGAACAACTCATTCACCAACGCTCAAGCTTTGACAGTACTGCTTACGTTCATCAATAGGCTCAACGCCACGTCGTCGAGCAAGTGTATCTGCCAACATAACACCAGCATATACAGCCACACCGCCAATTGAGAGCCACCATCCAAAGACATTGCCAGTCATGTAAATTTGTTCTCGAGTGTCATTCTTTGACCAATAGGAGATACCACGAATCAAGAAGGGCCATGTGATAGGTGCTGATTGATAAGGATGCGGTTTTGTCAATCCAGAATTATGACGAAGCATACGGCCTTGAAGCTCAAAGAACTTTTTAAAGAATGACATTGTTTTGATATCCTTTTTCTTGTTCATGTTAATTTCAGTAGCTAAGAAATAGAGGGGAGGAAGGTTTAATATAATCTTACGAAAACCGTAGCATTACCAAGAACAGCAACACCAAAATTGAGCTTACCATTAAGACCCTTGATTTCAGTGGCAACCCAGAAATTAGAACGTTCTTGTGTGTTCTTGTTACCATTCACATCTTGCTGGAGCATTCCCCATTCAGGCAAAGCCTTATCACGGGTCCAGATAGCAACCTTGGTATCCATGTGCATCAGCTTGAAGGATTTCATGTGCGTTGACCAAGTATTACCGTTATTATGGTCATCCAACACAACCCGGAAAAGCGTTTCGTTATAGCGCTTTCCTTGCTCAACGGTTGTCACTTCTTCGTTTGTGGCCATTAGGGGTGATGCAACGTCATGAGTCAACAAATTTGTGCCCGTTGCTACATGCTCCAGTTGAATAACATCATTGTGTTTAACTGCCGTGCGCTTCTCCTCGGGAATATCCTTGGTAGCTTTGACTCGCCAGTAGCAATTGGCGTCTGCCTCTTTTATACCCGTCACTTGTTGACCTAAAAATATCCATTGTGTAAGATAGACATGTTTTGCAGTATCAAAAAGAAAAAAGAGGATACAATGAAATGAGAATGTTACCTTGACTGCTGATGCGACCATCGTCGTAACGCAAAGGATATTTGGTAGTATGTGAGTGAAGATACACGTCGGTGCCAGGGTGGTGGATAAGAATTTCGTCACCGTAATGAATATCTATTGTAGTCATCCCGCCAGAGGCATTGTATCAGAACAAGCCAGTTCCTAAGCAGCTCTCTTTTCCTCCGCATCTTCCCATACAGTTTTGTTACCTAGCGACTTCATCTTGATGGCGCTGTTTTTCAGTGTTTCTTGGAAAGCAGAGCTCATAAATGTATCACCCGGTCCCGATTGATCTAAAATGGCAAAGTGGATGTAAAACCAAAACATGTACACAAAAACAGGAACAATGATCAGGGCAATGGCCCGTGCGTTAAAGTGCTTCACAAAATGATTCTACATGGTTTCAAGTCATTGTCAGCTGACACGTTATCTTTTTGGTATAGTGCCATTTTCCATCTCGTCACCATCACTTTTCCTTTACCATTGGTAAGCCACGTCTAATATCCAGTAGTTCCCATAAGTCAACAAGGACGCAAATGCCAATGGTGGCGACGACAAAAAGACCGACCAGTTTGACACTGTTTTAAATTTTGTCCATTGTAAGAATTTTTGTTCCAGAAACTCGGCAGACACACAGAGTATACCTTAACGTCATTGCCATCATCACGCCCGTAGTCACAAGCCAAAACCACCAGCTACGCGTAAATTCTCTATATCAAAGAGTTCAATGTTTCAGATTAGCCAACCGATATGACAAAAAAAATCAACTGATAAGGGTAAATCGTAAACGCACTGATATCTGAGTTTGCGGAAGCGGATATAAGAATAGACAGTTGAAAGCATGTAAAACACCAGCATGCTATCCAACATGATAAGCCGATTCTGGGCTACGGCCGAATTATCTAGTGATTGATGATTGAGTACATATTAGCTGCTAGCTCCATCAAGATAAAAATGACCGTTTTTTCATCTTAGCAAAACCCAGTCGTCCCAAAACGCAAATATGCACACACATACCTAGTACATACATTCCAGCGGATAAGGCACAGGTCAATACCGCGTATCCGGATTCACGCATGATACCGTAGATCAAAACGACACACAGAACGTTCAGAGTAGCAGGCAATGCGCGTAATCCAATATATGGCACATTGTTCTCGATATAATTGTCACCAATATTGCCAAAATCGAAATGACCGTCATAACCAAGTAAATAGCCTTGTGCTGCCAACATCAATTTGGCCAGCGGAGGATGGACGTCAAAGAAATACGTTCGCTTCAAGTAAAAGCCAGCGAACTTGCCAAAATGAACTTCGTCAAATCTAGAGCGTGCAACAATCAGAAGGAAGATTGGGGGAAGAACGGCTAATGAGCTTCTATATACAAGAAAAAAAAAGGAGCTTGGCGAACGCGTGCATCAACTATATAGACTTACACGACTTCTGCAGGATGCCAGATTTTATAGAAAGTTGTAATGCATGCAAGTACAGTGACGATGGCAAGGGCAGCACGATGACTTATGGGTGATGGTCCTTGAGGACCAGTATATGAGGCACCCTATAAAAGTGAATTACAAATGAGCGCGTCGATTCCCTCGTGAGTGTATATAATAAACATAAGAATAAAAACAGATCACAGTGATAGTAGCACCAAAGGTACCTTTTTCTTTTCTTCACTAATGTCAATCAAAGAACTAGAGCCAGCATCCAGTGGATCCGCACGTCTGCGACGAAGTTTCGGATCGCTGCTCGTCATTTTGAAATGTGAAGAGGGACTCTATCGAAAGGTGTGGTGTGGGTTTTGCGGTAATACAACAAAAACGTGCTTTAATGAATTTCCAAATCCAATATGCAATAACTGGGTCCCAAATACGGTGGGCTTGATCAGAATGTAAAGAATAAAACGGCCTATCAAAGTGCCACCCGTGCTTCTGTGTTACCTGGGGATTTGACGTGAGTCTTTGCAGTAGGCTTTTTCCTTGATAATTTTGAACCTACCACTGATATAGAAGGAAGAAGTTGAATCTCAAGGCAATTTTTGCAGATATTATGATGATCAACCAACAGAAACAACGACAGAAAAACAAGTAAAGTGATATAAACTCTCCTGAAAGATGATACCATGGATTTGTTCAGCATGAATGTGTTAAAGTACCTTCATCTTGGAGCGGCTATGAGGCGTGAAAGAGCAAAGGCATTATAAAAACGGTGGCTATTATCGCACCAAAGCTACAAATTACAACCAAGCTTTACATCATATAAAATAAAAACACAGCAAAAAGTGCGATCTTATACTCCTAAACAAGGACTTCGCATAATTAAATGAGGCATGCTAAGTCCCAGAGAAAAGTATCAAAAAATTTAACGAATGCAATAATGTAACTAATTGAAAGCACACGAACAATTCCGTGTGCTTCTTCGCTACATTGTACCAAGGAGACTTGAAGAGAATAGCTTCGCAAATCTATATATTTCTCTTGAAAACCATGAATGATGACGCCAGTACAACATAAGGTCACAACAAGTTAGGGACTTAGAATACGTGCCATTCAAAAAGAAAGCATGAACACAAACCCAATCAGTGTATGAAACAAAATTATCGCGCCATCAAACAAGATTGTTGCTACAATAAAGTGTTGTTATCCCCAAAGCAACATGTACCATATTCTTATTGATATCCATGGTAAGTTCAAGTGCTCAACCTACCGTTGATACGTTAAAATAACCAAGGAAAACGATCGACGAATCATTTCAATTAAAAAAGGCTTTTAGCTACCAGCTTCATAGATCGAGGGTGGATAAACTATATATCGTGGATCCGTCAGCCAAAAAAAAAAAAACAGAAATGGTGACATGAAGAGCGGGCGATTAAGTAGTACTACCGTTTCGACTGTGGCTTGCCCTTGGTACATTTACACTTTTCAAAAACTAGACATATGTATATGTATATGACACATACTTATAAATTTAGCGTTTAGCTTTCCAATGATCGCTCCCAATAAGTTTCGGAGCGAAAAGCAGCGGTTCCTCAGCTATCATATATGTGTTACTTGAGACTTTGCATATCTGTATTATCTTCCCAAGCCTTGCTCATCAAGCACTTTTCATAGCAAAATCTGAATGCTTTCAATCAGCAACGGAATGAGCAGCTTTTCAGTACTAGAAATGGTGACAATGCTGGCAAGTGTGTTACAAAGGGGAGGATCCGTGCAGGATCGTGCAACAAAGCAGCAGGATCGACCAATTAATGCATTGTTATACTTCAAAGCCAAAGGGTATCTTTCGTCTGATACTAGTTATGATAGCTGTAGAGATGTTCATAAAAACTTTCTACCAGGTGTGTATATCATATAATGCCTCTTTTTCCAACTTGATGCGAAGCTCCAAAGTAGCAAACAGTTGACATTGAGGAGTTTGCATTGCATTGGTACATGTAAGAATAAACACACATGCTTATCGAGGACCCAGCTGCATGCAATATATAAACAATCAAGCATGTCCCACTGTCTGAGTGTTGTTGACATGACCGTCAGTATCTTAGTTGCACCTTGCACTTTCCTCCTCTTTTGTTTTTTATCTCTCAACCATGTTGACCTCATCCTCCCCACCTTCATCTTCCACTACAAGTGAAAAAGATATGTTCCATGGATGGTCTTGCCCTGGAAAAGGTACCTTTTCATTTATACCTTTACTTTATTGTCGCACTTTTTTTAAAACATCCTTTAATGAAAAGGCCAGCCACTGGAGTGGCAAAGTTTCTCGCTGAAAGCCTTTCAAGACGATGATGTCGAGATCGCAATCACTCATTGTGGCATTTGCGCCACTGATCTTCATGTAATGAACAGCGAATGGGGACCGACCGAATATCCTTGTGTTGCTGGGCATGAAGTACGTCTACCAGAATAAGAGTGCTACTTGGGGGTAAGCAACAAAGTATATCACATTTCCAGAAACGTAACTGTTATTTGCTAGATTGCCGGTGTGGTCACTATGGTAGGTAAAAATGTTTTTGAACTCAAAGTCGGCGATCGTGTCGGCGTAGGCGCACACTGCGACTCGTGTCGCGAATGCAAGGAGTGCAAATTTGGCCAAGAAAATTTATGCCGCAACGGTACCACGCGGACCTATGGCAGCCGATGGCGCAACGGCGATAAAACGTATGGCGGCTTCGCTACAAAGTATCGTGGCAATCAGCACTTTGTTTTCAAGATTCCAGAAGCATTGTCGAATGAGATCGCAGCCACGTTTTTCTGCGGTGGCATAGCAACTTTCGCACCGTTGAAAAAGTATGGTGTAACAACCGGATCGAGAGTCGGCATTATCGGTGTTGGTCCGTATTTTTTGAGAGAAGCAATAGCAACTTGGATGGGGCGTTCACGGAGCAGAGGAGGAAATCGAAACCGTCATCCTTGCTCACTATTCATTGTTGTTGCTCTTGAATACAGGAGGTCTGGGCCATTTTGCTATCCAGTGGGCTAAAGCGATGGGCGCCGAAGAAGTTGTAGTCTTTTCAACATCGGACAAAAAGCGTGCGGATAGTGAGCAGCTGGGTGCGACCGACTATGTCATTTCTGATACGGGCTACAATAGTGATTCAGCGCAGCAACAGGTATTTCAAGAACGGAAAGGTTCCTTGTCGCACATCATTCTGTGTACGAGCTTCGGTATACAGTTTGATTGGGCACGATATTTGTCATTGCTCGAGGCCAACGGGGTGTTTATCATGACTACCGCTCCTGCGATAACACTTGACAGAATTCCTGCCAGTATTGTGCTACAGCGTCAAATCACAATAGTTGGCGCTGCCGTAGGCTCACCTAAGCAGATACGTGAAATGCTCGAGTTCGCCGCTGAAAAGAATGTTCGACCTTGGATCCAAAAGTATCCTATGGACCAAATTCGGGAAGCTATTCAGGCGCTGAAAGAGGGTAAAGCAAAATATCGTTTTGTCCTTGAAACTTAAAGCTGTATACTAGTTCTTTTTGTTTATCCGTATTCGTCAATGTATCATAAAATTAAAACATACTGTCGCATCACTTTAATGTCAATATAATTGTGAGCGTACATACTACTAATGCTGACGGTAAATGGGGAGGTGGGTGTTGGATTGACCCGAAGAAATTGCACACACGTCCTCTAAATATCTTATTACATTATGCGCTTATCCTACTCTAACTTTTAGATATCTGTTTTGTAAAGATAATAGCACGAATTTTTATGCATATCGTGCTAATATAAGTTGAATGCAATCATCAAACAAGGTGACGGAGCCACATGCGGAACACACATTTCATATATTCCAAGCGTCATATCTTTGCAAAATCTCTTTTGCTTTCCAATGTCGTTCTGTGTCAGTGGTATGGTCATCGTTAGAAAGCCTTTCCAAAACGCCTCTGTTAAGGTTCAAGAAATGGTCGTAGTTAGCTCCAGTTTCTTCATCCAATCCTGTAATATTGTCGCATATATGCTTGGCAGCGTTGAAATTGGTCCATTCAGCGTGTGGCGTAGTATTGAAATACGTTTCAATCACACGCCAAACAGCAACATCCACTATATAAATTACGCAAAGTTAGTGGTGCGTCTAGGACTGTTTTAAAGATCCCGTCTTTGCATGCTTACCGTTTTCGAGAAACATGCACAGGTTTTGTAAGCCAGGATGTATTTGCAGGAGCTGGAAGAATACATATATAGTGCGTACAAGGAAAAAAACAGCCGAATTAAACGCCGAGTTGTTTGAAGGACGCGCTACATAAATAAAACAGTGCGGAAAGAGAGTAATTGGAGGCCAAACAGCTTGGCAGTAGCATAGTGTATATGTGTTTGCTTGGTTTTTGTGGCCATTATAATTGTGAAAAATGGGGTTTGCTGGCAAGACAGATTTCCTGATCATCGCGCGGTACATAACTACCTGTGCGACAATGGCAGTATCCGTATATGTGGGCAGGTCATATAGCATGATACAATTAATCAATGTTTTGCGCCCGTCCCTAAAACACAGATTATTTGACGCTGTACAACGTACAGAAACTCCACCTTGTTTTCTGCATTACATTCAACTGACGACAGAGCGAAGTTCCCAAACCGCTTTTCTTTCTCTTCTGCTCCCTACTCATCTTTCTCTCGCCTTTAAACTTTTCATTAATGTCAAAAGAAAGCGCCTCAGCCAGTTTTCCGTTATATACACTCGACGTCAAACGTACTCTGAACTCATTTGAAAAGATCGGACCAGCCATTGACAACCGTGACTATGACCGTGCCCTAAAACTTACGTCGATCACCATTGACTGTATCCAGAAAGATCAATTGATCAAGGCCCTTGATCACCGCGCTTATGTTCTCGGGAAAAAAGCCCGTTTTGGTGAAGCCGTTCAAGACGCTCAGCGGATTATATCACTTGCACCTACCTGGGCGATGGGCTACTGCCGACTTGGTGATCTTTACGCACAGCAAGGAAAGCAGCTCGATGCAATCGACACATATTCTATCGGTCTGCAAAGCGTATCGCAAGACGCCTCTCTATATGCTCAACTTATCGAGGGCAAACATTCTGCCGAGCTACAAAATGAGAAGCGCGTCGATTTCATTCGCAGCCTTCCAGTGGAGGTTATGGCCAAGATTATCACACTATTGCCTAGAGATGCTAAATTGGTCTGCTTGCAAGTGTCGAGCATTTGGTGCAAAAGAACATTGGAGTTCTCTGGGTCATGGCGAGTATCGAGCGGCGATGACATGACAGACGAGCAATCTATTAAAGTGGTGACGTACATTGCTGCCTATGTCGAACAGCTGACCATCGACACAAGCAATCAGCAGGTTTGGAATCAACTTCTTGTGGATATGCAAGGCGGCCATTTCCGAAAGATTACATCGCTCCATCTTACAGGTACGTAGCCAACATGATAACCACTACACAGAAACCTACAGGTTTTAGCTTTACTGAGCCGTTTACACATGAAAATAATTTATCATTTTTAGGCATTGCGGGGAGAAGCATCAATCGGGATATGCTTGTGCCTATGTCTGTCGCATTTTCAAAAATGAACAATACGTTAACGAGGCTACAGTTCGACGCTAATAATGATTATCACCAATCGCATCTAATCAAGCTCGCGGATCTACTGTGCATGTGCACAAATTTGACGAGTTTACGATACCGATCAGAGTCCACATCGTTCGATTGGATTGGTGCTTTTACATACGTCGGGCAACGCCTTACCCTGACTGATCTTGAGATCAAGTGCCACACCAGCTTAAGATGTAATATCGAACCATTGCTACAGCGGTGCCACAAGTTAAAACGCTTGGTACTTGGTAATTGCTCGTGGGAAGGTCTTTTAAACAGCATCAGCCGAAATGGTCCTAGTCTGGAGATTTTCAGTTTTGATGACAAAGACACAGTACCTGACGTTCTGGAGGACGACGCTGACATGGAACGGCAATCTTCTGGTTTGCGCTTCTTTCACGTGGGGAATGCTAAAAGATACGACGACCTATTTACACTAATAAGAAATCACTCTGCCAGTCTTGAGGACCTGTCCCTGAGCATTTACAACGGAGGGTTTTATTCAATTGGACAATCCGTGACATACAGCGATATTCGACTCAACAAATTAAAAAAATTCACCTTCACAAGAGACAACTACAACATCATGGAACCATTTCTTAGGCACGTAATATCAACATCCGACAATTTAAGGCACTTATGTGTAAACGGCTCTGTCAATGCGGAACCTATCGTCAGGACTTTATTAACCCGGCCTCGCCTCGAGTGCTTGGAGATCAACCCGTATCACCATCCATTTGGTATACAACATCCATGGACCCAGTTGTTCGAAGCGTACGCCGCATCTTCGTCTGCACTGACTTTCCAAATGATTTCACTGAAACAATATGATCTCAGTGGTGCTTCCTTGACAGCTCTTGGGAAAATCTCGACTTTGCAAGAGGTCACGTTAGAAAATTTACCCAGAGCTACTGGACCGATGATCGTCGCATTCCTTACAAAAGTAGGCAACAACGTGACCACCCTCAATCTCAGCACACTGCCAGTAATACGGAACGACGAGTTAAAAACTGTGGCCGGCATGAAGGGGTTACGGGCACTAAAGCTTCGACAGCTCCCGAATGTGACAGAGAACGGCGTTATTCGAATGGTGGATACAATGACATCAAAATTACGTTGCTTGACAATTGAAAGATGCAGTGGGGTTACGGAAAAAGCAATTGTACATGCAAAACAGAAAATCAATATTGTAGAGTATCAAGCATTTTAAAAACTGTATTATTCTCAATACGTAGTAAAGATAAACATTAATTGCTTAAAATAAAAAATGGTTTTAGTACTTCAGTGCATTGTAGCGGGGACATATTCGAATTTACTGTATACACCTTCACAAAACCCTGCTGGTAAATGCCATCAATGCCCACCGCAATCGTCACAGGAGATACTGACAGTACCAAATATCTTTCCATGTGGTATCCACCAAGTGAACATCCTGAAATAGTTTTGCCAATAATGCATACGTGTCCTATCGATATTATTCTGCCTATTTAACGTACTATCACAACCATTGCAGGCAGAGCTTCATTGTTATTCAGACTCATTTTTCTGCACCAGTCCCAATGTTTTATATTGGGAATGCATGAATATTGCTGCGTCGGAACGATAAACTAGCAGGCCGATCTGTTTCATTATCATAGGTAACCGAGCCAAGACTGTAGTAGACTATTGATGCTTAGCAAAGATCCTAGATTTTGTTGCCATATTACAGTACAGTCTCTTTGTTGCTAAACGACGTCCATTCGGTGCAGTTGCCAAGATACCATAATTCAAGTCCTAGTAAACATGATTATCCAGGTACGGATCAAGTGCTCGTCAGGAACAAGCATAATGCGACTGAGTTTTCTTCTAAATAGCCAGCAACTTTTTTTCTCGCAGCAAATAAGAGATAAGAAACGTAGTCATTGCATGATTTCAATATGGATCAAGGAGATGAATGGAGGAACACGGGAGACAGAAGAGCTAGAACGGTTCAGTCTATCAAGATATACTCCCGCAACTTTGCCTTCTTTTTGATTATAGAACGAAGAGATAGTAATACCTGTGCTGCTGGGTTGGCGGCGGATATTGATGATCACCAGTAGTAGCACAGAGCTAAAAAAAAAAAGGTTCCTCCCGCATATATAATATGTCTCGCGCCTTGGAACGACGATGATGATCGAAACAAAACAAGGTTTAATGATGGCTAAATAACAATGATACTGCATGTGATATGGAAATGCTTGTTTGCTGCGAGTATTTTTGTTGGCTATGCAAAAGACAAGTGGCATGATGTGAAGTGGGCGAGTATGTGCACTGCCCGGGTTGTGACCACACGTCACTCTAATAAGGGCTGGCTAGGCGTTGGTTAATAGCGATTGGTTGCTGCCTATGAAAAAATTGCTGGACCGCTTACAATAGCACCCGTTCGTTTTGGGTTCGTAAGAAAAGAGCTGGCCCATAAAAAAAGAGCGCGAAAAAAAAGAGAACACAACCGGCATATCGCTTCCCCTCCCTCATCTCTTCCTTCTTCTTATATAAACCCCCACACATCATCTATACTTTTTCTTTAAAATTAATTCATCACCATGGGTTTAAGCTTCTCTAAACTTTTCTCTGACCTTTTCGGCAAGAAGGAAATGCGCATCTTGATGGTCGGTCTTGATGCTGCAGGTAAGACCACCATCCTGTACAAGTTGAAGTTGGGCGAAATTGTGACGACCATTCCTACCATTGGTAAGTTTTTCTTTTCTTCACTTTCTCTCATTGTCTCTTGTTTTGGTTCTATCTACTATCAAGTGGCACAAAAAAGCTCTTGTTGTACAGCGAGAATGGGAATGAAAAGAGCAAGGGAGAGGAAATCAGTTGCAGGGCAAGCTGTGATGAAGCTGGTTGGAATTGTATGGAAACACAAATAATAGCTTAAAATGTCGCGTGCTATTTCTTTCTTCCTCTTGCTCCCTGCTGCTGCTTCTTTTTGCTACCCTTGTTCCCTTTCTTACTCTGCCGTTCTTATTGTGAGTTCTTTTAAAAAACTAATGATATCCTATTTAATAACGAACAGGTTTCAACGTCGAGACCGTCGAGTACAAGAACATTTCGTTCACCGTGTGGGATGTCGGAGGTCAGGATAAGATCCGTCCCTTGTGGAGACACTGTAAGTAGTAACCCATTTATTTGCAGTATTTAATCTAAGGTGGACGTGTCTCTCTTCAGATGTACTTATTGTCATGAATCATGTCCAGACTTCCAAAACACTCAGGGTATTATCTTTGTTGTCGACTCGAACGATCGTGATCGTGTCTCAGAAGCACGCGACGAATTGCAGCGCATGTTGAACGAAGATGAGCTTCGTGATGCTTTGCTGTTGGTGTTTGCCAACAAGCAGGATCTTCCCAACGCCATGAACGCTGCTGAGATCACCGATAAGCTTGGTCTCCACTCTTTGCGCAACCGACACTGGTACATCCAGACCACCTGCGCAACAAGCGGTATGTGTTCTTCTCAAGAGAGAGAAAGAAGTTTGTGTTGGTATAGACACTCATCCTGCAATTTCTTATTATAAAAAACAGGTGATGGTCTTTATGAGGGCTTGGAATGGCTGTCGACCAACTTGAAGAGACGAAGCTAAGCGAAGAACGAAGAAAATGCAGCAACGCGTGCGCCAATCAAGAAGTTTGTCTCGTATATAGTTTGTTGGATTTTGTTTTGCGAATATCAGGCGTCTACTCTATCTTCTCTCCACACTCTCTACACACACACACACACAATCTTACACTCTCTATGTAGCTTGAAGAACACATCTATTTTCCCTCTCTCGCAGACCCATTACCCCGTCGTCCCTTTTGAAGAAAGACAAAAAGAATTATTAAAAAAAACAAGAATATATCACACAGATTACTCGAGGCTGCTGCTGTTTGTTTGCTTGTTGCTCTCTTGAATATGGAAACTTTTTCGAATATGACAAGTCGACAAAAAGGAATGATTGATAAAAAAAAAGAGCTGTGGAAATAGCACGTGGGAATACACCAAATATCGGACAAGCACGATATAGTTTGTATTCATAAAAAAATAAAGAGAAACGGCTCTAGCTCTCTTTTGCAAGCCAATCTCTTCTCTCTTCTCTCTCTCTGCCAGTAACCTCTCGCTCCTGCAACCCCGCGAGCCCCGACCCACACCCCACTCTTTTTTTTCTTTTGAGAAATACGCGACACACAGTCTTTAATTTCGCTCGTTCTCTTTCACAACCCTACAACAGCCATGGAACCACTTTCAAAGCCGTTGCAGGCCGCTGCCGATCTGGACACGGCACGATGTCAAGGAAACTGGGCGGTGGTGCCTGAACTTGCCAAAAAGTACAAAAGGTACCATCCAGATGAATCAGGTACAGTAAACTCACGTCTAATACAATAGCGACGCACAGACTCTCTATCTTTCGCTCCATCCACCTGTCTTGCCTTATCATTATACATAAACAACAGCCCCCTTTTTGTTTCAAGGGGTGGGGTGGGGGCGAAATTGTTAAATAAGGTTCTGAAAATTGACAACTTGACCTTTTTCTATGAAAAGTGATTGTGGCAACGGCTACCTACGAGGCCAAGTTTTCCTTGTTTGTAAATCAGCAACGTAAAGAAGAAGTGACGAGCAAAGGCGAAACGACATCGACACTAGAGCAACGGTACCGAGAGTCGAGTGCCTGGGACATCCGCAGAGATAGCAACGCTCTATTAACACCTATCCATTCGACTCACCATCATCATCATCATCACCACAGAAAAGAAGCAGTGCCAACAACGACACAACAAGGACATCATAGGAAATCTATTTGGGGCAATGGTAGTAGCAATGGTGGTGGTAGTGGCACCATCAATAGCAGCTACAACAAGTCATCGGCCCAACTCATTCCAGCACCTCAAGTACCCGAACTGTTACACGATTCCGATGTTGTTCATTGCAAAGATGATCCTCATCATATTGCTTTGGCACCACGTCTCAACCCAGCCGACACGGAAAAGTATTTGAAAGCGTTGCAGGAACTGATTAAAAAGCATATCAAGTCGGACGACTTACAGACAAAGGACGATCGCCAAGCGCAGGTACAGGAACAGATACACATTGAAATTGATTGTTTTCGTACTCTCCAAAGTTATTAACTTTTGGGGAGTGAAAAGCATTATTAATGGGAAGCGTGCCCGTTGCGGTGCTTGACCGTAATACAACAACAGCAAAACTCATAAAACACAATACTCTTTGATTGTGCAACCTTGCGAAAGATCGATGCATTGCTCCCAAAATTAGAAACTAATATTCTTTTTTTATTTCGTATCAGCTTGCCAAAATCGTTATAGCACGGATTTATTTCGAGACAGGGCGTTATGACAAGGCTCTGGAATCATTGGAAAGATTGGCCTTGCGTATGGAAGATGTACATTCCGGATACGGCATGGTTTTGCTTGTTCAAGCCCGTGTCATCAAAGGTATTTAGTTTGCACGATAGAATTACCTGTTTCGCGTCGTTGAACAAATCAAGTGCTAATACAACATTACCAGCAATTTGTTTTGAGATGCAAGGTGATATTCCAACTGCTCTCGAGACCTATGGTGCCGCTTGGGACGTTTATGATCAGCATCCATCTGAAAAGGGTGAAATGCTTTCGTTTTGGATTGAAGACTGTCTTTACCGGGCTATCTTGCTTCATGTGCGATCCGAGTAAGTTTAACTTTTGGTAGTTCAATAGTATTATGATTAAGAGAAACCCTCGTCTGTAATTAATATGTTGTACAAACTATACATAGGAGTGGCGCACGTCAAGTTTTGCCACTAATGCGAGGTTATATGCACCTAGCATCGTCACATTGGTCAGCCTTTTGGCGAATGCATAAGCGATGGCTTGTTTTCCAACAATACGGGCGTTTTCTCATCAAGGTTTGTCAAGGCGACACCTACTATCCCATGCCGATCAGCACACAACCGGGAACCAAAGGAAGCGCCAACAGTAGCAACACTGCCAGTGGCAAAGCTTCTGCTTACGAGGAATTGCTTTGCTTGACAGCTCTGTATAGAAACTTGTTGAGCTCAATCACAGCACGTTCTTCTACCCAAGAAAGATGTCGATATGTATTAGAGTTGGCCAACCTTATCGTTGATACACACAATGTGATCGGATGGGGTGAAATCAGTAACATTCGACGTGTTCTCCAGGTAGCAAGATTCTCTTTTATTGTCACAAAAGGTGTAGATGTTTGCATTCAAATATTAACAGTAGTTACGGGAAAAATTATCAGTTCCTTCAAAAAGCCAAAGAACACACGTTCAACAGCATGTGTATCTTTCGTTTCATTTTCTTTACGTTTATGCGACTGGGCAACTATGATGAAGCAAACTGTTCGTTGCGGAGCTACATGGAATTGGTGGGATTACCGGACGTTGACAAGACGGACGAAAACGGGTTTGAAACCACACCGTATGCTGATTTGGATGTCCCTGCTCGTGTCGAACGTATTCTCAGCAAACTCACTGCTTTACGACGTATCGAAGAAACAACAACGAAGAACGACGACATTGTTCACGAAAACGAGAATGAAATTAACGTCATTGAAGTTTTGTTGGCTGGTATTCAGCTTTATGGTCGTGAATTAAGGAACGGAAAGCAAGCAGCGTTTCTTGGTGATTTGGCTGTGGAATTGGCCTCCAGTATGGATCCATTTATATGCGATTATACTATCGAGGATTGGATGCCTATTATGGTAGCGTGTCATCGTATGCGTGGCACTGCTTACGGTCTTTATGCTGCACAAAGTAAGGCTTTAAAGTTATGACTACGATGAAGGAGAGTGGGAAAAACGTCGATTGAAGTACACCAACAATATGTTCTCAATATAGCACACGATCCGGATAACCGAGCAATATACCACAACGAAGCACTGACATCATTGCGGAAAGCATCGGAATACGATCTAAACTCTTGGAAAGTTCACTACGAAATCGCGCTGCAGCAAGCTCAAATGAAAGACATTGGGCCTGCCATTGCATCTGTGGGCAAATCGATCCAACTGAAGTCCGACCACATCCCATCTTGGCACCTCTTATCGCTCCTCAACTCTTGCAATCAATTTCGACAGATACCCCAAGCATTGCAAACGATCCAGGCCGGTTTACAAGAGTGCGGCAGTGGCACCATCAATGTACCCACCAATATCACCTATGGCATGCCCGTCTTGACTTGGAATGCAGACGAAAAGCATAGTCGTGTCTATCACGATAAATGCGAAGCCTATTTACGACTCCGGATCACTCAATTAGAACTTCTTGAAGCGTTGGAAGGACCCGATGCAGCACTGCGAGGCTATGGTGAGCTGTTCTCCATGTACACCTTGTTGGCACAAAGTCTGGGTATGAGCGAGGCTCAGGTGGCTGTACAGGCAAATGAAAGTCTTCAACGCATTGCGTCGATTCATGCCAAAGATTCAACAACACAACAAGATGCAACAGCAAATCGTAAATCATCAGTGCCCTCGTCCGAGGAACCACCTGCTTCTCCGCGTTCCACACGTTCGTCTAGAGCTAAATCCATGGATGGTCTTCGACGCCTTTCGGTATCTTCAACAAAACAACGTGGACCAGCATCGTCAGATTTGTCGACGGATCCAGTGCCACCGTTGCCTTCTGCTGCAGCTTCTAATACAACTGATGAGCTCAAGACACGGCGCAAATCGACAGACACAGTCCGTTCGACAAAAGATAAATCACGGAAAAAGAGTTTTGGCGATATCAGCTCAAGCAAACGATCCGGTACACCTACGAGTCATCAGTCAGCGCCGCGCCGAGAATCATCTAACAGTCGTCTCAATATCAAACGTGGATCTACTGCTGGTAAAACGATATATTATAGCTCATTTACTTTCATAATGGAGGAGAGAAGATTTTTTTGCTAACATGAAATCTACACTTTTCTGAATGTAGAGGAGCTAAGACGTGATTCAGCACCATCAGAAATCATTGCACCTGCCACATTAACGCCTTCATTCTCACTAGTCAGTATGCGTAGCAGTTCCTTTAGCAGTAGTTCTATTTCTTTGGCGACAACGACATCAACCACAACCACATTTCCTTCAGTCCCCTCATCTCCTAACAGCAATAACGCCAGTGCATTTGTACGAACCCAACGGGAACGCTGGCATCAGCTACTGATCAAACTGTGGCTCATGTCCACCAACACATTTATCAAGTCAGGTCGATTCGAAGAAGCTAGCAAAGCCATTGTCGAAGCTGAGCAACTGGGACTGATGGATGCTGTTGTATGGCACCAATTGGGTGATTTGTGTTGGCAAACGTACAAACACCAAGAACCAGACAATGAAGAATTGTTGGAGATTGCATTGGATGCGTACAAAAAGGCCTTGACGCTTGAACCAGATCATGTTCGTACGCATATTGATCTGGCGGCTGCATATATGGATATGAAGGAATGGGAACTAGCGGAAGGATTGTTGGAGCGAACGACCAAAGGACCTGGCTGGGATAAACCTGAAGCCTGGTAAGTAGTAAAATGGTTATTATATATACAAGTGATAAGATGCGGGATCTCCTGTAACACTGACTTGGAATTTTTTGCGTTGACGAATATAGGTATCTGTTGGGTACGGTTTACAAGCAGCAACAAGTACTCGATCAAGCAAAGAGCTGTCTGCTTTACGCCATGGAGTTAAACGAGGCCACACCCATGGGATCTTTTGTCGACTTGCCAAGATTCGTCTAATACAATTTCCCTTACTTACTCCTTCATACACCGCTGCTCGCTCCCCGTGCCGTAGCCTATATTACAACGCATTTATGTATACTTCATATATTCGCACTACTACTATTAATATCCTTCTGGACCCTTCCTCTTGTTGTTTCTTATTTGATCAAACACCTCTTCTGCTATCATTATATGTACTCTAATGTTGTGATTACTTAAAATATCATTTCTCTGTCTCTACCACTTTTCTCCTTGTTGATTAGCAAAGTATAACTAAAATTCAGATTAGAAAGGTACTACTGCTATTCCACCAAGAATTCTGCTTGCTACAATACTGGAATGTTGAGTACTAAAAGCTATTCTTTGTTTAGCTGAATGATTGATTGAGGAGTTTTTGAGCAAAAACGCGGATGCAAACATCTAAAGCTTACGCTCAGCTCATTTCCTCTGCGACTTGATCCAAAACTTGTTAAATTTTGCACAATCCTTTTTTTTTTTTTGCAAAAGTTGCAAGAGTATTTCTTTATAGATGGATTGAAAAGTTCTAGGTCTTCTGTCTTCCGTTTCTCTCCATTCATCTCCAAAAGTTGTTGCCTATGATATTTCGATAATTGAAAGAAAACTCAGTAGTATTATGCTTGTTCCTGACGAGCACTTGATCCGTACCTGGATAATCATGTTTACCAGGACTTGAAAATATGTATCTTGGCAATTGCATCAAATGGACGTCGCTTAGCAACAAAGAGACTGTACTGTAATATGGCAACAAAATCTAGGATCTTTGCTAAGCATCAATAGTCTACTACAGTCTTGGCTCGGTTACCTATGATAATGAAACAGATCGGCCTGCTGGTTTATCGTTCCGACGCAGCAATATTCATGCATTCCCAATATAAAACATTGGGACTGGTGCAGAAAAATGAGGCTGAATAACAATGAAGCTCTGCCTGCAATGGTTGTGATAGTACGTTAAATAGGCAGAATAATATCGATAGGACACGTATGCATTATTGGCAAAACTATTTCAGGATGTTCACTTGGTGGATACCACATGGAAAGATATTTGGTACTGTCAGTATCTCCTGTGACGATTGCGGTGGGCATTGATGGCATTTACCAGCAGGGTTTTGTGAAGGTGTATACAGTAAATTCGAATATGTCCCTGCTACAATGCACTGAAGTACTAAAACCATTTTTTATTTTCAGCAATTAATTTTATCTTTACTACGTATTGAGAATAATACAGTGTTTATTATGCTTGATACTCTACTATATTGATTTTCTGTTTTGCATGTACAATTGCTTTTTCCGTAACCCCACTGCATCTTTCAATTGTCAAGCAACGTAATTTTGATGTCATTGAATCCACCATTTGAATAACGCCGTTCTCTGTCACATTCGGGAGCTGTCGAAGTTTTAGTGCCCGTAACCCCTTCATGCCGGCCACAGTTTTTAACTCGTCGTTCCGTATTACTGGCAGTGTGCTGAGATTGAGAGTGGTCACGTTGTTGCCTAATTTTTTTAGGAATGCGCCGATCATTGGCCCAGTAACGTCGAGTAAATCATCTAACGTGACCTCTTGCAAAGTCGAGATCTTCGCAAGAGCTGTCACGCAAGTAACATCAAGATCACATTGTTTCAGTGAAATCATTTGGAAAGTCAGTGCAGACGAAGATGCGGCGTACGCTTCGAACAACTGGGTCCATGGATGTTGTATACCAAATTGACGGTGATACTGGTTGATCTCCAAGCACTCGAGGCGAGGCCGGGTTAATAAAGTCCTGGCGATAGGTTCCGCATTGACAGAGCCGTTTACACATAAGTGCCTTAAATTGTCGGATGTTGATATTACGTGCCTAAGAAATGGTTCCATGATGTTGTGGTTGTCTCTTGTGAAGGTGAATTTTTTTAATTTGTTGAGTCGAATATCGCTGTATGTCACGGATTGTCGAATAATTTGATGAAACCCTCCGTTGTAAAGGCTCAGGGACAGGTCCTCAAGACTGGCAGAGTGATTTTTTATTAGTGTAAATAGGTCGTCGCATCCTTTAGCATTCACCACGTGAAAGAAGCGCAAACCAGAAGATTGCCGTTCCATGTCAGCGTCGTCCTCCAGAACGTCAGGTACTGTGTCTTTATCATCAAAACTGAAAATCTCCAGACTAGGAGCATTTCGGCTGATGCTGTTAAAAAGACCTTCCCACGAGCAATTTCCAAGTACCAAGCGTTTTAACTTGTGGCACCGCTGTAGCAATGGTTCGATATTACATCTTAAGCTGGTGTGGCACTTGATCTCAAGATCAGTCAGGGTAAGGCGTTGCCCGACGTATGTAAAAGCACCAATGCAATCGGACGATGTGGACTCTGATCGGTATCGTAAACTCGTCAAATTTGTGCAGATGCACAGTAGATCCGCGAGCTTGATTAGATGCGATTGGTGATAATCATTATTAGCGTCGAACTGTAGCCTCGTTAACGTATTGTTCATTTTTGAAAATGCGACAGACATAGGCACAAGCATATCCCGATTGATGTTTCTCCCCGCAATGCCTAAAAATGATATATTATTTTCATGTGTAAACGGCTCAGTAAAGCTAAAACTTGTAGGTTTCTGTGTAGTGGTTATCATGTTGGCTACGTACCTGTAAGATGGAGCGATGTAATCTTTCGGAAATGGCCGCCTTGCATATCCACAAGAAGTTGATTCCAAACCTGCTGATTGCTTGTGTCGATGGTCAGCTGTTCGACATAGGCAGCAATGTACGTCACCACTTTAATAGATTGCTCGTCTGTCATGTCATCGCCGCTCGATACTCGCCATGACCCAGAGAACTCCAATGTTCTTTTGCACCAAATGCTCGACACTTGCAAGCAGACCAATTTAGCATCTCTAGGCAATAGTGTGATAATCTTGGCCATAACCTCCACTGGAAGGCTGCGAATGAAATCGACGCGCTTCTCATTTTGTAGCTCGGCAGAATGTTTGCCCTCGATAAGTTGAGCATATAGAGAGGCGTCTTGCGATACGCTTTGCAGACCGATAGAATATGTGTCGATTGCATCGAGCTGCTTTCCTTGCTGTGCGTAAAGATTACCAAGTCGGCAGTAGCCCATCGCCCAGGTAGATGCAAGTGATATAATCCGCTGAGCGTCTTGAACGGCTTCACCAAAACGAGCTTTTTTCCCGAGAACATAAGCGCGGTGATCAAGGGCCTTGATCAATTGATCTTTCTGGATACAGTCAATGGTGATCGACGCAAATTTTAGGGCACGGTCATAGTCACGGTTGTCAATGGCTGGTCCAATCTTTTCAAATGAGTTCAGAGTACGTTTGACGTCGAGTGTATATAGCGGAAAACTGGCTGAGGCGCTTTCTTTTGACATTAATGAAAAGTTTAAAGGTGAGAGAAAGAGGAGTAGGGAGCAGAAGAGAAAGAAAAGCGGTCTGGGAACTTCGCTCTGTCGTCAGTTGAATGTAATGCAGAAAACAAGGTGGAATTCTGTACAACAATATATAATAGACAGGTTTATTGTTTCACAGCGTCAAACAATCCGCGTTTCAAGGGCGAGCGCAAAACCTAGATTAATTGTATCTTGCTATATGGCCTGCCCCAGTATTTCCAAGAGATACTGACACTTCCATAATCACACATGTAATTACCGCGCGATGATCAACAAGTTTTTCTTGCCAGCAAATCCCATTTCTCATGATTATGTATAATGGCCGCAAAAACCAAGCAAACGCATATACACTATGCTACTGCCAAGCTCTTTTGGCCTCCAATCATACTATCTTGACACGGTTATATTTATGTAGTGCGTCTTTCATACAATTCAGCGTTCAATTCGGCTTTTTTTCCCTTGTATGCACGCTATGTATATATTCTTCCAGCCCACGACGAGATGTTTAAAGCAGTCCTAGAAGCACTACTTACTATGCGTATCTACAGTAATATAATGAATTTGCTGTTTCTAGTGGTATTCAAGCGTATTTTGATACCACGCTAAACGCTGAGTGAGCCATTTCAACGCTGCTAAGCATATATGCGACCGTATTGCAGAGCAATTCCCTTATTCCGGCACAAAAATAAGAGTTGGTAGTTCCCCCCCCCCTCAATTTTTTTGAAGTTTAAGGTCAGCCGCCAGAGACACTGTACTGGGCAGCAGAGGGGCATTTGACAAAGTACTTATTCTGCCCCAAATTTACTTTGAAAGTCAGTTGCGAGAGAGTGTAAAGACAGTTGAAAAAAACCGTTAAAGTGTACTTGTCATCTTGTTTCATAAGAGAATTGTATATTTCAACTATATGAAAGGTAAGTAAAGAGAGAACGGGAGGGGTAAGATCTTACTACTACAAGAGGAGAAACAAAAATGGAGGTAAAAAACAAACCACTTTTCATATAAGAAATAAACTTGGTTTGTTATTATTACTTCTTTACAACTTCCTTTTTCACCTCCATTTTTGTTTTTCTTATTGTAGTAGTAAGATCTTGCCTCTCCCGTTCTCTCTTTACTTACCTTTCATATAGTTGAAATATACAATTCTCTTATGAAACAAGATGACAAGTACACTTTAACGGTTTTTTTCAACTGTCTTTACACTCTCTCGCAACTGACTTTCAAAGTAAATTTGGGGCAGAATAAGTACTTTGTCAAATGCCCCTCTGCTGCCCAGTACAGTGTCTCTGGCGGCTGACCTTAAACTTCAAAAAAATTGAGGGGGGGGGAACTACCAACTCTTATTTTTGTGCCGGAATAAGGGAATTGATTACAGAGCTGTATGAAGAAACCGGAGCTAACTACGATCATTTCTAGAACCTTAAGAGAGGTGTTTTGGAAAGGCTTTCTACCGATGACCATAGCATCGACACAGGGCGACATTGGAAAGCAAAAGAGCTTTTGCAAAAGTATGACGCTTGGAACGAATCCGTCACTTGATGATTACATACATCCAAGTCGTATTAGCATCATTAGCATAAAATTCGTGCTAATATTTTTACAAAAACAGATGTCTAAAAGGTTGGCATAGAATAAGCGTAATGTAAGAAGATACTTAGAGAACGTACGTGCAACTTCTTCGGGTTAATTCAACACCCACGCCCCATTGACCGTCTGAGTTGGTAGTATGTACATTTCGCTCACGATAACAATACAAAATTTTAGAGTCTTTAGTTTATAATATATAATTGACGAACACGAATAAACAAAAAGAACCAGCCTACAACTTTAAGTTTCAAGGACAAAACGATATTTTGCTTTACCCTCTTTCAGCGCCTGAATAGCTTCCTGAATTTGATCCATAGGATACTTTTGGATCCAAGGTCGAACATTCTTTTCAGCGGCGAACTCGAGCATTTCACGTATCTGCTTGGTGAGCCTACGGCAGCGCCAACTATTATATTGAAAAAATGGTATTGATTATGCACACTTGATATCTTTTAAAACTGGTTAATACTTGTTTTGCCCGTTCCACACTAATGGAACGGAAAAGAAGGGTATCATTTATTCCTTATCGCTTATCGAACACTCTACTTAATAAAGGAATAGCAGCAACACAACGGTCAAGTATATACTATTAGGTAATCGATGCAAAGGACTACGAAGTTGATCGATTTATGAATTTGCCAAGTTTTTTCAAGTTCTCTACATCCACTATGTGGGCTATCTTGGCGTGTGTCATATAACGACAAAAGGAATATGCTTGAACAGGGGAAGGACATCAAAGGATAGTTCGTCCATATAACATATAAAAAGTCGATTTGCTTTTCCTCAATGGAAAGATACATTTTACAGCTTCCTATTTTCGAACCCTTCGCTTCTTGTATGCTATCGTTTTTACAAGTGCAATGACAGTTTTTATCGCTCTTGCCATTTCTTACTGCATTTTCCGAAACGCCCTTGCCAATTTCACATGGTCAACTCAAAAACCAACAGTGCCAAAAGGAGCCAAGAAAATACTGGTCCCGACAAACGACTATACACCTTTTTTTGGTATAAATGATTACGATCTGTTTTCACATCCTCTTCTACCTAATATGAGTAAAAATGATTAGCATATCATGTGAAGCGTTGACTAAAGAATGCTCACATAAGTTTTGGCCAAATAGGGCACATACTCGCGCTATTTTTCAAATTGCCTGGGGCTCAACTGGAAAAGTGGCAAAAAGAATTAGGTTAATTTTATAATATAAACACCTTTAGGAGAAAACCGTTGTTATCTATCCTCTTCTAAGTATTATTTGTAATAATAGGACCTACCATTCAGATTAACATGGGCGTGAAGCCATGGATAATCCTCGGTGACCATATTTAGCCCATGAAATTAACACCACCGGCAGCATTACCATTATTTCACGCACGAGGTTTATGCACAGGACAACCGAGGAATTATTCTCGCAAATCCTTCTGAACAGTGGCGAAAAACGCGAGCAGCAAGTAACGCATACGATAAGAAAAAGCAGCCCAAGTAGTCTCATAAACAATTACCAACAACTGTGTAATGATTATTCTTAGTGCATCGCTTGGCCTCATCCAAAACTATTCATAAACTTGAGGATGCTTTAACACTGGAAACTGAGTGTTTGATAGATCGTCTACTGGAGCAAACATTATCATCGTCAACATCAGTACCTAGCATTTATACCAACAACAGCAGTAGCATCAGTAGCGATAACAACGGGGATAATGACCATCAAGAACAATGTAAAGGAGTAGACGTATTACTGCATCTTAATCTCTTTACCATGAATTACATTCTGGTAGTCGGATTTGGAAAACGTGCTGAATCAATGGAGGATCCTTTATTTCGCACTCTATTGGAAAGCGTCGAAGAGCCATTCCGACACTTCAACATTATCAAAGATCTCAAGACGTATTTGCCACTCGTTTCCTTTGTGGATAACTTTTTCAGATCCGAAATGCAAAATTTTGCCCAAAGAAAAGCTACATCCATTATATACAAAGCTGATAGAAGAAGCCTTGGATGGCGACGTTGACTGTTTGGTCAAACAGTTAAGCCAGCTTGAACAGATCGATCACAATGATGCGTTGGTTGTAGCAATGAGTAAGTGTAAAGCTAAGGATCCCTTGCTCTGATTTTATACATACAAGGTTACGATTGTATTGCACGATCTAATGGTATACGAAACTACTTTTTATGTTTTTATCTTCTATAGGCGATCTCGGCGTTGCAGGCTCTGATACAACTGCAGTCATAGCATCATGAATGATGCTTAGTTTGTGTTGTCACCATGAAGCCCAACATAAATTACGAGAAGAGGTCGATCAATTCATTGCAGAAAATGAACGCTTGCCGACAATGCAACTACCGCATCTGATATCAGCAACAAAAGAATGCATGCGATATCGTCCCATCGCTAGTCCTTTTGGTATTCTTCACGAAACAACTGAGGATCGTAAGTCTCGGCCTTTTGTCTCCTTTCAGAAATAGTGACAAGAAATTTATCAGCAATAAGAGCTCGATCCATTTACTGGACTTATTTAGTGTTATGCCGCGGGTATTTTATTCCCAAGGGAACTTCAATTGCTTACAACATGCGGGCAATGCATGAGAGCCCTGACGTCTATGACGACCCTGACAAATTTATTCCGAATCGTTTCTTGAATCGATTAAAACCAATGTCAGCTCTCGCTAACGGCCCAATTCATGAAAGAGATCATTATAACTTTGGATGGGGACGGTAAGTGATGATAACGATATGTTATATATGGTGATACGCAAAATGGTTTTGGTATAAGCAGGTACTAAAAAATGTAATTCTGCTATCATTATGGTTAAAAAGACGTACATGCCCAGGAATTCACCTGATAAATGATTGTATTGCATATGTATAGGCTGTAACAAATTTCGATAACAAATCGCTGATCGAGTCATTGCTGAATTTCTAGGCAGAGGTTCAACTGTTTAAAGTCATGGTCCATCTGTTGGCAAAGTGTAAAATTGAGCCCAGATCTCAATAAGATTGATGAAAACGGGACTTTGGTGCTGCCAGCTGATAGAAATATCCAGATTATCAAACGTACTGATGCCTTAATTTAACAACACTTTGTAGTATACCAATGAAAAGATTGTTGACATAGGTTTCCCTAGTTTTTCCGTTCCGGTACCTAGTTTCCAGACATACTCAAATAAACCACAAAGTGGTCAGCATCGTCTGAACGATTGAACTGTATTTTTTTTTTTCAAATTTTTAAGATGATGGCTAAAGATACAGCACCGATTGTTCGGGTACTTGGAAATGGCGGAGGATAGATAAAAGTTACACATATATGTAGTATGGCACGGTATGACATTATGATATTTAGTAGCGTTTGGTTTGCACCATTTTAAAAATGGACAGAGTGACGGCTATTATCCAGTACGGCACCATCCAGGTTAAATTGCACGCCTAATCATCAATAGAAACATTTTGTGTTGAGAGACTTAATTGTTTTCCCAGTTTTCCATATCCTCTCCACATCTTAGGTATGTTTTTTTTTTACCTGGCGCTCGACGTTGTGTCCCAGGTTCAGGGAATCGAACTCCTCTCAGGTATGTGTTGGTGAAATTCACTTGATGCGTAAAGTCAAAGATGAACCAGGCATCCTTGAATCGACAATTTTCGAGATTGCTCCCAGAAAAATCAGAGCTTGGATCGATGTGGTAGTTGGAAAAATCCAGTCCGACGAGCTTTTTGCCTTGTAGATTGAATAAAGTTGGCTCGTTACTGGATGGAGATAACGGATACATCCTGTACAAGTCATCTAATACAAATTAAAGTGATGATGTTGGCTTCGCTTATCAAAGACATCCAGATGGGAAAACCAGAGAAAAAGGTAATGTACCTTGGGTTACAACAGGCAAGTCCATCCAGCGAAGCTTTAGAAGGTCTAAAAACAATCTCAAGTTCAAATCTCTAGCTGATGTTTTTCTGTTGATCGAAATGTTAAAGAGAGCCTTACCATTGATGCGGTAATATTGAGCTTCTTGCATAAGTTCATCCATACTAATAAAGATAAAATTCTCACTGTATTCAATATTTCGGTTCTGTCACACAATCACTTTCAAGCAAAATGTCTTACATTCTGGGATCGTCAAGTGCATTTTGCGGGATCTATTATTTGAGAAGGAAAAAAAAGGTCCAATAAGATATACAGTTGTGTATAGGTGGTTATTTTTGAGCAGTCAATCAGCACCTTCAAGTCTCGAAGATAGTTAAGCACGAGTCGGAAATACGTGCTATCTCTGTCGAGAAAATACGATCCATCCTCATCCGGTTCTTGGGCTAATAATAACAAAAAAAATTAACTCTTCAGTATGCTACTACTTAGTACTTTTACCCCACAGCAGACCGACCCCTCATAATTCAGATTTAGCACATTACTATAGAAGAGGTTGGCCAGCAAAGAATTCGGATCACGGGTCAAGGTAGTTCTGGATGTCACAAACTGCTGACCACCGACATTTAATTTGACCTTCTCATGCTGAAACTTGCGCACTTCTTTCATGACTTGTTCTTCTCGATCGTACTTTTTCTTGTCCTGTTCCAACATGCTTTGTCGTTCACCAAGCTCGTCCGATAATGCAACATAGCCTTCTTCGACTCGGTTGTGAAAGTCTGCGTTAGCTTTTTCAAACCATTCCTCAATATCACGTAGTTCCTGAAGTCGATCCGCAATATGTTTGTGTAGAGCTTAAAGAACCGTCTGTTAAAACCTTTGATTTTTTTCTTTTTTTACCTGTCTTTTTTCTTTTTTGTTCTTACCTTGTCGTTCTGACTTGTGCGAGTCGCTAATAAACTTCCACTCCGGCAAGTTTTCTAGGGGCGGGGACAGGGAAAAGCAATGAGTATGCAAGCAGAAGCGCGCTTTCTATTCGCTTAAAAGCACACAATTCACCTTCATAGACAGCAAATTGACTTCTATCCAAGGGTTCATCTGTATCAATTTCAGAACTTCGGAATGGTGTCGTTGTTCTGTTAGGAGCCTCTAGAATAGCCGATTCAAACATGACAACCGAGCTGGAAGCGTTTGAATTTTGTAAAGGATTCTCCTGATTGTCAATCGGGCTGTTGAAGAAAATATCAGTCGACATTTTGGACCGTAGAAATTGTCAAAGAAATAAAAGAAAAAGGAGACTCGAGATGAGTAGTTGGTAGGAAAGGTGCCGCATTTTTTTTTTGTTGATACACTCGTGAGTTACTACGGTGTATGAGAGAGTGAGAGGGGGTCATGTGTATTGCCTGATGTAGCACCAGCGCAAACCCAAATGGCATATATCGTACATGCATATACATAGAAGTTAACTTTGATTGTCATTGTTATTGACTGGCATCAATGTTTTGATTCTTTGTTGTTGATGTCATGATTCTATATTCAACTACTTTTTCTACAAGAGAGATGTTAAATGCGTTATATATAATGATAAGTACAGAGGGGAAATAAAGGAGGATGACGAAAAAGGGTTCTATGCGGAAGCAACATTGAGCACATTGGCGCAACGTGAGCACAAGGTGTCGGCTGCATCTGCATGATAGTTCCAACAGCGAGGACATTTGTGTTGTGTAGATGGTCGTGCCACAATCTTGCAAGCAGTTTGATCTATATCAAAAAGACATCAGGTCGAAACATGTGTGAGTTTTCTTCAAAATAAATAGGGAACCCTCCAAAAGAGACATTACCTGTTCCTAACTGTGTATCCCGTTCGTATACACTTGAAACAGCAGTGCCTGCATGCTCATGTAGCTTGACGCGAGAGGTCAGAAAGAAGCTGGCTAATTCCTCCGAGTCCATCGTATGAATCATTTCGCCAACTGTTGACTTGGGATCAACCAGTATATCAACGTCGGCTTCTTGTGACGATCTCAAGACCCTATAGATAACCTTAGAAAAGAAAACCTCTCTCTCCCGCCCCTTTATCTCTTCATTCTTGTTAAGCTCACTTACTTTTCTTGACGCGCCACTTCTAATACTTGGTTCACTTCCGATTTTAGTTGCTTCAGAACGGCCCATTTGCTTTCTAAAGGTTTCTGGTGCCATGTCGATTCTAATGGTAACCATCCTTGCTTAAATACAGATGATTCAGGATGAGGCGTGATGGATCGGTAGCTTTCATAGATCTCTTCTGCTGTGTGGCATGCAACAGGAGCAATGGATGCAGTGTATGCACGCAAGACGTGGTATAATACAGTCTGAGCCGTGCGTCGTGACAATGCATCGTTCTTGTTGTTGTATAATCGGTCCTTGACAACGTCAAAGTAGAACGCGGATAGGTTGTTTGTGGTGAAATGTTGAATATGATGCGTCGCTGCAAGGACAAAGATGGAAAACAGTTTAGGATAGTTAACGTCGCTGCTTCAACTGGCCTATACAAAGCTGCTGTAACGTACCTCTGTTAAATGCAAAGTTGTCATATGCATTGGTCACACGTTCACCAAACTCAAAAAGTTCGTGAAGCATATATCGATCCGTCTAGTAAAAGGAGCAGCAACTGAATCATTAACAGCCGCTTTTTCTTCTTTGCAGATGTTATACTTTATTTACCTCTTTCAGCTGATCGTAAGGTACGCAATCATTATATGAGAAATCATGTAAGTTCCCTAATAAGAACCGAGCAGTTGTGCGGATCTTGCGAATGATATCGGATACTTGAGCTAGTGAGAAATGGTTCAATAGTTTAGCAAAAGATTTATATTTTGCACCGCATAACTGTTTCACTTACCGATAATTGATGGGCCAACAGCAATATCTTTGGTGTATTCACAATTGGCTACCCACATGCGTAGCACATCAGTACCATAAGCAGGGAAAAGTTTCTTGTTCTATTAGCGTCGTGAAAAGTATCCAAGGCGTTAATTGTCAAGCAGCAGTCAATGAAAAAAGATAATATATGTTTTGCTACTTACCTTGTCATCTCCATGGGTAATGACGCTAGGAGCAATTGTGTTGCCAATACTCTTGGACATTTTACGTCCTTCTTCATCCAATGTGAAACCGTGTGTGATAAGTGTACCATAAGGCTGTTTTCCAGTGACGGCAACTATAGATGAGATGATGGTAGTAGCAACAACAACAACAACATCAATCAGTTTCTATTGTTATAAGAATCACTCCCTCAAGTGGTTTCAAGGAAAAAGCACCAACGCCCGGAGTTCCTCACTTGAAGTTAGCAACGATGATTGGAACCAGCCTCTGTGTTGATCGCTTCCTTCAAGATATACATCAGCCAGGGGTCGGTCCTCGCCTCTACATTTAAAAAAAAAGAATTAGTTGATATATCTTAGAGAACGTTTGTATTTTTAAGATATCTTTTTTTTTTACCGAGATTCAATCATGGTCCACGAGGTGCCACTATCAAACCAAACGTCCATGGTATCATAACCACGTCTATACTGTTTGCCTGTATTACGATACTCGGGTGCCACAAACACCGAATCGTCTTTTTCCTCCCACCAAGCATCAATACCGCGATCTTCAAACACTCTGATGATGTGTTCCACAGACGTATCCGTCAGTAATGCTTCACCACTTTCTGTGTCATAAAGAGCTGGGATCGGGACACCCCATGACCGTTGCCGAGAAATGCACCATTCCTTTCGTGACACAGTGAATTGCTCTAACCGTCTTAAGGCTATTTACACACACATACATACACAGATCATTAGCCCCCCATAGACTCCTTTCCATAAACGCCCAACTAAAATACATACAAACATCGGGCACCATGCGCACAGTCTGCAATGCACGAACTGCATTTTTCTGCAGATCTTCTACGTTTGCAAACCATTGTGCAGTCGATCTATCCATCACGCGAACATGGCGTCAATGTAATTTTAAAATTCCAGTTCTATACACACATACCCACGCACGCCCCCATTCATTACCTCAACATCACTGGTTTCTTGGTGCGCCAGTCATAAGGATACTTGTGCACATATTCACACTCGTGAACAAGAACAGACGCATCTGTCAGTGCTTTAATGATGGCATCCGTACCTTCATCAAATGCCACCATGCCTTCCAATTCGGGGCCTGCCTCATGGGTAAATCGACCCTCATCATCCACTTTTTTTTTTATGAAAAATAGTCAAAAGATCAATGGAATTCGAGTATGGTGTACGCATCCCCCTCTTTTTAACAGCCAAACCACTGCCCCCCCCCCCACAATTCTCCGGGATTTCGCCACCTGGGTTTTCCCCCAAAAAAAAAAATCATACCTGGACTAAAAGGGTCAATGCCTAAACTTTGACATGCTTCATAATCCTCCATACCGTGACCAGGAGCCGTATGTACCAGACCCGTACCAGACTCTGCAGTAACATGATCACCACCAATGATAGACATTGGCGTATTCCACAATGGATGGGTATACGTTGTACCCACCAGATCCTTGCCCTGGATCTCATCCACAACAGTTTCAATGATCTCGGCGTTGATTTCTGTGCTGAATGCTTCCAATCGATCCTTGCCAATAATATATTGTGATTCCTCGTTGTTCTGGTTGTTGCGTACACGTACGATCGAATAAGTCAACTCGGGATGGACCGCTACGGCTTTATTGGCTGGAAGCGTCCATGGTGTCGTTGTCCAAATAACGGCATATACAGGACCGTTCAGTTGATGCTTTTCCTTAAACGCAGCAGCTATTGTTGTTGTTGTTGTTGTCAATTAGTCTAGCTCCCCGACAGAATATTTGATGCTTTGAAAAATCCCCCCCTCTCTCTCTCTCTCTCCTTACGTAATTCAGCTACTGGAAAACGAACGTGAATCGAACGCGACACATGTTTGTCGTTATACTCTAATTCTGCTTCTGCTAATGCAGACCTATAAAAATTCGATCCATCAGCTTTTCCATCTTGATATATAGTTTCAATCAACCGCGTTATGGAAAACATACTTGGACGAAGGAGACCAGTAGACGGGCTTCAGTTGACGGTAGATATATCCTAAATTTCTCCACCCAATTAAAAACGCATTCCATATATGTCATCACCCGTCAAATTTTCTTTACCTCGCTTCATCATTTCTCGAAACACACGTAACTGTCGAATCTCATAATCCTTATCTAAAATTTCTCAGATGTTAGCTATCATAGATTTCCCCGACTTTTGCTCTGCTGTTCCCTTCAATTCTATTTACCGAGTGTACGATAGGGCTTATTCCAATCACCCATAACGCTCCAGCTCTTGAAACTCTTTTTTTGTTTTTCGATTTCGGATAATGCGCGTTTTCTCGCCAACTGACGGATTTCTGTGGCCGATAGCTCACTCCCCTTTTGTCTGATCGCTTCTAACGCTTTCAATTCGATTGGTAAACCGTGACAATCCCAGCCTGGACGGTACCTATATTGTTTACATTTAATATATTTGATCAACCACTTTGGATTTCCTTCTTCTTCTTCTTCCATAAATAAATTGTAAAACTTTTCATTTTACCAGACTTTATGGCCCTGAAGCATCTTGTATCGATTGATGATATCCTTCAGGATCTTATTTAATGCGTGACCTAGAGAAAAGAAAAAGAAGAAAGATATGGTTAATGTTTTCGTTTTTTTTCCTTTCAACGCGCATTCGAGAAAGAAGGAATATACAAACCCAAGTGAACATCACCATTGGCGTAGGGTGGGCCGTCATGAAGAATAAACAAGTCTTTCGGATTGTTTTCCAACTTTAAAATTTTAAAGCAATAGGCTCGTTAAACAAAGAGAAAGGCCAAAAAAAAAGAATAAACATAAGCTATTCTCTATTTTTTTTCGCGCGCGTTACCTGCCAAGGGTATAGCTCTTTTGTGCATCGATCGCGAAATAAGTGTTCACGAGTAGCAGCATTGGCACGTAGTGGAAATGGCGTTTTCGGCAACAGTAAAGTGTCTGTGTATGGATTCTTTTTCGCCAATGTCGTACATGAGGTTCGAAGGCTTCGTGTGGCTGTCAAGCGTAGGCCAGCGAATGCCAGCGTACGTTGGTTCATTTGAAAAAAAAAAAAAATTGGATATCGTTGTAAGGCTCAAAAGAAAAAGGTGAGGCCCTGTCAAACTCTAGTCGGCAACAAAAAAAAAGGTCCGGGTAAAATAGAGGTGGGGCCGAATTATTAGTAAGGAACCCGATCATGCACGAACATTACCATTCATAGCGCTAACAAAACGGATCGGATAAGCTTTAATTCATCAAAACGAACGGGTGAATACAGCTGATGGTCCCATTTTCAATGTCGTCGACTCTAGGAGAACTGGAATTGAATGAGATATAACACTATTTACCAATTGTAGACCACCAGTTTCGGTTCTCTGACATTGGCTTAGTGTACCCACACTCTGGGATCGTCTACGCGATGGTGCCATCACTGCCCACTCTCTCATAGCTCATCCAGCTATATTGCTGAATGCATTTCGGCAAGGATAATGACCGCAACAGCTGGCATTGGACCAAAACTTGAAATTTCACATACACAGTGAGATGCTAGTGTCGATTGCTATGGTAGCATATATTAGTTTGTGTACATTGGATGCTATGGCAACGACTCTCAAACCATGGGGGTAAATGTACTGCTTGGTTACAGAAGAGCGAAAAAATAAAAAAAGGTTTCCGTAATAAACCTGAAATGAAGAAAAGGTTGGGATCAGTTCCATAAAGAAAAAAGAAGAACATGTGGGATGGATGGGTCTGCGTGACACATATACGAATCTGGTGGGCGATTACTTGTCACTTTAGGACAGCTATGAGCAATATGGTAACGGTCATATCAGGCTGTGAGCACCGGGGGGAGAGGGAGTACTGGGATGAGCATGTCGGCATTGCAGTGTACTGTATGAGTAACAGATACATGATGTTGTGCAGCACCATTGAGGTCAGCTGAACGATTCCACTCACAAGTATGATATACACACATGTGCATCATATATGATAGTAACAGTAGTTGACCAGCAGCGCTAACCCATGTGGGTACCAAAATTACATGGTATATGCTGGTGGCTCACACTTGTCAAATTCCTCCTTTCCCTTTGTTATGATGATGCGCCCTCAACATCAACGCCCCACATTGCCTCTTTTCTATTCCTCCTCCCCCCCCAACCTTTTCCCTTGTTATTGTAATTGTTTGTTCTCCTGTTTGTTCGAAGCCAGATTGTCGGGTCCTCTTTTTTTTTTTTTAAAGTTTGCCAATAAAACCTAGCCAGATCAGCACATACAATTCTTTTTCGTTTTGATAAGGGCAATCTGTAGCATATATATATATATATATATACAGCATGAACATCGAGAAAAAAAAAACAAGGGCTGGTGTTCTTTTCTTTTTTTGTTCTACGACTTGTATTCTTCTTCCCGGTTTTCACACGGCAAGAAAAAAGAGAAAAAATCGCACGGGCTTTGTCTTCTTTTGTACAGTTAATGGAAAGTCAGCTTCATCCGTGCCCAGGACGACTGTAAATCATGCAGTAAGGGGGGTCTCGGTGCAGGGTGTATGAAATTGATGTGTTTCATACAAGTATATGTGAGGAATAGGAAAAGAGCAACACGGCCTTTTCGCGATTCCCGTTCCTGGCAAAGACGCAAAAGCAAAAAGTCCGATGTCGCACGGACGAGCACAATTGTTCATGAGAGAAGTGCTGTATAGCAACGCGTTCAGCTGATTTCCGTTCTCTTATAAAAGCTTGTCTTTTGCTCTCTCGCTCTTTTTTTTGTAAAGGGCCTGAGATTCAACCTTTTTTTCTTCTCTCTTCTCTCTTCTCTCTCTCTCTCTCTCTTGGCCCGGCTTTCCCTTTTTCTTTTCCTCTTTTTCGCTCTATCACACATACTCTCACACTACTACAACAACAACAACAACAACAAACACTTTCAATCGTTCTTCGGCCCACCCTCTCTCTCTCTCTCTCTCTCTCTCTTCATCCTTCATTTGTAGCTGCGTACGGAGGCCAAACGATCATTCTTCCCTTTCCCCCCTTTTTTTTATATATAAAAAGAGAAAAGGATGGCTCAACAACAACAACAACAACAACAGTTCGAGTACTTGTCGTCACCTTCGTCCTACCTGCATCTTACTGCGGACAGCGCCAAAACAACGCTATGGTAATATGACCGAATTACACATTTACAACAATAGCAGCAAGAACAGTGTTATATCAACGCATCCAGAGAACGAACACCTTGGAATTCTAATCACTGAAACGGCCACCTTACGTTACCGCGCAAAAACTTGAATTTATATAGGATGGGAGACCTTGAACCATGGATGGATGAGAATTACATTCGTCAAGTATGGCTAGCGCTTGGTGAAAGTGTCATTGTAAAGTTGATTCGCGACAAAAGAACTGGGTACAATGAAATCTTTGCCTCTTATCGACCGCAGATATCTACAAAGCATAAAACTTAATCAAAATAACCTTCTTTTTCTCATCATGTCCTGCGCACACCCGACCACCGTAAACAACATTACACCACCTATCTCAATCGTTATTAACAACTGCCGACGACGACGACGACGACAACAACAACAAATAAATGCATCCACGTACAACAATTTTTATTTATTTTGCGCAGTGTCAGTGCCGGCTACGCTTTTGTAGGTTTCACATCGGGAATAGCAGCTCAAAGGGCCCTTGCTACCGTCCATGGTACCCGGATGCCAAACATGCAACGAGTGTTTCGGCTCAACTGGGCTTCTGGTGGAGGCATTCATGACAGAAAGTACGTAGCCAAAGAAAAAAAAAGATATACACACACACACACACACATAATAAAACGACCATCCATCAGAAATGCTTTCAAAGAAGTTTTTTTATGGGTGATGAGAAATGATTGCATTCTGCACCGTCCGAGCATGAGAGAGTGTCCATTCTATCACTTGGATCTACAAGATCTTTATTAACCGATGCCCTTATTTGTCCATGTAGAGAGGATCGTGCGCCTGAATACAGTTTGTTCGTGGGTGACCTAAGCAGCGAAGTGGATGAAACCTTACTATTGGTAAATCATCAAAAAACGTTAATGTTATGCAGATATGCAATTATGCAAACAGCGAAGATCATGGTTTTTCCTAACAACAACGACGACTTGTAGAACCTATTCCGACAACATTATCCATCGTGCCACTCGGCCAAAGTAATGACAGATCCCATCTCAGGCCTTTCACGAGGCTATGGCTTTGTACGCTTTCACGACCCGAACGAACAACAGACGGCATTGGTAGAAATGAACAATGTATACTGCGGTAACCGACCGATGCGAGTATCGCTCGCCACGCCTAAAAACAGCAATGCACGTTATCATCAGCTGGCACTCCAAGCACCGGCCCTCGTGCAGCAGCCAACTGACCCCAGCAACACTACCGTCTTTGTCGGAGGCCTGTCGTGCCCCGTGACCGAAGAGGAACTGCGCCGTTACTTTAGCCCGTTTGGTGACATTGTCTATGTCAAGATCCCTCCCAACAAAGGCTGTGGGTTCGTTCAGTACGTTTCGCGTCAGTCGGCCGAACTTGCTATTGAGCAAATGAATGGCTTTCAAATTGGTTCGTCAAGAATCCGCTTGTCTTGGGGCAGGTCGCAAACCGACAAGTCGCTCCCTCATGCCGCAAGTGCTACGACTCTTGTTACTGTCACCAATAACAATAATAGTGCGGCAGCACCAGGATCGTTCTTGCCTACTACTACTACTACTTCTACTGCTGCTGCTACTACTGCTGCATCACTTTTAAGGTGATTATTGGTCAATAGAGACCGAAATGTATTGGATCAAAAGAGACTACTAATCATTCCCTCCCTCCCCGTAGCAGATACCAACAGCAACACCAACAAGCTAGTACAACACATCCATCTTTGGATGCGCCGTTGAGCCTCGCCATGGGACCCACGAATAGTGCTACCAGTGGTGCGACAAGCATCGATACTTTTGGATCGTTTTCTCCTCCTCTGGCTCGGCACCAGTTCTCGCCTACCACCGGTGTCTTTTCCTCCTCCTCAGATTTCAACAGCACAAACCTCAAACCGGAAGATCCCGTCAACAACACCTGGTTTCTTTTGAAAAACAGTCGCGATCAAGACACTTCTTGGAGGCTCAACGGAATTTACGCATAAATCAACCAAAAAAAAAAAAAAAAAAACTCTCGACCGACCAACCAACCAGCAAAACGTCAACCACATATACTTGTCATATGCATTTCTTTGTTGTTTTCTATTTCTTTTTTTTTCCCTTTATTATGTTGTAGTAATGTATACATATTCCCCCACTTCTTGCTATTTAAACTATCCGCACTCTCTCAAACGAACAAAAAAAAACACACCTAAATCCGTCTCTCTCTTCTTCTATTTGCTTAGATGAAAGTTTGTTCCATATCCATTTTATATCATCTCATACCTTTTTGTTTCTCTAGTCTGCCTTTCTTAACTCACACACACACACACACTCTCTCTCTGTCTGCTCTTTTTCTTTCTTCATTGCATTCGTTATTATATTCCCCCCACTAACCCCCCCTCCCCTTCCTCTTCTTCTTACTATGCCCTCTCAAACCCTCTTTTTATCTTTACACTTTGTTTTATTATTATTATCTATACTATATTAGTATTTTTTGCTATCAGTTTAAAAGAACGTCTATTTCACCTGTTTGTTGTGGCACATAGCACCAACTGGTAAATGATAAGACAGTTAAAGATGTAACTCCACTGACAGGGCGTTATTAAGATTGCGGGCGAGACACATGCACACATGTCGCGTAGCAACCTTAGATGTGCTACAACTCGAATCGAGATATCAACATCACTGTGCGCATGTTCTAAACTGGTTATACCTATCTTTTATTTACCAAGTAACCTCAGAGTAACCTTAGAAACCAAAGAAGGGTGGTGGTACAGCAATCCGGTAATAATGATATGACGATTATAAACGAATAGGCCCTCGCCTGTTTTTTTTTTTCACTATCTTGAAGACGAAGGAAAAAACGCGCTTTCGTTCACAGAAATAAAAAAAAGGGCTGATGGATGATAAATGGTTTGATTTGCAGGTGATGTGTATAATGGATTGTTGTTGTTGTTGCTTTTTGTGGTTCTCCAACATGATCCCTTCCGTTCTCTTTTTATATGTAGCATAATAGTTAAGAGCTTTTTCTTCTTAATCCTTTGCACTTCCATCCCTCGGTCGATAAACAACGTTTCGTCGTTCCAATTCGACTTCGACGTCTTCGGGTATCCGTCCATATACTCGTATCGCATATACTCCTCGTGTGAATTTATCTATATTTTGCATACAATCTTTTAGCAACCTCTATTATCCTCATGCAAACATCTCTCTCTCTCTCTCTCTCACTGTTCTTTTTCGTATCGAAAACAAACAGAATGCTTACCAATACGCTGCCACCGTGCTACCCAACTTTCTGGAGGCTGCATCAGGGCAATTACTCTATTTATTCAGTTTTTTGGTGAATTAGACCTCGAAAAATCCCATAGTGTGGTGGAAAAAGACCGCTTCTACTTTGTCAATACGAACCCTTCAAATTTACTTGAAGTGCATTCAGCAACACGATCTGGGTAATCTCGCATACGTAAAAGATCGTCGCAGTTTTCACAACCATTGGCACGGAATTGACTCGCCGTCTATTTGAATAAATCAACAAAACAAACGATGAGTTTTGTTTTCGCCCCTTTTCCCCATTCCAAAACGTGTTTTTTGAAAAAAGTTAAGCCATACCTTTACCAAAGAGCACAATAAACATGCCCTTAATTGCTTTTTTTCTGTGGGTAAAACTTGAGACATTGTGTGAGTTTAAAAGAATGGGATTAGGTGTGTAAAGTTATAATGTCGTCCCCCTCGTCTCTGCCCGCTAATATCAAAGGTCGCTCTTTCAAAGCTTTTTTTCTTTTGCTTGACAGATAATTCGTTGCCCTACATTCGACGCCAGCCCACACACACACACATACAGAGAGGGGCGACAAGACTGACTGAAAAATATTGAACATAATGAGATACTACTTACTATCGCCCTGTTCAACTTTTTAACAATGGGAAAAGATTCATTTCTACCGCACGAAGCAAGCTGTATACAAGAAATAGAAAGGCTATATGAATAAGCTATAAAGTCGGAGCGTTCTGGCGCAAGTCGAAGCGCCAGACATTAAAATGAACCCAACAATAGAGATCTGCTTGCAAACTCATATTTAATTACATGTCATACTACCAAGGCAACTTTGCCGAATCGCTGATAACTAGAGAGGCGCTCCTTCATCGACAGACAAATTTTGTCAGAATCAAGAATGCTGCTTGAACACCCTACCCATTTTTGTGTGTGTGCTCAACAAGACTCATCGCTCAACTATGTTCGGGGCGAATAAGACGAATCGAACCATCTTCTCGTAGCTGGGTTCCTGCCAAAGTTTCCCCTCAGGATAGCAGAAACTCATACCGGTAATATATTATAGGGTAAAGCGAGTGATTAGAGGTGTTGGGGACGAAATGTACTTTACCTATTCTCAAACTTTCAATATATAGGATGTTTCTGTTACTTGATTGAAGTTGGACTATCGAACTGACGATGCGGGATGAACCGAACGTACATTTAAGGGCGCCGGAATTCACGACGCTCATCAGACACTTTCACAAAAGATTGTCTTAGTTCGCCTAGATAGCAGGACGGTGGCCGTAAAAGTCGTAATCCGCAAAGGAAGATGTAATAACTCAATCTGGCCGAATGAACTAGCCCTGAAAATGGATGGCGCTTAAGCGTGAAGCCCATACTCTACCGTCAAGGTACTGTAAATGCGATGCTTTGAAGAGTAGGCAGCCGTGGAGGTCGTTGAGAAGTCTTGCATGTAAATCTGCATGAAGTACATAGCCTCTAGTGCTGATCTTGGTGGTAGTAGCAAATATATATACAAATGAGAACTTTGAAGACTAAAGTGGAGAAAGGTTCCTCGAGAACAGCAGTTGGTCGAGGGTTAGTCGATCCTAAGAGATGAGCAAGTTTCGTTTCATAGGTCCGTCTATCGAAAGGGTAACCGCAAAGATATGATTCTTTTAAAAAGCTAGTTACTATTTATTTTCACAGGCAGATGCGGTAATTTTGGGCAGCTGACTGTCGAAGAACAGACAAAAATGATCTTGCGGCGAACAGAATGCCGTATGTATAGATTTGATACGCGTGGCAATGTGAAAAACGTTATTCATTGTGTTATTTTTTTTTGACACAACAGGCTACAACGTCACCTGCCCCGTTGACGTGCAGAATTTCCAGTCAACGGCTGACGTTAATTCCTCAGTGGAAACAAGTGCAAAGGAGATCGTTTTAGGTTAGCTACGCACTGTTGCTCCCAGCGACTGGAATACAATGAATCTTCTGGAACAGTTGGTCTGTGACATTGAAGCTCAAAATGATCCCGTCGCTCGAAGAACGCAAGGAAATGGCGTCTCAAAAATGATACGCCATTACTTATATTTGTTTTTTAACAAGTCAACGGAATATTGACGTATCGCACTGGAAAGATATAAAGTTATATCGCCAGCACCATGTGTACCGCCCTCGTTTGACAACAGAAAGAGATAGCATCGTTCTGTGAAACGTGGGACGATCTTGATAAATGTCGTCCACGCTTATTTCAGCCAGGCGAGAAACCCAAAAGCCTCCGTTTCATTCGTAGTGGATTGCTTCAGATGTAAGAAATCATCGAAAAGTTTGTATATTCAAGGCATAAGAAGGAGTCCATAATGTATGTACATTTCATTTACACTGTTTATCATAGATCTGTACAAGACGGACAGCATCGGGAAGGAAGAGCGACAAAATAATTATGAACATCAAGCAATCGAAGAGCAGGGCGTGGACGTGGCGGTAAAAAACGTCGTAAGAACGTCATAGTAACAGAAAGAAATTCAACCACAATGTACACAAGAAAGCAGCGACGATGACACGCCTTTGAGAAAGAAGAGCCGCATGTAGTAAAGGTGTGGTAGTGATAAGGTTTAGTGTGGTAAGTTCGCAAAAGAATAAAACGTAGTTCATGTGAGGAGGTCTTTATGAGTTATAATTGATGCGCTTAATTTGGGTTGATTTGGGTTACTTCTGGTGAATTACTAGTAATGAAGGCTGGTGAATATCGGTAAAGTTATTATTGGTGGATATGGGTGAAATTGCTATTTTCACCTTAACAAAATCAACCACGTTTAACGAAATTCAACCATATATCACTAGAATATTTACCGTGGTGTAAAGACGTGTCATATTTTTCCTGATGATTGTTAATAATGTGCCAAGCTTCTATATGATCAAATTTATAAATTATCAGATGGTAGCGATGATAGCTCAATCAAAAAGCAAAACAACAAGAAGAATCCAGACAGCAATGATAAGTAATGGAATCACATATTCACCAGGTGCAAGTTCATTTGGAAGAAGAAGAAATAGGAAAAGGCGAGCAAGATGGCTCCTTTCGTAGATGGCTTGTTGGATTGAAGTCGTTCATTTGCGCCCTTCAAACTTCAGTAATTCTACTAAGCAGGTATCTATACATAAATCAAAGTGTGCAAGCGAGATCTACTCTTTTCTATTGACCTTAGCACTGCCGATTCTTTGTTTCCGTTTAATGTTTTCTTAGCACACTGACATAAGAACCACTCACTAACATCAAACTACAAATATAATACAGACGTCATCATCGATCTACTCAAAGGATACAAATTTGAGCAGACCACAGAGTTTACAACGCGGTCAACATGCATAAGAGCTATTTGCACGGTCAATGCGCAAGCTTTATCGCCTTCTTGTCGCCTCTTGGAAGTGACGTTTGGTTCAAGAATCACGCTTTGAAAAAAGGCGCAATTTTCTACGTCTGAATCAGGTGAAAATTAAAATGACAAAATGATCCTGTTGTGATAAGCTACGTTCAGGAAAAGAGAGAGAGAGAGAGACGAGCAGCTGAAAACAGACTTTCCAATTTTAAGATCTGGCAGTTATACATGCCTGTTGGCGTATGCTTTGGTGTTGCCTCTTATAAAATAACCCCTTTTCACAAGAAGGGTCGCACCATATCTGCGGTAACAAGCAATTTAGGCGAACACAGAAAGTGAAAACGCGTGTCAAAGTGTGATAAAGCGCGTTGTGATCGTGTTACTGTCGTCTGTCATTGTTCTCCGCTTTGTTTAGCACGGAACTGTGGGTGGGCAAAAAAAAATAAGGAACTTGTCAAGCACATGAAAAAAAGGCAAAGCAAAAAATAAAATGAAGCGGTAAAACATTTATGAGAAGAGTGCGAAAAAGAAAAAGATTGTTTTATTTTGTTTATCATTTTCTTATTTGTGTGTAATAATGTGTGTAATAAATAATAGTAATAATAATCTGTTCGTTCCTCACCCTCCACTGACCCGCACTGGTACATTGCAGTCATCTCTTCATGGCGGACCACTGAGCCCATCCAATCATCAGAAGACTCTAAACAATCGCCAGCACTGGCACGGAACTGATCATAGCACGGACAGTGACTCCCGCGCATACAGCCCAACGCCTTTCCAAAACGAACTAAAGTGAAGAAAAAAAAAAGAAAGGAAAAGCGAAACTGCTCGCTTTATATAGACGTTTTTTGACTGTCACGCTCGGGACTTTAAAAAGTTCCACCAAGTTCCATGGATTTTCATTGGCTTTTGCTTAATAGTATGGCTTTTAGCATATGGCTCAAAGGGACTATCACAAAAGGAAAGGAAAGGGGGTGTGCTTGGTGGTCATCTAAACAAATGTGCTGCGGCGGTAGTGGTACGTGTCTCTCACCATGCGGAGCTGTACCCTCCGATGGTATCGGCGCTTGTTTGTGAGTGGGGCCGTGCACGGCACCGTGTCAAGCGAAAACAAAGACACGAATGCGAATGAGCAAGTAGATTCACGGAAGAAATGCTTTTCTGCGAGCAATAAGATGACGGAAATAGACGTGACTGACAAGGTAGACAATTCACCATCAGTGAACATTCAAAACACCATCCACCCAACAGCCAGTTTACATTCCTTCACCCAACAAGACAAACAGCGTGTGTATATAGCGTAGTTCACAGACAAATCCACAGTACTTTAATATTGTCTTTTGACTGTGTGTGTTGTACGTAATGTTATGTGTGTGCGGAAAAAGGTGCCCCCATCGCTGCAGTATATAATAAAGACCCGGTATCTTCTATGCTTAACCGTGCTCGTCAACTGTTGCTTTACCATCTTCGCTATCCGCCAACAGTTCTCTGAACCACGCCGTGTAACCTCCTCCCTCCATCCTCCATCCCAGTTTACGCTACTGCTAAAGTTCTATCCTCCATCTTAAGTATGTGCTGCTGCTGATAAGTTGACCCGCTCATAATAAGTATCCGCTGCTGCCAGTGAAATCGATTCATCCTTCATTGTTTTTCATTGCTGCTGATAAAGTAAATCGGTTCGTTTGTTTTTGTGCGGTTCTACGTTCTTTTAAAGCAGCGTTCAAGATCGATTGGGACGATAAGAAGAATAACACTACAAACGATGACTTTTTCCAACTTTTACCACTTTTGCGCGTAATTCGTTGCTCCATTGATCACCTTGTTCACTCGCCATCCCTTTGTGCATTTCGAGTGCGAAGTCAATTAGCCAAATCGTTGCGTCACAATGCGCATAGTTTTCGTTTCAGGGGAAAGCTGTTGGAACGTTCAAAGTTTGACACCCGCATCATTTCGTCACTATCCAAAAAAGAAAGATCTGCGTTGCGCTCTTCCTGGATTCCTCATTCCTAGACTACCTTTGCTTCCTGCTGATTTACGTCCGTTATGCTTGTCGTTTGTGTGGGTTTGTGCGTACGCGTTCATAGCCTTCGTTATGTAGTAAAAAAAAACAAGAGAGACGTAGCGAATTTTCGCCTATGATATTTCCACAGCAAAATACACATTGTGTCTCTGATCGTCTCTTTGCAGACTACTTGTCGTTGCCGAATTAATGATGTTATAATAAAGCCCGAGAGAAAAATCCTGCTCTTTTGCAGTTGCTTTTTATATTCGTTAAGAGCACCGTTTACTGTGCATTACGTCCTACTTAGCTTAATATATAGTCCCTTTTAATATAAATTACGATCCGCTTAATTTTTACTATATCTTGTCTTTAGATGCCACAGCAAGTGTGTTGGGGACGAGCAGCTTCTTCACTACAAGATTTCTCCCAGCAGTAATTCCATTCACGACTGGTGCATTGATTGGTGGCAAGGTGGCATATGCATTACCTTTATGCTACGTATACAATGAAGAGCCGGAAAACAACTGGCTTCGAAACATATACGTATCACGTGTTCAAAATTGTTGCGGATACCAAAAGATAGTTTGCATTGAAGCAAGATTTCACGGATTGGCTAATTATGCCACTTATCAGCCTCACGCACACAAAGAAAACTAATGGTAATGTAGTTACCAGTGCGTTCTCTGACGTGTATGATCACCGCGTATGCAACACAAACAATATAATCCTATTATCAGTATCTTTCGACTCTGTGTAATAGTTTTGGGGTCATATCTACAAAGGACTTCACAGAATATATGGTTCGGAAGCATATGTATATCCGTCTCGCGAACCCATCCTATATATTTATGGCCCTACTGTGTATATAATGTCAAGTATATATTATTTACTTCCATACGTAAGTTGCACTTCATTTTTGATTAATAACTAGAATTTGATCTATCGAACATTATTGGTTTTATTCCTTTGGATGCCAAACGTGTTGGACAGGGAAGAAGAGAGTGGAGTTGTAGCATATATATAGTAGCAAAAGAAAAAAACAACTTATAAGACTACTAGTTTCATTGATAAAATTTTTAGAACGACAAAAATAAGTATGCGAATGGGAAACAGTAGACATTTGATCGGGCATGAGAAAAAGAGAGTAGAAAGGATATACAAAAATGCGAGGAGAAGGGGCAGACTTAATAGAGAGAAGGATTTACATGATAATAATGTGTGTATACATTCTGTTTTCAAATGTGTTGCTATCGTGATAGGCTTTTTACTTTACAGCAGGATTACAGATTTTTGTTCAAGTAGGCCGGGTATTGTTTGGTGCCGTATCATGTACTGGTGGTACTGCTGCTGCTGCTGCTGCTGCTGCTACTGATGGAGGTTGCTGGTGCTGGTGCTGCGGTGGTTGCATGGCTGGCGTAGAGAAATCATACGGCCAAGGCTGATGCTCATGCTCAGCCGATGTTGTAGTAGGAAAAGGAGGGGTCGTTGTCTGGTGGTTGGGACTCACTTGAAAAATGTTTTGATTTGGTATCCGACCTAGTGCTTGCATCGATGCAGCAAGGTTCTTTGAATTGTCGCCACCCAAGAGCCAGTTGGTCCGTGATGCGCCATCACTGGTTGATAATGCTAAATCAGCCAATGACATGCCGCGTAAAGGCATATCTTCCATTTGAGTCACGTCAAACGATGAAAAAGGATTCGGTGCTGGTATTGGTTGTTGTTGTTGTTGTTGCTCTGCTATTGCTGTTGCAGCAGCTGCTACTGCTACCGCTGCCGTTGATGATTGCTGTTGTTGAATACAACCACCTTGTTGCAAATTCGTGGGCCATTGTTCCCTTACTGAAGATTCAGCTGTTACCATACGTTGTTGTTGATGTTGTTGCCAATGTTCGTTTTGCGTATTCTTCATAGATGCTTGCTTTTGTCGCATATAATTGCTGTGCATAGCGTAGAGATCGCGAATCATGAAATACAGTTTGTCTGCCATGGCCCAATAAGATCGTACGGTCTATAATTATTATCAAAACGGGCATCAATTTAAGTTTTTCTTGGGACTTTTTGATTAGAAAGTTAGAATAGATCCATACCTGTAACAAGGCAAAATGTTCTGTAAGAGCAGATCGAGCCTTTTTCGCGTCCTCTGGTTTTGCAAAAAACGCATTGTTCACGACAATCGTAGCCACGGTGTATGTCAAATAGGTCATGAAGGGTGAAACGACGAGTGTATCATGTTTAATTGCACTGACGATTTCAGTCACTACGTCAACCGCACCAAGACATTTCTCGGCGCTCTTGTTGAAAAAGTCTTTCAGATTCTGTTGAACGACGTTTGAATTCATGGTATCCATGAGTGCAAGTGCTGGTCGGTGCAATAAGATGACCAACGTGTTGTACATGACTCGAATCTATCATTGGACGCGATGAGCCCCTTGTGCAACAAACATCATAATAAAGAGGATTGCCTCCGACAAAAACTCACCAGCAAATGACGACATGCATCCATAGGATGTTCTTGCAGATACCGTTCGATATCCGCCGGTGCTTTCTTTAGATCCGCTGGCAACCGATCATACCAAGCATCAATTTGTTGATCCAACTTGATAAAATCTGGATCAGGACCTCGACTGGTGAACATTTTGCGCTCACGGCTGCTGCCACGGTTGATAAAGGTCGTCACGCGTCCCAACAACGAGGCACCATAATTCATTTCTGCAAGCGAACCGAGTCGGTTGTTGGTGTCATCCTTGTTGTTAGCTGGTGGTATAGGCGGATCAATGGCTGTGGAGATGCCAAGCAAATTGCTATCTTGTAGAGCACGCACATTGAATACTACGACACGATTGCCATTCACGGTTTCGGTGTAGAATTGTCCTTTGGACCATCCGTCTTCGTCTGACGGTAACAATACTTCACAATCTTCCTCCTGTAAAACGCCCGGTCGGCCCGTTGACGCGCTCAAAAATCTTCATTTTTTTGGGGATAAAACAATGGTTAGTAAGGAAATGGATAAATGCGATGAAAATTACCTATTGCTACTCACTTGTCCAGGCTAAAAACAGACCAAAACACCCGTCGCTGCACTTCTTGTTCAGTCCATCGATTGGTTGACATGTTTTTGCCCGAGTTTTCCTCCAAATCAGGTTCCTTGTTCAACCCGAGTTCCATCGCCATTCTACACATGATATCCAGTTAAGCACGTCATTTCTTTATCTCCTACTTTACACGAAATATGTATACCTGATTGCCATTCCTGAATACATCCAGCTCCTACATAAAAATAAGTAAGGTGGGGGGGGGGTTGAGGTTACAAAATGGAGCTAGAGATAAGGTACGACATCAACCACGACGATAACACGGAAATTTATTTTACCTTGGACCTCTTGCACAGCCATATTCATGCAGCGTCAGTAAAATAAGAGCCTGAACGTTTGACAAACACGGCGTGTCGATTGCAGTCAACAAAAGATCTCGGGCTTTTGATGCATATTTTTCGCCCGAATGCCATGGTGGATCCTCACGCACATCCGGTCGTTCGGAGAACCTGGCATCAAATTCGTTACAAAGGGTGGATGACAAATCAATCACTAATCCAAACATATACATCTAGCACCTTCCAATCGGACTAGAAAAAGCCTCCCCCACCCGTATCAATTGGTCCCATCAAATCAATGAATTTTTACCTAGCCGATACAGCCAAAATGCTTAGAGTCAAAAACTCGGAACATCGTTGTTCTCGAACATCACGCATCAGTGTTTCTCGATCAAAGATGGGTGTGTAAAAGTATATGTTTTCAAAGTAAAGCTCGACAAGATGTATGACGATATTCATGCAGGGTAAATTTGAGCATTTGCTGTAAAGACTGTTGTCGGTATTCAAGTTAGCAACTGCTATTGCCGTATTTGCACATGCTTGTTGTTGCTGTTGTTCCAGCTGTTGTTGCTGTTGCTGCTGCTGTCGTTGTTGAGTCGGTGAAGTGTATGAGCTTGCAGGAGCAGTTGAAGTCGTTCGGTCATGGTGGTGTTGGACATTGCTACCTTCGTCTACTGACCCCATTGTTGTTGCTGTTGCTTGGTTACTACTATTGGAACGGTGATTTCCATTAAGAGGTGCAGTGGTTGCTGAAGAACGCTCAGTCTCAACCGGTGGTGTATTATCAGTGTCGTCACCGCCACTTCCTTCACTGGCACGCGAAAGCATTTTCTCCATTTTGTCCAACCGTTTTTCTAGCATTTCAATATAACCTTGTCGTGGACCGCGTTTTTTGACGTTTGGATTGTATGTACATTGTCTGCCCAATTTCTCACAGTTGCCACACGTTGGTCTCGCGCCGTCGCATTTAATCTTTTTTAGATCCGCATAATGGTGATAAATGTAAGCACGAGTTTGGAAAAAAAAAGGTTGTTCATGGGGACCAGTTCAATTCAGTTCACAACCGCACTGACCTTTTTTCGTCGACACACATCGCATGCTTGTGCAAGACGCTTACGCTTGGGTTCGGGCATATCGTCCCCTTGCGCATTCTGTGCAGCATGATCCATTTTTTTGTGTGCGCGGTAAAGTGTTGTATATAAGAGGTGTTGTGCTAGTGTGAGACGTGTAGTTAAGAATCAAAAAAAAATAAAGAAAAGGGAAAGGAAACGTACGTCGCCTGCCTTTTTGAGCTAATCTTTGATGCTGCGCAAATCGGCACAGTACGCCGGACGTTCTTACTGATTCGTGGTCCGTGTCAGATTTTTTCTCCCGCTGCCTTGCCCGAATCTGCGCGACACGCGCATTTTGTGCTGTTGACACTGTTTCATGACAATTCTTCCATTTTCGCCATCAAGCTTAATACGACGCTCCTTTCCCATCATCACCAACACTGTTAAAACTGCCAGACGCATGACAACAACATCAGCAGGAGCAACAGCAGCGAATGCCAACTCGTCAAGGACACCCATGATTCTTGTTGATTTTGACGAAACCATCACGACCACAGAAACAACTCCATTACTTGGCCAATTCGGGCTGGACTATCACGGCAGTTCACTCCCATGGCACTATTTTATCGATACATACATGGAAGACTATAATCGGATTAAAGAACAATTTCCAACAAACACAACAGCACCGGAAGAACGGATCAAGGCTTTTCGAGCAGCTGAAGAAGCATCCTTGGCAAGAATCCACACCCGCAAAGTTTTCCAAGGCCTTACACGACAACAAATATTTGACCATGGACAGAAACTATCAACATCTTATCTAAGACCTGATGCATTGGACACATTGGTTTCGATCAAAAATAACAATGGCAATGATTGTTTACGGATCGTTTCTGTCAACTGGTCCAAGGACTGGATCCGTGGCTTTCTGGAACCTTATTTAGAATTGTCATATGATCAAATCTGTTCCAATGATCTTGTGTATGATGACCAAGGCAAGGCAACAGGTGAAATCCAACAAGAGGTGCTGACATCGTATGATAAAAGGCGGGTGGTACAACGTATCAAGCACGAAATTCCTCAAGATATGCCTATTGTTTACATTGGTGATTCGCCAGGCGATGTTCTTCCATTGGGTAAGTAGGCAGTAAAAGTCGAAAGGAAGAGGCGAGTGGCAGAGCGGAAACACACTCGTAAAAGCTATATTTACACTCTCCCTTATGTTTTGTTATTAGTGGACGCAAACACTGGTATTGTCATTGGAGATAATCAGCGACTGTTGAAAGCAATCAAGGACGATTTCCATCGCACTGTGGTAGAGTCGATCCCATCATCCTCACGTACTCCTGGTCAACCACCCATATATCGCGTCGATACTTGGAACCAAATCCGTTCAAGCGATGTTTTTTGATTTTTTAATGAACAACAATCACAGACCCCCTTCTAGACCCCAATGTACCACACACAACAGCATCTTGTAAAGTTACAATCATATATATACCACACTCCGAATCCATCTATCGAGTAGATCCTTCTGTCGAAAGCAAGTTTCCGTATCCAAATCCCTGTAAAAATAATAACAATCATGAATACAAGTAACTACAAACATCTCCGCCCTCGCTCACTCTCTTTCCCGTCATAATATCAACATTCACTACCTTGGGCCCATGGAGTTTGGCGTAACAGCCACGACAATACAAATCGAAATCCTTATCAACCATGTTTGTTGAACTCAATAACTTGCCACATTCGGTACACTTTAAGCAAAACTTGTGATATTTGTTTCCTGCTCCCATTGCCTAACAAAATTATGGTTACGATTAGATGGAGGAATATACAATGTCAAGAGGAGTGGACAACTTTTTCCATTTACCAGCTCAGCAGCATAAACAGCCTTCCCGCACTTTGTACACGTGTCGTTCTGAATGTTGATGTTGACTTTTTTGGGTACGTAGCTTGTATTAAGATAGGTAGGTTTGGTGGCAATCGATGGTTGTTGTGGACGTGGTGGTGTTGCTGGTGAGGGTCGGTTGGGTAGTGCCGGCGATGCAGCAGCAGGTGATGGTGATGATGAAGAAGAAGGTGACGAAGGATAAGCTGGCTTGACGACCGAAGGTTTGGTGCTGCTTGGCACCAGTGGTTTGGTAGGTGCTGGAGGTTTGGTGCCTGGAATACCGCCTTGTTGTTGTTGTTGTGGTTGCCGAGACGACCAGAACGAGCTCATCGGTACAGTCGGCGATGATTCCGGCTGTGGACGTGTTGTTGTAGTTGCAACAGGTTGTGGTGGAGGGGATGCTTGTTGTTGAGGACGTGGTGGCAAGTGTGGAGAGTTGGACGAGGATGACTGGCCTTGTTCTTCCAAAATATCTTTAGGCATTTTATCCTCTGTGCTCAAAAATGCTGCACCAGAAGCTATACTCGATCCGAAAACATATCAGTATCACTAAACGTAATGCAGCAATCGTACTAGACAAATTTGTCACATACCAAATCCATATCCCTTTGGTCCCCATTTACGGTTGTAACAAACTTTGCAGTATGCCTACATGCAAATAAAGATCAACGTCAATAAGCATAGCAAAGACGAGGATGGGTTCCTTGTTCAAAACATGTTAATAAGCCTTGCATATACCTCATTATCCCGCTCTGTCAACGTAGTGGAATCGAGACGTTTGTTACATTCCTAAAAAAACAACGACACAGTCAAACATTTAGCTTCTACAGTCGAGTATACTCATTGGGGGGCCCATCCAAGTTATATAGTAAATCGGCGGTAATCGTTTCTATTTACCTTGCAAGTCAAACAACTACGATGGTAAGCACCACCGGGCCCAATGACCTATCGTTCATGTCTAATTAATATGAAAAGCACTTCCTTTTATCTTTTTGTTGCTCCAGTTTTAAAAAAAAAAAATATACCTGTTCAGCCATATAGACCGCTATAATAATGATAGTAGTAAAAAGTTTGCGTGAGCATATTACCGTCTGCGTATATATATTATCGTTAAATGGCACCAATACGTTAGTGGAGCACTTACATTTGTGGCATCGCTGGCATTGAGGAGCTCCTCCAAAAACGGGCATCGAGGGAAGAAAGAAAAAGAGCAAGCTAAAGAAAGTACAGTCATTTCAGAAAGTAAAGTCGCTGGTTTTGAGTTTAAAGTCGTGCGTGTTCAACAATGAAGTCGCCTGGTTCAGCAATAGAGTCGTGATCACATGTCACAGGCTTTGTTTATTTTTACCTGTCGCTAATTTTTCTTTATTTTATAAAACGAGAATGCTAGGCCAGCAGAAAATTTTTCACAGAATGAAGGCCTATTTAAACACCTTTTTTAGCTTAATGAGCGAGGGGAGGGGTAGAGAGGAGGGGGATACATTTGGTATATTTATGCATATGGACAAAAGGTTCACAACTCTTTCATCAAATGAATGGCAGGCAATTCGCAATGGGTGTAGGAGGTGCACCTTTAAGACTCCAGCATAACTTGAGCTCAAAATATAAATAGAAAGAGGCCGTCATTGTTTTAAAATACCAACCAGTTGACCAGCTTTGTACACAGTAATCCACCCAAGAACAACAAAACAAGCGGAAATAGATGCGGGAAGCACATTCTAACATGAAAAAAAGGCAGGTCAATAAGTTATAAAGTAGGCGATATCAAACCTGTACGTTCCACAAAGCAATGTTGCAATGTACCGCAGTGGAGATACTACATGTCAGTTGGCCACGAAGGAGTCCCTGATTGGTACAATTATGCTAAACTTTTCTCTTTTTCCCTCTGACCTTAGGGCAATCAACCTGCCTATGCGTCAGCCCATACTCAAGAGAAAATATTGCTTTTGGAACCAGCTGTGTGTTGGTCGTTCAAGGGAGAGGACCTCGTAACAATGTGCGACGTGCGGACAGAGCTTAGAAACAACCCATGTAAAAAACCTTGCAGTTTCCTTCTTCATCTCATAGCTTCCATCTCCAAGCGAGGGAAGAAATACTATTGCATGGCCACACAACTGTGTTGAAGGAGAAGCTGAAAGAAGAAGAAAAAAATATTCCATGGAATCCATGGAAAAAAAATCACAGTGAGCCAAGAAAATGAAGGCTTGTCATTGGCCAGTCAAATAAAAGTGAACACCAGGAAGGTGCACAATCTTCTTCCCACCTTCTTTTTTTTTTTTTTTTGCTTCCTTTGGTACACCAAGTGCTGTAAAATTACAAATGTCTCCCATTCCACACGGCTTACCAAAGCCATTCAACATTACTAAGGAAGAATGCAAAATTTTCAAGATTCCTTTGCTTTTCAACACACTCTCTGCAGATGAATGGGCGGACATTGACAAAGAGGGTTAATCATTATGCTGATGTTTGAGAGTTTATATTAGAATTTCCAAAAAGTATAAAATTTTCATAATTAAAATAAATAAGGACATATATTTTTAAAGATTATAATATATATAATTATTTAAAAGGTATTCTAATATATAAAAAGAGATACTCTACCTATATAATATTTTGATAATAAATAACATGTAAAAAATTAAATTATGGAAGAATTTCTGAAAAGGAAAATAATAAAGGGTTTCCAAGAATAATCTTCATTTTATCTTTTTTCTTTTTTTATTTTTATTTTCCCTCTCATTATATATCTTACTGATTTTATTTACTACATCCTGTTTATACTTTTTTTTAGGAATATGTAATTTGCTATGTTTGCAACACATATAATCCTTTTTATCATCTGGCAAATTTGTTTTAATTTTCTTACTACAAAACTTACCTTTATATTTTCCTTTTTTAAATTTATATGTGCAAAAACTATTATGCATAGATATATATAGACAATAATCATTAGAAAAAATATCTTAAACTTTTGAATTAATTTTTTTTTGGATTTTTTCAAGCATATTTTTTTTAATAAAATCTTCAAATTCTAATTACATAAACATATTTAACTCATGACATAAATTAATCCTTAGATTGATGAGATTAATTGGAAGAAAATCATTGAAGGCAACCATATTGTTTTTTATTTTCCTTTTTGATATATTATTTTTCTTTTAAATCAAAATGAATTTTTATTTTTTTTTCTAATAAATAATATTTTATAATATCTTTTTATACATATATAAATTTATTTTTAAAAAAATTCTCAACTATTAGAATAAATCTCAAACCTTAAATAATTGTTAACCAATAGTTTTAAATGAAAACTACTACTAGTAGTCAAGCTCTAAAGTAGTAGATGAGCTGTGGAAGGTGACAAGTTTGTGTGTTAAGGACACTAAGACGGTCAAAGGCACACTTATTCAATCCATTAACACCATGGCATTGAATCGAAAGAACTAGTTCCAGTTGGTATCTTATTGCCACCAGCTGATCGCCCATTACAAACTCAAGAAGATTACCGCAACATTTGATTTTGCATGGACTCTGAAATAGCAAAAACAGCGTGCCTTGGACCTGGGTACTGTGAACGGTGTCAAACTCTCGCAACTGGGTGCAGAAAAGTTTGGAAAGGAGCTCGACAAACTCATGGATGCTGTTGACAAGGAGAACCGTGATCCGTCGCAGCCAACTGGTGCTACCACGACCGTCAAGCAAGAGCCAATGCAGCAACAGCAAGGTGTATTGGAAGAATGTGCCGAATACATGACAATGACTGAGGCCGATGGTGTAGCTTTCAAAGATTCGACCCTTGGCACGATTATCAAGCAAAAAGCAATCAGTATCTACTGCAAGTGGAAGAACGACATGCCCCTATCAGACCAAGAATTGCATTGGATGGCCTGTGGGTTGTCTTCCATCTTGGATTTGACAAAAACAGACTTGACTATGGAATTCTTGGACTGTACTAAGGACGAGCTGGAGCAAGTGTCTAGTCCCCTAGTTGACAAGCGAAGTCGCAAGCAATATCATCTCCCTGCCTTGGTGAATCAAACATATGACATTGTCGTGTCACTAATCGAAAAGGAACACAATGTCAAGAAGGCCATCTTGTACATTCAGCAAATCAAAACAAGCTGCCTTGACACAGAACGACTGCTTGCAGCACTGGTCACGTTGATCAAGATCGTTGACACCAACGCATTTCTGCTCAACCCTAATAACTCGGCCCGCGTGACAGAGTATGATTTCATCACGCAAGTTTGGGCACCCATCCTCAAGTCATTGATTGATATTCATGGTGTGTTGCGCATGAAAATTGGAGAGTCTAGTCCGGCCCAAGGCATTGTTTGTCGCAAGCGCTCCTACAGTGACGCCCGAGTTGGATTCAAGGTGGACTTGCGGCTATTGTTTGATTCGCGCCAAAATGAACACGACCTGCTTGCTCTCGAAGCTGCAAAGGCGGGTGACGCATCCAAATTGTGCCATGACATTTGCAAACTTATGCGCGAGGCCAAGGACAATCTCGATGCTATCCTGCAGCACATCCTGAAACGTCACATGAAAAAGCCAGTCTTGTCCTGGTACATGCACACCAATGGTGCCAGTGCGCATACTGGCACAGTTCACATTGCTAAGGCTGGTCTTTATTTGGCATTGCATGAATCAAAAATCCACTTTCCAAGAAACTTGGCATCGCTGCAGGTATTCAAAAACGAATTTGTCATGCTCATTTCCATGGTGTTTGACTTGGAACGAAATGCCCTCATGATCAAAAAATCCATGGATTTACTGGATTGTCGCAAGGATTCGGCCATGAGCCGCCACGTCGATCCGGATGATTGTCTTGACGCCAACTCTTGTCTGTCGTCCATGCGACCAACCTTTTACAACCCTCCACGAGACCAAGTATCATTAGCTGTTCTTCCGGCTAACTTGTTTGGTGCTGCAACCACGGCCCCTGTATCATCTGTGCCGTCTCCCCCTTGCCACACCGACTTGGAGCCTGACGAATATGGCTGGGCTGCCATGGATAATGGCCAGTTCTATCACATTCATACTGGTATCACTGCGGATCGCCATCCATTTGACGAAAAATCTTGAGCATTTCGTCCATACTCGTAAATATACCACATTTACCCCCACCGTCACCATACACTCCCAATCTTAAAAGGCTGTTTAAATAAATACGTCGTCATTCATACCATAAGACATCATTCCATTTGCTTGTTGCTCAAATTTGTGCAGTCTTTCGTCCTGGGTCAGGTTACTGACCCTGTTTTTTTTTTTTTTTTTTTTTTTTGTTTTGTTTTGTTTTGTTTTTTGCATTTTGTGTTTTTATAATCTCTCCTTGTTGAGACATTTACCGAAACATTTAGCAGAATGAGAAACAAAGCCTTTGAAATCACTTAAATATAAGCTATCGCATGCCTCACTAATTCTTGTCATTAATGATTCTTTTTCCAGGAATTTATTTCGTTTAACTTTACTCTTGACAACTGACCAAAATTATTCAATTGGATTGAGTTCAGGAGAATACGGAGGAAGGTAAGCATACCGGTATCCTCGAGAGTGAATATATTTTCCTATGTCAGTTGAGCTATGAATAGGGGCATTATCCATGACAAGATAATGTCCTTTCATTTCTGGATACTTGTCCATTTCATCAAGAGTAGCTTTTAAAAAACTCAGATAATGTCCTGTTACTGTTCCAATGCTATAACCATCAGTCTCACACCCGAGCTTTCTCTTCTTGATACGCTTCGGAACTCGCAAACTAACATTAATTAAACCTGTGGCAGAAATTGCACCTAAAGTAGATGTTGCTTTTGCTTTAGTCATTGGCACTGTAACTACTGCAGGAGTGCCTTTCTTTGACCAAGCCATACCCCGTTTCAAATTAATGTGAAAGGCGGATTCATCAAGAAAGACACAATTTGTTGTGAAATCCAGGTCAGTTTGCTGCCACTTTTGAACCCAGTCATATCTTTGCTGAATCTTTTCCTTACTGTTCCTTTCCACAGGATGGAACTGTGCTTGCTTAATAGACAGATTACACTTATTTGTCATGAAGTTATAAACAGTACTACGAGAAACGTTGAGATCCTCATAGTTTTGTTTCAAACTTTCCACCACTTCATTGACAACGGCAGAAGGATTCTCATCAATGTAATCTAAAAGAAATTGCTTATGCTCATTCCCAAGAATACGACGTCGCCCTGATTTTTTCTTTTTTTCGAAAATGCTTTCTGGGTCTTCGTAATAACGTTTTACCCATCTCTGTGCTGCCCGGATATGAATCCCCAATTGTCTCGCAGCAGCAGAAGCATTCAAGCATTTGCTGAAAAATAAATGAAAAAATCTAGTCTTGTCTTCATCAGAGTAAACCGTATAGCGTCGCTTATTGCATAATTCCATATCAACATCACAGTTTCTTTCATCCGCAGTTGGAAGTATAACGGGATTAGATTGTCTTTCTGGAGGTTTATTCATTAAGAATTGAGTACGGGAACTTATTGTTTCAATAGCATACAACTCCTCATCTACAACTAGATCCATCGGCTGAACGCCATGTTCATCAACAATATGCCCCTGTCCATCTTCATAATAAAATTGCATACTCATCTTCAATATCTGTAAAATAAATTGTAAATAGAGAACAATTTAATGCCAAGAATTTTATTGGATTACTACTTAAGCGACAAGTAAAAATAAACGAAGTTCGTGACGCATGAGCATGACTTTATTTTTGGATCAATCGATATCATTTTTGAACGCACAATTTTTTTTTTGCACGACTTCAAACTCAAAATCAGCGACTTTTCTTTCTGAAATGACTGTATACAGGATTTTTCCTAATGATTGGCGGGGCTTTTTTTCCCATCATGGCGGGGCTTTTTTTTCACTTTGTCGTTGGGGGTGTTTGTGATTGGCGGTGTGATTTTCGTGAATGGCAGGAGGAAAAAAATACAATGGCGGCCGAATTACAGGTTGATGGCAGAATAATAAATTCATAATGGCGGCCGTAATTTCAGGTTGATGGCAGAATAGTAAATTCATAATGGCGGTTTGAATTATATCATTAGCGGCATCATTTTTAAAAAATGACATTAGATACTAAAGCAGTTCATCTCATTAAATACATCACAAACATGGGAAGATGTATGAGACATGATAATAGGAGTGGCAAGTTTCTACTAGATGATTAGCACATCACCCTTATATAGCAACATAGATGCTCTGAGAACCATAAAAGAATCGCAAAAAAAGATATCGCAAACGAAAAATAATGATCATGTGTATGTAAAAGGTTTTATTTACAATACAAGAGGTACTTCACATCACAAGAGAAACTTCAATCTTGCGAAAATTTCTTCAATCCACAAAAGCCGATCCTGCATTAGAAGCAATGTCCAGCGGACTTCATTCCATTCGGCCAAAACTCGGTGAACGGTTCTTTGGTCTTCACTGGCAGCTTGACTGGTCGTCGCCAGATTACATCCAGCAGCTCCTCTCCATCTATTTCATCTAGTAGGAAATATAGTTCTTTGTCGAAGTATACGCGATATTCGAGATCTGTTTGATGGCGCTCTATAATAGAAGTATAAACAAAAGAAGAATAAATAAGATTAATAAGAATAGATGTAATACCTTTTATTTGCAGAGCTGTGACGATGTGATACGACGTAATGAAGTAACGCCAGAGATTAAGCGACATCTTTGAGAATGAGTGAAACAATTCTTGCCATTGCAGGTATGCTGCTTTATATGTTTTTAAAATGTAACCCAAGCTCAATCTCACATGTCACTCACACCCACACCCACACTCATACCACAATATAAATCTATGGTTACAGGAATATATAAAAATAGTAAGACTAGATGTTATATCATATTTTTAATTGATCATTATTGCTATCTACAACCATTTTGTCCCTGAATATTCCTATAGTCCTACTCACTCATACCACCACCATTTATCTATGACTCAAACCAGTCAAAGTAATTTTTTCCAAGAAAGCTTATTTATTTATTTTTTTTATTTTTTTTATTTTTTATGTATCTTTGTGCTGTTGATTTCGGGATCTTTGCTTCCTCCGCTGCCTTTCGTATTGACCACCCCATATTAAAGTAGAGGTGGATCAAGTATGCTTGTTTGGAGTCAGTATGAAAGGTTCTGTTAACCCCATAATTGTTGTTGCTGACCTGGTCTTCCTGGCTACCTTGATTATGGACCAGTTGACCTAGACAGAAGATATGTTTTTGTTACATCAGTAAACTAAAAATTAACAAGTTGCACGCATCTTTTGAATAATGGTAAAATGTGTTTGGGACGTACTGGTTTCCATTTTGTCAACTACAAGGTAAACCAGGTTGCCCAGGTCTTCTTCCGGAAGAATATCCGTAGGTGTAGCTATATATAATGGAAATAGATGAGTAACGCGCTGTTTTTTGATAGTAATGTTTAGTTGAACTTACTCGGATCGAATGGTTCCAACATGGATTCATCCCACAATTCAAATTCCAGAAATTTTGTAAAGGAGATGTTGTTGTTGTTGTTGTTCATTGTTACGAAAAAGATAGAGTGATTTATACATTCGGAAAATAGACTTGTCTTTGGTTTAAATAGTTTATGGTTTTCTCTTATGTAACCACATGCTTTCGGGATACAAAATAGTTACAAACGGCTTAGTTTTCTTACGCATATGCCGTTAAACTATATTGCTGGTTTGTGACACCACCAAAAAGATCCAGTAATAGATGTTTGTAAGGTTATCTTATCCAGTATTTGTGATGATTCACAAAAATAAAGAGACAGACTACTGTATGAAGAAAAAAAATTATTTTTTGACAAAAGAAATGCATTTATTTGGTTTTCAAATGATGCTCTCGCAAAACTGCTTGACCTTCCTCAGTATCGATAAATTGCATAACCCAGCGATGCATTGTAGCTGCTGGAACTTTGGTTCTACCGTAGTCGCGTCTTTCAAGGGCACAATCTTTAATTGCTTTCTTGATTTCTTCATCATCCTTGTTCCATTTAGTATATGTTCGTTTTTTGACAGTTGTCAGTGTTGTGATTTCTTCTTGGAGCTGTTCCACCAGTTGCACTAGATCTTGAACTGCCTTAACACAGGGGAGCTCGTCGACTGGTTCGTAATCTTCTTCCAGCCGCATTGCATCTAAGGTTCTTATAAATTCCTCTATTAAAGCATTAGAATAGTGGCCAAAGGATATAATCTTCGATTATATAAACATACCAATGTAAGGGTCTTCTCCCTCACTGACATTGACAGCTTCACGTATTTCTATATGAGAAAGGACAATGCTTGCCATGCTGGAAAGGACTACGTAGTGAGAATTCAGACAGATAGAGTAAAAAGAAAGTTTATAATCAGAAATTTTCAGGTAAGATATGATCCTTGCAAACCTACAGTACTGTAGAAGAATAGGGTAGAGTATCCACATGAAGATCTAGCAAGAAGCATAATGAAATGTTGCACGAAATGGGGCGGTATAAAGTACGGAAGGTGATTTCATTCCATTATCTGTATATGAAAATAAAATATAACGAAGTGTTGCACGAAATGGGACAAAAAAAATCACAGCAAAGTTTAATAGCTTGTATCCATATGAAGATCTAGCAAGAAGTATAATGAAGCGTTGCACGAAATGGGACAAAAAAAACCACAGCGAGGATCTAGTAAGAAGTATAAAGCGTTGCACGAAATGGAATGCAATCACCCTCCGCTATTACTTTATGCCGTCCCAGTTCGTGCAACACTCCATTATACTTCTTACTAGATCCTCACACATACACGTAATTATACTTTGCTGTCGGTTTTTTGTCCCACTTCGTGCAACGCTTCATTATACTTCTTGGTAGATCCTCACGCATACACGCTACTATGCTTTGCTGTTATATTTTATTTTCTTATTCAAACAATGGAATGGAACCACATAAGATGGAATGGAATCACCCTCCGCTATTACTTTATGCCGTCCCAGTTCGTGCAACACTGCATTATACTTCTTACTAGATCTTCACACATACACGTAATTATGCTTTGCTGTGATTTTTTTGTCCCATCTGGTGTAGCATTCATATATACTCTATGTTGAAACTTCAAGTCTATGCGTTATAATGGAATGTTGTCATCTGTTGTAGATACCATTGTGGATTGCTTAATTATATATATCTGTAGGTACGGAACAGAAAAGTATATAAACCGATGATTCAAATCCATTGCTTGTAATAACTCATTCTAAATTTACTATTAATCATGTCCGATATCATTTCTACAAACGACTCCTCCCTCGACCTCATGCAGTTTGAATTAGACGTGGACATGTAAGGCAGTCTCGATGTATACAATACTCAGGAATTGAGCAAGGCTCTTCCTTTTGATGACTTTGAAGAAGACACTACAACATCACCATCATCATCATCATCATCAGCATCGCGGTCTCCATCCTCCTCTGCCTCCTCTGCCCCATCATCGCCATCACCACCACGAAGACGGCAACGAGCACCCCGCCGCGGGTACAATTAAGACGAGGTCGTAGTGGTGCTGCGCGCCTATTTTTGGGATGGGCTTACAATCGAGCAAGCCGGCGCCAAGGTGAAGATGCCGAAGGGAACGGCATCAAGACTCATCCGCATCTACCGCCCCCACATGCCACCACCACCCAAACGGCCCCGTGCTCCCAAGAGTAACCACTTCTTGACGAAGGTTAATGATGGTATTCTGGAGGCAGCTTTACAACATCCGTAGCTTTTTTTTATTAATAAATATTTTTTCTCTGCTGGTTGTCTCTAAACAAATACTTGCTTTATGTAACAATGGTGGGATACTTTTTATAATTAGCTACAAACTGTATCTTGCTTAGTGGGTTTAACATGGGTGACATTATTGCGAGTTGATCTAATGGATTTAAAAAAACTACTGTTTTTTGTCCCATTTGGTGTTACCTTACAAGTTCTGTTCAATAACAAATTCACAGAATTGAAAAGTATGAATCATTTTATTTATTGTACTTGTCCATACAGTATTATTATCACTCGATTTTTTACATCAACTATCACCATGTTATCCATCAAAAATTTAACGCTACCATACAATACTGACGTTGATATGCATGAAGAGGAGATGGAAGTAGACGACGTGTACCAAATCGTATCCGATGAATTTAGTGGCCATACTGGTGGTGTACACTCCCTTGTATCGATGACCAAGATAAAAACTACATCGCAGGTACTTACAAAATATATTGGTCAATAATTCTGTAGAACATGATATGTATTCTATATATTTTATTAATTAATGGTTGGTAATTCACAGGAAATTTCTACATCCAAGGTAATCGATCCTCCAACGTCCACTTCGCCTGGTACTGAAGCCGCAGAAAACCAAACGGAATCAGTGAAAAAGGGAAGGGGAAGACCTCGCAAAAACCCTCCAAAAGAGCCTGTCATCCCAAAAAGTATGCTACTTACTATTACTAAACCTTACTTAATAACATTAAACCTCTAGTTGCTTCTGATATCTAATCCAAAACTCTTAATTCCTATAGGAGCTCATCGAGTGTATCGAGATCCAGAAATTATCCAATTGATCGATAGAATCCAAAATGTCACTTTAAACGCTGCAGAGGCTGGGCGCGACTTGTTGATCCCTGAACGAACCGCACAGCGATACTGGAAACGATTTGTCGACGGTGAGCCATATCTCCCAAGTACAATGGGTAAATCTCCCGGTCCTCCACCAACCTTGACACCCGAACACACAGCATTTCTCCAGGCGTATAACGATACCAAGTCAGATGCGACCCTCAAAGAAGCACAGCAATCGCTTGTTGATCGATTCGGCATCAGCATCACTCAAAGTGGCCTCCAGAAGCACCTTGTTAGCAAATGCGGGCTTACTATGAAGAAGTTGGAATGGATCTCTGAGTACCGCAACTCCGATGAAACGATCGCTTCCCGGATCAACTGGGCACACGCATTTGAAGCCAGTGGCATTAATTACCACAAATGCGTCTTTATTGATGAGGCTGGCTTCAACATGCACATCAAGCGTAACTTTGGTCGATCGAGACGAGGTGAGCCCGCCAAGGCCTTGGTTTCTAAGTCGCGTGGGGTCAATATTACGATCTTGGGTGCCATCACTGGTGAAGGTGTAATCAACTTGAGTCTCCGGAGACCTCAAGCGGTTGTCGCTTCCAAGAAACGCAAGACGCGTGACGGTGAAGAAAAGGTGATGGGCAAAATCGGCACTCGGGCGGAGCATTTTATCGAATTTTTGGAAGTGATGATGAAGGTGCTCACCGAAAATGGTATGGGTGGAAGGACCTTGGTATTGGATAATGCCGCTATCCACAAGACTGATGAAGTTCGGGATGCCATTGCCAAGCAAGGATTCGAGATCCTCTTTCTCCCGCCCTACAGCCCATTCCTCAATCCAATTGAGGAATTTCGGTCAAAGCTCAAGGCAGGTGTCAAACGCCATTTACTGACCACAGACGACACCTTGCTGCCGCGCATCATCAACTCCGCCCATGAAGTCACCGCCCAAGATTGCCAAGGATGGATTCGCCACTCCCTTACGTTTGTGCCTAGGTGTATAGAAGGAGAGAAGATGCTGTAGTTTTTTTTCATATTTTATATGTTTTTTTACTGCCCTTCTATATTTTTTCCTTTTACTTTTTTTTTCATATATATATATATGTTTTTTTTAATAAAATATAGAGTTGTCGAAAATCATTAACTGTCATGCTGAGAAAAAGAAGGCAAAACGATTACCATAATTACCCAACCGCCATTATGGATTTACTATTCTGCCATCAACCTGAAATTACGGCCGCCATTATGAATTTATTATTCTGCCATCAACCTGTAACTCGGCCGCCATTGTATTTTTTTCCTCCTGCCATTCACGAAAATCACACCGCCAATCACAAACACCCCCAACGACAAAGTGAAAAAAAAGCCCCGCCATGATGGGAAAAAAAGCCCCGCCAATCATTAGGAAAAATCCTGTAGACCGTCGCGAATCGGTTGACTTTGCGTGCGTGATGTGTGATGTACGTGCTGTAGCTAAAAAAAGAAACAAAGCGTTGCTGTGTTTCAAACGTTTGCTCGAGAGTTGCATGGTTTAATTTGACTTGTCAAGCATGGGTCAGTCTATCACATACTAGTTAAATACTTGGGACCATGTTTAAAACTTGATTAAAGAAAAGAGTGTGGTAGCTTTGAATGATAGGTGTATAAGGAAAAGAAAACCAAAAAGAAGGCGAAAGCAGTATAGGTAGTGGTTCGTCGTTGCACACAACGTAAACCTCCTTTCATGCAGTTCCGCCCCCCCTCCCAGGTTTGTCGTGACTCGTCGTGTCGCTTGATGTTTAAATGATTATCGTAAACAATACTTCTTAGCATTACATGCTCGATTGTTTATTTATCTGCATAGACACTTCATTTTCAATATGCTTCACCGTTTCAACTTATACTGTAAGCGTGAGCAAGAGGTACATAGATCGTGCTAGCCCTGAGTAAAGATTGACGATCTCTCTTGATTATTTATCAAACTCACCAAAAGCAAGTGCCTGTTTTTGATATGCAAGATTATAAACTGAAGGTACTGATTCAATGAATACTCACCCACATGATGAAACTAAGCTTACAAGTAGAATGGTTATTTTCAACACATTGCTTGACACGATTATGTGGAGGAAAACATATAACAACTTTGTATAATCAACATCCGGACGATATGACAAGTCTTTTTTGGTATGATGCGCGAATGAAACCCCCAAAAAAAACCTTTTAAGGAACAACAAGCTTCAGCTACTATTGCATTTGAGGATAGGGCACCTGATCAAATAAACGATGTTGGTCTCAGCGTAATCTGGATGGAACAGAAATATGCTTCTCTGATATATAAGTGCCCGGATGTACTTTGGTGTCGGACAATGTTATATACCTTTTCCGAGGACCACAATGGCGCTCCTTTCCATGTCGCTCAACAATACGATGACACTAAGCCAATGTATGTAGGGCAAAGTACGAAGGAAAAATTCCCTTTTAGTACGTCGAAAGTACGACCTTTTAATTCGAACTACTGACGCTTCGACGATCGCAGACGATCAATATAACCGGTCGTACGATGGAGCCCACAATTGGTCATAAACAAATCCAAGGGTTCCTTTCTCGTCAACACATTGTACGTACGGTCTCATAAGAGAGGAGAATGCGGTATCCTCCGCGAGTTTCTATTCTCTAAAGGATTCTTATAGACTGTACAGTTACAGTTAGCAATTGTAAACGCATATACGCTAAAAAGCGATTAGAACAGCGGCTCGTCTAGTAAGACTTCCCAAACTTGAGTCTAAATATAAAAGAAGATTACACTGAAAAGAAGAGATAAAGCGGTCGCTATCAGATAATATGTTAATATTTCAACCGATATTTGACAGCCGAGCATTTACTTTGTTTTGCAACGACGCGCAAAGAATATCGAAGAACCTTGTTATTATATGTTGTTAGCGTTAGTACAAGAAAAGAAACATAGCACGATTGTATCACAAGAAGCTTTTTGGCCCCCATAATGCTACACTTCGTTTTAATTCTGTATAGATTTCACTTTTTGTTCTGTTGTTGCAATAGTGTGAATCGTGCATCATTTTAGCTAAATATTAAAGTTTTAGCTGAGCTTAATACTAACAAAATTACAAAGAGAGTCCTATATTACACGCAGTATAATAGAAGCAAAAGAAAAAGTAAACGGACAAGAGTCGAGGGTCTTTCATTTGTTCTGGAAGAAGTCCAGAATGAGTGTGGCTTGATTTGTTTTCGGTACCTGGACTGGAGAGAAAGGTTTTTTTGTTGCTATATAAAAGTGTGAGAATTTGTCATGGTTGTTGTATTACGGCGGGGCAGTCGATAGCGTTTTTTTCACCACCTCGTAACTCATTTTAGATGGATGATTGCGATTAGCACCAAACTCAGCTTTCCCCTTTGCTAGTGCGTGCAAACACACACACCCACCCACCACGGCACGCACTAATAGGCCACTAAGCACCCACAAAGATACACAGTTACAGGGTTCTTTGGGGGCCTGGTCCTATCTCTCTTTCTAATTTGTTATCCTTGTTATTATTTCTTTTTACTATTTCTTATTTCTATATCCCCTCTCTAGCTCCCGCACTCTCTCACTCTTTCTCTCTTTTTGTAATTTTTTTTAATGGAGCTGCACGAACAAGGAGTAGGGGGTGTCTTGCAGCAAAAGCTACACACAAGGGTCGAAACTTTTCCTTCTGCTCCTTCCAAGCAACAACAACATCAGCAGCAACAGCAACCACCACCACGAATAGACAATATTGCTCATCTCTACAGTCAACTTCAAGCGGCCTTTGACAAGCCGCCTACAACGACAAAAGCACGCAACGCTACTCCTGTCGTCGGCCATCCCACTCCAATTAAGCCTGCACGCGTCAACATATCGCACATGCCACACCAGCAGCAGCAGCAAGAAGAAGAACAACAACAACAGCGGACATCGTCATCGTCATCGTCGGACGTACCTGGCACCACTCGTTCATCGACCGAAAGCGGTTTTTATACACCCAGCAACAGTAGCTCGAATACCAACAGCCCCATCACACCATCGCCGCATCACCACCACCACCACCACCATCATAGTAATGAAAACCCTAAGCAGCAATTACCTGACGTGTGTGCATGTCATCATTGGCTAGTGTCAATCGATTCCGAACACTGTGGGCTATGCGACGAACCATTACCACAACTTCAAGAATGGCAACAAGAGCGAAATCTGGGTTTTCAAACGATCGAACGAAGCGAATCACAACTGCAACGTTTACAAGAAAAGCAACGAGAATACCAAGAACAAATCCAACAACTTGTGACGGATATCCACAACAAAGAAGCCTCGATCGAACGTCGTACTGTCGGACTGGAATCTTTACAACAGGATCTCAAGATATTGCACAACAAATGCAAAGGTGAACGGATGCAAGTCAAAGAAATCCAACAGTCCAAAGAATCGGTCAAGCGGGAACTTGAGGAATTATCGCAACGACTGTTTGAAGAAGCCAACGAGATGGTACAGTTTGAAAAGGAGGAAAAAAAACGGATTCAAGTCGAGCACGAAAAGTCCAAGCAACAGTTGGAAGAGGCTGAAACTGAACTTTCTCGAGTCGAGGCAGAATTGCAGACATTGCGTAAAGATATCGGGTTACTTGTTGAATCCATGGCACCACCACCACCACGACCGTCATCAGCATTATCGGGTTACTGTGAATCACAATCGAGCAGCAGTAACAACTATAACGCAGCAGCAGGAGATGATCACCATTCCACGAGTAACAGTGACACACCAGTCCTATCATCTGGTGGAAGCATGAACATGGGTGCTGAAACAGTCATGATGCGAGCCCAGATTGATCTTGCGGTACAACACAACAACAGCAACATGATGGCTCTACAGATCGAAGCATCAGAAGACGACCATTGCCTGATGGAATTTCGACAATTTATCGATACAGCCAGCACAGTCTCGCTTCGAAAACTGCACTCGATGCCGTACATGAAACAATGTCTCGAGGACGATGTTCGACCTACCTTACGATTTGGTCCCACCCCAAAATTGGCCAGTCGCAAAATCATTGATGCCATCTTGGTCAAGACGTGTTTTGTTGAGACGTGCCCGCCTGGATTTGTGCATGAGCATTTCAGTCAACAACAGAACCAAGCAGCAGCAGGAGAAACGATCACCAGTCTATGGGAACGATTTGCTTCATCGCCCGTGTTTGAGGGCTGTCAGGCGTGTGGTCGTCAGGTGCCAAAGGAAGAGCAAAAGCAAGTCTTGACCTATCGGTTCCGTACGTCCTATTTTGATGAATGGGCATGTATCGATCGATATTGTCGCGATCGTCTTGAAGCTGTTGTTCAGTTTTACTCGTTCCTTCGCCAGTTACGTATCGGTGCCTATCGTCATCGCTCGTTGACCGAAGTATACCAAGAATGTTCTCGCTTAAGGCTTCAAATGTGTCTGAGCAGGTAAAACATGGTTACTTTACTATGATTTTTTTGGCCACTGGTAACAACTGGAAATCAAACAGCTCGCTAACAAGAATAAACGGTTTGTGGAACTTTTATAGGATGGGTGCATTGCCTGCTGTTTTGCAAAGCTCAGGCTTTGATCCAGATGTCCTTGCTAGAGCTACCCCGGGTAGCAGTAACATCGGTCACCTTGTTCCTGATGATGTAAATAGTGCCCGATTATCAAGCTCTACCGCATCCACATTGACCCTGTGAAAAAGAAATTAACAGACGCCTTACTCCTCCTCCTCCGTTTGCTCCCCATCTTCTGCCGTTCATCCAATCCATCGTACTACTATTACTTCTACTTTTACTACCACTACTATTTTTCATCTAACTACAAACCACCCCCTACTATCACCTGCCACTACATAGCGAACTTATCCCCTACCCCCATGCCCATCCTTTCGTTTTCTCACTCTCTCTTCTTTTAGCCCTGTTTATCAACTACTCTTTCTTTTTTATATATACCATCCTTTTTCTAATTTTTTTTCCTTGCTAGTAGTCATGTAAATCTTTATATTATTGGTAATTTGCGTATTAAAAACACCCCAGAAGTAGCTTTACTTTCTAATATATTAAAAGAAAACCAAACGAAAACTGTATCCAGCAGTGTTTACTCAGCCGTTGCTTTATCATTATATCAGATAGACAATATGCAATGTGCTTATCATTCTTTCTTTCCTTGCTCACTCGTACCCCTGCGGCGTTCTGTATCATAACCCGCGTAATACAACTGTATATTGCATCAGTTGTATAGAGCGTTCCTTCCCGCTCTCTCTCCATTATTCCTTCCTTTTTTTCGGTCTTTGTATAGTCCGTGTAATGGAATTCAGAGACACAGCAAGAGGAGATTTACATAGACTGGGATGTATACTTGGAACTATTAGGAAGAGAAAAGGGCTGTAGTATGCAAACTGTATGATTTAATCGGAGTTGTACACACATATTCACAATAAAGTTTATGCACAAATTCACATAGTGAGGCAAGTCCTAATTTTTTGTAATCATCACACCCCTTTTTTCCCAACTCTTGAAAACGTTTCCCTTGGTTCACTCATGATTTCAACCATATATGAATACGGAACAGCAGCAGCGGAAAAGGCTGCAATTGCTGTTTTACGGCGTGGTCGGATCCCACAACATATTGGATTCATCTTGGATGGCAACCGACGTTACGCAAGGAAAATGGGTGCTGACACAAAGTCTGGTCACTATAAAGGATTCGAGCGTTTGAAAAAGGTATACATTGTTTTGGTCACTAAGAGAAAAATAGAGAGACACAAAAGCAGTAACAACGTCCTCTGCTATGGCTCAAACTAGGTCGTGCGCTTTTGTGTGGAACTAGGTATCCAAACGGTCACTGTGTTTGCGTTTAGTATCGAGAACTTCAAACGATCAGAAGAAGAAGTGGCCTATTTAATGCAATTGTTCCGTGAGCTGTTTTCAACTATTCCAGAAGAGTAATAAGCCTTCCGTTTTTGTATCAATATTGTTCGGGTGGGCCTACCTTTGCGTGGCAACTAACAGACATATAATGTTTTAGTGAGTCGTTTGCGTATTACAAAGTTGGTGTGCGAGTATGCGGTCGCCTTAGCTGTTTGCCACCGGATGTGGTAGAGTCAGCACATGAGGCCATGAACCGGACAATGCACAATGCAGAGTAAGTAGCTATATCTCCCGTTGCTACTCTGAATTCAGAAAGCGGTGTTGTGGTTACGGGAAATGTTGTTTATATGGGCTGTTGCTAAGTGACAACGGGGACAACAACAACCATAGGCGATACCTTAATATCTGCTGCGCATACACCTCGAGAGATGAAATGGCCACGGCCATCAAGGAGAACGTTCACCTTGTGGAAGAAGGCGAAATGAACATAGAGTAAGTGACTTACAAGCGTGTGGCGCACAAAAGAAAGGGACTTTCCACTCAAATGGGCTCCAAAATAGCGATATTACGGAGAGATCCATCCAAAATCATCTGTTTACCTCAAGAAGTCCGCCACTAGACATCCTTGTGCGCACGTCTGGCGAAATTAGACTCAGTGATTTTTTGCTTTGGCAGGTATGAAACATTCAGCACGCATTCAATTGCTTCGTTAGGTGTACACGGTAGAGGGAGATTTGGACGATGTATAAAAGAAGGATCTAGGGCGAGAAGATGATTTATCATCATTATTTTGTGTATTAGTCGAGCGATCAATGTCAAATACAGATCTTGAACTGTTTGTGGCCAGAAATTACGCTTTGGGAGATCTTACCCGTACTACTGGAATACCAAATATACCGTGACACATCACGCAAAAATCACAACAACAACAACAACAAGACCAAACCAAAAACCAAAAACATTGCTAGTACATAGTAGCATTGATATTACAAGCGCAGCAGCTGCTGCCGATGGAATTCATAGTACATACTGGCGCAAATAGTTGAGAAATTATGATTTATTATTACTGTATTAATAATGAGACTAGGCTACGTTACGGAGCTAAATTGTTAAAGAGTACATAAAACGGTGAATATGGTGCCATCGCTGAAAAAATCTTTAGGAGGGAAAAATTGTGGCCAGAGAAGAGACGAGGATGTGTACATGACAAACAAAAATATATATGGAGAGAGAAAGAATACATGTGAGTTATGGATACGAATATGGCGCACTGAAAATTCGCAAGCGTTGTTTCGAGAAGAAGCTGATAATAAGTGAATCGCTTTGGAGAGCATTCATAATGGGGGGCTGGTTCGTCCCTGAGGTGTAGTCGGCGACAGGATGGCTTAGGCGGTAAATTTTACGAGGCACTCGAATGAGTGCTGGCCAACAAGTTTACGATTTACCTTTGGTGAGAGCTGCATCCGATCGTGGCACCTAATTAAAATGCAGCCAAAGACGTGTATATCGAACTGATGTTTCTAGTAAGGTGCCAAACGCCGTGAGAAGCTCTATTAGTAGTGGTGCATAATATTCGGACAATTGTTGCAGTGCTCGCGCTTCGCTTGTTGAGTGCCACAACGACAATCTTGGAGGGGATGCGAGGGAAACCAATGCAACTGCCATTTCAGCTACCGGTGCCTGTCGTGAGAGTAGGTTGCCAGGTAGAGGACAGGATCGATCACACTCGGTTGGGCCAAAGACATCTGACCGTCTTGAATTTGGTGCGCTGTGCATGGTAAGCGCATATAATACATAAATATGGCCAACCATTAGCGACCATCATGTACTTTATGAGGAAGGCGAAGATTGCATTTGATATCTCCTTCGTCTAGCTGTTTGACAGCTTTGTGTATGATATTGTACCAAAAACTGAGAATGTTTCTTTAGTTTGTAGTCTTCCTCTCGTATCATATTCTATGAATTCGAAGAAATCGCTGCCAATACTCTTTTCAGTTGAAGTGCATCGGCCACCACAGAAGTAACCTCTATTTATGTGAGCTTTCTTTTCACAATGTCAACCATTCCCGGCACCTGCCATTTACTTTTTCTCTGGGATCTTGTTGCTGAGACCGTGCTAACGGGTGCACGTATCTTCCTATTTAGAAACAGGCGGCGACACGGTCGGGGCACGCCCTGCATGATACCGGTGAAACATATAAGCATATCCCGACTTTGAAGTCCTTCTTCTTGGGCTGTGTTGCTTTAAACAAAAATCGGCTGCGTTAAAATTATTCTCCTCTATCGAAATAACGTTTTTAGCGTAATAAAAATTTAATATCGTCAACTTTAGGTGACTAGATACTTTTTAAAAGTAGGCCCTAAATTTGGCTGGTTATAGCTGTCTTGCACCATAATGACTTATGTAAGCTGATTTTGGACACTTTAAAACCACTTTATTCGTGAAAATGTGCGCAAGAAAGTTTAAGCGCGCAAAACATTCATCTTTGCATTTCACTCATGATTCCGATTACGTGCATTGAGGTCCCAACGAAGTCCATTCGCATTCGCCGGAGCAGCAAGCAATTGGACTCATACAATAATCACCAGAAGCATAGCAAGTGCCAATATCATCAGCAGAAACCAGCACGGAAGCCAGCATCGAGGCCAAAACCACGGAAAGAGAAAGGCGTTGGAGAGAGAAAACTTGAACCATGTTCGTCTTGTTTACTATAAGCGTGTACATGTCAATGGTTAGTTGAATAAACATGAAGGTGCATAGTAGTGAAATAAAGAAAAGATGACTTACAATTGAGTGAGGATCACAAAAATATTTGATATAGAGCAAGTTCTGTAGAAAAGCGAACCTTTTATACTAAAAGACTGACTGTCAATCTACCTCTTCAATGTAAAGGGGCTAGGAACTGTAACGCCATCTGTAGATTATGCTGCATATGATATAGAAATAAAAACCTTATGCGTTAAATCAAGCCTAGCCCACCTTGCTACGCCACACAAGGATTATCAATTGAACACATCTGGCTATATATCAATATAGAAAAAGTTGACGAAATAGTAACACTACATACTACCTATTAGCTTGACAGCTCATTACCCAATTTTGAATATAAATAAATGTGCTGACAGCTAATAAATTTTTGGAAAAGAAGTCTAATGCCTTCTCTGTATTCTGCGTCGTATATGTGGAAACGAAAAGCATTATGCACGAGTGCATCTATGCAGCACACGTACCGTGTTTTCTCCTCAAAGTATATAGCTGTGCATATGCAGATATGGGCTGTGTTTCGATGATCGCATCATCGCCACATATACTCAGTTCACCTACAGCCAGACTCCGTCTTTTGCAGTTCAAACAGCATTTAGGTGAAGATGGCAAAGTGGCAACATCCTTTATGATAGGCAATTTGTCAGCAATTATAAATTTAAGGAAATATGAATATATACAGTGGTTCCCCGTCTAATTTCACACTCAACAAGATAAACCCTCAGTTATCTCAATTTTTTTCTATACCCCCTTATAGTATGTAGCACCCTCAGTAGTTTCAGCACTTTATAGATCCCCGTTGAGGCTGAACTTAAACAGGGAACCACTGTAGCTGATATAAGGGGGAGAGACATGCGGGAAACCCCTCAGGGGAAGAAAAACTGGTTGTGGAAAGCGATGAAGCGATGGTAAGTGATGCTTAAATATTACAAAGAGAAGAAAAATAAATAAAATATACATAGGCTTTACCAGAGACAACAGGTAGAGAGTAGAGAGAGAGATGGGTGTTGGGGACCAGGATAAATCACTAACTCGAGGTTGAGGGAGAGAATTGTGCAAGAACAAGCCGTGGATCTGGTTCAGGTTCAAATCTGTAACCAGGATGGCTGCAGGTACACTATAGGAAAGAAAAAACCTTAATATACCTTAAAAAACCTAAAAAAACCTAAAACCTGAAAAAACCTGAAACGGGCAAATTAAGGTATATTCAGGTTTTTTTTAAACCTGAAAAAACCTGAGAAAACTCGAATATACCTTAATAATATCTGGTTTCTCTGATTCGTTTTATTGGTCGGCTGAAGTGTGGAATGCGTTCAACTGTGTTTATGATTGGGTACATACATCGTGTCTTATTGGTCGTTGTACGTATAGCTGATCCGTTTGGGAGCATCATTGGATATTTCATCAGCTATTCACATTTCCTCATTGATCCTCTTTCATATTATATATGCTAAAAAACTGATTTCGATTGGATGACAATATGTTTATTATTAAATTTTGCTTTCTATATTAAATCTTTGACAAATCATTTTTGCATTGTGTAGTACACAAGCAAATAAGTGTTCAATTCTATTTAGTTGCCAACACGACCGCAACAGCGAACACCACGAGCATTACGAGCACCGACGCGAGCAACACTGGTGCTGTCAGTGAAGTCATTAGCAGATCCATCGCATGAACGGGCGCGTTTGCGTGATGTAGTCTCTCTTTTAATTAGGTTGGTATATCATGGATGCTCATTCTATGCCATGCAATATGGATTTTTGATCTACTGTATACCTTGGCTTAAAGAGGAGAGCAACACACTGGGCAGTTGCGACGCGTCTTCGTCTTCCGACTATTACACTAGGAGCCTTGAACAGTCGTCTGTGTTTGATGTCGACGGCAACGCAACCTCATGGTGTTGACGAACGCTGGTTGAGTACAAACAGTGTGTGTGCTATGAAGTACGTCAAATACATCAGCATTGGTAGAGTATATATACCTTTATTCTGAAAAAACACATGTTTCCTCTTGTGGAGCGCTTGATAATGTCTGATAGCGTTTAAAAACTGTAATATTTTGAAGGTAAGCATTATATACATATATACCGGAAACGCTAATACTCCTAGTATGTACTTACTGATTTTTGGTTGTTGAAGCCGCTGTAAGTTATTGCGCGATCCCCCGAAGTTGCAGGATTTTGTTTGTAGCCCAACTGTTCACGCACGCAGCCAAGGGTGCAGATCTTTAGCATGCGCTCTATAAATCTTGTTGCGCCTTCAAGGTCGTCTCTGGTATCGCTGACCAGCTCGTTCTAAGCAAATCAATATCAGGTTTGCTGAGAATACCATCGACCATTATCCCAGATCGTCCCCATATGTTGTCCCTGATATTGACTTCGTCGCTGCGCGTGATATCCAATTGGTGCTCCCTGACAACGTCGTGGCACAGACTGGTCAGCTCCTCCATTACAAACTTCGTCTGTGAGTATGCCGTCAAACAGCCCAGAAGAAAACGCTCTTGATACGGAGCTGGAAGATTCTACAGATGGACATGAAAGGACAGCACTGTACATCCCCAACTATAAGAGTTACTGATGTGGAAAGATCATCCAACGCCTTACTGTGACATCAACTTCCCTTGCCAAGGAGCCGACCGACCGTGCAAGTGCAAGCATTGAATCTTTATTGTTTTTGATAGCGTTAAGAATTGCTGGGATTTGAGGATTCATGTTAAGTTGTTTCTGTGTGATGTTTTATTATTGACGAAAGAGGAGAAGGAATAATAAAAGGAAAATTTTTTTTTTTCAAACGGCAAGATGAAGCATACAAGGAGAGGCAAGGGCAAACAAATGAGGAGAAAAGGATCAACTTTGTTTTGATACTGCCTAAAATGGAAATCACCATAGATACCGCAGTTCACCAAGAAGTTCGTTGTCTCGTTTGTGACCTGCAAACGTAGTGACGCTTCGATGTACTTTCAATACTGCACACCAGCTGTTTGATATGCTTTACATTAACAACTCCATCGTGCGATACAGCCACGTGCCACTGTCATTAGACTTTTCAGCGTCATATACTTTCACCAAGGCAAATAATCTGGCAGCGTCTACATCATAATGCTGAAAGTACACCATAACTTCACCAATACGTATAAGCCTGGACTGCTGAACGCGATTGTTACCCTGCCAGCTGTTGGTGTTAATGGTCAACCGCAGGCGGCATAAAATTATTTTTCCGTGATAGAGAAGGTGTTGACATATTGATGAGATGAAAAAAAAAATGTGGTCAGGTGTGTCGGAAGTTTCATTTGGTACAACAACGGTGGTCCTGGTTGAACTAAATTCAGGTTTATTCAGGTTTTTTGAGGTATATTAAGGTTTTTTTTTCCTGCAGTGCAAGTGGTCCAGCACCAGAGATCAAGACGTCAATGTTCTCTTACCATCCCTTTTTCCTGACTCGTGGTTTGTAATATAAGAGTTGTTGCTGTTGCTGTTGTAACTTAGCGTGTAGTACTTATCAGTTACGTAAGCTGGAAGAACCAGCAATCAGAAGTACTCAATTGCTTAAATAGTTTTAGAAAAATAAGGCACGGTGGTTTCGGAGCCAAGACCTCTGCTTCTTCCAGTATGAAGCAAATTGAGTCAGAGGAAAGGAGTTTTCGATTTTCGTCACCTTTATTTCCCACGAATTCGCTCTATGCAGATCAGAAACCCTTTTTCAAGTTATTCGGTGCAACACCAACCGAATTTACTAAATTATGATAGCAAAATCCTAATGCCAGAAACTAAATCACAGTACCGATAAGTACGTGCATCTCTATTTTTTAGGTATCTTATGTACTACTCTTGTGTGAAAGGGATTGTTTAAATGAAAGGGAACAACGTTTATTCGATAAGTGATATTGATGAGTATATATAGTAATAGCGGCTAACTGTCACATCTTGAAGAAAAGAAACGTTCTTCCTAAATATCAGGCGCTGCGAAAATTGTCGCGAGCCTGCGTTTGCCCTATGTAGTTTTTTGAAGAGAAATCTCTTTGTGTCTGTTTGAATGACAAAACCTGTTGTTCTATACTCTTCATTGCTAACATGTTCAAAGAGAAAATGTCAAGTATGGTGCAAGACAGCTATAACCGTACTTTTCCCAAAAAAACGGCCCAATTTTTTTATTTTAAACATCGAAAAATACTAATCATTTACTGCGACCCTATGCTGAGACTTGTACTTTTTTTACCATTTGCAGAGCCTCACGGCCTTGGTACCCTTGGTAATATGCGTCGATGTAGCACCAAGCCTTTCGCTCAAAATTACATATTATATTCAATATGATTTCATCAAGAACTTTTGGTACAGTCACTTGCAAGCTTTTGAATGAGTAATTGCATCGTTTCTACACCTCTCGCTTAGCACGATGTGCACAATCGTGTCTCTTATTAGATCCTAAAACACAGAAGAGAAAGACATCAGTCTATACCGGATCATAGTTTGCCCATATATAAACAGTCACTTTGGCTGTTATATGTGATTTTATTGGCTATAGGTAATATTGCCGGCCGGCCAAATCTGGGCTGCACTTATAAGCATATCCCGACTTTGAAGTCCTTCTTCTTGGGCTGTGTTGCTTTAAACAAAAATCGGCTGCGTTAAAATTATTCTCCTCCATCGAAATAACGTTTTTAACGCAATAAAAATTTAATATCGTCAACTTTAGGTGACTAGATACTTTTTAAAAGTAGGCCCTAAATTTGGCTGGTTGTAGCTGTCTTGCACCATAATGATTTATGTAAGCTGATTTTGGACACTTTAAAACCACTTTATTCGTGAAAATGTGCGCAAGAAAGTTTAAGCGCGCAAAACATTCATCTTTGCATTTCACTCATGATTTCGATTACGGGCATAGAGAAACTCCCAACGTATTCAATTCGCATGTGCCGGAGCAGCAAGAAATTGGACCACCAGGAATACAAGGATCCCCAGTAGCGATACAAGTGCCACTATCATCAGCAGAAACCAGCACGGAAGCCAGCATCGAGGCCAAAACCACGGAAAGAGAAAGGCGTTGGAGAGAGAAAACTTGAACCATGTTCGTCTTGTTTACTATAAGCGTGTACATGTCAATGGTTAGTTGAATAAACATGAAGGTGCATAGTAGTGAAATAAAGAAAAGATGACTTACAATTGAGTGAGGATCACAAAAATATTTGATATAGAGCAAGTTCTGTAGAAAAGCGAACCTTTTATACTAAAAGACTGACTGCCAATCTACCTCTTCAATGTAAAGGGGCTAGGAACTGTAACGCCATCTGTAGATTATGCTGCATATGATATAGAAATAAAAACCCTATGCGTTAAATCAAGCCTAGCCCACCTTGTTACGCCACACAAGGATTATCAATTGAGCACATCTGGCTATATATCAATATAGAAAAAGTTGACGAAATAGTAACACTACATACTACCTATTAACTTGACAGCCCATTACACAAATGTTGAATATAAATACTATTATTCTAAATGTGCTGACAGCTAATGTATTTCTTGGAGAAGAAATCTCATACCTTCTCTGTATTCTGCGTCGTATATGTGGAAATGAAGAGCATTATGCACGAGTGCATATATGCAGCACACGTACCGTGTTTTCTCTTCAAAGTATATAGCTGTGCATATGCAGATATGGGCTGTGTTTCGATGATCGCATCATCGCCACATATACTCAGTTCACCTACAGCCAGACTCCGTCTTTTGCAGTTCAAACAGCATTTAGGTGAAGATGGCAAAGTGGCAACATCCTTTATGATAGGCAATTTGCCAGCAATTATAAATCTAAGGAAATATGATATATACAGTGGTTCCCCGTCTAATTTCACACTCAACAAGATAAACCCTCAGTTATTTCTATACCCCCTTATAGTATGTGACACCCACAGTAGTTTCAGCACTTTATAGACCCCGTTGAGGCTGAACTTAAACGGGGAACCACTGTAGCTGATATAAGGGGGAGAGACATGCGGGAAACCCCTCAGGGGAAGAAAAACTGGTTGTGGAAAGCGATGAAGCGATGGTAAGTGATGCTTAAATATTACAAAGAGAAGAAAAAATAAATAAAATATACATAGGCTTTACTAGAGACAACAGGTAGAGAGTAGAGAGAGAGATGGGTGTTGGGGACCAGGATAAATCACTAACTCGAGGTTGAGGGAGAGAATTGTGCAAGAACAAGCCGTGGATCTGGTTCAGGTTCAAATCTGTAACCAGGATGGCTGCAGGTATCAATATCCCGAGTGAGCCTTTTTGCGTGGCGTGGTAGTGCCTTTAAGATAGTGTCGACGGTTCTTAAAAGAAAGAAACGAGGCTGCGTCTGTGTTTTTCTTTTCTGTGATGCAAGATCCGTTTGAAACAAATGGCCATCAACGGCAGCAAGTGAGACACGCTTGACTTCAAGCTTGACCGACTGCTGTGGATTCGCGTTGTCAAAGCTTGGTTTAAAAAGGCTTATACGATATTTTATAACGCAAGTAGGATGCCTTTTTTCCCGCTATTCTCCGGTCTAAAAAAGTACCACTTTTCTCTTGACCATTCGTCTTTCGTAAACGGATTTCACCTTGTCAGTAGCGTTTGAGCTTGCGTTACTTCTCCCTCGTGCTTACAGGCGAAAAATGACCCTTTCATCATTTTAGTTATCATCCTCGCATTATCTCTGTCGCATAACCTCCATGAATAATTTATATGGCACATCATGCTATAAACATATACAATGCAGATTGCCAATTGCATCAGTCAGCTTACTTTTGCTGGTAAGAGTTGGCGTGGCACAATGTATTGAAGAATGTATGAGTAAACGATGCAATAATATTATTATACGCGTGATTTTGCTTACGAATATATGATTCTTCATCTGTCAATTGTATCAAGCGCGCAACAACCGAGTCATCTCATCTCCTCCGCTTACGACTGTATTCTCATTTTTAAGCAGCCACAGAAATGGCGACGTAAAACCAAGTTATATCTACAAGAATGCTTTTACTATTGAAGGATGATGGTCGAGAAGAAGGAGAAATGACAGTCGCCATCCGGATCTTTTTTTCAACAACATGTTCGTGCCACCACTTTCCCTTCTTTTTTTTACGCTGATAGCATTCTTATTAAAACTCTGGTCCCAAGCTATATGGTCACAACGTCAGTGCTCTCAGATATAAACAAGTCAAATGCAAAATTGCTCAGCATAGATTCGTAATCGAGAGATGTGACTGACTCGCTTGTAAGAGTGTCTAATTTTTTAGGCCCCTTGCTCGAGCATGGGAAGTCATTGTTTGTATGCATGATGTCAACAACCGAATTACTTGACTATTTCACCATCGTGTATGAGCTGTTCGTCTCAAATCGTGACGCGTTTTAATGTACTGATATTGAACAATTCCTGGAAAGTTGAAGGCTGAAGACTAAATATATAGAAGCGCAAACGTGTATGCTTCAGAAAAGTTGAACGCTCCCCGAGAAACGCAAGGTGGTTGGAAGAATTGCTTAGATCCTGATCGTTTGTCGGATCACGGTCTCAAGCCAATGATGTATTACCGAGTTTACTGACACGGGTAGCAGCAGTTTGTACAGGGGTGAGAACAAAAGCAACGAACAAATACTGTACAAATATAGATATTTAGGAATAGCCAGCACCACATACGACTGTTCGAGTGGGACAACACCAAAATATGTATTCACATTTTCATACACTTTGTATCAGGCGGAAAAACAGAGTGTATGGGTACGCCTCTCACTTACGCTTCTCCACTTACGCTTAAAGTGCTGATGTGTGTAGACTTGAATTGTCTCAAAATAACTGTCTGTTTTATTGTGTCAGTGGTAGAATTGGGGCCGAGACAACAGATATAATATGCACCAATGCTACTGATTGACGGTTTACAGTGTAAAGTAGACGAACGAAATTCACAGGGAAGAAAGAGAGAAAATGATGGAATAGGAGATTTCTCTAATTGAGGTAGTGACTACTAATGCGAAATTAGCTGTCAACTCATCAGTATGCACTAACGAGAAGATGATGGTTAATCGTGCAAGAAGTGGATTGAAGTATACTCACAGAGGGCACACAAGAGGCGGAGGTACTGCTAGCCAGGGTTGGTTCAGGGGAGGTGTGTTTTGATAACAAATACATAGAGAAAGCTATATGAGCTACGCATGGGGGTTCTGCAGCAGCATGTGAGGTAAAGTAACGATGGCAACGATTGCTATGTTGTAAGAAGGTGATCATGACAACATATCCGGTTCTTCAGTTTATCCGTGCGAGTATAGCGGTACCTGCAAAGGGTGCGGAGCTTAGTCCCAAGGTGAAACCGGGGTGTAATGCAGACGAGGCACGAACCGGGAGACATGGAGATACTCGGTGTATGTGTAAACCTCCTCTTTTCTCTCTTAATGATATCCCATGCAGAAAAAAGCAGAAAGGCAGAAAGGCTTAGGCAGTGCGCAGTGGTTGTGTCGTTGTTTCAATAATTTGACAGTCAAGTAAAGGTTTTTTCATCACCACTCTTGTCTCTTTCTTCAACAAGAACCGTGATGGCAACAAAACTGGGCATGTAAGTAGAGCATTGCGCGAACGAGTTACTCCAATCCTTTCCTCACTCGCTCTTTTAAAAGAGTTCTTTTTTTCCAACACATACTCCATTGGCAATTAGCTTTCTTTATGAACCCTTGTCGGCGAATCCGCTTTTGACACACGCGGTGTACTATGGAGCCTTTACAGTGTAAGTTTTTTTCCTACTATAATCTTTCTCTTTCCCAAAAAAAAAACCTTTCATTTTTCAATAATCTCCAACTTGTTTTTTTTTCCAATGCGTCACCAACGTTTCTTTTAATCATTGTCGTTGATTTTGCGTGTGTAGTAGTAGTAGCGGCGGCGGACGGATATGCGTGACGACTACAGGGTAACTAATTTTTTCTGTGCTTCTTCAACTAGGGTGGCATGCTTCTGGTATTTACTTCTTAATAACTTGATTTTCTACGTGCTTTCGTTGCTGTAGCTGTTAAGATTTATCAGGATTGGTTCGCGGATTGGGCGATGCCTAACCTTTTTCTCTATAGGCCTAAAAGAAATTTTGGTTTACCTTGCGAGTGGAAGAGCGAAAGCATGGTAAGTTCGATTGCGCATGCACCTCTCCAGTGAATCGTGACCTGCGCCCACCTCTTGATCCTGTACTCCCTGTGACGCTTGCTGAGTCCTGGAAATGACTCGTATAAACTGACCACCGGCCGCGCATAGACGTTAGGTTCGGGGCACGGGTCGGCAACACGTAGAGACTATGCAGTGGAGCGCGGCCACAACTAAACGCGATGACTGTCAGGGTCATGCCGCCGTAGCAAGCAGCCATACGGGATTGGGCAGTATGGTGAGGTCACGTACACGGATAAGAGGAGGCGTCACAGAGAAAGGTTAGTTGCAAAATATACACAAGAAAACGTCTGAAGAGCGAGCGAGGGGAAAATTGTTTTTCGTTTCTTTTCTATCTGCATCTATGATAGGTTCTGGAGCCCAGACGAAAGTGGAGGTTCTCCCAGCAATGGGAGGGTAGGGTAGGGGCCGCGACGATCCGTTCTGGAAATACAAAGTGGTGAGTGATTGTTTCAATTGTTGCTTGCTTTTACTTAATACTCCAAGTATGGCTTGCTCTAACTTCTTTCTTTGATAGTCCTTTGGTTTGTCTGCAAATATTGCTTGTCCAACTTTATATTGACGGGATGTCTATTACCTGATGATATATTCATACAAAATAAAAGACCAAGAATCATCCTCGTATCATAATGCTGTCTTTTTGTTGGTTTTCGTAATCGTCTTAATGAAAGTGTATACTTATACTAGCCACGCGAACACGATATCCTGCCGTCAACACACGACATCGTCTCTCTGAAAAAGCCGTAAGAATTCTTTGCCAAGTAAGACATGTCTTCTTCTCCTACATGGATTAGGATTACCGAATTTAAGATGGATGAGTCGATTTGTTGAAGTTGACGGTTGTAACATTGCGGATATGTGAAAACACTATAGCTGTGATGAAAGAGCAAAAGAGAAGGAAAAAGAGATAAAATGGCGACATGTTTTAACAAAGCACCGCAACGCGTTGGTATGCCAACTTGACAGAGATCAACAAAAATGCTCTTGACACTTGGCTGCGTCCCTCCGCATCCCATTTGTTCTGCTTATACCTTGCCAAAAAGCACAGTGCCACTCAAACAAGCTTTGATATCTCTTTAGAAACACGATAGCAGGATATTGGACGGAAGGGGTCACTACATGGCGCTCACAGCTAATGGTAACCCGTAAAGCAGACCGCCCTGATAGCTCCTACCGCTTCTTCGATCATGTCACCACCCTGCCCTGGTGAAAATCTTGCACGCTCACATATCAAATACCTCAAAGTATGGGCTCTCACGGGCTATAGCTGCAATAATAATTACCGCAACGTGCTTCCCTGAGTGTACGCAGAAACTAACCCCTGTCTGCAACCAGAAGTGGCAATTTATTACCACGACCACCATCGTTCCAATCGTGTTCTGATTCTTCCCAGCACATGATAGTCAACATGTCCAGTAGCGCAAACAGCATGTGATGAATTCTAGAGGACGTATACAGAGGCAAAGTACTGCGTGCGCCATCCCACTTGCGCGCCACATACCATTCATTATTAAGATGCGCTCTTTTATAGCTGTCGATGCCTTGCACAATTTGTCTTGTTCCTTGCAGAATCGTTATGACAGCCATATTCATACTCAAATCAACAACCTAGTGTGATGGACTGCTGTTGTCAGTCGGGTTTGCTTTGCCACTAAACGATGACGTGAGAAAAAGCGGATCTAGTAAACTCCTCTAAATTGACATTGTCGTCGTCGTCTTTGGCGTCACAGTTAGTGTCCTCGTCGCTTGATGAGAGAAGGTACAGTTTCTGGTGCAAGTGTGTAATGTAGATCCGTCGGGACAGTATGTCGCGGCATAACAGTTTGGACCCAAGTTTTCTCTTTGCCTTTCCAAAAGTGTGCTCGGTGTTTCATTAATGAAGAATTATAAATGACAGAGTCAATCCGGATAATGCAGCAGCTTCAGGAGGTGATCATCATTTCATGAGTAGCAGTGGCGTACCAGTCCCTATCATGTGGTGGAGGCATCAAGTGGCTGGAACAGTCTTGAGTACGTGAGCCCAGATTGATCTTGCGGTACAACACAACAGCACCAACATGATGGCTCTACAATTCGAAGCATCAGCAGACAGCCATTTCCTGTTGGAATTTTGACAATGTAACGATACAGCCAGCACAGTCTCGCTGCTAAATCGGCACTCGTTGCCGTCTATAAAGCAATGCCTTGAGGACGATGTTCGACCTACCGTACGACCAAAACTGGCCAGTCGCAAAATTATTAATGACATCTTGGTCAGGTTATCTTTTTGTTGGCACGTTCCCGCCTGAATCTGTGGAAGAGCATACTAGTAACACTCTATAGTCAGCAACAGAGCCCAGCGGCAGCAACAGAAACAATCAACAGTCTGTGGGAGCGATTTGCATTATCATCCGTGTTTGAGAGCTGTCAGGCATGTGGTCGTCAGGCGCTAAAGGAATAACAGAATCATATCTTGACCTATAAGCTCCTTACAACCTATTGATAAATAGGCATATAGGTAATCGCTATTGTCGCAACCGTTTTTTAAAGCTGTCGCCGTTCCTTCGAAAGTTGCGTATCCGTAGTGTATATCGTCGTTGTTTGTAGACCGAAGTTTGTCAAGACTGTTCTCACTTAAAGCTTCAAAGGTGTCTCAGCAGTGGACTGTGCTTCCTTTGTTATGAGTTTCTGACCACTGGTACTACTTGAAAAAAAAAGTGTGGAACTTGTATAAGATGGACACATTGCCTGCTGTTTTACAAAGCTCAGGCTTTGATCCAAATATCGTTGCCGGAGCTACTTCACGAGTCAACTAGTTCCTGATGATGTATTCAATGCCCGATTATCAAGCTCTACAGCATCCACAGTGACGCATAGAAAAAAAAACGCCTTACTCCTCTTCCTCTTGTTCTTCTTCCGATCCATCGCACAACTATTACTGTACTTCCAACTACAAACCACCCCCGACTATTACCTACTACTACATAACAAACTTATCCCCTACTGCGATGCACATCCTTTCGTTTTCTCGCTCTCTCTACCACTCTTACTTGGTTTTTACATATGCCAACCCTTTTCTCTGATTTTTTTTTCTTTGTAGTAGTCATAAAATATGTTTATGTTGCTGGTAATCAACCCAGAAGTAGCTATACCTTGGAAAACTGTATCCAGCAGTGTTTCACATGGCGGTCGTGCCTTATCACTCTAGTAGATCGACAATATGCATTGTGCTTATTCTCTATCTCTCCCTAGGTTTCTGGAAAAGAGATAGAGAGAGAGAGAGAGAGGGGGTTCTTAGCAGGGAAGGAAATCTTTTACTTGCTCACTCGCGCCCCTGCACCGTTCTGAAATATACCTCGTGTAATAAAGCAGCGATAAATTTAAATGCATGGTCATTGAGCGCATATCGTCATCAGTTTTGTAAAGAGCGATTCTCCCGGTCTCTCTCCATCCACTCCTTCCCTTCTTTCCGGTCTTCTATCTCATGTAATGGATTCAGGGACAGAGCGAGAGGAGATTTACATAGAGTGGGATGTACATTTGGAATCCTAAATTGAAAAGGGCTGTATGCAAATTGAACGGTCTAATCCAAAACAAGTATACACAAATGCACACCATAATTTATGGGCAAATCTACTACTGCGTTCGCAAACTTCATCACATGATTGGCTAATATTACCACAAAGTGGGGACAGATCCTATTTCCTAGCAACCTCCCCCCCTTTTTTTCAGATCTTGACATTTCACAACTTACATTAATTTCAACCATGATTTCAACCATATACGATTACGGAACAGCAGCAGCGCAAAAGGCTGCAATTGCTGTTTTACGTCGTGGTCGGATTCCACAACATATTGGACTCATCTTGGATGGCAACCGACGTTACGCAAAAAAAGCGGGTGCTTCCGACACAAAATCAGGTCACTATGAAGGATGCGAGCGTTTGAAAAAGGTATATACATATATTGTTTTGGTCACTAAGAAAAAAATAAAAAAAAGAGACACAAAAGCAGTAACAACATTTTTTGCTGTGGCTCAAACCAGGTCGTGCGCTTTTGTATGGAACTAGGTATCCATTCGATCACTGTGTTTGGGTTTAGTATCGAAAACTTCAAACGATCGGAAGAGGAAGTGGCCTATTTAATGCAATTGTTCCGTGAGATCTTTGCAACTATTCCCGAAGAGTAAATAAGCCTTTCGTTTTTTTTATCAATAGTGTCGGGGTGGGCCTATCTTTGCATGGCAAATAACAAACATGTAATTTTGTTTTTAGTGAGTGCTTTGCGTATTACAAAGTTGGCATGCGAGTATGCGGTCGCCTTAGTTGTTTGCCACCGGATGTGGTAGAGTTAGCACATGAGGTCATGGACCGGACAAAACACAATACAGAGTAAGTTGCTATATCTCCCGTTGCTACTCTGAATTCAGAAAGCGTTGTTGTGGTTACGGGAAATGGTAGTTTATAAGGGCTGTTGCTAAGTGACAACGGGGACAACAACAACAACCATAGGCGATACGTTAATGTCTGCTGCGCATACACCTCGAGAGATGAAATGGCCACGGCCATCAAGGAGAATGTTCACCTTGTAGAAGAAGGCGAAATGGACATAGAGTAAGTGACTTACAAGCCTGTGGCGCACAAAAGAAAGGGACTTTCCACTCAAATGGGCTCAAAAATAGCGATATTACGGAGAGATCCATCCAAAACCATCTGTTTACCTCAAGAAGTCCGCCACTAGACATCCTTGTGCGCACGTCTGGCGAAATTAGACTCAGTGATTTTTTGCTTTGGCAGGTACGCATTCAATTGCTTCGTTCTATGTACACGGTAGAGGGAGTTTTGAACGATGTATTAAAGAAAGATCTAGTGCAAGAAAAAAGCAGCGACGATGGGTTATCTGATTGTTATTATTCTGTATTATAGGCGAGCGATCATTGTCAAATACAGATTTTAAACTGCTTGTGGCCAGAAATTACATTTTGGAAGATCCTACCCATACTACTGGAATACCAAATATACCATGACACATCACGCAATTACAACAACAACAACAAAAGCGTTGTTAGTGGCAGCATTACTACTACAAGCACAGCTGCTGCTGCAGCTGCTGCCGATGATGATGAAGGCAGTCGGTCATCGAAATAAAATGACTAAATAAGGGTACAATCGATGAGGGGCGGGATGGCAGTGCCCCTTTGGGGTTATTTTTACCAGAAAAGTATTTTTAAAACACAAAAACCTTTTTCCTTGTGTACCCACCAACACCACTTTTTTTTTTTTGCCCTTCTTCTTCTTCACTTTACTCCTCCTTTCCTTCCACTTCCACTTCCTCGTCCGTTTTCTCTCTTTCTTCTTCTTCTTCTTCAGACTTCGTTTACGAAGATAATAATAAAAAACAAGAGGCAGTCATGTTGTATCTCACAGACGACTTGGGCTTGCTTCCATTTTTCCTGCCGCTAGGCATCATTGGTTTCTATCGTTACCTGTGGTATGCCATCCGCGTCATTGCGTGGCTCACATACAAGCCTCGACGACCCAAGGCCAACCCAACATACCGCCCTGAACATGATGTCACTATCATTGTACCCACCATCGATGCCGGCGAAGAGTTCAAGATTGCCGCACGAAGCTGGCTAGCCTGCAACCCGAAAGAAATCGTCATTATCACCGAGACACAAATGAGAGAGCCGTTGCAGGAGCTTGCAAACGAAGTCGACCCTACCAGAATTAGGGTGCTTACTGTACCCAAGGCCAATAAGCGCCTGCAGATGACTGCGGGTGTGAATGCCACCACAACCGAGATTCTTGTCTTTGCTGACGACGATGCCATCTGGAAACCAACGATGCTGGAATATATCCTGGCATGTTTTGAAGATCTCAAGATGGGCGGGGTGGGCACTTCACAGACTGTCCATGCGGTCGATCCCAACGGACACCAGACGCTCTGGGAAATCCTGGCTGGATTTCGATTGACTTCGCGCAATATCGAAATTGCTGCATCCACGCATATCGATGGCGGCATCTGCTGCTTGTCTGGCCGTACCGCAGCCTATCGCACGCTGATCTTGAAAGACCCGGCTTTCCAGTACTGCTTCACCAATGATCTGTGGCTCAACAAGTACCCATTGAACTCTGGCGACGACAAGTTCTTGACTCGATGGATGTGCTCGCATGGCTGGAACACGTATGCTCAAGTGTGTACAGAGGCAGAACTCTACTCGACGTTCAAGAACAATTGGCGATTCTTGAAGCAAGTGCTCCGATGGACCCGTAATACATGGCGCTCTGATTTCCGCTCGCTTTTCACGGAGCGTTATATTTGGCGTAGACACCCCTATGTGGCTTTCACCATGGTCGACAAGATCTTCAATCCCTTGACTTTGTTGGCCGGGCCTATTCTCGTCGGCGTCTTTACCTCGTTGCAAGAAAAGAATGCCGGTCCCACTAATCCTCCTTTGCCTGGATGGAATGTTGCCGTGTCCTACATTGTCTGGCTCTTGGTCACTCGTTTCATCAAGCTCATCCCACACTTTTTCCACCGTCCTCTCGATATTTGGGTGCTTCCTTGTTGGCTGATCTTCAACTATTACTTTGCCATCATGAAAATTTATGCGCTTTTCACGCTCCATGTTACAGCTTGGGGTACTCGAACGTTCACTAATGTAAGTTGCACGCTTAAATTTTATACTTTGGGGGTTCTCCCCCCCCCCCGGGGGTAGAGACAGAGATGGAGTGGGCAGATGTGTATATGTGTCGTAGTGCCTATGTGGAAAGAGTCGAAGAAGAAGAAAAAAAAAGGAGTGGGGTGGGGAGGGATTGGATCTACACTTCTCCAAGTATAAACATGCTAATATACTAACTTTAAAAAATCTTGTATAGGGTGAAGGTCTTGGCGCGCCGATGGTGGACGATGAAAAGAATAACTCATCGGCGGACAACACTGCTGAGCACCACAGACAACAAGAAAATAAAATTGAAATGAGCGATATGGCACACCAACAGCAACAACAACAACAACGAGACCCATTCTCCGATGATATCGATTATGCTGACGATCATATCCAACACCACCAGCGTCAACAGCAACTTCAAAACCATCCCAACAGCCCCTACGGACACTACCAATAATTAATAGCAACAATCCTTGCGCCACGCCATACACTCACACACACTAACTCATGTGCACTTCTTCTTCTGCTGCTGCTCAGCCATGATCAACAAGCGCAGAAAAAAAAGACACTATCAAGCACGATTTGTTGATCTACTCAATACATAGTCATATAAATTGCATTCGCACTGTTTTCTAGTCTCATTACTTATCTCCACCATTCACCTTAGTTCGTCTTTCTTCTTCTTCTCTCGCGCCCTTTCCACACCACAACGTATAAACACAAATGCACTTTTTACCCGCTATTTCTACTGGAACTGTTCTAACCAACTTGCGCAATAACCCCCTCTTCTCAATGTAATTTGTTTATTTGCAACTTCTTTCATCTTTTTATTTTCTTCTTGTTATGTGTAAAGAGTAATATACGAAAAAAAAATGAATAATGCTCGATCACACAAAGACACAACTAGCCACACAGCATACCTTTCATAACCCTATACTGTTTCAAAAACAAATAAATACAGTTAGATTGTCTTCTAATAAAAGAAAATAAAGGATGATGATGATGATGGTACCATAATGTAGAGCCGGGATCTTGTAACATAATGATGTCCCTCTCGTTCCCGCCCCTGATATTGAGGAACAAAGTAAAAAGTAGTCTTATTATCATTATTATAAGCATTCACTGTTATATGTAACAACGGAACTATTCCGCTATGTTTATATTTACTCCTGCTTTTTTTTTCTTTCTTCCCTAAAATGCACGCATATAGAATCTTGTTTTTTGTTCCAAAACGTTAGAATCTGTCATGTTGTTTCTGAAATGAATTTCATTGGATGATTCGGCAGATCGACAACACACAGCAACTACATAGTAGCAGCAGCAGCAAAGAGAAACATAAACAAAAAAACTAGAGCGATCTCATATTCTCTACATCTCTCCCCTTTTGTTTATTTGTAGTCTCAAACAGCATACTCCATTGTTACTACTATAAGTACACATGAACATGTGAATGCACATATACAAATATTAATACCGTATACTGTACTGTCACTTTTGTTCCCAAGTCAGTTGTATCTATAGCACACACAAGAGAGTTGGGTATATTTTCAATGTGGTATACAGTGTTGCTCAGCAATAGCAACTTTTAAGCTGCAAAAATAATGCAAGATAGGTTGTTTTCCTGATAAAGTAGCACCATATACTACGTTCAAAGTATCATATGCAATCAGTGCGCCTGGCTTCACCCTTACACTCATTACATGAGCGGCGGAACGTGACCGGACTCGCAGCAAGCAGAAATATGTAGCAAGCCCCAGGTTTCGTGGGCTACTGTGCATTAGTGCGTGCATGTTTTGTATCTTTATTTACTTTGAGGCAAAGAACTTTTGTGCTTTGGTAATAAATCACATTCGTCATCCGCGATAGTATGTGGAGCTTTTTATGTATTCCAAATAACCACTATGGTGCTGATGAATGATGCTTTTGATCATGTGATGGATTTTCCTGCTGAGAAGATTCAATATAAAGAAAATTTATATGCCTTGCATTATAAGTATGCAGTGATTTAGAACGACCTCCTGTCTATACTACTAGTACACCTCTGGGCTCGGTCGTTGATGTACAGCTGTTAATAGCACCAGTTAACCTTCTTTCATGCTTTCACATTCTCATCGTTGTATATACGTAAGCAAAAAACGCATCCTTACCCATTTTCATTGCGCCATGACAAGGATCACCCTCTTATGAGTAAACGACAACACCATTTGTGTCTATATTGCTCTATGATGTGTTCGCGATCATTGTATATTGGCAACGTGAATTGATAGCTATATATGCAACGGCAATCGGATTCGGTTCCACGAGGATGCAGGCCAATTTTGATAGCTATTACTTGCATATTGATCCAGCATTCGATGGAGCTCAATCACCGTACACGCATCAGCAATTACCTCCACTTTTCATACATGTGCATAACGTGGTGTATTTGAAACAGCAAGCAAGTGTATGCACTATTTTTTACTTATATGTAGACTTCCTTGTGTATGAGTTTGAAGGGTGCTATCGCGTAGTCCTCGTGCACCTTGCTCCGACACGTTTTCCCCAGCAATCCAGTTTATCATACGTATTAATACTGAGCTTTCCAACAGTATGTATATGGCTTGGTCTGTAACGGTGTCCATTCTGGCGAGAGTGATACTTGACAGCTGGCCGGATTTACATAGCGTGGTAATAAGCTCTTGGAGTCCTTGACTTATAACATGAACCAGGCTTGCACCTGCTTGATGAAGATCGATGTTTTGATGCCACTCAGCGCAGCGCCGAAATAATATGCTTTCTTATGACTTTTTTAAGATTTAGACAGTCTTGCGTATCGCTCAAACAATTTGTGTAAATTTCGACGACACTGCAATGCTGTAGACGCGCTTTATTGAAATAAAAAGGTCTGCAGTAAGTCGCCCAAGATTTCATGATAGCACCAGCGATTACTGTAACTCGATCATGTCCGATACATTTGCGACGCTTAAGAGCTGTGTTTTTGATAGTAAGAGTAGTGGCTCTATAAGCGGGAGACAGCAATATTGTGAGATTACATGCTTTTTACAATATACATCCCCGGATATCGTACATTATGTACTGTTCCAGTGGTAGATCCGCAATGTATGCAAAGATTGTTTTCAAAATTCCTCGATTCTTGTATATAAGTGTCGATCGATATTTATTTGACTTTGTTTAGTGATTTAGGAGGTTGAAAAGGTTTGTTGTACGTCAAAATTTTGAGGCTTGATGCAACACGATTGATGGCATCCCAACACATGCATCATCTATATCGAATCATCGTAGCTGCTGGCAGCGCTGTATAATCACTCTAACATCTTCTCTGGTAAATGGAACTTGATTTTAACCTGAGACTTGTAAATGTATCGTTTTCCCTCCACCACAGCGAATTCCCCCCCCCCGTTAGCTATGTCATAGACACTGTCGTGTGGTAAATAAAACTTGACAACGCACCACAGAATGATGATACAGTTGTTGCTATCGTGAGACCGCTTTTGTGTTGTTGCCGACGTTGATAGTCAAGCTCGTCAATCCCGCAAAAGAGCTTCTTTAATCAACACGACTTGTGATCGGAGCTGTCGTTCGCGCAAGCTGCAATATAATGGTTGTACCTTTTGGTCATCCATCCTTTATTACAAAAAAAGAAAGCATATTACACGTCGCATTACCTGTCATACTCGATCATCCATTTCGCGTCGGCGGGTACACGAATTGTGTTCCCCTGCATAGCAGGACATACACAGAAATATTCAAAATCAATTGAGTCTGTCAGGTAGAACATTTCATTTCCAATAAATTTGATGAGATTTTGAATAGACTTTCATCCACAATATAAAAGTTGAGGAGAAATTTCACATATACAAACAGGATTATTATAGTAACATGCGATGGAAGATGGAGTTAAAAACAAAAAGTATAGAGAAAGAAATATATAGACGATTTAGAAACAAAGCATGAAAGCAAAATAACCCAAAAGATACACGCTCTAGATTTAAGCCTTAAGATATACAGCGACCTTATCCTTGAGACCTAAAGCCTTCTTGCAATCGGCAGGTTCCTGCTTATCGCTGCTTTCAAGGACAGTCAAATCCTTGATGCCCTTGCACAAAGCCTTGACAGCCAGTAATTGGCCCTTGAGCAAGGTCGTTAAGTCAACATCATCGGTGTGGATGTAAGCAACGCCATCCTTCTTGACGTTGAACTGAACGGCTATACTACGAACGGTCTTGACAACTTCGTAGACGGCATCAAACTGTTTTTCAGCTTCGGCGAATGCATAGCATGCTTCTTCAACAGGGTAGCGGGCCTTGACAATGGTCTCGACCTTGTCGCCAGCACGACGGTTCAAGCGCTGATACAATTCTTCGGTCACGAATGGCATGAATGGGTGCATTAACTTCAAACCACCTTCCAAACAAGTGTACAAGGTATCCTGAGCAGCACGCTTTTGCTTGGCCATCGATTCGTCGGTGGAGTCGCAGATGGGTTTAATGATTTCCTATCGAGCACAAGTTGATTTAAGTTAGTATCTAATGGACTAGATATAGGGTTCTTTCTAATCAAGTGGACTTACAATGTATACATCACAGAGATCGTATAACCAGAACTGATGGACAGCGCTGGTAGCAGCCATGAAGTTTCGCTCGGCAAGTGCCTTGTTGGTGTCTCTTGCGGCAGCATTTAATTTGGAAAGCATCCACTTGTCAGCCAAGGACTCGTTGCCGGTGGGCTACATGTATAAAGAGCTCATGATTAACTATTCCCCTCTTTTTTTTCTTCACCTTTCTAAACAGCAGCCATTAAAAAAAACAGGCCAAGAAAAGCAGAGAGAGAGAGATATTACCTTGGCATCAGCATTGGGCTGGAAGTCGTTACCCAGCTTCATCATGGCGAAACGAGTAGCGTTCCAGATCTTGTTACAGAACTTACGGTAACCCTCAACACGCAGGATATCCAAGTTGATGTCACGTCCACCGGTAGTGTAAGCGCAGAGAGCGAAACGCAAGGCATCGGTACCGCACTGGGGGATACCCTTGGGGTAATCGGTCTTTTGACCAGCCTTTGCCTTTTCGATTTCACGAGGATCCAAGTTACCCTCCAGCAATTTGGCGTGCAAACCGTCCAAGGCAATACCTTCAATGACATCGACAGGATCAATGACGTTACCAAGCGACTTGGACATCTTACGGCCGTGAGCATCACGGATCATGGCGTGGCAAAAGACTTCAGAGAAAGGCACCTTGCCGGTCAACTTGATACCAAGCATGACCATACGGGCGACCCAGAAGAACAAAATGTCCCAACCAGTCTCCAACAACGACGAAGGATAGAACTTTTCGAAATCGTCGGTCTATGACAAAAAGTTTGTTGTTAGCTCTAAATGTATAAGTGTGTGTGTGTGTGTGTGTGTTTTTTACCTTATCAGGCCAACCCATGAGAGAGAATGGCCACAAACCAGAAGAGAACCAGGTGTCAAGCACATCAGGATCCTGCTCCAAGGTGTACTTTTTGCCAGCAAACTTCTTTTCAGCTTCGATCTTAGCAGCAGCTTCGTCTTGACCACTAACCCAGCGATCGTTGTCGGAATAATCCGTAGCATCTTCGCCTTCAAACTTGACATAGTAGGCAGGCACACGGTGGCCCCACCACAACTGACGCGAAATACACCAGTCCTGCATGTTGCCCAACCAACGGAACCAGTCGGCTTCCGAGACCTTGGGAGCAATCTTCAATTCACCATCGGTGACGGCCTTGATAGCAGCATCAGCCATGGACTTGCAGCTGACCCACCATTGGGGCTTCATGATAGGTTCAATGACATCGCCGGACTTGGAGCACACGGGGACGGTCATTGGGTTATCCTTGACATCCACAAACAAGCCCTTGGCCTTCAAGTCCTCAACGATCTGCTTACGGACATGGAAACGCTTCATGCCCGTGTAAGGACCCGCATTTTCGTTAAAGGTACCGTCGTCGTTCATGATGTTGATGAATTCAAGGTTGTGACGCTTGCCGACTTCGTAATCGTTGAAATCGTGGGCGGGTGTGATCTTGACAGCACCAGTACCGAATTCCATATCAACAGCAACGTCGTCTGTCACAATAGGAATGCGGCGTTCAGGGAGGAATGGATGCACAGCAAACTTGCCGTGCAAATGCTTGTAGCGAGGATCCTCGGGGTGGACGGCAATGGCAGAATCACCCAACATGGTTTCAATACGCGTGGTAGCAACCACCAAGCGTTCGTCCGAGTTTTCAATCTGGTAGGCGAATTCGTTCAACACACCGAATTCGAACTTTTCGTTGGCTTCATAGCCAGGCACGTTCATCAGGATGCGACCAGGCAATTCCTTGTTTTCGACCTCGAGGTTCGACAAGGCAGTGTTCAGGCGCACACACCAGTTGACGAGACGGTTGGCACGATAGATGGTGCCTTCCTGATGCAAGCGGACGAACGTTTCACGAACAGCTTTCGAGAGTTTCTAATATTCCCCCCTCCCCACTGGGTTAGTTTCCGTTGATCCCATCCCATCACGCGAACGTGTTTCACCCACCCCAGCCATGCCAAAAATTTCATGCGAGGAAACTTACAGGATCCATGGTGAATGCAACTCTGTTCCAGTCATACGAAGCACCAAGACGGTAAAACTGCTCATGGATTCTGCCACCGTACTTTTCCTTCCACTGCCACACTTGCTCAACGAATGCCTCACGACCGAAATCATGGCGCGTCTTCTTTTGCTCGTTCCAAAGCTTCTTTTCAACAACAGATTGGCACGAAATACCGGCGTGATCTGTACCGGGATTAAACAAGACAGTCTTGCCCAACATGCGGTTCCTGATACAAAAATTCGTTTTTTTCTTGATTTAGCTCTTTTTCAATTAAAAAGTGGAAGGAATCCCTTTAGCTTACCATCGCACAAGCGTATCTTGGATAGAGACAGTCAAGGCGTGACCAATGTGAAGCGAGCCGGTGACGTTGGGTGGAGGTGCAGGAACCACAAACAAACCTTCGGGCTTGATCTTGCCATCCTCGGTCAATTCAGGCTCAAAGTAGCCTTGCTTGACCCACCAATGATACCAAGCAGACTCAACAGCGTGTGGATCATAGGCACCGGCCATAGGTTCGGACATGTCTACCACATCAGGTTAAGCTCGGTTCCTGGGTATATACTTGGGCTCAATAACACACACGCGTTTTTTTTTTCTGATTTACCCTTCTTTTCACCCTCAGGCGTCTTGTTGACAAAGACGGGCTGTTCAGCAGTCTTGGCTGCCTTTTTCTTCTTCTTTTCACTGTTTTCGTTTGCTGCGGCCTTCTTCTTCTCTGCCTCTTGCTATAACATATATTTACGTAAACATGAACAGTGTCAGTTCTTTTGAATCGATATAGCAATTGCGCGCGGAATCATGTTTTTTACTATTGTTACTACTATGCCTTGCAAAATAAAAAAGACAGTAATTTATTATTACCTTGGCCTTCTTAGCCTCGAATTTGGCAAGCTTTGCACGACGCTTTTCTTCGTTCTTTGCCTCATTCTTAGCCTTCTTGGCAGCAGCGGCAGCGTCAGCATCGGTGGGTGTATCGGTTGCTGCAGGGGGAGCGTTTTCCTTCTTTTCTTCGGTGGCCATTTTTTTTTAAAATGTCAAAGAGGGAGAGAGAGAGAGAAGCTATATATATTCGCCCACAAAAAAAAAAGAGCGGGTTTGCTGGGTGGGGTTGGGGTGAGCTTTGCATACTTGCGTCCAAAAATGTCACCCAGAGTCATTCTGGGTCCAAGCCACTTTTCCTTCTCCCAACCAAGAATTGGCTGTCCAACACCCTACCTCCGGTTCATGCGACACCCAACCCCCGAATCGCCACCACTACTACTCACTGGAAGCGTTGACAACCTTTTTTTTTTTACTTTCCCGCCTTTTTTAGCACACAATGCGCAGCTCAACAATGACTCACCATGAGGTATCTTGACCAAACACACACTGTGAACAAAACACTACACCGCTTCGTATACTTTTGTTTGGGGCGAGCTATACCATGTATATACCAAGTTTATATTTTAACTCATTGCATGGTGGCTGTTTCCTTACTAGTCGACATTACTGCAAAAAGATATTTTTGCTGGCATTGTGACATCGCTTTACTTTTTTAACGAAACGCTGTTACTTGTTGGACACGGTCCCTTTTTGAAAATATACAATGTACATACAGGCAAACTCTTAGCGTGTGAGAGTGTATTGCCTGCCAACCGTATACACCGTATTGTTCCTGGTAATAAAACCCCACAAAAAAAAATTATTTCGTTTTCTCTCTTTTCTCAATGAATAGTGGCAACGATAAACACACTTAACATGGTATATTACTATTACTGGTAGTTCACAAGAATAGCACCGAGACGTGTAAATATTACTCAGTTTATGGATCAAAAACAATGCGTCTCGTCTGTATCACCGCAGCATCCGAAAATCAAGCGAGGTAATGGATGACAGTAGATCAACACACACCAATAAAACATGTCGAACTCAAAATATACTCCCCCCCCCCACCATACCAAATTAGCATATCTCTAGGTCACGCGTATCAATTTACTGACTGGATCATGGATGTGTGCTGGTTGGATTCTGGAGAGGTAACAAATGATCGCTTTTTATTTTCCAAGCGAATTGATGTTTAACATAGAAATATCTAGCTTGCAGTAGCATTCGCCCATAATCAAGTTGAAATTTATGCAATCAAGCAAGACAATCCGTCTGCTGTACTTGTGGATCGAGTCCAATGCCAAGTCCGATGTATTTTGTAAGTTTTTTTTTTTTCCCTCGCCTAAGAGTGTGGATACGACATCACAGTAAATACTTATCTATTGTGATTGTGGATACCCGGGGCCAAAGATACTCGGCCCGTTTCCATGGCACCACAAAAGAAAACCTATTATTAGCCTCCGGCACTGTCTTTAACGAGGTGCATGTATGGAAGATCACAGACAGAAACGAGGATAACGAGGGCGTTGTATCCCATCAGCTCGTGGGTCATGAAGGTGTTATCTTTGGTGTTCGATTCAATCCTGACGGCAGCATGTTGACCAGTGTATCCGATGATCGAACGATCCGCATATGGCCCTTACAAGGCGAACGGTAAAAAAGTTCAAAATGACAAATTGCTTCCAAAGAGAAGAAGACTGACAGGAAAGGAAATTTGTGTAGAACAAATCCATTAATTATCTTTGGCCACACTGCTCGGGTTTGGGATTGTCAGTTCGTGGATCAACATCTTATCAGTATATCCGAGGTAAGCGTAAAAAAATCAGGGTGTACAAATTCAGAAATAACTAAAAAAAAACGATACTTGATTGCTGTAGGATGCCACATGTCGTGTATGGAAAAACACACTAGTGAGCAAAAACGAAGGGGATGAGGATGGTGATTGTTTAGCGTGCTGGGAAGGCCATATCGGCAAAAACGTATGGAGTTGTGCAGTCAGTCCTGAACACAAAATTGTTGCCACGGGTGGTCAAGACTCTGGAATTCGGTTATGGTCGTTTGTATCTATCAAGAACAATAACATTGGTGAGTCCACGAGTTTTCTTTGTTCGTTTTGGAAACAAACTAACGGCTGATCTCCACTGTGTACATAGAATCCGAAGATGATCTAACATTGGTGGAACTACCGGCGGCTGCACCAAGCAAACCTGAAACGTTCCGTAACTTTTGTCTTACGGGTCTTGATACCATCGTGGCATGCAGCAATGAAGGGTAAAAAAAAAGCTGATCTGGACAAAGGATAAAGGAAACTTGGGAGAGAGAGAGTGTGTGTACTATATTAACACACATACACACTCGATGTAGTCGTATTCTGAGAGGCGATCAAAAGGGCGCCGAGTGGACAATTTTACATAGTGATCCAAGTTATGTTAAATATGCAATGATGTCTCCTTCTCCATGTGGCCGTCTTGTTATTGTTGGCAGTATTGAAGGTCATTTACTGCTAGTTAGTACAGACCGTATTTTCGAGGTATGTACTACTATGTCGTCATTTTGCTTTGTGATATGTGATTCACTCCTATGTATATAAAAGGAGATTGTATAGTAGGCATAATGGTTGCTAATGCTCTCTCTCTCTCTCTCTTTAATAGCCTATCAAATTAAAAGTGCACGAAACAAAGATCTTTGAAATATTCATTGAAAACTCTCGAGGTATCAAAAAAAAAAACATACTACTGAGTCGTGATGAGAGAAAAAATAGTGATTATGCCAACCACCAAAAGAACCCTCTTTTATCAAATAGATCCGAATGTCTTTTATATCGTATCGATTGGTTTTGGCGAAGCAACATATCTCCACAAACTTGATGCTACTGACCCTACAACGGTAAGAATAATTTGTTATAGATATCGCGGTCAAAAAAAAAAACAGAAAGCAACTCACACATTTTGAGGAATATACTAGCCCGTTTTTGAAACGCTGTATAAACTCAAAGAACCTACCGAACGTACCAACATGCTCTCGTTGAAACTTGTCGAAGAAACGCGTCTTTTGATTTGCGGTTCTCGCGAAGGAGCAATGGTCGTTTACGAGCTTCCGCTATTATCAACAACGCAACATAGTGGTAGTGAACAACAACAACCTCAGACTGTCAATCCATTGATGCAACTGAGAAGAACACATGGACGACAAGCGATCAGTAGTGTCACCCTCAAACATTGCGACAACAACAACAACAAGGAAGTTGTGTTTTGGACTACTGGACGTGATGGATGTTATATCCAATACCGACTTGTACGGAACACTAACGAACAACAACAGAGCAGTAGTACTACTACTACTAGTAGTGCCAATACGGCGGGCAAGGGTGATGGCTCTGGAAAAGTAGAAGAAAAGACCAAATTGGGTATTGCAAGTCAAGGCGATACCATGATTGAAACGTCTCGATGGATATTGGAGAAAATTTATCGCAACAAGGTCACCAAGGGCTGGCTGGAAGGTGCACTGTGGCTCAATGACGAGTTGTTGCTATTAGGCTTTTATCGTAAAAGATTCTTTGTATATAATGAAACAAAGACGTTTGAGGTAAGCAAGCAACAAAATTATGTGGTAAGACAGGCTTATCAAGTAACTCTTTGCTTTTTATCATTGCTACTGCCTCCTTCTCCCTTTGCCACCCCTCGAAATTTAGCTGGTTTCCATTGCATGTGGTGGAGCTCATCGTCGTTGGCAGTTTAAGACGGCAGACACAAAGCTGGATTTGTCTACATTCACATTTGTTCGAAAAGAGCAGGTAAGAAGGGACAGACCTAGTGTGACAATAGACTATGTGGGGAGTCGTTAACTTAACTTTTTGTTTTTTACAGTTGTTCGCATACTTCCGCAACGAATCATCCGTGAACGGCAGTTTCAGTAGTACTGTTATTCAGGTAAAGTTTTTTTTTTTGTTCGGAAATAGGAGTCAATGCGTGATATGATGGCTTACTTATTACTTAGGATAACTTCCACGGTCGAGACGTTCGTGCTGTACGATACTTGAGTAAGTTGGTTTTTTTTTTATATCACTATTCGTTGCTTCTGATACTTATTTGTATATATCTCATTCAAATCTGTCGCTCTCCCCTATTAGGTTCCGCAGTAACAAACGATCCTTCTTTCCCCTTGTTATTCGCTTCTGCTGGTGAAGACACTGTCCTCAAATTCCATCAATGTAAAGTAATTCCAGTGTGTATGTCACACACAGAAAAAGCAACAGTAGGCTTCTATGCTCACACTCGTGACCTCTTAATATAGATATTCCATCCTTGAACACCAAATTCGCTACACTTTCAAATGTCCGCAAACATACATCTGTCATCAAATCGATAGACACAAGCAAGGGTAAGCCTATATACATATATAAACTGGTTTCTCTTTTTCTTATGAAAATGTTGAAGAAAACAGTGCTTACAATGATACTGATCTCTGTTTATACATCAGGTATTGATACACTCTTGTTCACCAGTGGAGCTAGAGAAGAATTGTATTGTTGGAAACTTGAAGTGAGCAAACCACCGAATATGAAAGACGGTGACTTGCTTGATCTCAATTGTCTGGAATGGGCTGTGTGTCCCGCAGTAAGGTAAATCATATCATTGTCGGTTCATTTGATTACTCTTTTAATACTCACAAAAAAACATGATTCCATTAGTCAAGTGATTGAAACCCGCATCATGGATATCACAGTACATGCCATTGATACAGCGCAAGGACTGCATTTGGTCGGCGCGGGCTATTCCGATTCTACAGTCAGAGTACGTGAGGATATATAAAACTTCAACCTACTACTAATAGCTAATACAACGCTGTTACACGTGTCCTGATAGATCTGGCTATTCAATGAAAAGACTCGACAGTTCTCGTTGATTGCAGACGGATCTTGGCATAGACGATGTCTCTTACAAATGGATCATGTTGTTATACCTGGTAGTGATAACGAAAAACAGGATCGAATTCTGTTTTTTACTGGAGCAACAGATGGACGGTATATATATTTGACATAAAAGGATGCGGGAGCACAGAGAGAGAGAGAGAGAGAGAGAGAGAGAGAGAGAGAGAGAGAGAGAGAGAGAGAGAGAGAGAGAGAGAGAGAGAGAGAGAGAGAGAGAGAGAGAGAGAGAGAGAGAGAGAGAGAGAGATCATTATTAACCTATCGTTTTCCAGTGTTGCTGTATGGGATATCAGTCAAAAATTACGAGAATCCATCCAAGACGTTGCCGCATTAGAAGCTGATCCTACACACACGGCAGCTAAATTCGATGAACCTGTGTATACTTACCAGCCACATCAATCCGGTGTCAATTGCCTTCAAGTTGCATACAATCCAGATGAAAATACCCTGACGATTGTTACTGGAGGCGAAGATAATGCACTTGTAGCAGCCAAACTTGCACTTGGCGGCGGCAAGGACGATGATGATGATGCAAAGATTGTTGTTACTGCTGTTGGCAACCCATGTTCTATCTTGGAAGCACATGCATCCTCTGTCACAGGTAAGGAAACAAGAAAGGTGGGCGAGATACCCAGTCAAATTAAACCAAATGTTATTATTATTATTATTATTATTATTATAGGAACACGGTTGATCCAGAATAATACGGCAGTGCTTTCCACGTCAACAGATCAACGATTAAATATGTGGACTGTCAAGGATTTGGGATCGGACGGAGTTGCGCTAATCTTGGTGGATGCTTCATTTGTTGATGTGCCTGACCCGTCTACCATGGATACTGCTGACTATGGGTAAGGCAAAGCCCAATAACAACATGATTTTTAACCTAACTCTTTTTTTTGGTAGTGGTGTCACGCATGCTGCTATTGCCGGCATTGGACTCGAAAGTTTCTCGGTTTCGTCATAATCACATGTAACCCCCGTTTCGCAAATAGAATAGAAAAAAAGTACACGCTACTGTCTCCATGTAATAAACGATATAATTCGGTCTCCCAGTCATTATAAAGTCGCTTGTTTTTGTCAAATGTCAAAACTCGGGCACTTTATATAATTTGAAAGAACAAAGTTGTTTGATATATATGTAATATTATGTACAAAGAGTAAGAAACGAGGTGGGAGAGGTGGGGGGTTTTGTGTTTTTTTTTTTGGTCTGGTCATTGTCCCAATGTCACTCAATACGTTTTTTTTTTTTTCGTGGTCATCGTGGTCATTGTCGTCGTTGTTGTTGTTCTTTAACCTTGACGTTGCTTGTGCTTCTTGTTCTTGTTACAGGTAACAAAAAGTTTTCCACGTCGTCGAACAGTGGTGCATCCATCACAAAGCTTCTTGACCGACGAACGCACCTTCATGGTACGTACAAGTTGAAGCGTGGCTTGAGTCGATGCCGTGGGTGTTGTGATGAGTGAAACAGCAGCAGGTTGTCGTGCTTGTTGGAATAATGTGCGACTGAATTGTGCGAGTAATGACATTTTTTTGTTCTTGTTGACCGTCGGGAATGAACGAAAAGAAAACAGTACCCCTTTAGAAAAATTGTTTTTTTTTTTTTACAAAATGCGCCACTTGAAATTCGGGTCGCTTGATATGTCGTAGGTGCGGGGGTTCCCTTGATGGCGAAAAAAGGTCTTTATCAATGCCAGTAGCAATGGTCCCAAATATAGATAATAAAAATGTAGGCAGGTAGGGGGGGGGTGACAGTCAAGAATGTTGGTGGTAGGACAGTCCGTGTACAAGTGCTAGAAGAAAGCAATCCTCGAGTTCCTGGGGTGACTTGCCACACTATTGGAAAATAGCTACGCTACACACTACTTTTAAAAAGATAGACATACAGAAGCAGCAGTGGATATGAGACTTTTTCTACATAACGGGCCCTTCGCCCGGTGACAATTGAATTAGTAACTCCAAGAGGACCAGCCATGAATGGGGCTTTTCCACAAGAAGATCGCTTTAGTTTTGTTTGTCAAGAACGACGAGGATAATGTACGAACTCTAAAGCTGTTAAAATAAACCATCGTCATCGAAGACGCAGAAACGGTAGGGAGACCTGCTGTCATGTACTGGTTTTAGAGAGTATGATTGGTTCTTCAACACGTTGGGGGGATTTAGGAGCTGTATGCAATATGCAACGGAAGAAGAAAAAGAAAAAGAAGCCTTGCGCGCCCACAACGCGCGCGCGGGGTACGTAAAACGAAGAGGACCTCCCCCTTTTCTTTCTTCTTCTTTGTTTCTTTGACGCTCTCTCCGCTCAGCTCAGCTCAGCCTCTCTCTCTCTCTCTCTCTATATATATATACACATAAACCTTTTTAAAGTGGCAAAAACAAGGAGGAGGAGCAAGAGGGGTTTCTGGTAGTAAAAAAAAAAAAAAAGAAATCGATGGAAACAGGCACACTCTTTCTTTGGATTGGCGGTTTACTATTCACATACATGCTCTGGCGACTCCAAGGACTGTTTCAAAAACGTAAAAAGCTAGCCCGCAATCTTCGACAGCAATGGCACGATTCCTGAGCAGACATTGAGTAGGTTTTTCTTTCCCCCCCCCAAAAAAAAAACCAAATAAAATGGTGATTGATTTCACCATTAGACCCATTAATGAACTGCTGACAAAAAAAAAAAAAGTGGGAAAAGATAAAGACCGTTTTTCCGAACGACAGGGACGGATAGAACAGGGAGGGGTGGGGGGGGGCCAGGAGTCGAGAAGCAGCAAGAAGAAGAAAACGATGGGACACCACCACCTTTGCTGCTGTTGTAAGAGAGACACAAACACTTTCTCCCACGCCCAACACACCACAATAGTTAGTTCACGAGATGTGAGGCCCCTCAAAGAAAGCATACAACACATGTCGTATTTATACCCAATTTGGATAATAAAAAGAAAAAGAAGCAGACTGCGGCGTTGTTGTTGACTGTTGTTGTTGACTGTTGTTGTTGACTGGGAAAGAGAAAGGGGGAGAAGAAGAAGAAGAAGAAGCTTACAAGAGATGTACTTTTAGGAGGAGGAACAAGAAACAAACAATAAACAAACACAGGGCTTGTGATAAATTGGATGCGATCCATTTGATCCACACAAAAAGAGTATTCAAGCACTCTTACTCGAGAATTGGATGCATGTAGCTTGTACATACTACACGGTTGAAAAAAAAAAGCATAAAAATAGGAGAGGAGGAGCCCACATACCTTTTCCTTTTTCTTCCTTTTCCTTCCTGCTTCTTCTTGCTTTTCCACGCTTTTCACACAGTATACATTTCTTGACTCTTCTTCTTCATGACAAAACAGCAACAGCACTTATCATGGTCTCCAGCACCAACAACAGCAACAACCACCGCGTACCATCATCGTCACCACCGTCATCATCATCATCATCATCACCATCGACGCCGTAAGCCGGAATTTTATCCGCTTCACCGGTCGATCACCGACGAAGACAGTTATGCCGACAAACCATCACCCATCACCCGCTTTGTCACGAAATTACTAGGTATGTGTGTGGGGCTTTGATGCTTGCAAGAAACCGTAAGCAATATGAAACTTCTCAAAGGGTTTGTTTGTTTGTTTGGGGCACTCAACCACTGAATTATTTTTTTTTTGGTCATTAAAGGCCTCGGCGGCGCAACCTCCTCTTCATCAAACGATAAACATCAACGCCAACGTCCGCCTCTTGCACACAAGTCACACTCTACCACTTCCATTACCAAAGACAGTTCAGTCATTTCGTCAACATCGTCATCCCATTACACCATTCACAACAATAACAACAGCAACAGCAATAACAATAATAACGAAACGATTACCGGGACTGAAACGCCTGTCAGTGTTTCGGTTATAGAGTGGGAAGAGCATCATCATCATCGAGGAGAAGAAGATACACAAAGCATTACAAGCAGCAACAGTAGCAGCAGTTCAAGCTCGAATACCAGTCTAGACGAAGAAGAAAAAGACGAAAAAAGTGTCTGTTCCGAGCGTTGTACCGGCAGAAGAAAACAAAGAGGAGGACGCAGCAGAAATAATAAGAAACCTTCTTTGACATCTTCTGTATCCTCGTCCTCGTCGTCAATCTATTGCGGTTGTGTTGCTGCTGGTATTAAAGCAAAAAACAACAACACATTTGCTAGCACTACTACTACTAGTACATCATCTGCTGCAGTGGACGCACTCGTTTCGGCGGCCACACACATCAATCAATACGAAGAAGAAAGACGAAAACGACAGGAGCGTATCGTAGCGTTCTTGGATATCATGGATCCACCCCAGTTGGTGGGTAGAAAAGAAGATACAGAGCCTGTCTTGGATCGGACCATTAGTGAAAAGGTAAAAAAAAAGCCGACATTGCATTTTTTATGCATGTGTGCGGGCGTTTCTTGTGTGTGTGTGTGTATGTCGGCTCAGTTATATATATACACACATACTTGTACATGACATTGACAGGATGCATGTCGAACATACATACATAGCTACGACCTTACCTTCCAAGACGCCATCGACTTACCACCCAATGGTCACTCTTGTACAGTTTGGACCAACATGGATCCAGTCTGACCACGCTTTATAGACAATGTCGATCCTATCGTGGACCGTGCGTCCTAGCTATCAAGGATGCCGATGATACTGTAAGTAGTTCCCGTCCCTTTCTCTCTCTCTCTCTCTCTCTCTCTCTCTCTACATGACTTTATCTTAATACTTTCAAGGTCACTCTGTTATAGATATTTGGTGCATTTTTAAATGAGACTCTCCAGGCCAACAGTGCTTCCTACTATGGCACGGGTGAATGGCAAGTATTTTCCTTACTCCTACTACTACTATTATTTGAAAGAAAAGAACAAGATATACTGAAATCAAGGAATCATTTTAACTAGTTTTCTATGGAAATATTGCAAAAATACGGGTAATGTCCAAGTGTTTCCATGGACAGGCAAGAATGAATACATGATCTTATCCGAAACAGAATTTATAGCCATTGGAGGCGGGTAAGTCTTATTACTGTGGTTCATCCTCCCATCCCATTCACTCACACGCACAGGGGGGGGTGGGTACTACACTTTTTTTTTTTAGTGACGGCAAATTCGGGTTGTGGATCAACTCGGACTTGGAGCATGGACATAGTGAACCTTGCCCAACGTTTGATAATGAAAGTTTATCACGTAAACCGGAATTCGCTTGCATGGAGCTTGAGATCTTTGCAGTATCTGGTGAACTTTAAAAAAACGGAGCTCTACACTCTATGTTACTCTCCCATCTTTTTTTTTTTTTACAGTTTTGATGGCTTGTGTATAAAAAAAAACAGAAAGCCTGACACAACTCATAACAAACAACAACAACAACAACAACTGGCATTTGCATCTCCCATCCATATATCAACATTTAATCTCTAGGATAATTTCCAGCAGTAGTTAGCAGTATAAATATCGCAAAAATAAAAATTATGTGTGTATGTATGTAGTAAATCCCAATGTCTACATCAATCTTATATTTGTGAGGCAGCGTTGTCTTTCTGCTTGCTTGCTGTGTGGCAAATGACAGCTTCCAATTAAACCAGCAGTGAAGACCAGTGATCAACAGGGAATGAATGACGTATCCTTGTACATAAACCCAATTGTAGTCACGCGCTAAAAGTTTACCAAAAGTTCTTCCACTGTTGTTGGTGCATGATGGTCCACCATAGTAATACATGCACTATGTTACATGGTATATATATAACTTGCGTGTTCATCGGGTGATGATGAAAGAGTTTAAAGCATCCCTCACTGGTTAATATTACTGTTTATTAAGCTGTCACCCCTTGATGCTTTAATTTGCCTCAGCTGCAGGATTCTTTTTCTTTCTCTCAAACCCTTTTTTGACTCCCGCGCCTTGTTCTTCTCTCCTTCTCTCTCTCTCTCTTAGAACAGACCCTTTTTTTTTTAAAAAAAATCCTTGTTGTGTCATGTTCCTGGAGAGCATTTGTCCAGGCCAAGTCAATCCACAACCTCATGCGATTGAAGCCTTTGTGTGGAAATCCATCCGCTACATTGTTTGTATTCTTTCTTTCTTGTCCTTTTTGCGGGGCAATTCGACGAGAAAGGAATTAACTTTTGCGCCTTTCCCCCCCGCCCCCCCGCTTATTAGATATATGCAACCGGGTCAAAAGTCGTCATTTATGCCGATCCAGCAAAACTTGTTCAAATCGTTTCTTCGAAAACCCTAGGCAATGACGACCAGCGCGAAATGGTGACAGCTGTTGCTGGATGTCCAAGGACGGGTCGTGTAAGTTTTCTCAATAGCTTGTTCCAGTTGCTTGTTCCTGGGTAAACGCGTGTTATTATAATGTTATCAAAACTCAAACCCACCCTTTTTTTGTGTGTGCATCGATCTATTTCATAGCTTGCACTTGCATGCGGAACACAAATTGGCATATGGCAATACTCGGATAAAACAAAGTCAAAAGTAAGCTTTCATTGAAAAAAAAACCCCCCAAGCAAAGCGATTACACGAAGATATAGTATGATTTACTTTTTACAAACCAGCAACAGTGGCATTTCGATACTGTGATTGATACTGGAACACGCGTGAGCTGCCTTGATTGGGGCAAAGATGGTAAAATGTTGCACTCGTTCTCTATTCATCTCTCGAACTACAAATACACCAGGATGGGTCTTTTAAAATTTATATATGTTATGTGGTGGGTAGGCCATCTTTTGGCAGCAGGACAAGAGATCTCGGTGTGGATGCCTATCCATAAAGAAGGAAGCCAGCCTTTGCCGGCATGGAAAAAGCTGTGGCATATAAGGTTATTTTTATTTGTAAAGGTGCAGGATGTGTAGCAAAAAAAAAAAAAAACTTAACTCACATGTTCATTTATAGACCAGCAACGCATGTTGCTATAGCAAAATTTGAACCAAACTCTATGCTTTTCGCTACCGTTGGCTCGGTAAATATAAGATTCCTTTTTTCTCTCCTTTCTTGTAGTGCGTCTATTGTGTGTGTATAATCATATAGTATTGAAAGTTATTTTGGTGGGCTGAAACGGGTATTCTAGGCGGATCGTCTTGTTACGTTGTGGTATACCTCAGCTAATACTACTGGTAAGTAGTTGGCTCTTTTTTCAAAAAGTCTTTTTAAAGTGTTGACAAAAAAGCTAAATTATTCCCTTTTTCGCAGGGTCCTCCGAACTGGATTACCACTTTTTATACCTTTCGCATCCTCAATATGTGACACACATTGTATGGCGACGGCTACTAGGTCCTAATGGGTAAAACACATTTCTCGGGTCGGCCAAAGAAAAAATGACACGACTAAAACTACAAGTGTTGTTTTTTTTTCTGCCTATATACAGCGCTCCGGCTTGTACCTTATTTACAATGGCAAAAGATGGTATTGGACGGTTCTGGCGACCGATCGATCTGGAACAGCCACATAGACTACACATGAGTGCTGTGATTGATCCAAACCAGTCGCTTGTTACTGAACCATCATCATCATCATCAACGGACGACGTCAATCAACAGCATCACACTTTATGTAATGACGACGACGACGACGACGACAACGATTTTACACCTATCCATTATATCAGTTGTGACGAATTGAAAAGCTCGCTTTATGCACAACTACGATGTCATTCAAAACATGACAAGTTGGATCACAGTTTGGAGAAAATGCGCGATTTGATTCGCGATACGCCCGATTTGTTATTCCGAATTCAGGCTGATGGATCACTTACGTTCTGGGGAGTTCAGGTGCGTGTGTATATATATCTAATGGTTTGCATTTGGGATAATAAGGCCCCCAGAGAGAGGTACTCTGGACCAAGGTACTGATTTATTTTTTACCTTTGGCGGGCGGATTTAGCATTTAAATGTGTTACCGCGTAGAGTTCCACGTGTCTTTGTTGTGCTTCGGGTGGCACAAGCTGTGAATCCAGATGATATTCCGTACTTTCTCAACGCGGTCCATGTTCTCCACGACTATGCCCATATACAATCGTCTTGTAACGTGTGCAAAAAGAAAAAAAAAAGGACGTTTATGGACGGTACAGTGGTAAAAAACTAAATGTGTTTCTTTTTTTTTTTTTTAGCGAGTATTAAACCCGCAGAGCTTTCACTTGTTGCAAGGAATCGACGTGGCCAGTTACGATGTTATGGATTAAATCTCGTTGATTTTTTGGATACGACGGTATTTGCACCACGACTCTATGTTAAATACAGCTGGCTTGGTCATCGTCATACCATCCGTTCTATCAAACAAGTCGCCAACAATCGTCTATGCACGATCGGGACGGATGGAGAAGTAAATGTGTGGAAATATGGATTTAGAGAGGTAAGACAGATAAACTAGGGTGTCGAAAAAGAGAGTATTGAATGATTGATCCTATTTGATTCTCTAACGCGACAGACACGATGGCGTCCAACAACACAATTACGTCTGACCAGTTCAATGAGCTTTAACTTTTCCAAATTGCTTGCTACAACACTTGGCCAAGGTGACCATCGAATCTTTCTTTCTTTGTGTGTGTGTACGTGCTTTATACTACTAGAATATTTAAAATACTGAATAAGGGAAGGTGAATTGCTTTCGTAGATAGACATATCGCAATCTATGATGGCGAACAAGTAGCGATCTATGTCTTGGACAACACAGGTTATCATATACAACAAAGGTTCGCATGTGAAGCCTACGATCCAACCAGCACAGCGCCTTTATCTTCTTTGCATTTTTGCAATATACCCAATGATGATGAAGGGCAAGACAACAACAACAGTAGTTTTATCCTCAACAACAAAAAACCGGCCATCTATTTACTCATCGGCATATCTACCAGCTCGAGCTGCTCGTTCATTTGGCAAATCCATATGAATTCCAACAACCCAAACGAAATCGACAATGTCACGTTTGTTCAATCACAAAGTTTCGGTGAAAAGTGGAAAAACAATGCTGCTGCTACTACTACCCATGTCGAGTTGAGCGGGAATTATGGTACTAGTACCACGTCGACTTTACTTGCTTCGCTCGAACGTCGTTCTACAACAACAACAACAACAACAGAAGGTAGTGGTACGGTCACCATGACGGTGTCCATAGACCAAGACGTTCTTTGCTATAAACTGGTTTCTTCAAAAACGAGCAATGAGCAACAAGGAACAAGCTTTGAATGGAAAGACATGTATACTGTGCAGACGCATCTAAAGGATATACGACGCATTCGCCGGACGGCCAATGTCATGGCGATAGGTGAGGGACATCACACATTTTTTATTGTGAGGGGACTTTCGGGATCAGGTTCTAAACACATAAAACAATAGTGTCAGGATCTGAAAAGCAACATACACTTTCGCTATGGTCGGAAATTCGTACGGATGTTCCACCTATTCTACAAAAGCAACTTTCTTTTTGGTAAATAACAACATGGTATTTGGAGAAAACAAAAAGGCGGGCAAGTTATACTGAACCAACTGTTTTTTTGTTTAATCCTAGGGAGCCAGTAGTAGATATCGCATGGAACGTTTCTTCAGATGGACAATTTGTATTAGCTGTTGCATTTGCTCAAAAGATCAGTATTTATGGAGAAAAGCGCGCCACTCAAGTAGCAGCAGAAGAACGGAATGGTTCTTCCAATGATTGGGTCAGCTATGTCACATTTGATGTTGATACGTAAGAAGCAAGGAACAACACAATGTCAAGACGTGTCTTTTTTGCGGATGCGGGACATTTACTCACTTTTTGTCTAACGTCTTTCTTTACAGACCGGATGATATATCCGGAATTGCATGGCTTGACTATGGTGTTCTTGCCGTTGCGGCTGGAAACCAACTCCGTTGCTATCTCAAATGGCTAACGCGTGGCGATCATATCAAACAACGTATGTTGAAAGTGTCCCTAGAGTAGTAGTAGTAGTAGTAGTAGTAGTAGTAGTAGTAATAGAAGTATTAGTAGTATAGAAAAAAACTAACATTTCCGTCTTTTTTTACTCTCTATTTGAATAAAGAACCACCCTTGGATCCGCAGTTTGAGCCCATGTCCAACATCTATGATGAATCCTACGAACTCAACGGCCCTCTACCTTTTTATCATCCCAATCTTCTAATCCACTATTTGATGTGGGGTAAGTGCGGCAACTATGATTCTTTTGTTTGCTTACTAGTAAATAACTTATAATCTTCGGGGGCGACTTTTGCTTTCTCACGGTATGATGTATAGGTAAAATCGATTTGATCAATGCAGTGTTATTAGCAGTATATCGATTCTTGCGCCATATCATTGACGAAGACGATATCACGGTCGATCACGTTCCCCAAATATGTCTTTCAACACTTTTAAGGCTACAAAATGAATCGGTAAAAAAAAAAACAAAAAATTCATTGTAAACAAAAACAACATTTATGCGTATTTTTGTGTCTCTTAACTATTGCTCTCTACTATGTTGGGGGGTGGGTGGAATAAAAAATATATAGGATGGAACGTCGAAAAAGAAAAAGGAACAGCAATACAGTTCATTGTTTGGAGAAGAAAGTCTTGATGAAACAGACATGGCCATTGGTGCAGACGATGAGGACGATACACGCCCATTAACTCGACAAGAAACTCGATATCTTGTTGATCAACTGAAACGACGTCAACTGCCAGGCCTTTCCGACCATGAAAAAATACACTTGGTGGCCATGATCGATACATTTGTAGAGGTAAAATATCTCTCTCTCTCTCTCTCACACACACATTGCCCTTTCATGTCAAAAAGAGGGTCCAATCTCAAAAAAATAAATTCATTAGATTTCAACACAAGGCGAATCCTTGGACGAGAACGGTGCGCGTTTCACGGCTCTTTTAGAAAACTTTTTCCATCTAAACGAAGCACTTGCTTCTGAGGAAAGAAAGAAAGAGCTTGCTCCTCGAGACCTTATTTGGGCGTTACACAGTCAATCACAGGTTAGATACGTTGTTTTCTTTTTTTTACAACAACAACATATTAAAATGCACGCTGTTTATAAATACTAGGATCTATTGTTGGAACGATGTCTTCGTCTGTGTGGCGGAAAGCTACTTTGGGAAGATGCTAGAGCATTGGGCATTTTCATGTGGTTGCAAAAATCCGAAGTGGTGGTAAGTAGACAAAAAACCCTCTTTTTTTTATATTTGCGATACTAAAATGAAATGGTTTTTTTTTTAGACCGAGCAAATGACAAATATAGCGCGTAACACGTATCTCAATCAAGATATCAAGGATCCTATCAATTGTACGCTCTATTATCTGGCGCTTCGTAAAAAAAGTCTATTGCAAAGTCTATGGCGTACGGCAAGTCATCATAAGGAACAAGTTGTCATGGTCAAGTTTTTGGCGAATGATTTTACTGAATCTCGTTGGAGAACGGCAGCATCTAAAAATGCATTCGTGCTTTTGGGCAGGCAACGTTATGGTACGCATTTTACCATGTGTGTGTGTGTGTGTGTATGGAACAAAAATTAACTGTTTTCCCCTTTCCAGAATACGCGGCTGCGTTCTTCTTGCTTGCGGACAAATTGGGTGATGCAGTGGGTGTCATTCTCAAGAACCTTAAAGATTACCAGCTTGCTATAGCAATTTGTCGTGTTTATGAAGGTAATATGTCAAAACTATCTCTGCCATTTTTCTAACTTTTGAGAAGAACGTCTAGTAGTAGTGCTTATTTGTTGTCATCAATTTGGTTAAAATAGGTGACCATAGTCCTTTACTTCAATCAATTCTACACACCCACGTTTTGCCTATAGCAAAGGAAACAAATGATCGTTGGCTTATGAGTATGGCGTATTCTATGCTGAATGATTCTAAAGAATGCATTCGGTCGCTCGTGGTAAAAAAAAACTAACCTCGTATTTTCATGGCTCCAGCAAAGATCAGCTAAATATATATTCTTTACCTAGGTACCCCTAACCACTGATGATGATACCAGCAGTGATATCACTGCGGATGATAATGACAGCACAGCTGTTGCCGCCAACGTCAATGATCCAAACCTATTCATTCTGTACCAACATCTCAAGAAACAATTCCGTTTACAAAACAAGCAAGGACTCGAAATATCACCTCAAGTGGAATATGTGTTTTCACTGAATGTCAGTCGAGCCTATGAACGGTTGGGATGTCCGTTGTTGGCTTTGTTTATCCTGTCCAAATGCAAGAAACCTGCTGAACACATTGCAATTGGGAACGGTACTACCACTCCCGGAAAAGATAAGAGCAAAAAGTCAAAGGAAATGAGAGCCGCCGATCTGTTCGCTTCTGATAATGATGATGATGACGACGACGATAACAAGCCAAAGGAATCAAGAGCTGCTGACTTGTTCGCTGATGAAGAGTGTTTAAACAAGAAACACGATGCAGCTGATCTGTTTGCGGACGAGGAAGATATCTTTGCCACCAGCAAACCTGCCGCTTCGTTGTCCGATGATATCTTTGCTGATGAACCAGACGTATCGGAAAAAACGGACATCTTTGGTGATAACGATGATGACTGGCTTAAAACAGACAATGACGATGGGCTATTATTAAAAGACGTCGGTGATGAGAACGATGCAGAAACTGGTGATGAAACGTCCATGTCGGGTCAACAAGGTGATAACGCAATGGATGGCCTTGGTGTCTATAAGGCTTTACAAGTGCTACGGTTACTTCAGGTATGGCTAACCCTCCTCCATTTTATTTGCAGTGTTAATTGATCTCTTCATTATGAAGCTATTTATGAATGCGTGGCATGGCTTTACAAACTTTATATGTATACAATAGACCATCTTCCATAGCGCTGCTGCGTTATATGATAGTACGGTTGCAGGAGAGCTTGGAAGTAACCACAACTACCATGCCTCCTTTGTACAGACGCAAGAAGATATACTTTCATTGGGTGAATCTGCACACATTCCACGCGCAGTAATGCGGCGACTCTTGCTCGAAAAGAGCATAGAGGTGGATGTGTTTGGCCTGTATCTCAGTATCATTGATACCGCCGATGCGTCGTCGATTGTCTCTCCAAGCGACGCAAAGACATTTATGGCAGCGTTCAAGACGGGCTGTTTACAAGTCTTTAGAGCTGCTCTTACGGATCAGGAATACTACTATTCTGGACTTGCTTTTATGGAACATTGGTCAGAGTAAGTTGCAGATATATATAAATGGGTTAAAGGGGGCTAGAGAAGTGAAAAAAAAAACCGTGTATTGGTATACCCCGGTTTGCTAAAAACACACAAAAGGCGCGTCATGTCAACGTATTCGATATGGAGCAACTTACAGCAAGACATTTCGTTTGCCCAAGCACAAAAGATTGCTCTGAACGCATATGTTACTATGATCATGGTCACATTAAAGCAGCGGCACTTTGAAAAGACGTGGTCGTTTTTGAGCAATTTCAAAAACTTTTTGGAATCTTTGTCTGCTGCTGATACGATCCAACAAGGTTTGAACAAAATTCATCAAAACGAAGAAAAGATGGTAAGTTGATTTTAAAAAAAAGGAGGCTGTGCTTTTCTTTGGAAGAAGCTTACATAAAGGACCATTATTTTACAAAATTTCATAGGTAGATATGGATCCCGATGATTTCGATACATTCTCGGATGATACCCTATTCGGATACAATATGGAAGAAGAAGTATACAGACCTACAAGTGACTGTAATGATCGTTCAGCAGGATCAAACATGTTGGAGGTGGCTGCGTTGAATTATGTGCTTTCTATTCTGGAAGGCTATATGCAACATGCTGAGAAAAAATTGGAAGCGACCAGTTGAGTATTGTTCCAAAGAAAGAAACGTGATGGTGACCAGCTATATTTTTATTCATCGACAATGTCTCTATACGAAAATCATCACTGTAGGTGAGCTAATCTCATTTATTTGGATGGTCATGCTGGATCCAATTGCCTACCGAGCTCACGGTCTCAAAGATACCATCAACACCCAACTAGAAGGAGATTTGACGAAACGTAAGTTTCCATTTTTTTGTCCTCTGGTTTTCAATACATCTACCTAACTGAATTTGTATGTTTTATACAGGTAATATGTCGAGAGAGTTCAAATCTTTGCGACAGAAAAAGTTTTGGCGTTCACTCAAATCACTAAGAGCGCAAGAGCGATTATTACCCTTTATTAACTTTGCTGTATGTATCAAATCCTCTTTACTTGTACAATCTTGAGCCAAGTATACCCTAACACGTTCCATTTAGCCTCCCGATATCAATGTACTACCGGATGATACGGAACAACCTCCACAAACCTTGTACAGTACGCCAACAACTGCCCACGCCTTTGCTGTGAGCTCAGTAAGTCACTTGTCCTAAAATACTCAATCGGCACTCTCTGAGGTATAGCACAGTACTGACGAACGTCATAACTTAGGTATGTCCTGATACTGTTGCTCTTGTCATGAAATCCGAGGTTCAAGAAATCGATCTCGCCGGTGCACAACACTATGGAGCAGTGAGTAGACACCGTATTTTCTGTCTGTTGTTCAACTACACACTCACCGTTTTTGACGAAAATTAGCATATGGTTCGATCTACGTCGTATTCCTCTACCGGTATCGCTCAAGAGCACCATCGACATCATCCGCATCATACGGATAGCTATCCCGATACTGAAGAAGAAGACGATTTCGGCAATCATTCTTCAGATGCTGAAACCGATGTATCAGGCAGCAAACAGCAACAGCCACTACTTGGAAGGCAGCGATCCAAAAGTCATCATTTACCACACCATCGTGGACCTTACCATGGGAAAACGCCCAATAGCAGTGTTGCTGCTTCACCAGCAAGTTTACGGCTGGCAACAGATGGTGCTTCAAGTAAAACTGCACAAACGACACATAATTTGGATAATTTGCACGAAACGTTGAAACGGTCACTCGGTATAAGTGGCAAAGACGGCGTGTTCTCTGGGTCAGAAGCATCACGATCATCGGCAGGCGCAAGCTCAAATGGTTCCATTGCAGACATGGTAAGAAACCGTATATGAGGATCTAAATTTATCATAGTCTACCCAATAAAATCTAACGACGCCATCCTAGGTAACCTTGAAAAGGACGATACAAGCAACGTGTGCTGAGGCGCATCCATACTTTCCATTTTGTAAGTATAACTTTCCGAGAACTAGCATCGAACACAACTTACCCAATTATCTTTTTTTCGAATCACATATTGTAGATATTACTGGCTGTGAAATTAACGGTAATGGTGGACCAAGTGTCATGCTATGGCAATATGGACAAGAGCAAGAAATTGCTAGTTACAACGGTTGTCATGGCAAAGTAACCAGGTAATAAATAATAAGGCATGTATACTTTTTCGAGTGGGGTTTACTAAAGTTCAGCACACGAAACAGAGTCCACTTTGATCAGGTTGGGCAACGATTTGGTGCAGGTGATACTACAGGAGGTCTTTTATTCTGGCGGTTCGATTCATATGCCCATTCGAGCAAGCCGTACTATAGCATTCCATCCTGTCACTCCAAATCAACACGTGATTTTACCTATCTAGACTCAAGCAGTCTTGTAGCTAGTGCAGGTACATCGGTCGCAATGAGTCGCAGGTACATTTCTACTCTCTCTCTCTCTCTCTCTTGACTATGTAACTCTCTTTTTTTTGCTGCAATGTTATTTGACCAATTGAAAAAAAAAACGGTAGACGGGACCATATTTGCCTTTGGGATACGTTGCTGCCACCGTCAAAGGCCATGATATGCTGTAAGTATACACCATCCACAAATTATTGTCTCACCAACACAACTAACAAATGGCCTTCTTTTCGTTAAGCAATTCCTGCACATGATAATGGTGCCTACGCTATCGCATATGAGCCTAAAAATCGTCTTTTGTTTACTGGTGGCAAGCGTGGAGAAATCGGTAGGTGTCATGCTACGATGGATCAGTAACACTATCTGAGTCGACTGCCTTGAAAAAGCTAAATTTTACTGTTTTATCACCTTAGTTGTTTCGGATATTCGACAACGTAGCATCATGCATACATTCTCGGCCCACAACTCACGGATACGTTCGCTTGCTATAGATCAGGCCAATGGCACTCTTGTAACTGGTTCCATTGATGGCGACCTAAAGGTAAATTCCGTCCTATTCCTTTGATACAGGACAAGGAAAAGGAATGTTTGTGGTGCTTATATATATATATATATACTTATTTTTACTCATAGATATGGGATGCGTCTACGTATAAGATGAAACAAGCATATGACATCCAACCAAGGAATCGGTTCCTGGGTACAGGATTTAATCGATTTCCGGTATGTTAAAAGATACCAACCTTCATTTCCACTCATTTTCAACTAACACAGCATAATTTTCAATTATACGTAGTTGAAAGCATATGGTGTCACTCAAATACAGATCAACGATGATAGTGTTTATACATCTGGGCCAGCAGGTTTGGTTTGTTGGTCAGCCAATCTGCACAGTAATGATCAGAATAGTGCAGGAACTCTGCAGTAGAAACAAAAATAAAATTGCAAATATCACAGCTATTAAAGTCTGTAGTATGTACAGTAGCCCTCCTTCTTTTTCCCAGCTTTTCTACTGATGTATATGAATTGTAAACATGTTAGATCGTCACTTATAACTGTATCTTCATCATCACCATCATCATCATATGAGGCAGAGAAAAAAAATTCAAGTACGGAGTCTCCACATATTAAATGAAATTTAACAGGCACCTTCCAGTTCTGATTTGGCAGATAAAATTCCGGAAAAAGGCACTCCTCGCTTCTATTTCCCTTGAGATCCTGTTGATAATGCCTCCCAAGCACGGTTCAACAAAGCGACCTTCAACAAACAACGAGGACTCAATTGTGTCCCAAAAGCGATTCATCGTGAACGATGTCGACGGGCAACATGCCATAAACGTTAATCAGGAACCATATGAAAAATCCAACAATGACGCGATCAATGAGTCTGCTTCACCTGCCAATGCCAAACTACGAGCAAATCTCGTTCAGCAAGGAGAACACGGTAAAGAATCCAAAGACGCGTCGAATTCAAAGGTTTTAGTTGCTCGAAACGCAGCACCTCAAAGTTTTACCAGTTGTCACTCTGCGAAACATGGTAAACAAGAAAGATATGACATGTAGAAAAAAGTGAACTAAAGAGTTGTTTTCTTTCAGGAACAAAAGTGCATTGTTCATCTATAGACATTTTTACACGCTTGCCATACGACGTTGCTTTGCTTATTATCGACCTTCTCCAACAGCATGCAGTTGCCGAATGCACCAGAGTCTGTTCCGCTTGGCGTGCATTGGTCCTGGATTATTCAAAACCATGGTGTCACATTGAAGCTACATCTTGGGGACGAACACGTGCGCTACCCCCTTATAAACTGTTACCCTCTGTCAGTCAGCATGTTCAAGAGATTCGTCTCCTATTCTCCAACCAAGCTTTAAACTGCATCAAACTCCTTCGTACAGAAAACTTTCATAATTTGCGAGTACTGCATATTCAAGAACGTTAGTATACAACAGAGGCAGTTTGCTAAAATTATCCTAAAGACAGCAAATGGATATCTAAAGAGGCTAACGGGATCACTGTCATAATCGCAGGGAAACAGAGTTTATACTCTGAACTCTGTTCTGCTTTACCAAATGTCGCAAATACGTTAACGATGCTGGACCTTTACATTGGAAGGGATGACGACGTTCCATATTTGGCTCCTATACTGTCTATCTGCCGCAATCTGACGCGTCTCAAGTTTGATTCCAGTCATAAGGACAACTCAAAAGCGTTCTCAACAATGTTTTCGCTGTCGCATACTACTCGGCTAACAGAGATCGAACTATTATCGCGTGACTCGGAGAGCATCCAAGCTGAACGTCTAGAAAGCCTCATTCAGCACTCACCTCACATTCAATGGGTACTCCTCTATAACTTTACAACCGATGTCTATGAAACTGTCCGCCTCCACTGTCCTGGTATCAAATATTTAATGGTGAACAACATACAATGTGTCGAATATGGACATTACGACAATCGTTTCTCGCAAGACACATCTCCTGGATTGAAATTGCTCTCAATTAATATAGATAGCACGCAGTCCGGCAGCGCTGAAGAACCATTATTGAAGAAATATCATTCGACATTGCGTGCACTTGACTTACAAGACTGTAGTATCTACTTTGATAATGACAGACTCAGTGGCCCTTTACCGACGTACCTTTTCACAAACCTGGTTACTTTTCATCTCGGAGACGCACAAGAGTCCATATGTCACCAGCTAGGACCTATGCTAAAGAATACGCCAAATTTAGAAAAGCTCCACTTGTCAAGCCCATATTGTATCCCAATCGGCGTGTTCCAAGCTTTAACAAACGTAAAAAAGCTTTCCTCGCTACACATTTGGGAGTGCGAAGACATCGATACGCACGGTTTACTACTCTATTTTAGAGCACTAGTACATGCGAAAGGATTACCCGCACTAGTCGACCTCGTTTTCGAACAATGCGAAGGTGTTCACAATTCGGTGTTGCTGACAGCTGCAGAAATTAAAAGCTTGCAAAGCCTATACCTCGGATTTGATAGGAGTGTCAGTCGCCCGTCAAAGATAACTGTCAAGGAATTTATGCAAAAAGCCGCTCAGTTGCCGCATCTTGAGCGCCTTGGACTTACTAGGTGGGAACATATAACAGTGGAATCTTTACGCCTTTTGGGAGATAGTAAATCCCTCACAAAGGTCGAGATTTTTTCGCCGGAAGGAATCACTGATATTAAAGCATTCGGAGCATTTCCACCTAAAATAAAGATTGGTTATGGGCCTTTCTAGTCATTGTACATACAGTACTCTATATACCGTCTTGAAAAATAAACGAGAAAAGTATATCCATCCTCTCTATTTGTTAATAGATCCAACGCATCAGTTTATATTTCAGATTTTGGCACACCAAAGGATGAGCAAGATGAGCAAGTAAGCACCGTGTAACCACGGGAATTTATGTAACCGAGTAACAGTGTCTTGGGCTGTGCCTCTTCTCGAGTAACTACTTTGCACAGCTTTCCTCCACATCGTGCACACCACGCCATATTTCCTCTCTCTTTCCTCTTTCATCGAAAACTGTGTCCATTTTCACGTATCTGCAACATTACAACTTTCCACCTCAACAAATCAACTAAACTGTCGTGAATTCGTTTCTAGCTTCTATCCAAAACCTTCACAAAGTCATTGATTAAAAGGACTGCCAGCATATTCTCTGATCTACAGTAATTAACAATAAATGTATGATAGCACTTACATTGAAAAGATTGTTTTTCTATGTAAACGGTATTATACTACTGTAGTTGTTTGATACTACCATCGGTCGACATAACATGTTATGAAAGAAGTCTTTCCTTGATGACGTTCGGTGATATATACATGAAAAGTCTTATATTTATATTGAGTGTTTTTTTTTCTCAAATAAAAAACGTTATCATATATGATGTGAAAAAAGGTACAGGCGGGGGGATAATAAAAGCTACAATATACTTGGTTATAAAAGACGAACGTATTACATAATTTAGAGCTTGGCTTCCAAAAACTCGGCTCGGTTCTTTGCCTTTGAGCAAGCCTTGTTGTAATCCTCTTGGGTGATGGGACGAGCCTCGATTGCCTATTGATTACAATGACGGGTTTGTATTAGTATTTCCCTAGCCCATATTTGTTAAATGACAAAACTAATACGTACTGGATTGTAGCCGACATGAGGCTGGGTAGCATTGCCGTTAGCCTTCTTGTAGATACCAACGACGACGGCACCGCCGAGACCGACGTTGTGCTGGAGAGCATATTTGCAGTTGGGGACTTGACGGTCGCCAGCCCATCCACGAAGCTGCCACGTAAGCTCTAAGAAGTTTTGGATGGTATTGACAATGAGCATTTACTGTACAAATAAATCAATTATTTTACTTTTTATTTACCTGTGCACTGAGCCAAGCCAGTGGCACCAAGAGGATGACCCTTGGAGATCAAACCGCCCGAAGGGTTGATAACGTATTTACCGCCATATGTGTTATCACCCGAGTCGATCAAAGTGTGAGCTTTGCCTGGGGCAGTCAAGCCGAGGGCATCGTATGTCAACAACTCATTGGCAGAGAAACAATCGTGCAATTCGACTACCTGGACATCGTTAGGTGTAATTTTAGCAGTAGCAAATGCTTCTTTGGCAGCAGAGACGGTCATGTCGAAACCAGCCCATTGGATAGCATCGGTGGTCAAAAGACGAGGCGAGTCAGTGGCCATTGACTGGGCACAGATCTCAACAGCCTGATCCATCAAATTGTGCTTTTTGACAAAGGCTTCGCTAGCAACAATCACACAACCAGCGCCATCAGAAGTAGGGCAGCACTGAAGCTTGGTCAAGGGACCATAGACCTTGGGAGATTGCTTGATCTGCTCCAACGAGTAAATGTCACGGAACTGCGAGTAAGGGTTCTTGGAGCTGTGGCGATGATTCTTTTCGGCAATCTTGGCCATGTGTTCTTCAGTAGCACCATACTTTTCCATGTATCCAATACCGGCATTGCCAAAGATTTGAGCGGCACCGGGGGCTTTGGGCTCGAAGCCCTTTTCACCAGCCATCACCATGGTTACATGATCTGTATATGAGTTACATGTTAGATACATTTTCTTTAAGAGACAACACAAGTGCTAAATTCACACGTATAGAACTGTTTAAGCTCTTACCCATGGGGTTAGTTCGGTCGCTGTATGTGCTTGTCAAGGAACCTCTGGCCATACGCTCAAAGCCGAGAGCCATGGCACAATCAACCATACCAGATCCAACAGCAATACGGGCTTGTAACAATGCAGTCGAACCAGTCGAGCAGTTGTTATTGACGTTAATTACTGGAATCTATCAAAGGCATAATTTTGTCAGATTTCTTGACTAGTATAAAAACAGTAAAATGTTCATGCCCAGAATTATTTTTTTGCACACACCTGAGTCATGCCAAGTTGGTAGAGAACACGCTGACCAGCAGTGCTGTCTCCATAAACGTAACCGCAAGCGGCATACTGAATCTCGTCATAGGTGATTTTAGCATCGTTCAATGCCTTGACAGAAGCCTCAAGACCAAACTCTATAGACGTTGACAGAGGGATAAGTATACAATGGGAATGCAATATGTCTTGTCATTTCGTTGCACATATAAAATGTCATACCAGGGTAGTCGACTTCACCGCGTGGCTTAATGAACTTGGACATGCCAACGCCAACAACGTACACTTTTGAGAGATTTGCCATGATAAATTTTGTTATTATTAGAATTTAACAGATGAGGGAAGAGCGAAAGTAAAAAAGAAAAAGAGTGTGGGGTAAAATGTGTGATACTTATTATTTTTCTTCTATTTTTTTTCACATGCTATAAACTTGTCTAAAACTGTTGTTTCTATCCTAAATCCCAAACGGTTTTGCGCTATAGTAACGTGAGAAATTATGCTTTATAATCCGTCGTCCACGTTACCGATCTGTCCTTTTTCTATTTATCGTGAATAGAGCAAAGAAACATGAAAAAAACAGGTTCCAAAGGTTGGCTGAAGTTGTTGCATTTTTACCAAGCTTGTATGTCTGAAGACAGTTATTTCAAAGTGGCTCTCTCTATGCATAACATAAAGTCCACAGGAGAGTGCATAACAGCCCCTTTCCTGACGGTAGTAATTGGAGCATTTGTCTTTCGGACGGATAGTTTAGCCGCGCCTGAATTCTCGGCATTATGCCAAATACACACACACTCTCTTGATGCCCAATTTACGAAAGAAAAGGAGGACGCCCCACTAAGCACAGATGGGCATCCTCCCCCTTCCCCATTTTTTTTACCAAAGCGGGATTTGACTTTCAACTTGGCACTCGAGCAGAAAAGAGGATGTATTTTATAATATTTTCCATGATGGCGTTTATTATTTTCAATGATGACGCCTACTCCTTTTCAAAGCCGTTTTGGATCAAGCCAATATCGTGCATCCAGATTTGAAAACACAGGCTGTAATTTTCAGTGTGTCAATCGTGGCAACACCAACCCCATATGCGACCGCATAATCCGTGCAGTTTGGGTTAATTCTGCATGTTGCTGTTGAGAGTGAGAAAAGGGCCGGGGAGAAAAAGACCCTAGAATTTATACAGAACTGGATCCCCGTGTGAGATACCCGAATATAACACAACTACCGGATGTTCATCAAGCGCGCCGTCATCTGCATACATCGTGAGTAGTTAGCAATGAGTAGTAAAACATATAAATACCCACGGAAGCATTATATATCTCGCTCGTATTTTCTTTCTGGTTTATATATTCAATCAGCGCCCAAAGCTTGCACCCCGACTGCCACAAAAAAATCATGCAAACGACGCGTGGTCAAGATCACGTCTTCAGCAACGCCGCAACAGGGACATACTTTCATAAAAAGACGATATTTGATTGTCTGCACATCCAGGCCGCATGGCAAAAAAATAACCTTTTTGCCATTGGTACTCGCAACGTTGTTATCTAGATGCTATTTGACGTTATGCAATAACAACAACTTGGATATGATGTAGCGTTGACGTAAATAGTAAACCAGCACTTACCCTACTCAAGATAAGACGGGAACATGACATGTTGATGGATAGTATCAGTTCATTTACTCAAGCAACATTGGATGCATATCAATGATATCTTTAATACATCCTGAAGGTAAGGAAAGAGACCTGTATTATTGCTCTTTGCCGTTTTGGACCTATAAATATCAAGTACTGAAACTGATGCATGGTTCCATTCTATGCTAAGCAGAGCACTGGGCTTTATGTTTGGTAGAATGGGACGTTGCAAATGTCTTGAAAGGTAAACCATATGTTCCTTAGAGGATGCAAAAGTTAAACGACACTATGATGGCTGCCACGTGCGAACCATCCAGTCACGTACCCTGAGCTTACACGAACATACTGGGAGCTAACTTCCGAGTGTTGAAGAAGCATTAGCTACCGAACAAGGTGATAAAATCGCGTCGAAAGCAATCCTCGCATATTTCTCTCAAATTTTGACAGAGCCACTAGTAAACCGGTAACAGTCTTGCTCCTTCCAATATTATAGATACATCTGCTTGATACACCATCCGTTCTGTGTCTCGATAGAACTAACATAGAGCTGCTATATATACGACCAGTAAAGTCGCGTCCCCTCTTTCCCCACCATTTGAATTAAAACCCCATTCCCTTGTAAAAACATCACATAAGATGGCCAACCCGAAACGAGAGAACCCTTCCCACAGGATTGGATTTGAAATATATAAAATCAACTTGTATTGTTGTTGTGGGATTCAGTCGAGGGAGGGTAAGCGCATTTTCTCTAGTGGGATGGGTTGAAAGTTGTGTACATCGATTCCTCGGAACAAGAGTTTTTCGTGGCAATGAGAAGGAACAAGTTTGTGTATCAGATCAGGACGAATGGATAATTCTGAATATAAGCAAAATTGATGAGCCATGATTGTGTCAAAAAAAACCCCCCCATTTCACGTAACACAAGCACACGCGTTCAATCATACGTTACCTTCAGCAGTAAAGTCAAAAAGAGGCGGGAGTTCTCGTCCTGTCGACAGCTTGGTATCCGGATTCCGCAATTCATCAAAAAACGGATCGACCAGTGCCTCACTTGCTGTTAATCTTGCCTGTGGATCGTATTGAAGCACACGAGAGATGAGATCAATTGCTTCGGGCTGCACTCGCGATCGAAACACTTTTGAGAATGGATGTGGCTTGATCTGAGGGAACTTGTGGTCGACATAGTGTGGATTCATTTTGGCAATCTGTTCTTTTGACGGCGTTCCCAGGATCTTGATGATTTCCACCAGCTGATCAATGCCGCTCTCGCCAGGGAACAACGGTTGTCCCAGTAAGAACTCGCCCATCACACAACCTGCCGACCATATATCAATTGCTGTAGTATAGCTTGTGGCGCCAAAGATCAGTTCCGGTGCTCGATAATAGCGTGAGCAGATATATGATACATTAGGTTCGCTCGCCACCAGAATCTTTGCACTGGATATATATATTTGTTGTAACACACAGGAGTTACAAGAAAAAAAGAAGTTTTGAGTAACAAACATCACTAGCACCCTCTGTGTTATATGCTACGTACTCTATGATAATAGCGAGATGTTTTTTTACCTTCCAAAATCACACAACTTGAGAACACCGGTGACAGGGCTGACCAACAGGTTCTGGGGCTTGATGTCACGATGGCAGATGCCCAGCGTGTGTGAGTAAGCCAATGCTCGGAAGAGCTGGTACATGTATAGCTTGATGAGGAGCATCGGGATGGGCTGCTTGATCTTGGCATAATGGCGCGATACGCGATACACTGTTTCGGGTACGTATTCCATCACTAGGTTCAGGTACACTTCGTCTTTCTTTGAAAATGGTTTTGATAACATGTTGAGGAACCAATCACAGCAAATACAAAGAGAAAGAGTTTCCGCGTGAACATGAATGGCCCTTTTTCTATCTCTTTCTTCCCCTCTTTTGCAACTCCAGTTCCACTTTTTTCTTTTGACGTTGCTATCTTACCTTGGTATCGCCTTGTGTATAGAAATATGCCTTTAAGCCGCACACATTGGGATGGCTCATGACTTTCATGATCTGCAGCTCACGGTTCTAATAACATCGCGTATCATCTCATCAGCCACCACCACCTACACATTAACTCTTTTCTCTTTTTTTGGCTTTCTACGCAATCACGACCACCGAGAACTGACTCACTCTACCTTGAATCTCTTGTCCTGCAAGACTTTCTTGATGGCCGCATCCTCTCCACTGTGTGCAAGCTTGGCTTGGTAAACAACACCAAAAGAGCCGTTGCCGATCACTTTGTGGTTCGTATAATAAAGCTGAATATCTTGGCCAGTTCGGCCATCTTTGGCTGCGACGCGCACAGTCCTTGACGCTTCGTTTGCATCCCCTGCTTTTATAAATATATATATGTATATATGTATAAACGTGTAGGAAGGGGGGAGGGGATTAGTAATGCGCTTTTTGTATCAAGAGAGGTCAAAGTGCAATAATTACAATGACTCCTCCTCCCAATCCGGGTCTCTCCCTTTTTTTTTTTTTTTTTGGCTAATATGCATGCATCCCCTTTCCGGTTCCAAAAAGAGCCACGGGAACAAAGAGAGAAAATAACTCGGGTCCCTCTTGCTCCCTTCCTATGGGGTATATATCAGAATAGAGTTCTTTTACCTGAAAAACGGAATTGACTGAAGCTTGTAGCAGACATTGTGTGTATGAATGTGTATATTAGAACGAAAAGAACGTAATGTAAAGTGATATATATAGAGAGAGTGTGTGTGTGAGAGAGTAGGGAGAAGGGGGGGAAGGAATGTCAAAAAGAGCAAAGTGGACTTGTTGACGAAGAAGCGGTATTGCGTTTCGAATTGTGTTTTGGGTTGTTGTTGTTGTTGTTGGATCGAAATTGTCGGTTTCGTGTAATTCAAACAATCGTTAAACCCCGTTTCGTAGCTGCTTTTGGATCCGAGAAATGGTAAGCACACAACACCGAATGGTGAAAAGGTTAATAAAAAAAAAGAGCGAGAGAAAGGAGGAGGAGGGGGAGTTCGACTTTTCGCCCCGTTATTTGTTTGACTGACTGGAGGGAGGGGGAGAGGCAAGCTAGCAATGGTGTGAGTCAAATACGTGAATGAGTTGCTTTCTTTCTTTTTATCGTTCTTCCTTCTCAATCCGAAATGCACTTTCTGGATCAAAACGAGGCAAAGGGTAAGAGGAAAAGAAGAGAGGGAGAGAGGAGGAAGAAAAGGGAAAAAAGAGCAGCTTGCTTGGACAGGTGCCCAATGGGGGTTCCTCACCCCGCTTCCCTCTCTCTCTCCCGCTCTTGGTGACTGTGGGTGGGTGGGGGTATACATGCTACACATAGCATTTTAGCCTAGAATCCCGCTAAACGTTATTTGAAAATGCCTGACTGACTGCATTCTTGTTTTGGCAACATCAAGGCGTAGCGCCTATTTTGTTTAAATCCACGACAAAAAAAACACGGCGACTCCAGGAATAAAAAGAAGCACCACTTACTTTAGGTTTCTCGTGTTGCTTTGAGCAAAACACGTCCTTGTGTGTATCCTTGTCGTCATGCTTTGGGCGATGTTGCGTCTACTAGCAACAATTAGACAATCAGCGGGAAAAAGCTTATTTGAGCTATAAAAACTTTTGTTTACACACTTTTGAGTCATTGTTTTCCGGCACATCAGGATTGATTGATTTGATCTCGTCGCACGTTTATGAGATCGTGTTGCTGCCAACACCCCCCCCCCGGCACATTGTTGTTATTATTATGTGGCATGTTAAGGGAAAAAAGAAGTCTGCCTGTGTTAAAGTCATGACGCACGGCAAGAACAGAATAATCACGCTGCATCGTAGTATATATCGAGAGGTTGTAGTCTATGCTGTATCGTTTCGTTCCATGGTTACACTGGCGCTTTATTTATATATATATATATATATATATTTTTCGAGATTAAATTGCACCTTGATTAAAATCGAAACAAGAAAGGGATTGTATGGCCTACATGTCCCACCACTTTGAACCCAGGAGTCTTTGCTATCCTTATCATGAATAACGAGCAATGACTCTCATAGTTATAATAGTACTACACGCCACTTATTACTGCTGCTACGATCAACTATGTAATACGAGACTTACGCTTTATGCACATGTATCATAAGTCAAGTATAACGCACAGACAGAATATACATACCGTGTGATCATGATTGACCGCAGGTCCACATGCAGGTTGCATAAGTTTAAGAGTGTCTAACATCATGTCGCTTACGTTCTTGCTGCTGAGAGCCGTCAATCGACACGTCGTTTATGGACTAATAATCTGCAGTAAAGCGTCTTCTTTCTTCCTTAGAGCTTATGCAAGCCAATCTCAACTGATTGTATAATATGTAGTACTGTAGTAAGCGACGGTGAGGAAGTGAATTACTGTAAGTCAGAAAGCTTTTTTTTTTGTGGCTGATCCAAAAGATCATACCAAACAATCATATTCAGGTTTACTGAAATAGAGCCACTTGTGCTAGCATCTTTTACATTAGGTGGGCTCCTATGTAGACTTGTTTGTCTGCAAGACTCAGCATGACGCGTGCTACGCTCCTTTTTTTTTTTTCTGCAGTCGCTGGTTACACTACATCTAGCGTATTTCAAACCCTCAAGGATGAAACCTTGGCAAGCGATAAGGAACATCGTCTAGCAACTATCGTCCAACATGATAAAGCCTAGCAACGTGCATAATTAGACGTGTCGCTTTGGATACCTTGATCAGGAGGAGGAATCCACTTTAGATAATTGATATTGCAACAGTAACCACAGAGTCTACATGGCCCATCGACAAGATATAAAAGTTCAGTCTACTTTAATCAATGCCAAGTATGATTGTATATTTATCCGTTTATAGATACAATATGCTCAATCGTTATCCCTAGACTGACTCATGGACTACTTTGTTGCTTCTATCAGAGATTTAATCATTTCACCCAAAATAGTCTGTTGTTGTGTCCCTTATTGAACGAAAGATTTAAGGAATCGCTTAACATAAAAATCAGTGATGTACAACACATACGGTAAATCGTTACTCGGACTTATCCAAGTGTTGTTTCTAACATGCAGATTATGAAACGGAAAAGATTATCTCTGCTTAACGAATAACTCTTAGGAACACCCAATTATAATAGTGATTTAGAAGCCTTGAGAGCAAAATAAAGATAAAGGAAGAGATGGTTTACAAAACAAGTAGATTTACAATATGCGTGTGTTTTGTATGGATGAAGATGAGTTAATGCAATCGTTTTATTATGTGTGTGCTTGAGAAAAAAAAATCATTATGCGGCTACGCCTGGCAAGCGCAGCAACTGTCCGACAGTCGTGTCCTTGTCAACGCTGTTCTCAGCAAGCGCATCCATGTACCGTGTCAAGCAACTCATTGGATCCTTGTAATCTATAGCATTTATGCGGTGAACGGTGTCAATATTTACACTCATTACCAACACAGCGCATTGGAAAAACCATGCTCCTAATGTTCCCCATACCTAACGTATTCGCTGGATTACAAAAACACTTGTCAGCAAGTGTGTCCGATTCCGGACAATGTTCATACACTGAATGCTTATAACCAATGTCATGGAAATAGTGAAACTCGTCCTTGTGAAGAAACAAGGCAGCGAAAATGGAATGCACTGGTGCATCGCCCCATCGTTCATAAAAAAATCCACCCGACCTGTCTAAAAACTCGAAAAGCTTTTGATACGTGTCTGATTGCCACAAGTCGGTCCGTGCAATTTCAAAATTGGTCCAGAAGTGACATTGATTGTATTGCTCGCCGTTTTCGTCCGTGATAAAACGGTACAACGTGTCTTTGGTTTTGAGGGCGAATTGGTTTTGGCCATAGATTTCGGTGGCTGTCACAAAGCGACGGATGGCTTCCCAGAGCGTAGGGATCGTGCCGCCGTTTTCGACAAAGGAAATCGTGAATCCTGTTAATAAGAGGGGTTAAGAAAAAAAGACGCTGGTATTTTTTATACTTTCAATCCATCCCCCACGCCTTTTTCCCCATCATTGTCTCTCCTTCCTCTTTACCGTATTTCTTGTTGTTTTGTTTCATGTACAAGAATGGATCGTAGTCTAATTCGCAATAGTATCGTACATGTGGTTCGACGCGCCAGTAGTACTCCCATCCAAGCTCTAAAAACAGAGGATGACGCCAAAAAAAGCCACTGTATACAAAGATTGTTATTTTGACTTCTTTGCAAAACAACCTGCAAACTACTCACACCATCATTTGTTGTATATTTCCAGTTTACCTTTGAAAACGACACATGTGGCGATAGCTTTCGCTTGCGCCATAAGGAAGTCCACGCATTTTTTCCCGCTGTTCTGCAGCAAGCGTCTGGTTGATCCACGTCGGATAAGACCACATGGACTCATCCACAAATCCAAAATGCGTCTTTGCGTTTGTTGCTGCAGTAGTCCTTCGTTTGAACTCTTCAGTGAACGGTTCTTCATTCAGAAACAGCCATGGATAATCGAACTTTCTGTTGAATCGTTCCTCTAATAATAAGAGTAATAATAACAGAAGAGTGTCTCTGTTAGCGTGTCTCTTTCTGTGCGACACCCAAATGAAAAGATCGAGAAGAAGCAAAAGCTATGCACTTGCCAACTTCATACATGGACTCGAGCATTTCACCCAATTCCGTGTTCCTGACAAGGACAACAAACCCAGCATTGACGCGCGGCGTACGGTTGCTTGCGGGTGGAAGTTGGACGGTAAGCTGGTTTGGGTTGTGTGGAGGACCCGTGGTCCAAGAACGGCTGTCGTCGAGTGCGGCGAAAAGACCGTCGCCATCATCGCCAATGTGTCCTCTTTGGTGGCGATGCTGCCATGGTAGCACCAGCGTAGGACGGTATACGACATACCAAATGGCTCCAAGTATGTGTATAATAAAGACGATCTGGAGCCAGTAACACGACGATCGACGTGTTATGGATAACATCTTGTGTCAATGAGAAAAGAAAAGGAGAGAAAGAGAGAGAGAGAGAGAAAAGTAGCGACGTGACATCTCAATAATCTATAGTGTGCTGTGGCGCGTATAGCTGGGCTAACATAGTCAGAGAGAAAGCTAATCGTCCGAAAGATGTGGGAAACGAAGAGCAATTTGGTTCTTGACCAAGCCGGACGAGCATTCTCTTTGTTTTATTATTTCTGATATGTCCATTTTGTCTAATAAAATTTTCTTGCCGTTCGCCATTGCTTTATTAAAAAGGAAAATCCAAGGGGGGGTAGAGAGGGGCGTTCCTGCATAACTCTACTTATACGCATTAATCCTTTTTGTGTCCCCGCTCTCTTGTCAAACTTCCTTTCACTTCTTTCTGGTCTGGCTACTACTTTTTGCCCTCTTTTACTTTCTTGCAATCCTTTCATCATCATGCTACGCTCACAGAATGGCGCGCTGCATCTGCGAGATCCGTCGGCAAAGGCAAAAGCAACAATACCACCCCGACGAATACTACGCTGGTCCTTAGCCGGATTGGTGTTATTCGTCCTTGTATCCATACCAGTCTTGTTTCTAGCCATACCCTTCAGCAGCAGCAGCCTTGTAACATCCTCACTGAATTCACGAGACGCCGATTTCATCCTTCGATCACTGTGTAGCAACAAGTACGATCCTACAGCAAACAATGACAATGACGATAACCCATTATTACCACAACCTGAACACGCCATGGTGGATCATTTATTCGATAAAGACGAAATGGACAATGCGTATGGTACGACAACACCATGGATCGACGACGGTGTATGGCATCATTTGCCCGTAAAAGGTGTATTGTACATGTTTGTAAGCAACGAAGATCTGCAAAAGGCACGGAGTGCGATCAAAAGCGTCCAAGACAGGTTCAATCACAAGGCGGGTTACCCATGGGTCATCCTGAGCAATCAATACCTAAACCGGGATTTCCGGAGATATTTGGCCAAGACTACGGATGATGCACCCATCTTTTTTGGAAGAGTCGACCGCGAGACATGGGATTACCCGGAGTGGATTCCAGCGTCACAAGCAGAACTTGCGTTGGGTATGATGGCGAACAACAAAGTCACCCAAGGGGCCAGTCCATCGTTCCACTTTAGTGCACGGTATGTTTAGTACTGGGGGTGGGGGGGAGTGTCTATCCAATAAACATCTTTGGCCAACGTGTTGTTGTCTTGTTTTTGCAGATATCACGCTGGCTTTTACTTTCATCATCCGCTTTTACAGAATGCAGACTACAGTTGGCGTGTCGAACCTGGCTCTCACTACAGTTGTGACATGGTAGATCCTTTCTTACAAATGAAAGAGCGTAACAAGACGCTCGGATTCGTCATGACAAGCCAGGAAGAAAACAATACCATGACAAGCTTGTGGCCCATCACATCACAATTCGCACTTCAATTCCCCAACCATGTTCGGCCCTCACACGAAACGATCCTGCCATGGTTATTTGATGACGTGGGTTCCTCCTCCGGTTTCAATTATTGCCATATTTGGTCCAACTTTCACATTGTCGATTTGTCGTTCTTACGATCAGAGGAGTATCAGACGTATTTTGCATTTCTGGATTATTCGGGTGGATTCTTTTACGAACGGTACGTTGTTATTTATCATTTTGATGTCCCCATTTTAAAAACGAAAAGTTATTTAGTTCGCATTTCTTTTCCCGTTCTCTATTTGGGTTGATAGGTGGAGTGATGGATCCGTAATGACAATGGCAGCAGCCATGTTCTTGAAACGCCAAGAACTTCACTTTTTCCATGAGATCGGCTATGAATATCGATTGGGAAACCACTGTCCTTTAAGTTTGACGGCCTATTATCCACGTTGCTATTGCGATGTAGAACTAAATTCAGGTAAAGAAAGATAAAATGCGTAGGTTGGTGTCTGTGCATATATTTTCATGCATGTGGCATGATGAAATGTGGGTGGAGGAGGAGTGCAAGGGAGAGGTAGGGGGTGGGCACTAAAAGCGACAACAAAAACAACAACGACAACGATGTCCGTTATATAAAAAAAATACGCACACTCACCCTGGCTCTTTGCTTGGCTGGACTAGATTTCAATAAGGACAGCTGCACGATAAGCATGCTGCTGCACATTGACAAAGATAGAATTAGCGAGATGGTGCAATTTACACGTAACCATCTTAGTAGTGCCGGTCGGACGGACTCGCTACTAAGTAGACTCTACGCCTAATTTAGACACATTTGTTATTATCCCATAACTTTGAAGCATTCTTGATGTGTGAAAACCGCGCATATTTACTCTCCCTCTATTCGCTTATACAATCGAAATACCATAGCAACTGTTGATACTATTAATACAATAACCACCGACCTTTCAAGAGAAATCGTCCCTCTTTTCCTTTGATCTCTCGTCAGCATATTCCACACACATATATTCTCTCACTATGTTTCATCCAGCGCGACAATGCATGTCCCGTTGGACAATCCGTCTCTTTTTCTTGACCGTCATTGCGTCTGCAATTACATGGCTATGGATATCGCACAGCGGCAACGACATTGGATGTCTTTCCTCGAGAGAATGCTATGAAGCTCTGATCAATACCGCACGGCGCGTCAGTAGTGGCTCTCATCAAGGAGCAGCAGCATTGCAAGATCAATCACCAGACAAGAACATCATCCCATCCTCTCCAGTACTCGTAGCACAGCAGCAGCAGCAACCGGCCAAAGCAATGGTGGTGCAGCAACAACATCAACAACAACAGCCACCGCGTGTCAAAGGAGCATTTGTTGCCTTGGCACGCAACAGAGAAGTACATGCGATGCGATCATCGATGCGCTATTTGGAAGACCGGTTCAACCACAAATACAAGTACTCATGGATCTTTCTCAACGAGGAACCATTCACAGAGGAATTCAAGAACCTGACGCGTTCAATGACCGATGCCGAAACCTTCTATGGTCAAGTCCCTGTGGAACATTGGAGTTATCCTGACTGGGTCAATCAAACCTATGCCAAAGAATGTCGTCAAGCCATGGTCGACCAGAATATCGTGTATGGTGGCAGTGAAAGTTATCGCCACATGTGTCGTTTCCAGTCTGGATTCTTTGTCCAGCATCCGTTGTTGGATGGACTTGATTATTACTGGTATAGTTGTTGTTGTTGTTCTTGAGGGTAATTTCCCCCTCACCACACTGTGGGGGGGTTACCCAAGAGACTCGATTGACAAAAAAGTGACGGCCACGCTGACACTGTGGTTCTATATTTGATAGGCGGGTTGAACCTGGAGTCAAGTTTTCTTGCGACATTGAATACGATCCTTTCCGTGTAATGCAAGAACGCGATTTGAAGTATGGCAAGTATAGCAAACCTTATTAAAGTGGGGGTTGGGTGTTACACACACACACACACACACAATAGGAGGGAGGGGGAGGAATGCTAATGTGGAAAAACACGTTGATAGGTTTCACAATCGCTTTAGAGGAATTTTATGCAACAGTGCCTACATTGTGGGACACGACTATGGATTTTGTGAAAGACCATCCAGAGTACATATACCCAAAGACAAACCCGGACAGTCTGTTCAAGGTCATCACAAACGACAATGGCTTGTCGTATAACTTGTGCCACTTTTGGAGTAATTTTGAGGTAATGTGTCGTCGTCCAAGTTTGCGTTCATTGCCACCAACAAACAATATGAGACTTAAAATTATTTATTTCACTTGAATTGATAAGATTGGCTCGGTCTCATTCCTGCGCTCAGAAAGATATCAAGCGTATTTCCGTCACCTTGACCAAGCCGGTGGTTTCTTTTATGAACGGTATATAGTTCAATGGGGGGCGGGGTTGGTGGTAGTTTCTTAAACTTACAAGGAGTTGATATAATGTTAGATGGGGTGATGCACCTGTACACTCGATCGCTGTAGCACTTATGCTTGGTGCCAGTGAAGTCCATTGGTTCTACGATATCGGGTACAAGCATGACAATTTCGAACATTGTCCTACAGAACCTGACTGGCTTGTGCACGGCAAATGCTATTGCGATCCCATCACCTCTTTTGGTAAGTCCACAAGGCTGTTGGCTTTTTGGAACAATTGATAGAGACTGAATGCTGCCCCACTCTATTCTCAACATTAGATTATGTGGACGGAAGCTGCATCACGAAATACCTGCAAGTGACCAACACCACAGTGAACGACTACATCACCACGCCACAGGAAGATTAAATTTCTCTTTTATATAACAAGAGAATGAGGATGGCTGTAAATATCACCCCCCCTGGCAACACCCAATAATTACACTACTTTTTTCATAATAGCAATAATAAACATTTAGCCTACCCTAACTTACGTAACAGGACCTGTTGTTTTAGCATTTGTTTTTGATGCTAAGTAGTTAGCTTGACAGGAGAACCGGATTAAGGCTCAGTCAGACTCAGCGTGGTGAAGTGCTTCACTGAGCCACTTTTGCATCTGCCCTTTTCTTTTTCCTCTCTCTCTCTCCTCTCTTTGCCTCCTCTCCCTTTCATCATGGCCTCGCAGCATACCACTCAGTTCTCTTGTAAAAACTACGAATTCTTTTTTTAAATCTCGGGTGCAGGTCCATACTCTTATGTTTCTCGACTCATGTTTTCTTTTTGTGTTCCCCCCCTAAAATTACAGATCGATCGCAAAAAGAACTGACAGTTTGGTCCGGTCATCCCGACTACAAGCCCATCAAGGGTTTCGAAAAGTAAAAGGAACCAACCTCCTTTTTTAATAATTTTGGAGAGTTTCAACTTTTAAAGATGCTGACAAAAACAAAACGTCATTTTGTTTTTTTTAAATTATTAGGCCAGAGACAGCGACTCGAACTTTCCAGTATAGCAAGCATGGCCACGCGTACGCCTATGCGACAAACGAAAGGTAAACCCCACACTGTAGGCGGCTGGGATGAGGGTTTGGTCTCCCTACCTGTTACTTACATTCGCGTTTGCTGTGCACACACTTGTAGTGTAAAGGTGTTTGATGCTTCGACGTTGAATCAGCGATGCGAGATCAAGCACGAGAATATCGTTGACTTGTGGTTTTCGCCACAGGGCAGTTACCTTGCTACCTGGGAACGACCCAGTAAGTTTTAAAACTGCAATCGGTAAAAAAAAAAAAAGTCTGGGGGAACGCACATACTCATACATACTTGAAAAAAACTAGAGAAACTAGAAGATGGCTCTGGTAGCCGCAATTTGGTGATTTGGGACACCAAGACGGGCGAACAGATTGCGTCGTTTTCACAAAAGCAGTTGAACAACTGGAACTTCCAGTGGACGGACGACGAAAAGTTTTGTGCTCGAATGGTGACAGGCGAGATTCAGTTTTGGGAGAGCAAAAACGTTGGCAAATCCGTGTGGGCGCGTTTAAAGTTGGAAGGCGTCGCCAAGTTTTCGTTGAGTCCTGGCAAAGCGCCAGCGGTGGCCGTGTTTATCCCTGAACGGAAAGGTGCGCCTGCGATTGTGCGAATGTACAGTATCCCCAACTTTAACCAGGCTCTTTCCAACAAGACGTTCTACAAGGCCGACAGCGTGCAAATGTTTTGGAATGATTTGGGTACCAACCTGCTTGTGTTGACCCAGACGGATGTGGACAAGACGGGCAAATCGTACTATGGTGAAACGAATCTGTATTACCTGGCTGTCGCTGGCAATTTTGATTGTCGTGTGCCTCTTGACAAGGAAGGGGCTGTGCATGATGTGACGTGGGGTCCTGATTCCAAGGAGTTTGTTGTTGTCTATGGATGTAAGTAATAGTACTATCAACCGTGTGTGCTCTCTCTCTCTCTCTTGGGAAATTATTGAAACGGAAATTCTTCTATAATATCAGCCATGCCCGCCAAGACCACCTTGTTCGATCATCGTGCCAACGCCATCTTTACATTCGGTATCGACCCACGCAACTATGTCCGATACAATCCCCAAGGTGCCATTGTTGCCGTGGCCGGTTTTGGCAACTTGAACGGCACGATTGACTTGTGGGACCGCAAGACGTTGAAAAAGATCAACACGTTCCAAGCACCCAATGCATCGCACTGTGAGTGGTCCCCTTGCGGTCGCTATATCATGACTGCCACACTTACCCCACGTTTGCGTGTCGACAATGGCTTCAAAATGTGGCATCATAGCGGTAGTTTGATCTATGAAGAGAGTGTCGATGAATTGTTCCAAGTCGGTTGGCGTCCTGAACCAGCAAGCCAGTTCCCTGCTATGCGGTCACCCTCGCCTCCTCCAAAACCGATCAAGGTGAATGCTGGTAACAAGACTGCGAGCGCTGCGCCCAAATCTACAGGCGCTTACCGTCCTCCACATTTGCGTGGAACTGTCGCTGGAACTACGACTTTGTCTCAGGTAAAGGGCTTATCACTATCTACACGAACAACTGCTGCTATTGTACATTTCATTGAACGACTCTATTCATTTCTTATTTAAGCGTGAAGCTGCTTTGAGTGGTCGTGGACCTTCAGTGGGTGGACAGCGCAAAGTACCTGGTGCACCAGCTGGTAAAAAAAAAAACTACTATTATTTGATGGTGGGGATTGGGTTGAACTAAATTTTTCTTTTTTCTTTTTTGGACAGGCAAAAACGGCAAGAACAATAATGCGGCCAATGGTGGTGCTCTTACCACTTGTAAGAAGAACATATTTTGTTACACAAAAAAATTAATGACAACAATTGGTTAACCCAGATGCATTTTTGTGGTTGATTTCTTAGCAACGACGGACACCATGACACCCGAAGAAAAACAAAAGAAAATTAGAAACTTGGAAAAGAAGTTGCGACAGATTGCTGAAATTCGGGACAAACAGAGCCGGGGGCAAAAGTTGGATGCTGCTCAGGTAAATCACAGAACAAGAGCTTCGGTGGGGGAGGGGGAGAAGTTTATGTAGTAATAGCTTATAGCGCAAGAAGAAGAAGAAAACTAATGCTTTAATGTTCAACCATTGTATAGCTTCAAAAATTGACGGTAGAAGCTAGTGTGATGCGGGAAATTGCTGCACTTCGAGAACAGCTTTAATCAGGATCGATTGAAATAAAAATACATACTTTTTTTTATTTGTATAAAGACCAACAACAGAGACAAACAAGAGGGGATTTTTGTATTAGAGACTTCATCAAAAGCGATTTCGTCCATTATTATTAGCCATCATGACTATTGTTATACTACTACTACTACTACTACTACTACTACTACTACTACTACTACTACTACAGAAACAAATTATATCAAATTACATAAGAAACCAAGTACAGAAAGGGTGACTGATCACAGGAAAGAACAAAGAGCAGTTGTCCCATGATATTATACGTATATTTACAAAGGATAATTAAGAAAGAGAGAAAGAGCGTTAGGCTGTGTGCGTGCGTGTGTGTGTGTCTCGCTCTCTCTCACCCTGTCCACCCCATTCCCCATCCTCCCCAAATAGGGTTGTTTCTTTTCCCATGAGAAACTAGCATATGGCGCAGTGGGAATGACGTATGACACGAATTCCCAAAAGTAGTATATGATGAGCAAGAGTGCGAGATCCGGTGGAGTAAAGAAAGGGAACGGAGAGAGAGAAAGAGAGAGAGAGAGAGAGAGAAAGAGCAAAACAAAATAGATGAAATGGTAGAATGATAGGTGAGGATGATGTGCTTTGTAAGATTATAGAGGATGTGTGTATTTCGTTACAATAGGAAAGAGAGGTGTGAGTGGGTGGGTGGGTGAGGGGATATATGGGGTATTACCCAACGTCATTTTACATGACACGGTGATTGAGTTGTGCAACGTTGGATGACGAAAACTTGTACCTGCAGGACAAAAAAAAAAGAACGAACAGATTAGATCAAAAGAAGCAGAAAACACACACGAACACACAGACACCGCGCATTTACCAGATCGATTAGCTACCTCCAGTTTTTCATGTCTTGCAACGAGGACGACAACGATCCATCCATGACCATGGCACAATCAGACGGTGTGATGTCCTGCATCTTGACTGGAGAATGACTGTCTGCTTGTTGCTGTTGTTGTTGCTGCTGCTGTTTCTGCTGTTGCTGTTGTTGATACTGGTGCAGACTTTGCCGATACGTATGAGGCGAGTTTGGAAGGGTATCATTGAAACCGGTCAATACGCACGGCAAAGTGGACGACGTTGGCACGCGAGAAAAGAACTGGTTTAATAAACGTATACCGCCATCATCATCTTCCTCCATCTGTTGTTGTTGTTGTTGATGTACTTGTTCAGAAGAAGAAGAAGAAGAAGAGGACTGCATGTCATGCCCAGCCAAAAACTCATGCAAACAAGCAGTAAGATCATTCGGTAGACCTTGGTAATTGTGACTATTCGATCCAAGTACACGTATGATACGGTGAATCATGGATTTGGCATGGTGTCGACATTCTTCGTCCTTGATCAATGCGTTGCGGCAATAGATGGTCGATGCTTGGTAGATGCAGTTGATGAATTGTTGACAGACACACCAACCATAGCGTTCCGAGATCAGTTCGGCCAGCACCACAATGCGGTTCGCAGCGTCGGTGCAGATGGCCCGGGACCGGTCTGTGCGCTGCTGTGGCAAACATGGTTGCGAGGCCGTGGATGGTGACGAGGGGCTCGTGGGTGAGTCGAGTGGCGGTGTGAACGGAGAAACGGCTCGGCTATTCGACAAGAATGTCTTGTGCAGCAAAATCCATTGGGTTTGGTACTGTAGCATCAATAGCAATCCGGATTGTGCTTGTAGCCTTTCTGGTGGCATAGGGTGTCGATCTCGCGTAGAACTGCAACATGCTGCTGCTGCTGCTGCTGTTGTTGTTGTTGTTGTTGTTGTTGTTGCTGATGATCCAGATGAAGTTGAGGTCGTTGCTGCTACTACTACTGGCTTGGGTTGCGGATCCACACGATAATAATCTGGAAGACAATCAAACCATTGCGCCAGCGCAATCTCAATAGCCTGGATCTTCTTTGCCCAACGTAGCGGTAACTCGCCGTTCTGATTCAGTTTTGAATGATGATGATGATGGTTCTGCTGTTCATAGTCACGCACCATGAGACGCGTTCTTTTACCGATCCGTGCCAGTTCCAACACATGGACAAAATAGGTTTCCTTGACGACCATGTTTTCGTTACAGCCCGCCTCGCCGTTTCGATGCAATATCTTGTTGAGCTGAAGAATTTCGTAAAAGTCAATGTCGCAATCGCTGTCCATGATGAGATCCGGACTCCCCGAGTAAATGGAAGTCGTGACATCGTTGTAATAGAGCACCATGTACAGTTTCAGGTACTGTTTGCGTAAAATGCGATCGGTCGGCAACTTGCTGCGCTGGTGCATGCCCATTTCCAACATCATGCGGAATGCCAGACTAATGTAGATCCGAGCTTGCGAATGCCGTTTGCAGACCATACAAAAGAGTGTCAAGTTCATCAAGGTTTCAAGCGTGGCACAATCGGGCGAGTCAAAGAATTCCATGAGCGATTCGCGCGCTCGATCATAGTAATAGTACGCTATATCCAGAGCATTGTTGCATGCATTATTATCGTGACGGATAACGTGCAAAAACACAACGGCCAATCCAGAATCGATGCACACTTGGTTCCTTTTCGGATCGCCTGATCTGTCCCAAAACGAATACCAGTCGCATGTGAACTTGGGGTGCAGGCAGTCCCAAAACACCTGGCCAATGTAGTTGAGCACCGAGGGAGATACATCTTCGGTCAGTCGGCTCAGGTTCATTTCGCAGTGCTTGTAGTTTTCCAGACATGTCTGTGGACGTCGGCCAATCGCAATGTGCCAGTATTCGGTGGATGGGTCCGTCTCCAGTGGATCCACCCAGACTGAGACACTGCTGGATGACGATGATGCTGATGCAAGCTCGTCGCTGTCGTCGTCCTGGTTGTTGTTGTTGTTGTTGTTGTTGTTATCGTCATCGACGTCTCGATCATCGCCTTCGCTGCTGCTGGATGATGACGATGATGCCGATCGTGGCTCTTTGGCGAGCACTCGTATCTTACGCACCGCTTCAACGAGCTGTTCAATGGATGTAATGTTCGTCTCGAGTCGCAATGAGTTGCCGGGTTGAAACGAAAGGCTCCACTGCATCGACCGATCCTCGACCTTTTGTGTTCCTCCTCCTCCTCCTCCTCCTCCTCCCGCTGCTGCTGCTGCCGCTCTTACTGCTGATACTGGATCGTTCGATGATGTCGTCGTTGTTGCTCCTCCTTCTGTTGTCCACGGCAGTGACTGAAAGAGCTGGGGCGCGATTTGAGAAGCCGATGTTGTTGTAGTTACTACTTGATGCTGAATACGCGATTGTTGTGGTTGTGTTGATGGTATGGGTTGCTGTAACTGTAGCTGTTGCTGTTGTAGCTGTTGTTGCTGCTGCTGCTGCTGCTGCTGCTGTTGGGTTTTCTTTTTCTCCAGCGCCATTTCGTTACGTCGTTTCTCAAATTGGCGGGAAGCCTTATCGAGTTCTTTGGTCATGCGCGAAAGCACAGGCGTGGTCTTTTCGATCCATGACTCGATCTCGTAAAAAGTGATTTGAAGCGACTCTAGATCATCCTGCTGCGACTTTTTCTCTTTTGCAGCCGAGCGTGCTTCTGCTGTTGCGGCGGCGGCGGCGGATGATGATGATGCTGCTGCTGACGATGCTGTTTTGTGGTGTTTTGTTCGTTTGTTGTTGGAAGAGCGAAGACTTGGCGCATCGTTATCTTTGGTCGATGTCTTCATTACCCCCACACTGCTGTATACAATAGTTTTTTAGTGATTGTGCTAAGCTATTTGATGGTGAAAAAGAAAAGGTTGGTCGTCTGTGTGCTGTGGCGTTGATGAAAAAGCGTTTTTTAAATAAAAAAAAAAAAAAGTGAGAGAGAGGGGAGGGTTGTATAAATAGAAGAGACAGGCAACCTGCGCAGCTTATAAGTTGCTTTTGCTTGGGTTTGTGCAGGAAAGTAAGAGAAAAAACAAAAGAGAGAGAGATTGCTTTGTAGTTCAAGAATAAAATAAAAAACAAAGAAAGAGAAAGAGAGAAAGAGAAGAAGACTGGCCGGACACAGACAACACTCAACGGCGGTTGTAGGAACTGATTTCTAATTTTGGCCTTTTAGGTTACATACAGCAGCACCAAAAGGCGATGACGAACCCAGGACTCTGCCACCATTGGTCCATCATTAAGCCAGCCCGCCTTTTTTCTTGGTCTTTTTTCCTCTATCTCTTCCTAAGTACTCAATGCCACAGCATCACAGAGCCCCTGCTGTCATCGAAAGAGCCCCTCCATTTGGATATTGTGGTGAGCCAGGGCAAGGGCAGGCGGGTGGGGTGTGGAGGCTTTTATAGACACACACACACACACACCCATTTTCGGTTCATGGTTTTGCCTGGAAAAGAGAGCCAGTCGGAGAATGAAGGCTGGGAACTAAAAACAGTTGGGTCAGTTCCCAGGCACAATGAGGGAATTGGATCGATCTGAAAAAAGCCAAAACCTAATACTTTTGGCTACACCAGATGCAAGAGTAACGTGGCATGAACGCCATCTCTCTCTCTCTCTCTCTCTCTCTGAGTGTGATGCTACACTCTACGAGTGAGTGAGTGGGTGAGTCAAAGAGAGGCTTCTCTCGTGCGCTTGGGTTCTACCTCCTCTTCCTTATCTCTTCGCTTCTTCCGATTCGCCTCTCTTCTTCCTTGTCTAATATCGAAACCGACTGCATGTATGTACATTACATCAGGTGCGCCTGCCTGCCTGCTCCCAAAGGGGGGGGGTAAAAGATGCGCCGTGAGATGTGTGCGTCGTGTGTTCTTCTTCTGCTTCGAATACTGGGAGTGAATTTTTACTAATCCTTATCCATTCATCTGCCAAGTGTCTTCCTGTTGTTGTTGTTGTTGTTATCGTATATCTGTTATACCCACTCTTACAACCCCACCAATGACTCCGCCACGCTTATAACGAAGCAAAAGTATATCGCGCCGATCGGCCCCCATTTTAACGTTTCAGATTATACATCATTAATGCTGCAATCGTCCAAACTGTTGAACACAACACAGAAAAGTGTGTGCTGAAAGAAAAATGTTCCACAAAAGCCAATAGCGTTTAGTAAAATGACGCATCGACCCTTGTCTTCTTTTAGTAAGTCGCAGCGTTGACGAATTTCGCCAACCGCAATTTTCGCCAAGTGGCGAAAATACCTTTTTCGCCTTGGCGAAAAATAGTGCTTCATAATTTTCGCCTGGCGAAAATTGGCGAAAATTGCGGGTAATTCCCCGCTACATTTTTTAACAATGGAGGGCTTTTATAGTCTTGCAATTGGAATGAGTACAATTTAAATCCTTTAACGAGGAATGAGTATTGTGTACCACCCCAATAAGCAGTTAAATAAATTTCATTATTAAAAGTAAAATGGTTTACTCCTTCGATAATAAAGAAAAGAAAAGATTACAAGATAAATATATTAAACGGTCAATGCGAGGTTCTTATTAGTCAGGTCTTCATTGACTCGTGCCAAAAGCATGCTGCAGATTGATGTTTATGACAAATCTGCTGCGCAGCTGTTGCGCAGCTGCTAAGTAGTTTCTGTGCGACAGCGAAATAAGTTTTCACCCCCTCCCTTCAACAGATTTAGATTTTCATATGTATTTCCAAATAAAGTAATTGATTTTTCGCCTCTAATTTTCGCCTTTTTTCGCCTTTTTTTCGCCTATTTTCGCCCTGGCGAAAAACCCCAAAGATTTTTCGCCTGGCGAAAAATCAACGCTGGTAAGTCGTATGGAGGCTTTTCTGCGCGCGCCCCCATTATTTTCCGCATATAGCAGTTTCTTCCGTCTATCCACCCTCCTCCCACATACTCTTACTGTAGCCTGGAAAACCTTATCTCACATAGTGAAATGGGTGTGTGCGTGCGCGCGAGAAGAAAAAAAAAGCGCCCAGACCTCCTCTTACGTTGTTTGTTTACCACTCACCTATAATCCACCCTCTGCTTGTACTGGAAGCAGGACACGTCGTTTACTAATAGATTTTATTTGAAAGATGTCTAGCAGAGTTTTGCTGTTGTGCTTCAAGACGAATAGAGTGATAACGCCAGAGGGGGGGGTGGTAAACCATCAGACACTCCATCACTCAACTGGCGACCTGTTCGTTATGCATTACCGAAATGCATCGCCCTCCACGTAACTTGACACTTTTTACAACGATATATCAATCATGTATTTTATATATACTACCAAAAGCAAGAACGCCTATTTCAAACTGCTAACATTGCAGAAAGTGTTTGTTTTTTACTTATCATACGTATTTGTCAAGCTCCATTAGCAAACCACTGCTTAAAATCGTAGCTAGTATACAATTATGGTCTCGTTAACACGTCAAAATGCGGTGTTGTTGCCAAATGTATTTTGATAATACACATGTAAATGTAGGACCACAAGATCCTAACCCCACACCAGTAGTCATTTCCAGAAATTTTGGCTTCCTCTGTTGATTAAGCCAGCTTTCTGTTGTGTGATGATCACATAATTAGTAGATGCGTACTAAATAAATACGACGGGTGTGGAACACTGCGTCTTGAGGGAAATTGCTTGAGAGCTGTGTCAGATCAAGTAGAGTCAAATGAAAAAGTGAGAGTACAGTGGAAAGCAGCGTTGTGTAGTTTCCTCAGTAATGCGTTGGCTGCTAGCTGGGTACGTACTGGGAAACTTTGGTTTAAAATATCAGAATAGCGTGTCGACTAGTAAAGTGTTGTAACCATGAATTGTTTGTGGGAACATTTTCTTCCAGATATTACACAGGTCGTATGTAGCCCTCATTTCTGTTGGAGAATGGATACTTGACGGTTTCAAAAAAAAACCGTTTTTTTATAAAAGTACCTGAAATGTTAAAAGTGTGGCTGTCACACATGTTTCTACTTTGCTACTCTTTTTCCTTTTCTTGAGTCGCGATCCGAGCCTTGACGGATGGTCTTTGTATATCTGATTGTATCCACGCACGAGTTCCTTTTTCGCTCAAATCTTTTCGCTGGGGCGGTGTGAGCTCACGTTCAATTTGCGCACTCCAATTCGCTTTTATAATTAATGTAGTTCATAACGGCACATAATGAATAAATGACATTGTATCGGCTTCACTCACGGCGAATAAGTCAGTATTATGGTACGAAAACAAGGCGGCTGGTAGATTGAGGTATAAGCGCATGGTGCCTCTCCCTTACTAAGTTTCTTCATCATTATATCATGAAAGACATAATCTCAGGCCTCTTGCTTAGACTATTAGTGGTACCGTTTGCCGGTGAATGAAAATGATACAGTACTACGCCACATCTCAAGAATATGCCGACAAGAGAGGAAGATCATTTCTAGTAATGAAGGTGAGAAAAAAAAAAGAGCGCTTTCGCGTACGCGGGCTCTTTTTTTCTCAAGATCTGTCGCAGCATAAGGCTTCCATAAATAAGCTCAAGTACAATGATGAAAGTGTCAGCAACTGAATGCGGGAGGAATACAACGTCGTATTTATAGCATGGTAGCAATTTGAAAAATGTATCGACAGCGCTCGCCTGTCAAAATCTAAAAAGATGAAAGATGTTATGATTGTTGCAATTATGCAAGGCGGTCTTTCCGAGTTGTTCCTGTACTGACCGTCTACAACGATAATTACTATAGACTACAAGACCATCAAGTGAATGTATCTTTTTTTTGCGTTATAGGGAAATGAACATCTCTGTAGACCTGTATTTGAAGGTGTAACGAATCGTTGAACATACTCATCATTGAGCAAATGAGTGAGTGAGTGAATGAGTAAAGGGGTTCTCAGTACAGTTCTCGCTGGCATTTTATAAGAAAAAATATTCGCCATTTGTATATTCATTTTAAATATGTATGCGCAAGTACTTGTCACTGTTCTCTATGCGTCCAATTTTTGCAAGTAACTGTTTAGAAGCCATTGCCCCAATCTTTTTGTCTCTTGAATGCCATGAGGTAGCAATGTAATATATGTATAGGGGCATGTTTTCGTTTGGATCCTCTCCTTGTTAAAATGCGAATTACGATTGGCTGACAAATATTGATGGGGTATTGATAGAAAGTATATGGGATGTGGAAATACTCTGACAGTCTCTTTTTTAAAATGCAATCTGTGGCAATTATAATAAATGGACAATGTGTTATTTATACTGTGTTCGCTTTGTACTTGCACTCTTTGTCCTCAATGTTGAAATTGGTCTTTCAGGTTAAATTTATTGAGGAACGCTGTGGCTAGCATATCTGGTCAGCTCAGCAAATCCTCTTATCACACTACATGATCGAGTTGCGGTGCACGGATCAATTCAACAAAACAAGTTATAATATAACGTTTTGTACTACGTGCTAGACCTAGCAAAAGTTTTAATCCGAAAAGGCACATTTATGGACAGATACACACATGCAGCCTTTAATCGCATGTAGAACCGAAATAAAGGCTTCGATAATAGGATGATAGTAAAAAAGAACAAAAGACTGATGTGTTGGAATATGTGACGTAGAAACAAGATTGACTGCTTCCATTGAAGCCAGTAGATATGTATATCGCGCGGATATAGGTATGGATGGTCAAGTAAGGTTTCCAATTCAATATATGATTAAAGCTTTGATGACATCACAGAGTGATACCCAATTTCGAGAGATATGTCATAATTACTCGAGAGGTGGCGTCAATCACAAAAGTTTCTCCATTGATCACTGAGGTCCTACATATACCAAAAAACGAAGTTTTACCTTTTGTTGATATCTCGATAGTGTGATAGAGATCCCGTAACCGTTTTTTGTATGGTACTGGTCCTTGCCACGACGTATAATATTTAATATCGATTTGTAATTTGACACAATTGCGTGCCTAACTGGATTTCCTTTCATCGTGCTATAAAATACCTGACTAATAGTCAGTACCATCGTGCTATAAATGCTTATTCGATCTCATCATATAATGTAGTAAGCGTTCATCTCTTTCGTTGGACACCGGCGCTATATTTATTTATTTCTGCTCTTGTAGTGCATAGGTGCCTTAAAATGTCATTTGATCTACTTTGTATGATCGTATGCGTCGCTGCTGCAAGCTATCTATTATTGTGTTTGCCTGCCACGTTATAATATTGGGTCCACAACTTTTACATGGCATTTTGTTGTTAAAGTAGACCGTATTTGTCACTGTCAAATGCACCACGCTAACAAGTGCCTTCACATGAAGTGGAAGTACATATAAGCCATATTGTGTGACAAACGTCTCGTAGGATTCGTATATTTAAATTATTTCTATATGCATTGCCGTAAATCCAAAGAACCCCGAGGAACGCAATCCTCTATATATGATATCATATTTGTCCTTCCAAAACACTAAATGAACAAAAGGAGACGATGAAGATATGTTATCGTTTCACAAGAGCTATGTTGCAAAAAAGAAAAAGTGAACGGGCAGCACAGCTTTTCTTTTTTTTTCGTGGAATGGGGTGTAAATTTCTTCAGTGTGGTCGACTTTATTATAACATTAACGTGTCCAAGCCAGTTTCTGGATAGTGCTATCGATGCTCTTATCAAAGCGATCACGTTGCTGCTTTGAGATATTGACACAACAGTAAGAACCTTAATCCTCCGTTCCCTCTTTTTTTTTCTCTTCACACTGCCGGGAGTGCACTATCCCTGGAAAAATACAGAGCTGAGACGTGTTCTTCTGATCTATAAGCGCTCGGCAGGGGATATTAGCGCAGAGTATGCGTGACAAAGAAAAGTGACAGCAACAACAAATTGTAGTGGGGGCGGTGGAGAGCCTTTCTATCCGCAATTTAGCAACTTGCTGAGCTGGCAGATATTGTGTATGATACCACACAATGACAAACTAAGCCTGGTTTTTCTGTGTTCCTTGTGTTTCATATGCAGTGTTCATTGAAGTTCAAAAAAAAAAAAATAGCAAACAGCGTTAAATAACTACACACCATCTTATAGTTGCTGATGGTAAGTTGTGTAGTTCCAGTAATTAGCAGTAACAAGACCACCGAGCTGTTGCTAGTCTCATCTCGTCAACTTTTTGGAGACGACGACAAGATATATGATCAGCAACGTGCTTTACTTATTATCACCGTTGCTACCTGTATCATTATATTATTAGTAGTATCACCCTGTTTGGAGTTATATAATGCTCTCGCTCTACTACTACTTATCTTCGGCAATACCTAAAATGGTTTACCCATAGACACGATACACATAGAAGCTTTACTGTTATTAGACTTGTACTTACGGGATTGGGATCCGTTAGAGAAAAAAAAAACTTGCTGCCGAAAAAAACTATCCTCAAACTCATATGCAGTGGACATGTGGTTTTTTTTCTACGTCGTACTGACGTAAATGGTTGTGATATTTCTCCTTTCGGACACAGCTGGCGCGAGAAACAAGAGGATTATTCAGGTGAAACGTGGAGGTGATCGAGAATTGACGCTTTGACGGGGCGGACGAGAGAGAGCAGGCAGCTGTTTAGATAGCGCTGCAATGAGTTAATACGAGTCTCTGTGAATGACTTTGGATCATTTGATTTCAGGGGGTACGATGAGTGGGCATCTCTCAGGGGTGCATGTATGAGCTCACCGAACTTCTTGTCACCATCAGCAGTATAGTGCCCATCGAGCAATCGATCTATATCCGTCCATGTATCCATCCATAAAAGCGACTATTATGCTCCTGTATTGTGCGACAGATAGTCCCCGAAGCTTTGTTACATAACCTGCAAGCAGGCATGTCAATCATCATCGAGAGATAATATTTGATGGGTAACCAACCCACTTGTATCATTTGACTGAATCCACTGATTGATTGGTTAACTTCTTGACCTTGATGTTTTTGCCTTATCGAACAGCTTTCGTGGCGATGCTTCTTCTTCTGTTGAGATGCTTGGTTACCGTTGGGTGTGTGTAACCACGTCGCTTTTATTTATTTGTTCGAAAGTTGTCGCTCCTTCCCCGCGGTCCCCAGTTCTGCCCCCCACCCCCCGCATCGTATTTAAGCGCAAGGTTAAAAACAAAGTGGAGAAAAATCCTACTCCGCCCAATCACTACGTTACGTACCATCAAGTAATGCAAATCCTATTACTTTTTTGGTTGTTTTGCCATTGACGAATAACAAAGAATCTACGTTGAAGCGACTAAGGAGGGGTCTCCCGTTCATTTTCGTTTAAGAAAGTGTTTGCGGACCCGCCCCCCTTACTCCTTCCCTTTCTTCCTCCTTTCTGGTTTGGGTCGACAAACTAGGTAATATTATTTTGTAGCACTCATTTAGTTTTTTTTATGCTGTTATTGTAATGAGCAACAATAAGATAATGGCTGGTTTCTGTCAGTCGTTGGATTACTACTACACATCTAGCTTACCAGCAGTAATTTCTGCTTTCTATTACATACCTGTTTGGCTTTGTATCAGAATTGTATCTCTCTCTCTCTCTCTGTGTGTGTAACCCAACGGATGGATTATGTTGCATAATGGAGTCGATTCACGCGCTCGCAGCTTTGGGCAAAAAGAGATGATCGAACATCGAAAGGTTGGGCGGTGTTTTGAAAACGGAAGATATTCCGGCTTGCAACACACAGGCATCTCTCGGCATTGGCATACTACTACGAGTACTATCATACACACTAAATAGGGCCGATGGTCGGGTTTTCTTTTTGCGGGTGCTACATTGCTACATTGCCACTCTTTCCTTTACGTATTACCGCCGTCAGAAAGCTATCCCCTTCACGGAGACCATGTATCACCATGGTGTTAAATTGTTTATTATACCCTGGCATGTGGCCAGTCCATCTGTTTCTTCTTGGTTGCCATGGGCACACCAGGGCATCCGACCTACACTGTTGCTGGGGAGGTAGTTGGGGGGGGTGAGACTGAAGTTGTCCGAGAGGAAATAGTGTGATGGGGGTTGGGGGGGTGTAAAAGGGGAAGGTATTGTGGGTAAGGGGCGTGAAGGGGGTGCTTTGTTTTTGGGGGGTGGAGAGAGATGGCAAGGTCGTATATAAAGAGTCTGCTCGCTAAACGGCTTTTGCAGGGTACCAATTCACTTCTTCTTTTATCCTTTCCTGAACACACACACACACACACACACACACAGACACATGGTACAGAACGTCTTTAACATAAGATCCGGCTGGAAGAAATCGTCATCCCCTGCATCCTCGACACTCGATGAAGAACGCGAGCCGCTGATGTCCGTAGACTGTGCACACACCTGTACGTAGTAACAAACCTTTGTCTTTTTGTTTTATCTTTTGCTTTATCGCAGCTTTCGGTTTGGATGCACAAGACGATCCTCATTTTGAGAGAGGAAAGGAAAGCATGTTGTTGTTGTTATTATTAATGTGTTTTGTCACAAACATTTCAAAACGCGTGCGATGACCCGCTCTTCTACCAAATACCATATATATACTTCGGGTTCTTTCGCTTCTCCCCTCTCTCTCCCTCTCTCTCTGTACGAGTGTGTGTGTGTGTGGGTGTGAGAAATACCTCTTTTTCTATCTTCAGACCCGACTTGGTTTTTTCTGTAACTTTCTCTTTCTCCTCTATCTTCTTTACCCTTTTCCTTGTCTGCCTGTGTCTTTGTTTTGCGATCATGCAACGTGCCACTTCTCCCTTGAGTGTTACTTCCCATCTACCTCTTGCGTCGAGTGCATCCACCGTAGCCGACATGAATGGAAAGGACGATAGCTCACTGATAAGCGACGGCATCGATGATGACGATGAAATTCTTCCTTTGACAGCATTTGTAGAGCCGGCCAACATACCTCCTCCACGACATGTGATGCATGGATCGAACACCTTTGTTGAGCGATTTCGACGCTTTAGAGCTAATGTAAGGCAACGACTCTAGTAGTAGTAGTAGTAGTAGTAGTAGCTTTGCTAGCATATACACGTTAAAAGTTCAAGTGCGTGGGGGTGGCAAGTGTGTGATAGAGAGGTTAAATCACCTGACGCGGGATGACTTTTTATTTTGCAGAACCGAGAATTTTTAGCAGAATTCATTGGTACACTGATTCTTATCTGCCTCATCGATGGTGTCTCGGCCGAGCAGACCTTGAATATCGGGACCAAATCGTGGCTCACTTCTTCATTTGGAACAGGTAAAGTAACTGTTGCTGTACCCACACATACTTCTTCCTTCTTGCTCCTGCCCGCAAGAGTGCATATAAACAAACAAGCATACTAAGCAACGATTGCCCTCTTTTTTTTTCTGGATATTGTACAGGCCTGGCAGTATTATTTGCAATCAGCGTATCTGGGCATATATCTGTAAGTGCTATTCATTGGCGTACGGGACCTTGGAAGAAGATACAGATGATTGGTGTAACCTATATAGCTTCGATGATGAATACTGAACACCACACGATGCATGTTTCTTAGGGTGCTCACATTAATCCTGCCGTCACGTTAACCTTCTGGGCCTACTCTGGGTTCCCAACACGCAAGGTACCGATCTTCATGGCCGCACAGTTCCTGGGCGCCTTCTCGGGCGCAGCGATTCTGTATTCGATGATTTATCCAGCCCTGAACGAATTCGACGGAGGCAACCGACAAATCCTCGGTGACCATGGCACTGCTGGTGTTTTTGCGACGTACCCGCCACTGTACGTGGGCACCGGAGCCGCTATTGCATCGGAAATCATTGGCACCGCCTTCTTGCTTTTGCTTATCATGGTGACAGGTCATCCAAACAACATGCCGTTCCATCAGTCGCAAGGCGTCATGATTGCTACGGGTCTGATGGTAATCTCCATGAGTCTGGGCTACACATCTGGCTTCTCGCTCAATCCTGCACGTGACATTGGACCCCGTGTGTTTACTGCCATGGCTGGCTGGGGATCAGGCGTCTTTTCGATCCGCGAGTACTATGCCTTTATTCCCATGTTTGCTCCTTATGTAGGCGGCCTGCTCGGTGGATTGGTCTACACCATCTTTATCGATCATGCCTAAACATATATACCACGATACTCCCTCTCCTTCTACACACACACACACCTCATGTACATAATATAAAGCTTTTTATATATATATATATTCTAAAATAGCAAGTAAAAGAAAATAGGGGAGTGTAGTTTTTACTTTTTGCTGCTGAACCAACCACCAACACCACCGCCACTGCTGCCACCAGATGGCTTGTTGTCATCACCACCACGTTCTGTAATATCCAGCTTACACAGACGACGCTTCTTGCCGGCAGCCTTGTCCACCACAACATGCACACGTCCACCATCCATCACATCGTCATTCTCATTGGCCTTGGCAATCAAATTCACAACTTTACGTTCGACCTCATACTTGATGCTACGTGCGCCATAGCGAATATTATATCCATCCGCCAACACATCCACTACATCGGCGTCCCAGGTCATTGTAATCCCATGTCTTGTCCGTGCCTTGTCAGCCCAACGTCTCAGCTCACGAGACGTGATATCACGCAGTTCTTCTTCGCTGAACGGTAAAAAGAACAGCACTTCATTGATACGGCCGAGGAACTCGTCACGTCGGAAATGGTTGTACAGGATCGGGTAGATGGTCATTTCGATAAACTTGCGTGACAATGAAATCTGTCCGTCGTCTACCAATGCTTGATTCTCATCATCCACATTGCCATCACCCTGGTCTTGTTCTTGAGCACTGTACTTGGTGTTACTCTTGGTAGTTGCTGAGCTACCCACTATACCCGTGGTGGCAGTGCCAACGGTCTGTGCGTCGCTCGAAACCGATGCTTCTAGACGCAATAACTCGGCTTCATCGGCAATCTCATGTTGTGCAAGATTGGATGTCATGATGAAAATGGCATCACGACACTCAACCGTAGTGCCTTTTCCGTCAGTGATACGGCCTTCATCAAACAATTGAAGCATGATCGTCAGCACGTCGGGATGTGCCTAGAGTTGATTTTTATGCCAAACGCATTAGTTTCTCTTTCTCTCTCTTTCAACGACATAATGCATATTCATGCATCGGGGTTTTTATACCTTTTCGACTTCATCAAGCAAAACAACTGCATTTGGACCTATAAACATCACGTTTTTAGAAAGACCTCTTTTTGATATATAACAGCAAAGCAAGCAAGCAATGTAGACAACTTACACTCTTTGAGTTTCTCAGTCAATTGACCGCCTTCGTCATAGCCCTGGCGTTCATTAGCTCTTCAATGTCATTTCATATCCCCACACCCAACAAGAACTTATGAAGGGGCCATATCAAAAAAAAAGTGGTACTTACGACATAGCCAGGCGGTGAGCCGATGAATCGGGATACATCATGCTATATTTGCAAAGTCAGCTTATTGAAATAATAATCCAAAGATTTTGTTTGCGAATGAAAAAGGAAAAAGTGGGAGATGAATCCTTGCCTTGTGTTGAAACTCACTCATATCGATCCGGATAAATCCCTTATCCAAGCTCTTGCCATGCAAGTATCCAGCAAGTGCTTTTCATCGTTCGTTTTAGTGAAACTATAGGATAAAAAGGTTTCTGGTTTTTCTTTTACCTTTAGCCAACTCCGTTTTGCCTACACCGGAGGATCCACAAAACAGAAACACCAGAGGATGATCTTCATCATGCCACCCATTCTGTTTCCGACGAATAGCGCTAGCCAATGCATGAATCGGACCCAACTGGCCAACAATACGGGCCTTGAGCGCATCTTCCAACGGATGTTTCTTGCGATACTCCTTTTCCCGCTGCAATTGAGCCTTCCGCTGTCGCTCATCATGTGCAGCCTTGTCTGCAGAGAACGACGTTTCCTTGGCACGAAGCAAGCCTTCAATCTCTATATTCTGCTCGCCCGTGAACCGTTCGACATAATACAGGTATTCGCGTGGTGTCAAGCCGTGCGAGTTGCGCACAAGTGGATCGGCCATGTGATCTAAAAGTATCTTGACCACGTTCGGATTGCAGATGATGACGGCATAATGCAGAGCTGTGTATTCGCGATAATCGCGGTAGGGTAATAGATCTTCGGAGAAATCGATCTGGCGCACGTTGGCAGCTTGGTGCGACCGTGGATAATAATGATCTTCTAAGTTGGGATCTTTACACAGGACAATCGATTTCTTGGTTAGTTTTTGAAGGCTTCTATATAGTAGTTACATGCATGCCATATTCTTTTACCTGCCCCTTTTTCCAACAAGAACTTCACCATAGCTTCATTATCTTGGATCACAGCAACTTGCTAAAACGTTTCATCAGTATACAGGATGATTATACTTGACAAGTACAAAAGGAGAGGTAGTCATGCTCATTACCAAAGGTGTCCATCCGTAATGGTGGTACACGTTGGGACTGAAGTTCGGATCTTCTGCCAACCTACAGTATCATCATAGCAATGAGCGGGTTGAGGTCATAATCCATTGTTTCTGGATACTTATACAATTTAAAAAACATACTTTCTTAAACGTTTAAAGTCATTCTGTACAATTGCCTGACAGATCTGATCGCCCGTTACTATGTGGAAAAAACAATTCGTTATCATTCTTTTAGCGTCGCCCCAAAAAAATAGCCAACATGTGTGTGTGGCGTTCGTGTTATCTATACTTTACCAGTCGGTTCAAGGGCATGGATCGTTGTATTGAAATGAGACGTAAGCAAAGCACCTGCTGCAATGGTGGCAGCAGCGCCCACCACGACGGGTAGCCAAGGAAGACGACGACTACTACTACTACTACCTTGTCGCATAATAACTTGACCGCTAATTGTGGTGGTACTGTTCTTATTATCACGTCGCAAGGTTGACATGGCCGACGACGACGGTGAACGCACACCATTGAGTCGCGTTGACGGGGTGCCGCAGTGCGATTGGAATCGTAAGGAGCAAAGCGATGTTTTCCCTCGTATTGAACGTAGCATGGCGTGTTTTGGAGGGAGGAAGAAAAGAGAAAAGAAAAGACGCGAATGGAAACTCACCTCTCCGGTTTGAAATTCAAGCACCACCCGAGCATAGCATACAGCATACATGCTGAGATTGCTTCTCCGCTGTTCGTAGCTATTAGTAGAGAGATAAAGCTTCATCATCCAATAACCCCCACCCCCTTGCTGCATGTATGAAGTTGTGTAGAGGGAACGAAAGGAAGCTCGACACGGTATGTGTACTGCCTGTGTACCACACAAAAGAAAGTATAGCGACTTTATTCTTTCCTCAAATGCAAAAGGGTATTATTATTAGATACTTTTTGTGTTTATTGCTATTATCAGTAGAAGCGGAAGAAGAAGCTTGATGTGGTGTATAGTAAGCTATAATGGGGCAGATCCATTGAATGTTGTGCTGTATGTGTGTGTGTGTGTGTGTGTGTGTGTGTGTGTGTGGCGTTGTCTTGAGATTGCTGACTTCAAAAGGCTAAAGATAAAAAGAGATTATTATTACAGAAACCATTTTAGTTCTAGTAAAGCATGAAAAGCATCATGATTCCGGAACTACATATGGCGACGGCTAGTGTGATTCCCCACGGTAGCAGGCTGTCACGGAGGGATCCGGCTCCGGCACCCAAGTAACACGTTGGGCAAAACATGGCTGTATATGTATAAAAAAGCGACATTAGTTTCCGTCTTCTATGCAAGTGTGTATGTATATGCAGTACATCTGCATAAAGAGAGACTTTTGCCAAACCACAACAACGTAGAGTAAAACATACAGTCTGTTCGACCCACGTATGCTTCTGTACTATACATGGCCACGACCAATCGAGAATCCGGCATTAACCAACCAGGACTTGGGAACGCCTTTGGCCCGCGCTGATCATAGACCCAAACGGTATAGTAACCCATCATTAACGGCGATCCAGGCGGGATATCCGCCAAGTTCCAATTAGCCGATGTGGCAGAACCGGCCACGATTGCAGCAGTGTACGTTTGTTTTTGAGGGTTCGCTAACGCCACTGTCAAGTTTTCAGGTTGCACTTTGAGCATATCGGGATCGACGGACCATTCAAACGTGATATTCGACACACCAATCTTGAATAAAGGCGGGAACGTTTGATTGGGTACTGGTTTTTTCCATGTCAGATACGCAGGTGGAATATCGTTGTTGTATGAGGCGTACGTTGGTTTGCCTGCGAACGGATTGTTGTTGTTTACCACCGAGCTGTTGCCAGCAGGTAAGCCGCTGTTGTTATTAATATTATGGCTGTTATCCGCTCCTCCTCCTCCTCCGGGACTTGCTGCTGTCGCCGCTGCTGTATTAATAATAATGTGTCCGGTACTAGGAGTGGCTCCCGATATTGTGGCGGTGGGTGCCGTTTCCTGCTGTTGAGGTGCTGTTGTCATGAATACACAGAAACATCAGCAAAAGTTGATTAGCTGTTATGCCTATTCTCGTAATAAAAAAAAGCTGGACTTTTTGTAGTTTTAATATTACCAGAGCCTACTGGTTCTGCTGCTCAAAATACAGGGATTCGAATGGAGGTGTTAGAGAAACTTTCATCGTCTTCTTTTTCTTTCTATTCAATGCCTTTTCTAACCTCGTATGTCAAGAGCATGGCAATTGAAAGTGAGTATAGTGAGTAAAATATACGCGCATCCGAGAATTCGCATTTTAACAAAAGAGAGAAAGGAAAAAAAAAAAGAAAAAGAGGGTGATATCGAAAGGGTTTGTTCTCCTTCCCTCGCCTTTCTTCTCTAATGCGAGTGATATGTTTGTGTATGTTTGTTGGATGAGTCTGCGTGTATTCTTAAGGGGGATGAGAGAAAGAGGGAACTCAGGGACTCTTGATGGTTTTCCAAAAAAGAGGGGGGGGAGTGGAGTGGTTCTCCAAGTGTTATAACTCAAGGACTACTGCGGCCATTGGGTTACGGATGACTGTTTGTTTTCTAAACGCTTCCTTCGCTTGGAAGCCAATGCCCCTCCCTTATACTTTTTATCATCTATCAATCATAAACATCATTCTTGTTAAGCGATAAATGTTCCTGATTCATTTGCCCAGGGGGGTTATCTTTTTTGCAAACTGTAGATCTGCCTTCAGCGGCACTCTAGCAACACCCACACAGCATCAGCTCTCCTTAACCCATATGGCTTTTTTTATGTTCCTCCTCCACCCCTTGACTAATCTCCTGTTGCTTTCAATTGTAAAAAAGAAGCTGGAGTACATAATGACAGGATAGTAGTAGCAGTAGTATTATACAAGCAGATTTACGATTATAAAGAAGGCATTGGCGTCAGAAGGAGAAGTAAGAGCATGTCACTTTTTTATAGGAAGTATCTTAGCACACAAAATGGTCCAGTGCGTAGACGGTTTATGTTTCCAATATGTGCATGATACTTGCAGTGGCATATCACTGCTTGTGTATCACTAAGTGATACATACTCGTATATTTATATCACTTGCGCTACAAAGAAGTGGACCAATTAAACTTTTGGTGTCGTCAAATTACTGTTGGTTTTCTTTTCGTCAAAGGTGATACTGCTCTAGGGACAGCGAGCATATTGAGCTGTTGACGGGATCATCATTGGCGACGAGAAAAAGAATGTCATCGCAACCAGAAAATGTATAAGAGTATCGAATGACTTTTTAGATTGAACATTAAAATGGTTTCAGATTTTTTTTTTGAAAGTAATACTACTCATACACAGTAGCAGTGGTACAGTAGTACGTGTTAGGAAGTAAAGGTAGGGCGACCTTGACCGAACTCACTAGCCTTCCAGCAAACCGACGACATTGAAAAGCTGTTTTTGGCCCAAACGAGGAATTGGCTAATAATGAATAATGATATAGTCCAAATAAAAAGTTCCCAGAATTATTGCTGAGGTAAATTATGCGGTAAAGATGCATGCGGGATGTTTTGGGATGGGGATGAAGCAGAAGCAGGATTTGCAGATGGAAATGTATGTACAGGGAATTGTTGCTGTAGTGTTTGGTTAAAGGGTTGGGGTGACGACAGTGTAGGTGCCGCTTCCTGAACCGATGTATGTCCTGGTGCAAGTTGATGCATTGATGTGTCGTTGCGTTTTTGGATATTTGGCTGCTGTTGTTGTGGTTGGGATTGTTGCTGACCAGAGCTATAACTCATTGGAAGATGATGATGTCCAAATGGATAACCGTTGTTATCGTGCTGAGGGTGCTGTCCCACGAATCGGGTAGGTTGCGTTTGCATTGGCGTTGGAGGCGTTTGAGGAGCTTGCTGTTGTGGTGCAGACAGAGGATGTGGGATGAACGATGGTAGTTGTCCTGATGGTGGTGGTGGTGGTGGTGGTGGTTGCGATCCTATCAAGTGAGGAGGAACAGGTGGTTGTTGCTGCCTCTGCTGTTGTCGTTGTTGATTGATTTGCGATCCAAGTCGTAGAAGATGCTGCAGGAACTGTCGTTGCTGCTCAGATTGCTGTTGTTGCTCAAGTTGCTGCTGTTGCTGAAGACGCTGGTGCTGATGCTGGAGATGTTGTTGTTGTTGCTGTTGATCAACCACGACATTCTGGGACGCTGCATGATGATGATGGTTCTGAGGCGCACCAAAAGGTGGTTGAGGGTTTTGCAACGTCACAGGAGAAGGATACAGTCCGGGTGGTGGTGGGCGTGTCATGGTTGCATGCGAAGGGTGAGGAGGCTGTTGGTCTCGCGGGTTTAATAGTACCAGGTCATGCAACTTTTGGAAGTATCTCTCGCTAGGTAGGTTGTTGTTGTTGTTGTCATTTAGATTTAGCGTTGGCGGGCGTTCTTGACGAGATGACTGATGCTGTTTTGCTGAAACAGGAGCGAATGGTGGTGGAGGACGACGAGAAGGCGATGTGGTGTTTGCTAGAAGCCGGTTTACCAAATCAAAGCTATATTGTTCTGTAAGAGACGGTTGGTGCTGCAGATGCGTTGCAGGAGGAGGACAATATTCTAATGGACTTATCGACGGCTTAGTTCCTGCGCTGGCTATTGGCACTATTTGGTTGGCAGATTTGGATGGTGAAGTTTTCTTTTTCTTGTAAGGGCGACGTGGTTGTTTAGGTGGCTGAGCCACGGGACCCAAAGCGACAGGCAATGGTGTTGGTTGAAAATCGAAAGGTTCTTCATCCTCAGATTCATCATCGACTTCTGGCTGTTCTGGAAGCTCATAATCAAGATCGTTATCGGATAAAGCAGCATTGATTTCGCCAGAAACACTAGCTGTTTCCTCGCCCGTTTGCTTTCCATTGTTCTTTGCTCGTCGTTGTTGTTCACGTTGATCGGAATAGTTCTAAAACAATCAAGACATTAAAACAGGCACGCACAAAGGGAGAAGAAAAAAACCAAAGGTGAACACTTACGACTTTTGTCCGTCTCCGAGCACCTCTACCAAGCTCTTCTTTCTTTTGCTGTTCCATCTCAGCCTGCGAATTCTTCAACTCCAAGAACTTGACCCAGAAATTATCATCTTCAGCATGGTCCTTATCCCCGTCGTCAGTCAACTCCTCGGTCGCAGCATCATTGTTGAGATTCCAGACTTTAGCAAATGAAAATGACATAGGCTTGGATCCAGACTGCTCCGAGCTGCTGCTGCTTGGACCCGCTTCTGGTGCGGCTGGTGAGGAAGACTCTTCGGTGGTAGATGCATTACTTGAACGATCGAGCAACTTGTCAATATCAGCCGAGTCATACGTGATCTTTTTTGAGTCGTCTTCTTCAAAAAGCGCCTGAGCGCCAAATTTGATGATACCCGCGACGTCGTCCTCATCGAGATCGTCGTCGTCCATTTTGTCCACAACTAGGTGGTCCAACACCATCTTTTTCTTAGCGATCTGTGCAATCTTTTCTTCAGCTGAAAGTCGTGTCATGAAGCGCAACACCAAAACGGGACGCGTCTGTCCAATGCGGTATGCACGGCAAATAGCCTGCAAATCGGCGTGTGGATTATAATCAAAGTCCCACATGATAACCGTATCAGCCGTCGCCAAGTTGATGCCCACACCGCCTGCTCGAGTCGTCAGCAAAAATACAAACAAGTCCGAATTGTGTGCGTTATACTGATCAATGTAGCTGACACGGTCACTGGTTGGTGTGTCTCCGTCAATGCGCACATATTTGTACCGTTCAAAAGTCAGATAATCCTCCAGGATATCCAGTGTTCCCTTGAACGACGAGAATATAAGCACGCGATGACCGCCGTTTTTAAGTTTTGGGAGCATCTGATGTAGCACTTTGAGCTTTGCACACGCGTCTATTAGCACTTGCTGGGTTGTTGCTGCATCCTTCTGCTTGATTTCAATATCCGATAGGAGATAGGGGTGCTCGAGGGTCTTGCGCAATTGCATGAGCGTGTTGGCAAGTGATGTTTTCTTTGCCTTGCCCGGTCCATCTTGATTGCTGCTCGTGAGATGTGCGTAGGACTTGAGGTTCTTCTCAAGGATATCCTTGTAGACTTCCCTTTGTAATGAGCTCATCGAGACTGGAACAATGATTTCGGATTTGGGTGGCAGTGTCTTGAGAACCACTTCTTTGGTGCGTCGTAAGAAGTATGGTTTTAATCGGTCGTGTAGATCTTGAACCGTGCTATGCGAGAGGTTTTTGTACTTTCCCTCCAGTTCTCTGATATCTGCAAACTCCTTGCGATCGACAAAGTGCATGATGTTTATTAACTCGCGGATATTATTTTGCAATGGAGTGCCTATCCCAAACATAACGCATTGTGTATTTTCAATATATAGATTAACTCACGAAATAAAGCTTTATATATTCATACCTGTCATCAGAACTGCTTGATCGAATCGAACCGACTTTAGCAGCTTTTGAAAAAGTTGACTGCTGTTGTTCTTCAAACGCTGGGCTTCATCAACAATAAGCACCGGCCAAAAGTTTAGTTTGGGTAGCACAGCAGCATCGGCGGCAGCGGACTCGTAGGTCATGATGATTGCATGACACCGTGGCTTCTTGCTACCTCCACGGAAGATCTCATACTTCAATGCATGCTTTCGACTGATATTTGAGCCATAGTATGGCGCAACTACCATATCCGGTGCCCATTTCGCAAATTCACGTAACCAATTGGTTGTTGTGCTTAGAGGTACGACGATAACAAACGGATAGATCTCATACTTCTTTAGCAAAAAGTTTAGAAAGGTCACTATCTGAATTGTTTTGCCTAGTGAGTAAAAATGGAAGAAAGTCAGTATAGATCTCGATTACCTATAATTATCGAGATCATCTTTGTTACATACCTAAGCCCATATCATCAGCAAGGACGCATCCCTTGCTGCGCTCCCACTGAAAGATAAGCCAGCTAGAATAAGACAAGACCGAATCAACTTAAACAATTATTCTATGACATCCTGAATATTACGTTCTTGAGTCTCTATACTTTTCTTCGACACTTACTTCAAACCATCCAACTGGTGAGGCATCAAATTCCCTCCTCGTACAAACTCTGGTTGCTGTTTCAACTCGTGTCTTCCATAATGCTCTTTGGTGGCCAGATCCCTTACCAGTGTCACTTGACTTTGCATTCTTGATGGAGGTTCCACCTTGCAGGCTCTCTTGTAGTTTTCATATGCAGTTCGGAAGGATGAATACAACTCGGAATGCTCATCTGGTGGAGTATCCCAATAAACTATAAAAACCAGTTAGAATCACTATCGTAACTAGTTTGGACATCCACTACCAGTGACGTATATAGATTATTCAGCTTACTGTGATCATAGTTAAGGCCGTAGTATTTGACGAAAACTTTCTTGACCCTTCGTATATTTTCAGTAGTTAATGTATTTCCTGCAGAGTCTTCTGCAGTGAGAATGCGTTCGATTTTTAGGTAGTCTTTGGGCACAAGTTCATCCATGGTCATGTGACGTTCATGGCGTTGACGGTTGCAAAAATTGACGTATTTCTGTTTGACGACTTGCTTGATCCAGCTTTCTGGAACCCAGTCTAGATGCGTGTATCCTGTAGCTTGCCATTTGATCAGAAATTCACGTGGCGTTGAGGAAGGGATATTATCAAAGTCGATCTCATTTTTTTTGTCGGTTGGCTCGCCTGCAATACGCCAGGTAAGAATCAAGTCGACAGGCTTGTTGTACTTTCTGCAATCACTGCAGTGCCAGTCTTCTTCAAACGATCGTCGCGCTAGGTCAGAGCTGCTACTAGATCCCATATCGCCGTTATTTGTGAGGCATTGATCGTGATATGCTTGATGACAGCGTTGGCATCTGTATAATGGATGGATGTCTTGTTGCTGGTCATTGCTGATGGCCGAATCATCAGGCACTTCCGACTCCTTCTCTGCTTGCACAAACGACACGCCGCGAATGCTGTGGGATTGGTGGCACCCATCGCATGGTGGAAACTCCTCTGTCTTTCCGCACATTGCTGCCAAACACATGTCACATTGAAATTGCATCACCACCTTTCCATTGTCGTCTCGGCACTTGCGTAGCTGCTTCTTTGCGGTTTTCTGTGCGATGCAACCTTCATGCTGAGCCGCCGAGCATGTCACGCAAAGGAGCAATCGACCGTGCAGCATCTCTTCTTCCTCGGACGTCATATTAAACATATCGTCGGAACGTCGTCGAGCCTTACTGGATCGTCGCTTTTTAGTTTTCCTGATGCGTGGACCGTTCGGATGGCCCTGTTGACCACATTTTGAGCAGTTCTTCCAGTGTCTGTGAATGACTTCAGCATCCAGATAATACAGAACTTCGCGGAACGGTCCTGTTCTCGTCCTCAGCTCGCCCATCGCAGCCGTTTCTACACGTCGCCGTTTAGATGGTCCCTGATTTTCTTTGTTATAGACGCCTTGACTATCACTACTGATCTCGCCATCAATGTCGTGGTCATCGGCGTCATCGTAAACGTCATCTGCCACCTTTACACTGTATTTTCGCTGCCTTCGACGAATGACTGGTTCATCGTTGCTGTTGTCCCCGGAGTCGCTCGTTACAGCATTTGACGACATTGTGCCAAGTAATTTATGTTCACAAGCTTCAAATTTGTCATATGCAAGACTTCGTACAACTGCCACTGTTTCCTATTAAGCAAAATAAAAAGATATAAAAAACAAGAGAACAGTTTCTTAGCATTGTGTTGGGCATGAAGTGGAGGATCACACTATGCACAGCAAAAGGTTTTGTTACATACCTGTGTCTCTGCGCCATCTTGCCATCTAACTTGATACATCACCCTGCCTGTGGTGCTTTGAACGCGATTAACAACGGAATCTACTTGGCCATGTCTCCTTTTCTTCGCTGCAAGACTCTCCTGAAACGCTTTTAAATCGCTCGTGGAACTGTCTGGAGCGACTATGGGAGCGCGAGGTATTTCTACCGCTGTTGAATGTTGCAGACGCGAAAATAACACCTAAGAGAAAAAACGAAACAAAAAAGATATGTTGTGTTTAGTCCCACTGCCTCCTCAGTTTCCCTTCTGTGATAGCTCAACAGTGGTATTACCTCCTTTGAAAGTGTACGATATTTCGGTTGTGCTGTCATGTAAGTTTGCACAAAAAAAAAAACGCAGCAAAGAGACGGGAGTGTTGCAACGCTCTTTCTAGCATAAATATGGTCACGTCAGTCACAGCGGGCTTAAAGCTTACAAGGAAAACCGGCCAATGATACACGATCTAAGAGCATCTGCAACGAAACTATAGTCTTAGCTACGATTTCCAACTAGGATGAACAAAAGGAAACTTGTTTTGCTTTCTTTTGCTTTTATTGTTTATAGTTGACAAGATCTGAACAGGTATGCAAGCATTCAATGCTTTCATCGTGGCTGACAAAGAGACAACCGAATTTACTATGTAAAGATGGTAAATTAACAAAAGAAACCTGATTCCTGTTTCTTTTTTCATGCACTTTGGCTTCTTTGTCAGTATTACGGCGGTTCCCTTACAGAAAAATCAACAATGTACTGGACAATAAAAAATTTATAACCAGAGTGGTGTGATTCGAAGGCGATTGGCCGTTGTGTGGGTAAGCTTTATATGTTCGCTGGTGCAGTAACGGACTATGTGTTAAGGGGAGGAGTATCTTTTATGTGGTCGCTGTTTCCCTTTTTTCTTCTAATACTGTAATCATCTGAAAACGACGAAGCAAATATCGAGGATGAAAATGATGACTGCAACTGCCATTAAATGCCATTACACTCGAAACATTGTGTACACACTAATACATTTGGCGAACTATGCGAGTGTATCTGATTTTTTCCCTTGGCTATTACCTTGACGGCAAGATGAACTCCAACATTGAACAGACACCATATGGATGGTCCGACATATTCAAGGAGCTAAAGAGTCCAAGTAGGTGCGCAAGCAGCTTCGGTGCGAAGAAATCTCATTGTCACGATCAGCCAACCATTGAAGAGAGTGACTCGACTTTATCAGAAGATGAATGCGAATACGATGTATTGGACGAGGACGAAAATATGAATAACCTTGTCTTGGAGAGTACTATGTGTTCCCTCTTACGACTTAAAATGGCCGGAAGATAATAAAACTCATTTGCGTGCATGTGTCTGTTATGATTTTCTTTTCCTTATAACTTCACTATTAAATTGCTGACAACTTGGTATATTGTGTTTATAACAGGCGATTCCGAAAGAAATGAGCGGCGCAAAAAACAGAATGACAAGGAATTAGAGAATCATGCAAAGAAGCACTCATCGCCTTTGACTGCTCACGGATTTACTATTTCGACTCAAAGCATGGAACGTTCAAGTGACCAAGAAAAGCAAGATAACACACACGACAACCGTGATGAAGAATTAAAGTCATTGGTGACAATCATGCCGGAGCTGGAAAGGATGCGCGAAAATATCACGAACAAATTCATCACAATAGGGAAGCTGCCCATCGGAGAGGCCAACAAGTGTTTATCGGTTCATGCATATGCCAAACATCGTATTATTCTAAAAAAAAAAAAAAAAAGACCAAAGATCGCTGCAGCAAAGGAAGTGGCTTTTACGATATGCAAGAAAAGCACTAAGCACCAAGTTACCAACATTCGCCTCTGGGTAAACGAGTACCTTAGCACTGGAAAAATCTCACCAAGTCGCCAAGGCATCCATGTGAAAAACGCGTCACTTTTAGCCGATGAGAACGTAAAAGAAGCAGTATGTAACTGGCTTCGTAAACAAGATCCAGCAAGGCGCGACGTTTTCAGCTTGCAGGCAGCTCTGGAGAAAGTACTTTTGCCTCATTTACTGAATATATCGAACGCGACAATTTCTATACGGACTATTACACGATACCTTCAACGTTGGGGATTCCAATATCGCGATAATACCAAAGATGTGAGTTTTCTCTTGCTAAAGTATTACAGCAGGCCCCATAAGAGAATAACATTCGCATCGATTCTACAAAGATTTACTTCGATGGACATGAACGTGACGATGTTCTCGAGTATCGTAAGGAATGGTCGAAACGGATGATAGATTATCGAAGAAAAATGCGGAAATATGCTGCTGAAGATGGCGATGAAGAGGAACGTGAATTTTTTGGAGATGAGGACGAGCACGTACTGGTCACACATGATGAATGCATATTTTATGCCAATGACGATCAGAAAAAGGTGTGGCTGGAAGAAGGTGAATCCAAACTCAAGAAAAAAGGGCAAGGTGCTTCATTGATGGTTAGCGATTTTCTGTGCGCATGCCATGGTCGACTGTTGCTTCCTAACGGTGTCGGAGAAGGCACGGGATGCCCTATACAAGCAATCATCTTCCCTAGAGCGAAAAGTGATGGATTTTAGAGAAGTCCTGATATGATCAAACAACTGCGAGAGAAGGCTATTCCCATCTTTGAATTATTACACCTGGCTGCAAATGTGACATAGTTTGTTGTTATATATTTCTGTTTTGTCTTTTAATGAGTATCTTTGCACCCCGAACACTAGATCTAGTGTCTCCTTTGAGTGTTTATAGCAGTTGCAGTTTTCGCTATTTTTCCTAATACTTCAATATATACAGCACAGGGCCATGATATACCTACATGTCATTGGATATGTTTCAGAACTCAATGTTTGCTGTGTTATATATCTTTCAATTTGGTCGGTAACAGGTGGTAATTTTAGACACTAGAACTGGTGTCTACTTCAGGACTGTTTATGTTCTTCAAAACAAAAGAAAAGAGGTAAAAAAAAGATGATAGAGTAGTAGAATGGCACAATTGAAATTATTCTATCTAAGTTTTATCATTGATGCTATGTTTGTTTTGCTTGTAGGTGAATTCTATAGCAACTACCTTTGCATAGACCCTTGTTGGAGTGCAGCTAGTACAACGTGCTTTTTGCTTTACAGATTTGGCAAATCCACTGTCGAGAATACTTTCTGCCAGTTGCCTTGACAACGCGTTGGCTAATGGATAACAGATCGTGTATCTCATTTCTTGGTCCTGCTGCTGTTGTTCTTCGGTTTCCGTTGCCATTTCTACATTTGCTTGATACTCGAATATCATCTCAGTACAGAGCTGCTCCCGAAATGGGAAGTGAGTAATGCTTCTTTTCTCTAGTGGACCAAATGGCCGCCATACAAGAAAAGCATTTGCTTCTGCTAAAGCCAAAAAGAAAGAAAAGGCTCGGATCTCCCAGGAACGTGTGCGAATAAATCATGGTATGATGTCATGTTATCGTGGTTGTTGTTGTTGATATCTACTGCACCTTTTCCAGCCTTGTAGTCTTCAAAACAGTTGGACGACGGAAGGTTGCAAGATAGCTTTGGTTTCCTCGCTTCATGATATGAGTCACCTCTGAGCCCAATGTTGTTGTGCTGCAAGTGCTGATGACGCACTGCGGTATTCTGTCACGAAGAATACAGATGGCCATAGGAACTTCATCGATGGTTCCAACCAGCAAAATTGAAGATTGATACGCGTGACGATTCTTTTTTATAATTTATTGCAGCTACATGGTTTTTATTCAGTAGCAATGAAATGATAAAGAAAGCGATAACGGCGATACATACTTCTTCGGATGCCACAATATGAATTGGTGGAAAGACGTCCGAGAAAACAGAAAAGGGGGTGAGAAGGGACTATATAGGAGGGAATGTAGGTATGACAAGATAGCTAAAAAAAGCTGGGTTCGGAAAACTGCAAAATCTGTCACGCAAGTATTGAAGCAAACGGTTTCATCCTCCTCAGGCCAAACTCTGGCAACGCGATTCGTCTACACTACGACGTTCGCGGTAGAACTTCACCCACTTTCCATGCCACGACTTCTTTATCAGTTTGCCTTCTTGGGTTACCAGTTTATACGTGCCGTTGCGGAAAATTTGATGGATTTATAAGATCTTGTCCTTGTACTTCGGTGCGAGTTTGCCTTTGCGCTGATGATTAACGAGAAGAACTTGGTCATCAATCTTAAAGGTCTCTTTTCCCTTAATTTCTTCATCGGCTAGCATCATTTCTTCCAGATGGGTTTCCATATCGATCATCTGCAAACCTCGCTGGCGGAAAATACGCTCATACAAGCCCATATGCGAACCGACTTGCTGCAATCTATCTTGCTGGTAGAACTTGGGAGGCACGTCAGACAGCGCCTCAAATGACGTGATCCTTAGTTTCGTGTACCTTTGTGCAGTAGGCGTATAATGCTGTGGCTAAATGATCGTCCCACGTGGTTGGATACATGTACGTCAGTTTTCGAATAGCCTTGACTAGCGTGCCGTTTAAATGCTCCACTTTTCCGTTGGTTTCCGGGTGATAGGGAGTCGTGAACAAATGTTTTGTGTTGACCATGTCGATAAAACCCTTGACAATCCCGTTAGCTAAGTGGGAACCATTGTCGTTAAGGACGCGGACTGGACCAAAAGTGCAGAAAACCTGCTCGTAGAGGAAGCGCGCATACGTTATAGCATCCGCTGAAGAGACAGCTTGAGCCATAGGCCACCTGGTTTGATTTTCGATTGCCACTAGGTTATAGCGATTGCCGCGTAGACTGATAGGATCAATTAGTCCCACATAGTCTAGGCTTACCACGTCAAACAGTCCCCTTGCGATGACCTTCCCATTACTCGGCACCTTCTGTGGCAATAAAGCGAAGACTTGACAAAGATGACATGAAGCCACGTATTCCTTGTTATCCCAATAAGCGGAGGGCCACCAATACTCCTCGAATAAGCGTCTCCAGGAAGCTTTTTGCTTAAAGTGGGCGTGACCGTCGTGCACCTCACGAAGCACCTCTTTACGTATTGCCTGAGGTGGTACCTTGACTGCACGATTGCCCATCAAACGGAGCAGTATCCCATCCTTCCATCGATACGCCCTTGCCTTCACCTTGAGTAAGTTGGAGACGTCCTGGTGTCCGTTCACCACGTTATGATATATCTCACTTAAAGATGGTTCATAGTCTGGATCTGGCGTCTTTTCAACAAACCATACTGGGTACAGAGCGTCGGGTAATGGTTCGCTATCCGTTTCCTCTCCCACTGGTGGATATCTGGAGAGTACGTCTGCGACAGTGTTTTGCTTGCCCGGAAAATGATGGACACGAAACTGAAACTCTTGAACGGCCATCACCCATCGCTACAATCACTGGTTGGGCTTGGTTTTGTAGAAAAGATAGCGAACAGCAGTATTATCAGTGAACATGTCGAATTGCTTATCCAGTAAATACTTTCGTAACTTTGACAAAGCAAAAACAACAGCTCCCAGCTCCTTTTCGACTGTAGCCCGATTGACCTCGGCACCTTTTAACTTTCGCGAGATAAAACAAATCAGTCGCTCCATGCCTTCTTCCTTGACCCATTGCGTGAGGGTGGCACCATACCCAATGTCGGAGGCATCTGTATACAACTTGTAAGGCTCATTTGGGTCTGGGTACTTCAGATTGACGGCGTTGACAATGACCTTCTTGATCCCTTGGAAAGCTTTTTCCTGCCTCTTGTCCCAGTCCCATGGCACTGATTTTTTTAGCAGATCATTGAGGGGAGCGGCAATCTCACTGACCCCAGCTACATGCCTGTGGTAGAAACCCGCCAAATTGGCAAAGGCCCGTACATCTTTGCGTGACTTCAAAGGAGGAAACTCTTCTATCGCTCGCACCTTGGCTGGGTGTGGCTCGATTCCTCGTGCTGAGACTACATATCCTAAGACAGTGACCTAGTCGCAGACAAACTCGCTTTTCTTTGGGCGCAGCTTCATGTTGACCTCCCTACATCGCGCGGATACTTGCCGGAGGTGGTTTGAATGCTGCTGAAAGTCCTGGCTGAAGACCGTGACGTCATCAATATACGTGGAGACGAACTTGTTCAAAAAGCTTTCCATGGCCAAAAAAATAGCCTTAGAAAATACCGCAGGGCCATTTATGCTACCAAAGGGCATAACTTTATACCAATACGTTCCCCAAGGGGTCGTCACTGATAGCTTAGGAATCGTTTCCTCATCAGCTGCGATTTGGTTAAGACCCTTCAGCAGATTCATGGTCGAAAAGAGCTTCGCACCAGCAAAAGACTCCAAGACATCCTAAATAGCAGGTAATGGACAAGGATCTTGAATGGTCAACGCGTTTAAATCTTGAAAGTGCATGCACAAACGCTTCTCGCCATTTTTCTTGTTAACGTACAAAGCTGGAAATGCCCATCCACCTACTGTACGCTGGTCCTTCCCTGGGACATGGACGGCTGGCATCAGCAAACCATTGGAAACCATGGTGTCAATTTCTTGTCGCAATATGGTTAGGTCGGAATGCGACATAAATCGGGTTGGATGCTTGAGAATAGGCTTGGCGTCCCCAGTATCCAGATGAAACTTGAGATGGTTGGTTTGAGAGGTCTTACTACTTGATACCGAACACATCTTTGAAGTCCCACAGCAATGCTTCCAAAGCGTCTTCTTGATTCTTAGGCAGGGCACTCTTATGTATCGTTTCGAGCAGCTCTGACCCAAATTTCCTATTGGCTAGACGAGCCCTCTGCCTTGTCGGAGGGTTCTTGAACGAGAAATGAATCGTTCTTTTGATTGCTTTGCTCACCACTTTCATCTACAGTCCTAGGGTCTCCATCGTAGGGCACTACAAGATATGAACTGTATTCTTCTTCCGATGTATCCGTCATTGAGCTTGGGTCATATTCCTCACTACCCTCCGTCGTCTTAGTTGGCTTGGATGTAGTTGGCAGATAAGCAGTAATGGCCTTTGACGACAAATCATACGTCTCTTCCAATAGCTGTTCTCCTTAGTCAGTAGTCATAGTCTAGCCATATTCGACCCAACTAGTGTTGATTTGCAGTCGATGCATGGCTCTACGGCCAATCAAAAAGTCATAGCTCTCTTGGTCATAGACATCGGCACTGACGACGATCGCTTTATACTTGACAGCAATCTTGACGTCGCGGGCTGTGCCCACCGTTTTTGCACTGCTTCTGTCTGCCATATTATGCTTAATCACTTTGGTTCCTTGAAAGGAGTATCCTAGGGCCTCAGCTAAACGTTTGCTCATGAGGCATTGAGTACTGCCACCGTCTAGCACTGCTATGGTATAGAGTCGATCAGAGATCACAGCTAGAGTATGGGGAGCACCTGGACCAGTGTGGTCTTGCTCACCTGATAGCACTGCCATGGCATCGCCTCTTTGCCTAGCCTTGCTTGGCCTCTTCTGTTTCCAGGTGGCTGCCTGTTTTATGTCTCGACGAAACCCTACAACCGAGTTGTTCAAATGATTCAAAGATACCGAGAAAACTTTGGCGTCTAAGATGTCAGCAGCCTTGATGTTTTCGCCTGGTAAGACAAACGAGGTGTTGGTTTGCTTTTCCTTGTAAGTTTGCTAGTCGGCTTGGTCAGCTTGGTCATGGGTTCCGTCACTGGAAAGGGAACTGGTCCTGAAACTGATATTACGTTTGGAGCTGGCAGAAGAGGTTTCTCTATTTGCTTTTCCTGAGATGCAGTTGCATCGTCCTTGACAAACGTTTTCAACTTCTTTACTGGCACTTTACACCATGGGAAATTTTCTGAACAATCTGAACAAATATTGTCACACAAATTTCCACATTGGGACATTTTCTGAACAAACTGAACATTTCCTACAACACAAGGCTTCTATATTCATCAGTGTTGATTTTTCGCCAGGGCGAAAATAGGCGAAAAAAGGCGAAAATTAGAGGCGAAAAATCAATTACTTTATTTGGAAATACATATGAAAATCTAAATCTGTTGAAGGGAGGGGGTGAAAAGTGTTGACAATCTGTATTTATAAGATTGGTTTTCTGCTGGGTGCACTTGTATGTCAGAAGTTTCAGCTGTTTCGTCGTCAACTTCACCGTCAAGATCCAAGAACCACTCATTAACAAGAGCATTCCACTGCCGTGGAGTCATGTCGGCCTCTTCTTCACTCCGGAGGTTCCGGTCTTCTTCCTCCATGTAAAGTTCGTCGTCCTCGGCGCCTTGGCTTTCAATGCTATCAAGTCTTGCTAGTGCGGGAAGTGCTGGTGCTTTGCCTTTATCCTTGGCGTGCTTCTTCTTGAGTGTGGCACGAACTTGGGCAATGTGAAGAACTTTTTGCCAATGAAGCCGGTTTCTCCTAGTGCTATGGATGTACCCCATGTCGCTGAATAATCTCTCGCACGAGGCCGAGTTCTCACCAATCGCCAGCAAGCGTCGCGCCACAAAAGCAAGTTCTTTGCACGACTCGTCGTTGGCAGCCACCATTTTCCAAAACTTGTCCCGGTTGCGACCGGATCCAATGTAGCCTTCATCATCGAGCGGCCAATCCCTATCGTCGTACTTCATGACTTGTAAAAGCATGGTTTCGGCCTCGTTTCCTGCCCATTTATTATAGTACATTTGAGCCCACTCGGTAATGATTCTTGACGTGATGCCCCGTCTGTTGCATGCTTCTGGATGTACAGGTTCCAGATAGCGGTTGATGTAATCCAAACGGTACGTTGGATGTAGATACATAGCCAGAATCAGTAGCGGTTGCTCCCATTGATACCATCTTTTTTCCAGTCGCTTGACAAATACTTGGACAGCATCGTCTGGCAGTCTTCTACGCACACGTCGATCTTATCAGTCGTAAACATGGGGAGTAGCTTCGCGAACTGAGTGGCAATGTAGTATAGCTTGGCATTATCTCGTTGGAGAACATCTAGGCACAACGCAAATGGTTCGAGCATTGCCTTGATTCCATCGATATCTTCCCTGAAGGCCATGGAGCGAATGTTGTTTGCAACTTCGTCTGGTATTTTGGCACCTGCATCAGATCCAGAATACAAAACGACGAGCTAAGTCAAGACAAAACAATAAGTATGAGTGCTAACCATTGTACACGTATATTTAAAATCCATAATATTGATCGCTTTACCTGCAATGAATCCTTCGTATCAAGCAAGTTTTTCAGAGCATCGAAGTAACTGTTCCATCGTGTTGTTGCAGGTTGACGAAGACTAACGCAGCACTTATTTGGGGTACCATCTTGATGGTCATGGAGTTTTCGTGTCAAATATGTTGAACGATTGAATGTTTCGATGAGTTTGACAGCTTGCTGCATGCAAGAATTCAAGTCCGGGAATGCCTTCAACATATCGGCTATGCAGAGATTCATCTGGTGGGCAAAGCATGGCAACCATATAATCTGTTGATGCTTGCGACGTAGCTGTGAACGGGCAGCAGCATAGGCACTCGCTGAATTAGTAACAACCACGATGACCGTGATGTTGTGCCTCTTGATCCACTCACTCTCGTCGAAAAGTAACGTCTCCAATTTTTGAATAACATCCAGCGTCCTTGCTTGCTCTCCTGAGATGTCTTTTGCGTCCCAAATGACGCTGCTCCCACTTGAGGTGTTGAGGACTATGCCAAGTGCTGACTCCTTAGAGACATTTCGCCATCCGTCGCATGTTAGAGTTACACCTTGTATATCTTGAGCCTCAGCAATGAGTTGTTCATTCGCAGAATCGGCAACACGTGAAAGAATTTTGGTTAATAGGTTTTGCCTTTTAGGTATGGCTCCATTTGCCTAGAAGAAGGCCGTACTAGTTAGTTACATCTTATTACATCATAAAATTATAAAGTATAATAACATTGCATCTTCTTATTACCAAAGCGCGATCATTCAAATGGAGCAAGTATTCGATGACCTCTGGGTTTTCGATCCAACGAAATGGAAGATTGGCCGACACAGTAGCACGCAATGCCTTGTCCTGTGCTCGCTGAACCCACAAGCTGTTTTCGACGACGCCATATTTCGAGATTGATGCTTGTGCGAGTTTACGTCTTGTATTTGATGTTTGACTGAGACCAGATACTTGACTAACCGAATCTTCAGGAAGTATATCTTCATTATCTACCCACGTGAAAGCACCTGAGGCCTGAATCAAGATTCTTTCATCTGAATTCAGATTGATGCAACACTTTTTTTTTGAAAGAAAAGTATTAGCTCTATTATCAAGATTTTGAGGCTACATTTAAGCTACAATTCATGCATATCTTTCTATTTTACCTTGAGATGCTCAAGTAAAGCGGCATTTTTATCCCTAACTCCTTGCACATAGTCACCGAGTACTCGAATGCATGCAAGACATTGTGCCTCACCATCCCTGCATTTTTTATTGTCCAAGTATCGATCGTAGAGCTTGAAAAACTGCTTGGCAGGATGTCGTCTGCGACCAGTACCGGAACCTTGGTTGGACCTTTCCACCAATACATAAGAACGCTTGGAACCAGCAGTTGTTGATAAGTTTTCTTCGTATTGCATGAGAGAGGATAATGTAGATCGACGAGAAAGTGTAGATATAAAATGTTAATGAAGTATCTAGCTCAGAGAACTGGCCATATTTATACTTTTTCTTAGGTCGTGTGCTGCGAAACTATTGCCTCAAGAAAATGAACTGTTGTATAATGAAGAAGGCGACTGCTTAGCAGCTGCGCGACAAGTTCGTCATCGTCATCATTCCGCAGCATAACTTTTGGACGAGCTATGAAGTAATGAGTGCAGCGCAGTCGATAAATTTGTATTTCGAAGATAAGCTGTTATTGAATCTAGAAGGAAGAGGACAGTTATTTCGCTGTCGCACAGAAACTACTTAGCAGCTGCGCAACAGCTGCGCAGCAGATTTGTCATAAACATCAATCTGCAGCATGCTTTTGGCACGAGTCAATGAAGACCTGACTAATAAGAACCTCGCATTGACCGTTTAATATATTTATCTTGTAATCTTTTCTTTTCTTTATTATCGAAGGAGTAAACCATTTTACTTTTGAAGATGAAATCTATTTATTTAACTGCTTATTGGGGTGGCACACAATACTCAATCAAAAAAAAAATGTAGCGAGGAATTACCCGCAATTTTCGCTAATTTTCGCTAGGCGAAAATTATGAAGTACTATTTTTTGCCAAGGCGAAAATTGCGGTTGGCGAAATTCGTCAACGCTGATATTCATACAGTAGAGGATAAAACATCTGAGCAAACTGAACAACTGATACAGTTATGGAGACGGCTTGTGCGTCCATGGCTAACCGCAGCGATTGGTGGTGGCCTCTTACGTGTTTGATTTTTTTTGCTTCTGTTTTTTCCTACTTTGTTTTTTTCTAACTTTTTTACTTTTTCGATCAATCTTACTTCTTTTTAGCAATGAATCCCTTCCAGCATCCAACTTTTTTACAAAACAAACCATTCCTCACTGTTCTTACAGAGATTCGCGACAGTCTGTTTGGTCTGGAACGTCATATGACCAACATTGAAAACGCGTTGGGTCTCAATCCGCAACAGCAACGTCCTCATCTGCAGCAATCTCAGCTGCAACAACTTCTCACCAATGAGTAAGATGTACGTGAACGGATGGCGCAGTCGTACCAACTTTCGCATACTGCGCAGCTCTCTCCAAGTGAGACAATCAAGAAGATGCAGTACATGGGCAACATCCGAACAGTCACCAAGTCGTACATAGTGCAATTTGGAAAGACTTTGGTGGCCTTGATCAAGAAAAGGCCGTGGCCATGTACCACTCGCTGAGCGATGAGTCCAAGACTCACAGAGGACGGTTGCAGAGTGCACATGCTGCAGCTTATCGCGAGGTTCCCGATCACGTCAAGAGGACAGAATGGAAGAAATTCGAAGAGAATGTCAAATACATGTACAAGCTGCCTCTTGACAAATGTGAACAGCATTGGGTTACGGATTATTTTATCCATGCTGTATTCAAAACGATTACCAGGTATATGTGAATTAGGTGTCATCATTTAATAGTGTAATCTCATTATCTTTGCAATCAAAATTGTTAGAAACCACACCAATGTTTCTGAGCTGGTACATCGGTTGGTGCTCAGTCTGCAATGTAAGCAAATGAATGGTCAACAGAGTCTTATGGATTATACTAATTTATGACTAGGAGTCGTATGGACGTAACCAGCCAACGAGGAGCTTCCTCTGCACCAACATTGCAAACTGAAGGATCATTTATGTCAATGTAAGTCATGTACGATATTATGTTAAACTATGCATACTAGTCAAGTATGCTTTTATAGGACAAGTGATCAAGTGAATCCTGCTGGTCAAGAACAAACGTAGGTGATAACAAACTAGCATCTACATTTTATCGTGTTCTAATCGAATCATTTTGTTAGACCACTCTTTTCAGAATCACCATCCATCCCAATGCCATCACCATCTTCTTTTTCGACTCGTCAACTATCCCAACTGCCCCTTCTACCACAAGAATCCGAACAACATACCGCCGCCTCTCTGTTCATTCCTTCATCAGCTCCTGCACTACCACATCAACCTACTTCTTCGCTATCCGCTGTCTTCTCCATTCCTTCCTCTGTAGCTCCCCTACCACAACAACCCGCTACCTCAAACACTGTTAGATTGCAGCAAGGTAAGCACAAAACACCTTCATTCCTGCCTCCACAACGCAAACGTCAAAACTAAAATGAAAAAATATATGAACAACTATATGATAGCATTGATAAATAATAAATTATGATTATGCTAAAAAAACCCTATAATAATTGATGAATGGTGCCGCTCCTGATTTTAGATTTATGTTTGGGTACACAATATGCCAAAAACAGATAGTTCTCTCAGCTGGCTTTGAATACCAAGTTCAGATTGTTCAGATTGTTCAGATTGTTCAGCAAACTTCCCATGATGTTATCTTTTCTTTTCTTGCTTGAATTGCTGGACTCTTCTCGATTTCTCTTTGCGATGACTGCAGCAAAGCCATCGCTCTCGCCATTATCCTCTTATTCGTCGTCAGCTTCGATCCCGTCTGCTCTATCTTCAACGAAAAAGCGTGTCCTGGCTTGGAATTTGTTTTCGATCCATCCTTGGGGACATAATCCAGACATTCATAAAAACGATGACCCGGTTTGCCCTTATCGCCTTTACATAACTTGCATACAGATGGACATTGACTGGCGACATAGCACGATACAAGGCAGTTAAAGCAAGAACGACTATCTATTTGATGATACAATATGAGGCGATTGGTTACTGGAGGAAGGGCCAGCCGCTGCCTCTTGGTCTTGGCGGTAGGTTCGTAGCTCCTCTACCAGCAAAGACATCCTGCCCGTTTGCACCGATAATTCCCAGAGGGCATCGTCGCTTTCAACGGCTTTCTTTCCTGGTTTCACTTTCGTGGAACGCGTCTTAGACTGGTCACTTTTCTTTTTCTTGGCTGCCTTTTTGGTTCTGACTGTCGATTCTCTTAACTTTCACTGCATGAAAAAGTACATATCACAGGCTTTGAAAACAGGGTGATATGTGCCTATGACCTGGTTTTGGTATGAAAAAAAAAGTATGTAGCCTGCAGCAAATACAGCTACTATATTCGGTAGCATATGCAAGTGAGAAAGGAGCTAATGCACACAAAGATAGTCGTTGCATATACTATGATGCTGCTGCATAAGAAGCAGCAACATAAACTGTCTCAATTTGGGGGGGAGAAGGTTGTGGAATAAAGGAACAGTGTTCGAAAAAGTGAACATCTCAAAAAAAGACAAATACATATTTATCACTACGTACTTTGTGTGCATTAGCTCCTTTCTCACTTGTATATGCTACCGAATATAGTAGCTGTACTTGCTGCAGGCTACATACTTTTTTTTTCATACCAAAACCATGTCATAGGCACATATCACCCTGTTTTCAAAGCCTGTGATATATACTTTTTTGCGCAGTGCCACCTATTAGAACATTTTGTACAGTGTGCAGTTGTTACAGAGCAATCACTCTCACTAGCTAATGAATAAATTCTATGGTGAAATGCATCAGGTCATATACATCGCTTGTGCACTTGCTAAAATTTTCAGTCTTCACGCTTGAATTATGGCAGTACAGCTGGTATGGCCAGCAATGCGAGTTTACCTGTTGGACGAAAAAAAAAGAATGAGATGCAGGAAGGAATTGATCCACTGTAAATTCAGAAAGCCTTGTCACAAAATAGATTTTGAAGCTCTAAAAATTGGCTGCGTACTAGTGGAACATGTCACACTGTTCATTGAATGTCTTGTTGCTATGGATGAAAAAGCTCGATTGGTGTCGGGGAAGCAAGCGCAGTGTGCTGTTAAATGCCCTCCGTCGCCCACAGGGAAAAGGAAGTTAGCCATGAGGTAAGACCTCTGTTTAATGAAATTTTGTCGTCATGAATATAAGATTGATTCATACTATGAAAATAAGCCTGATGCGTTCTAAGACAGCGTCCATCGCCCATGGAAAAAAAGGAAGTGAGCCATTAGACGCCCTTAATTTCTCACCAGGGAGAGTCTGTTTATCACGAATCATTTCTATTCTCCAACCAATCAAATACAGTATTTCGCACTGGTGTTCATCTCTATATTACACCCCCTAGAAATTTTATAGTTTCAAAGGCAAAACGCTGTACAAAAGAAAACGCTCCCACCACCGTTCTCTCTCCTCTACCTTTTTTGTGTCGCTTATGACCGTTAAAAAATAATTGATGCTGCGATTTTTTTTCGAAGGGCGCAGTCTTCAGCAGAGCATCGTCGCTGTGTTGAGTGAATGATGTGTCGTTATGTTTAACAGATAGAGCATAATTATTGATGAAAGCATTGTTGTTACGCTCAGTAGATACTGCATAATGAATTTGGAAGAAGTATGTAGCAGAGAAGCAGGTAGCGAAGGCCAAGTTGAATCCCGTGCATCCTGATGAAAATAATCCTACTGAAAGTAAGAAGGGGGCCGCTCCTCACAAGATGGAGAAGAGGCTGTAAATTTTTTTTTTTAGATTTTTGGGGATAAAAATCGGGGGACCAACCAGCTTCAAATCATATACTATTCTTATACTAGTCTTATACCAATATCGCTCTTATACTAGTCTTATACTATTCTTATACCAATGGTATAAGATATACTTATACCATCTTATACACCACTTTTCCCGCCATGTAGTCGGAAAAGAATAAGGCCTTAATATTTATACATTTCGTGTCAAAACTGACACGTGTGGTGTTTCGAGCTGACAGAAAAGGTGTATGTAAGAAAAGGTAAAAGAGGAAATAGATAAGGGCAAAAGGGTAGAATATGATACAACAGAGAAGGGTTACAACGAGGTTTCGGGTAAACATCAGGGTAGATGTAGGGAAATGGGTTCGAGAAAACTAGGGTTGATGGTAGGTAAAATAAAAGGGGAAGTTGGCAGTACAATAAAAGAAATACAAATCAAATCGGGCGGCTATCTACGCTCTTCACAAATCAATTCGTCTGATTTTTTTGTCTGAAAACTCTAGATGCCTTTTCTTTATTTCTCGGCCCTTTTCTTTTATATGGCGTGAGATCATATATAGTATGGAAAACAGAAATATGGTTTGTAATGATAATAATAGGAGGGCGGCTACGGTAACAAGGGAAATATAATAATCATCTACGGGTTAGAATTGTTCATGGTTTCTACTGTGGGTAATGGTATAATCGAATATCAACGGGGAAATATCAGTAATAGCTCTAATATGACATAATAATAATAAAAATAATAATAGAGGGAGATTTACGTAGGGATTAATGGATAGGGAGATATCTTTAGGTAATAAGGGGAATTAAGCGTGGAGAAAGAAGTATGTGAGAAAATATAGAAAAACTGTAAGTCGGATACGCGCATGGTCATTTCTTGCTCCGCTTGAGGAGCCAACCATCCTCGAAAGTCATGTGCTTTAGATTTCTGTCTGCCAAAAGAATAAGGCCGGAAAATGTCACACACAACGTGTCAAAACAACAAAAGCCCGGCTAGCTCAATTGGCAGAGCGTGAGACTCTTAATCTCAAGGTTGGGGGTTCGATCCCCCCGTTGGGCTAACTGTCGCTTCAAAGGAGATATTTTTTTAATTAGTGGTGACTTAGTAAAATTATCTGTGTTGTAGTACAATATCCGATTGTCTTAGCCAGATTTGGCCAGTCTTTCATTTTGTGACACCTGTCCATTATTTGAACATATAGTCGCTTCTCATTAACACATGATTGTCAAGACACATAGTTGTCCATTGCTTGAATATATATTAGTCTCTCATTACAACACATAGCCATCATAGGCTCATAGCATATCTAGTAATAATAGAAAACATATAAATATCCCCTTCATCATCAACTAATAAACATTATCTTTTAAGTTATTTTTTATTCTACTCTTACTCTTTTGTGATCTCTCTTTCTATTGGCTACAGTACTTATCTACCAAAAGGACTCGACATGGTTATTATAATAACCGTAGATACTTCTTTTACTGTGGTTGCTAAGTCGTCCCTGACGTAATGCACAGCTACTTACTCTTGTACTTCCTTGCTGTGCAACATCGATCATCAACATCATAACCTTTGTCATTACCACGACTATATCCGCAGCTTATTACTATAATCTTTATCATTATATCCACAGCATCATTTGTATATTTTTAGTTTTAGAAAACACTTTGAGTCTTTTTATTTTTCACAATTTAGAAAAGCAGATTGTCTTGGCTCCCAACAAAGATTCAAGATGCCTCACTAGATGTTATCGATTCAGTACTCGAGAGCTTAAATAATATCAGTTTATTATATTTGAATATGAAAAAGCAAACACGACAGTGTTATAAGTATTAATGAACCTCAGTTGGGAGAAAATAAAGGATCCACTGTATAGGGGTCGCAATCTGACCCACGGGTCATAACCGACCTACGGCTTGAGGACGGGTCAACAGGTCGGGTTGATGCTTTTCTGACCCGCGGGTCGACCCGTCGTGACCCGTGTATACACATAATATGTATGAAGTACTTATATTTAAGTAGTCAATCTTCTTATTGGAAAACATCATTAGTTGTCAATATGTCTGCTATAGAACTATAGCATAAAACGTACTTAATTCTTTTTATTGTGGGATTATACTTTATATTCAACAGTATGGGATAAGTAAGCTATAAGCAATATATATGATAGGAGTAAAGAAGTAGCAATAGTGCAATAAGAATATACAATAGAGGGTGGCAGTAAGAGACGCGACTTAACAAAAGACAGAAAAGGAATTGAGAAAAGAAAATTAAAGGAAGAAGAAAGAAGTGAAAAGAAAAGGGAAAAGGGAAAAGGATAAGGGGCATATAGGGAAGTCGATTTTCAACCACACTTTAAATATTATGCTTTCTTTAAAGCATGTGAGCCCAAGCGATTTCTTTTGTGATGGCACAGAACCCTTTGCCTTTAAGAATAATCACTCAAATCGTAGATGTTGCTAGCACTACTAGGAATTTGCGTGCCATCATCTTAGAGAGCTATATATATATATGGAGTTTTGCACTTCCAGCGCTCAAGTTCAGGCTGATCAACACTTCCTTCATCACTACATTGAAATCAGTCTTGACCCGTCAACCCGAGTATTGACCCGTCGGGTTGAATGGGTCGGGTCGGGTCAGTGTTTTCTTGACCCATAGGTCAACAGGTGAGACCCTTGACCCGACCCGACCCATCCAATTGCGACCCCTACCACTGCATATGCTCACATAGGTGAAATACTCCAAGTGAAATTCAGCTCGCACTCTTTTCAGGAACAAAATTCAAGTTTTGCTATAATACTGGGACGGGCGAAAACATAACACTAGGGGTGACTGGATTATAGATTAGCTAGTAGAGAAATAGGCAAAACTTGAACTTTGAAGTCAAAATGACCTAAATTTGGAAGGAGGGTAGAGGAGCCAATTCTGTTTTTTTAAAGTCGATTTTGACTAAGATTGCTCCATTATAAACTTCTTCATGGCAAGTCGACTAATGTAAATCCGATGAGTGCAATGCCGACGCCCCATCAGAACTGTGGCAGTGGGAAAAGGCAGAGTTTTCTCTTTTATTTATAAAAAGGTATAAGGAATAGAAGAGCGGACCAAAAACAGGCACAGAGGTAGATGCTATAAAAAGTGTTTTGGTTTATGTCTCTCACTCAGTTTCTTTTACTAATCTCACGAAATTAACTTTACAAATCGGCCACTGAAGCATAGAGCAAAAACGAGTGTCATAGTAATGCTGAAAACTATAGTGCTGGTAAAAAGACGTATGCACCATAAAATGGCTGGTATATGTCCTGTGTAGTGGTTGTGTCTTGGCGTTTTTTCTTAGAGTCTACGACGACGATTCAACAAGATTTATTTGAATCTTGCTAGAAAATGAAATCCTTACTCAGTAATTGATCTCGAAACGATTTACGAATGGGGCTAATGGAGGAACAGTAATCTAGACGATTTCGTTTAGAGTATTAGGGTAACAGTGGAATCGCGTCTTTGCCGTTGTGTCTGCAACAGTGTTAGGTATACATATATATATATATGCGCGTGCATACATACACGACATATATACAAGAGGAGAAATAAAGCGGATATGACGACTATGATCAGAATGTGATATCTACATGCTGTTTTGACTATTGGATATGGGAATAAATGATGGCAGTAAGGAGGATCGAGTAAAAAGGCAAGTTCTTTTGTATTGGATCAGGGTTGATTCATGCAGAAAAAGAGAGGAAGTGCACACGTAGAACTAGCTATTCTTCATTATACCTGGTCCAAAAGAAATGTGAGATAGTACAGGTGCTTATAAGATCTCCAGGTTGCACAACTTGAATGGGTGTTTCTATATAATGTGCTAAATATGTTCTTTGCTGTGTTGAAAACCTCTTTTCACTACTGATTTTTTCTCTAATTCAGAAATCTCATTTCAAACAAGCATCTTAACAATGTCCACCGAAATTAACAACATTCCCAATGTCTCCTCTGTAATTACCCAAGCATTTGTGTTGCTTCAGCAGCAGCAGACCAGTGAAGTTGACTATGCTGCAGAGTGCCTGTTCATGTTTAAAAAGCCAAGATCTGTATATGAAGCATGGATAACAAGTGATGAAACACGTGCTGGAGTGAAGTTTTACCCAAAGCTCAATAAGCATGCTAGAGTTAAGAACCTTGAGTTTATTGAGAGCTTTGGGGCACACCAGGATGCTGACCAATCAGCCCCACAGCAATTTCACTTTATAAGGGATGGCCCAAGTACACTAAGAAAACGAGGCCCGTACTCCTATTGCTCTTTTTAATGAGGTAGCATACTTTACACATTCTTTATAGACCCATACTTATACTTTGATAGCTTTATGTATGCCAACGTTTTGGGAAACCTACCGATGGCGAAAGGGCAACAAATAGAAGGCACGGCAACCTTTCATATGGGTGCAACGCTTATATCAAAGTACACTCAAATGCACAACATCCAGGCGAGGTGGTCATCACATATCATTCGCAGCACAATAGTCATACGCCTGGCTCAATAGAAGACTTGGCTTCTGCACCAATTAGTAGTGCTGTCCGAGAAACGATTGGAAACTTAGTGGCCCGTAATCTAGACTGGAGAAATATCAAACACATGATGCGTGTTGACTGGGAAAAGCTTAAGCAGGTCCTTGTAGGCGAAGCAGACGAGGTTCCAAAAGCTCTAAGGATCATGTCCCACTGGCAGATAACAGTATATTGATAGAAAATACGCCAGACGAGAGTTAGCTTACTAATACTGTGTTTAAGCTCTTACGAGACAATAGTGTGATGGTATGCTTAGACTCGACCCATGGTACATGTGTAGTACATGAACGTCAAAAATGTTACCTTTACACACTTGTTGCACGTAGTAGAGATACTGGAAAAGGTGCGCCTTTTTGCTGGATGGCTACCAATTCAGAGGCACATCAACCAATTGAGCATTGGCTTACATGGCTGAACACTGTTCATTCGTTTGTGCCAAAATGCATCATGATCGACAACTCTGATACAGAACTCTTGGCAATCAGAAAAGCTTTAGGTGACAACTGCCGCATTTTGATTTGCCATTGGCATATCCTTCGAGCTTGGAGAAAGCAATCGATGGAGAAAGTCTTTGCTAAAGATGGTGTGCGAAAGACAGTAGCAGAAATAAAAGCACACCGGCAAGAAGGACTTCAAGGAATGATCAAGATGATGATGGCAGGAACCAAAGCAGATTACGAGCTATGCTACTTAGACTTCAGTTCTTGGTGTTTAGACTTCGATGATGAATGGGATCCATCAGATCTTTTGGTATATTTTGACTGTGAATATTCTAACAAAAAGGAGAAGTGGTCAAATACATGGCGCCATGTAAGTTATCTTTATTAGAATAAAGATAAAGTGCATTAAAGACGTTTCTAATTATTCGTTTTAGCAAAACCTGAATATTGACACCAATAATTACATTGAGTCATGGCATCACACGTTTAAGGAATCGTACTTGTCTACTTTGAAAAAACAGCATGTTGATGTACTTGTGTACATCTTATGGGATCTTGTTTTGCGTGATGTTATGGAAGACCATATCAAGACCACCAACCATTTTCAATCAATTGTCATGAATGCAAGTGAAAAGAAACGACAGAGGATCGCATATCGTTTGTCAGGTAAGCTACTAAATTATATTCTTTTGGCTATCTTTATTAATGTAATACTATAGAACAAGAAGCCTAAGACATGATTGTATCTCACGCTCAGGGACACATCACTGTCAATTCGTTCACAGCACCAGGACAAGTATACCAAGTGTACTAAAACGAAGACACAGACACCATAACAGCATGCACCTGTGCCGATTTCATTCAAAGTGGCACTTTGTGTAAGCATATGTTCCTAGTGAACCATGTTGAAAAAGTGGGGTTGAGAGAAGAAATAGATCGTCGAGTAGATCCACCTACACGTGTTGCACTTATCCAACAGTAGGAGCAAGATGCAAAACAAGCCCTTGCCTTAGCATTTGAAAGGTATATTTGATCTGTTTTACCAATATTGTTCACGACTACTAACAAGCAAATTCCGATTGAATACATCATCCCAGAAGCTTAATGCGCAACTAGCAAATACCGACCGCGCACATTATGGTGTCAATGCCACGAAGCACCTTAACAAGGTTGCAGAGCAGCTGGATAATGCCTGGTCAATACTCAAAAGACATGAACGATCCAATATCAATCCCAACCCAAATCCTCTTTTTAGACTCTCCTTATTTCATTCCTTCCTCCTCACCTTTACTACTTATCACTATATCAACAGAGCATTATAAGTCGTTAATACGAAGTACTGTTTCCTTCACACTTACTTTGGACCGGGTATAATGAAGAATAGCTAGTTTTACGTGTGCACTTCCTCTCTTTTTCTGCATGAATCAACCCTGATCCAATACAGAAGAACTTGCCTTTTTACTCGATCCTCCTTACTGCCATCATTTATTCCTATATCCAATAGTCAAAACAGCATGTAGATATTACATTATGATCATAGTCGTCATATCCACTTTATTTCTCCTCTTGTATATATGTCGTGTATGTATGCACGCGCATATATGTATATATGTATACCTAACACTGTTGCAGACACAACGGCAAAGACGCGATTCCACTGTTACCCTAATACTCTAAACGAAATCGTCTAGATTACTGTTCCTCCATTAGCCCCATTCATAAATCGTTTCGAGATCAATTGCTGAGTAAGGATTTCATTTTCCAGCAAGATTCAAATAAATCTTGTTGAATCGTCGTCGTAGACTCTAAGAAAAAACGCCAAGACACAACCACTACACAGGACATATACCGGCCATTTTATGGTGCATACGTCTTTTTACCAGCACTATAGTTTTCAGCATTACTATGACACTCGTTTTTGCTCTATGCTTCAGTGGCCGATTTGTAAAGTTAATTTCGTGAGATTAGTAAAAGAAACTGAGTGAGAGACATAAACCAAAACACTTTTTATAGCATCTACCTCTGTACCTGTTTTTGGTCCGCTCTTCTATTCCTTATACCTTTTTATAAATAAAAGAGAAAACTCTGCCTTTTCCCACCGCCACAGTTCTGATGGGGCGTCGGCATTGCACTCATCGGATTCACATTAGGAGGCTAATCGAATATCTTATGATAATAAGATTTCTAATGAAATTAAGAAATCTATTAATCATTAAGATATTAAAATATAAAAAAATAAATTTTTATTTTTTATATTTTATTCGATTTGTTAAAATCGAATCGATAGGTGAGTTCCTAATGTGGGGTGTGGTAGTGTAAGAAAAATCTTTGATTTTTTGTAGCACTAGCTGGTCTTTGCGAAGCAAACCTAAACAACCGGTAGGTTGTTATTAAGAGTAAAATGAGAATCTGAAAGATTCCATTTACTCTCCTTAGTCGACTTGCTATGAAGAAGTTTATAATGGAGCAATCTTAGTCAAAATCGACTTTAAAAAAACAGAATTGGCTCCTCCACCCTCCTTCCAAATTTAGGTCATTTTGACTTCAAAATTCAAGGTTTGTGATGCGGAGGACCAGATTTGCTGACAAGGTAGAGTACTAGAGATATTGCCTGTCGCGACCTGGTAGCTTTGATAATGTTTATAATGGCAGACAATGGTCTACTGTACCTAGTCCTCAGTCCACTGAATCTGACTTTATACCATTTGTCGCCAACCAATACTGTAATATTCCACTTATATTTAACTCTGTACATATTGAACTGATATTCAACTAGTATTCACCTAGTGTAATTATTGTTCAACCTATTTAACAGTAATTCCATTTACCCACCATCATAAATAAGTTCACTGATTGAACTATTATTGAACTTCAACTATACTGCATATGAGGATGGATGTGCTGTTTCTTAATATTCTGTATTACAGTAACTCAGTTTCACCACTGTGCCTAAAGCAATGTTTTATTCATCCCTCCCTTTCAAAAAAACACTCAAGTCTACAATGAAGAATAAACAATAGTGATTAATTATTGTGTTAAATTGTATTTAATAAAGTAAATACAATTAAAAAAATATAATGAATATTTTAAAAAAATCATTATTGTTGAAAATTATAAAGATTTAGTTTAAATATAAAAAATGATGTAATATATTTTTTAATTTAGTTTAAATCTCAAAATTGTTATTTTTTTTACCATAAAAAAAATAGGTTCCATTTAATTTTTATTCATATTAAACACAAAAATATAAAACGAAAAGAAAAATAATCAATGATTAATGATTAAACCATAGAGGAATAGTAGTGAGCATTTCCCTCCTTTACATGAGGAACTTGTGACGAAATGTTACTTGATTTTGAGATAAAGAGGTAATGAGTTGTTGGGGGTGTACAAGCTCATTATGTATTCTTGATTGTAATAAACCTTTTCTATTATAAATTAGCAGTTATGTTTAGGGTTATTGAATATTCTTTAATGTCAAACTTTAAAGATTGCTGTTGCCATTGCACAATTAGCTGTGAGAGCAAAAAAGAAGATGAGCTTCAAGAGACAATAGAGAGGCTACGATGTGATAGGTGCCGCCTGTAAAAAATGATATGTTTGTATCTTCCACAATATAATAGGACTTTATTTTGTATAGTACACAGGCAATCATTTAGTTTCTTTGTAGTGTGACTACATTTGAGCTCCAGTGAGTGCTCGAAAAAGGTGCATTCAAGAACAGCCAAGAGCTAGATGAGCACCTCAAGCTTAACAATATAATGCTATAACATCATTAATGTTTAGGCAGCATATACATTGATCAAATATTGTTCTTTCTATTTTCATTTTACTTCTCACAAGGTGACAAGAGGAAGAAGGCAGTGATACTTTTATGACGGATGAACACTACATAAACTGTAAAATGACAGCCAAAAAGCCTTATTTGCAGCAAAGATTAATTTAAAGACGTGACAGCAAGAGATTCAATTTTTCGTGCATTCAGGAGTTCGTTTTCACTTTGTACTCATTATACCTCTCTCTTTCAGTTCCATTTTTTTTTCACTGGACCACCCTATAATGTCGTTTACTTTCAAAGATTCTAACTGATGCTCATTTTTCATTCATAATGTAAGAAAAACAAGATGTATGAATTAGCTTTTGGCAAGGTAAAATGTGGTCTTATATCCTTTTGCAATCTCCCAAGCTCCTTTATTCAGATGATTTCAAGGGTGATCAAGCAACATATAATTCGAACAAAATTAGAAAAGACTAAATTTGCATATTTATTTAACGAATGTAGTAAGCTTTTTCTATACAATTCCAATGAGGAATATTTAGTTTTATAGAAACATATTTAAAATAATATAATATATAAAAAAAATTAAGAAATAATTATTTTTTTGGAATATAAATTATAATATGAATAAATTTTATTGTAAAATAAAACAAGTAACCAACATGTTATTTATGAATAAAAAGGCAACATTTTATTTATGCCTTATTTTTTTAAGGATATTAAAATTATTAAGTAGTTGTAAATGTTTTTAATAAGAGGAATATTTAGTTTTATAGAAACATATTTAAAATAATATAATATATAAAAAAAATTAAGAAATAATTATTTTTTTGGAATATAAATTATAATATGAATAAATTTTATTCTAAAATAAAACAAGTAACCAACATGTTATTTATGGATAAAAAGGCAACATTTTATTTATGCCTTATTTTTTTAAGGATATTAAAATTATTAAGTAGTTGTAAATGTTTCTCAATACGATGGTTGCCAATGGTGAGCAACACATATATGCCTCTTTATCTTTATATATGTCATCATGTCACATGTGCTCATATCATCATCACCTAATACTTTTTTTTTAAACAGTGATAACATGGATGCTATAATACCAATGCCTCAGTAAGCTCCCACTTCTTCAGTGGTTTCATATCTAATTACCGTCATTGCACCTACTCTCTATGGATGCAATACCAGTAAGAAATGTTTAGAGGGGTAAAAGTGTGCTCCTAAATATGATGTGATTCAGACAATTGAAGCCATCACTGAGGAACATGCCAGTAGATGGTATATAGTGGCATTAATGAGCTGGTTTAAAGATAGTGCTGTTTACTACTAACTAACTGACAGTAGGTGAGATGAGGAATAGTCAGAAGTAGAGAATGTAGTGTAGTAGCAACTCATTCTTTTTCTTATATAGGCGGTCACCATACTCCCATCACACATGTGAGTATAATAAATGATTTCTTCCATTCATGTCTGTGTATAGAAAAAGGATCCTTAATGCCTTTGTTTATCTGATAGGTTGTACTTGCAATGTCGAATCAAATGCCGTTTGCTTTAGTTCCATTGAAATATGTTAATCATCAATTAGTATGGATGATGTATATAACTGAGCATCTTCTTAAACCAATAAAAAAGTTTTTTTGTACTATTTACATTGTAAATATGCTTGTAATGAACGAATCAATTAGGTAGTAAGAATGAAAGCACTTGGAGCAACAGAAACGGGCCATTGATGGAAGAATGGAGGATACAGAATAGTAGGATATAACTAGGTTAATGTCGGAACCAAAGTAACACTAGGTTGTTGTTGGAACTAATGATAATGATGACAATTGGGATGAAAGTAGGGTAACACTAGGTAAATATTGGTGCAAAATGATGGTTGAATATTGGAGTAAAGTAAGGGTCAATATCAGTGTAATATCAGTTGAACATTAGCTAATACTCAA